CTGAATTAGGCCGAATATTGCCGTGCGCGAAGCTCTGCGAGTATATCTCGAACAAGGATTACCTCTATCTCACGGAGAGTCGTGTATGCTGATATCTCTTCGGGTGACAGACGCGGTTCTGATCTATTGCTTCTGTTTTCCGTCAATAGGTAAAGCCAGCCGGACCCAAGCACAGCTCGGCGTCGATAACACTGCCAATATGCCGAAGCATTGCGTGGAGATGTATACGTAGTTGCACGGTCATCGCCGCCAACCTCGCTACAAGTCCCAACACGGATAGGCTCTGATTGCCGAGTCCCAACACGGTTAGACTCTAATTGCCGAGCCTGACACAGGTTAGACTTCGCTTCAGAGCAATGAAAGGCGACAGCGTCCTTCGTCCTCAGCTCACAGTATCTGTTTATGCTGAGAGCAACGGTTTGGAAAATCCTCTTCCAATCTGTAGTGTCCAGACATACAAAGGATTTCACGCACGTGATGTTTCATTCACAGCTTAGCAACCAGCGTAGAGCCAGCCCAGCATCCCCGATATCGAGATCGTTCAACTTCTCTTTCGTCAGGCCCACTACTCCTACAATTCCAATCCTCTCGTCACCGGAAACACACATCATTCCTCTGCTTTGTGGCTCCACGTGGCCCGCCATCCGGACAGAGAGCGGTCGACGGTTTTATCTCGTCTACCCTCCTAGCTCGTAGTAGTCGTCACAGCTCTGGGATAGCCAACCACTATATAGACTCTTTAGGCATGGTCCACCCGCCAACCTTCGTGGCAATGTCAGAGATGAAGACGGAGTTGAAGACGATAATGGCGGTGTTCTCGTCCCGTTTCTATAGGGATCAGCTCTTTATTTGAATACTGCCTTCTTCGACAAGCGTGTGAAGAATAGAAAGTCCAACCGAAAGACTATATGCAGAGGCAGTAGACTGGATGTGTGGGGCTAAGAAGATATTGCAGCTTCGTGCGAGTCAAAAATTGGTGTTGCGCTTTGGGACGCATCGCATTCTCTTCGGTCGTATATGGGATTCTCTCAACTTGGTGTATACGGAAATCCTTGGAGCAGGTCGAGACACTTGGGATTCCCGGACGGCACTCTCGGAGCCACGAGCGGCTCCGACCCCAAACCATTCCCTGGAATCAACTCTCTGGTATCACGAAAAATATCCCGATCCGTCATCTGCGGTGTCGCGTGCTTTGGCGGCTCCTTCTTTCCAGACCCCGTGTCAGTCGGCATGAACACTCCCCCATAGCAAAGCAACCCATAAAAAGCGTTCGAGGCTTCGGCGCCCCTTCCTTACCAGACGCAGGACCATACATCCTCCAGCATCAATCCTCCACTATTTTCGGCTGATTCGGCCCTCCAGCAACACAATAACGTCTCCTTTGAACCCCGGATGCGGCCGCATGGGGCGCTCTTTCCAATTGCCGATTTCTCAACGCATTTTTGACCCAGCCGCCATAACGTCCACGCCACATCATTGAGTTTGAGCATTCTCCACAGGCCGAGCCCACACCTGCCGGCGACCAGTCCTCATTTTCCGTTTGGGCCTGAACAAAGCAGACCGTACGTCCCCTCCACAACCGGCAGCACGAAGATCTCTGGTGGGGATGAAGACGGAAACCTCTGGACGCGAGCGTGCAGGTATTCAGTGAGGTGGCGTCGGCGATAGCTGGGTGCGAACTTCGACGAGTCAGGCAGGAAGGTTATGCGTCAAGGGCCAGCCGTGGGCTTAGGCGAGAAGTTCTCCTGATCTAGGCAGTAGATTTACCCTGGTGCTCTCTCACGGATCCGGGTTTGCTATTCTTCGTATGTCAGACTAAAGAGTGTTCCCCTCTGCCTTCTCGAGGTCGATGTCAGCTGCGCCGTGACATACGGGTGGGCTACCTGCAGTGGGTGCAATACGTTTATCGACAGGCTGTGAGCGGCTTTGATGATGTCTGTAGGCGACACTAGGTAGCGCATGGCGCTCGTGACTGGAGGTAATGTCGGCGTGTATGTGGGCTGCTGCAACTGAAGTAGTAATTATCTCGCCGTTAAGCAGTAGGATGTGTGGCTTACGCGCGCATACGCGCAGACAGGGGGAAGGTCGAGGACTTGATTTTCCTTAGCAATCCTCGCAGTGGGTGTCGGTCATGCTGCGCATCTGGAGTTCCTCGAAGACCGCCGGATCGATGCATGTGGTAATCGATGCGCTAGCTGGCGTCGTCGATCGCCACTCGCGCAGCCGCCGAGGCGCAGGGGCTCAAACCAATTAACGAAAACGTAGAAACAGATATTTCGGTGCTTTCGGGATTCCAAGCGCTCTAGGGACACCACGTGATCCTCCACCAAACTGACTATGCTTGAAGACCGCAAGAGTTCCGCGGAGGACATTGGCATATTGAACTGCTTGCCACGTACATAACCTGACCAACACCACGTCGCTCCTCAATCTAATTAGTGCTCTGAATCCGTGTGCGGGCCGGGCATGTAGGAAGGGTTTGTAACAGCGGGATACTACAAGATGTGGACGAGACTAGGTTTAATTTTACAGAGAGTTCTGTTGGCCGGTATCCGGGGTCGTCCAGGATCGACCGTAACCTCGCTCGCGGGAAAGATCGTTGTCAGCTGGCTGACTTCGACAGAGCCGGTTGACCAAGCGCGTCATCGCGCTCCGCGGGAGAGTCGAGACCCGGCGCACTGCGGCATGCCTATGTGCCATATTTCACTGTGGACACTTTTCCTTGGGTGTCTTGGTGAAGGGCACACCCGCGAGTCGCAACTCGTTTCCTTAAACTATCATCCGCAGTTCTACTTCGCACAGCAGTCTCGCAAACAACTGCAGAATCCGGGTTTTGGAAGATGGCGACTGCGCGCTCGGCGAGGATCGACGTGAAAAAATTGAAGGAGAACATACAATTCGATTCACCCGGTATCGTCGAGGTCAGCAAACGTGGAGGTGGACGTTCCCGAACACCCGCAATATGCGGGACAACTGCATCAATGTCGCCGAGTCGGACGTCGTCGTCTCCAGCGGTGACCATGTCTCCGCTCGTGAAATCGCGGAAACGGAATCGAGCTGGTCGTCCTTCTCGCTGCTAGCCTGGGCCGTTCCTCATGGAATCGGTCGAAGGGACCCGATCCACTGGCTCTCAAGCCGCTTATGGGCTGATTTCGAAGTTCAGTGCGTCATCCGGTAGGAACTTGAACGTCTGAAGAGATCAGATCCCAGGATCTACTTCTCTGCCCGCTCGGTGCGTCGAAGGTGATCGGATTGGCCAATAGTGGCGAGAAGACCGAGTTGCTGAAAAACAAGTACGATTACGGCGTCGCGATCAAGTACGACGAAGTTCTGATTCGCATCGAGCGGACGCAATCGACGGCGTTGCCGTACGCGCCTCCGTTAATAGTGGTGGTATTGTCCTGCTCGCCATCGACATTGACGTCCATGCTGGAACCGCCTCTGGGCCCGAGGTGGCTGGCGCCTCCGCGTCCATCCTCCGCGGTCTGCTCGATCTGGGGATTCCGGGTCCACCGGAATGAGCATAATGTGGTGGCACCTCGGGAGCTTGAAGGTGCTCGCCCGGCCCGAGGTAACCTTGCCCTGCGCTGAAGCGTGCAGCGAGTAAGGCTCGTAATTCGATTCAGATGGGCGGCGAAAGCGGGTAGTTGCAGACCCACCGAGCCACGTCCAAGCCATTTCCGTAATGGTGGACTCTTTGGGGTGCATCAGCGATATCCTTTTGCTCTGGCTTGTCGGAGCCGTACTTCTACATTCCCTCTTTGTACGACCGAGAGGAGAGAGACGGGTGCGATCGCGGTTCGGGCTCTAGTGGGGGAGAGAAAGAGGGCGTTGGATATGGAGGTGGAGGATTTGAGGCCTGAGCAGAGGACGGCGGTGATGTAATTGAAATCTAGCACGCTAGTCTATATCGGGGCTAGCGTGTGTAGAATCTCCATAGCTCGACAAAGTCCTTCACAATGCGGCGGCTACCTGCAACACTACTGGAAGAAAGATTAAGAGAGACCGCCATTACAGTAGCCTCCGAGCTTTGTTCCTGCTGTAACCGCAGCTATCGATGCAATATTGAATTTCCCGCCGTTTCCTGCGTGAAAGATTCTGCCACTGAGCTTGGGCAAGAATGGGAGCCGGAGATAGGGCCGGGGGGGAATTGAGGCAGCAGTGACATCTGAGGACAAGACTTGGTGGGCACAGCATTGGCTGGTCATACGAAGGAGCTCATATCTTTTAAGAGGCCGGAGTTATCAGGTTTATCGAAAAATCGGCGGCGATGCTTGGCGTGATGTTGACATCAGAGCGACGCCTAGAGGACCTTGCCGATCCACACTTACGTGAGCTTATTTTTATATGCCTTTTTGTAATTTCACACTCAACCCCGCTCGTTCTCGTTCTGCATGCTCTCTAGTCCGCGATCCAGCTCTTGCTTCACGGCCTGCAGCTCGCCCCCAAGGATAGCGAACCACCACCAATTTTCCGTGGCCGGTGCCACCTAAAGTTAGGAATGGACCATGTTGAGATTCCCAGATGGCCTCGTCGAGGCGAAGATCAGGGTGGTGCTATCCATGCACGCAGGCATCGAGATCGATCTCGCTGACAATGTCGGTGTTGACTACTACGAGATCCAGCGGCCGGTGCAGGCATAAGGTTCGGGGAAAACGGTTCCAGCTTTGGCCCTGCCTCTATCTGGTTTCCCAAAGGGCAACGCCATGCTCGCCACCCTATCGATGCTAAGATGAACCACGTCATACAACGAGAAGAACGGCCGCGTCGAGTTCGGCTTGCAACCTGCCTGACGCCCATTTACGCATGAGACCTCCCACGAACACCGCATAGGGAAGAGTTGTCTCGACCTCGCTAGCTCTGCATTCGGTGGCATGCACGAAATCGCCGCCTCGGGGCTCGCGAGAGCTTGCGGAAGCTGGATAAATGAGCCGCCGGATCACCAGTCCCAGATTTTGTCTCTGCTCGACCTGCTGGTCTCACATCAAGCTCCGGAGGGATTACCGACATCGACCTTGTGCAGGTGCAGATGCGGATCGCGGCGGGCGGGGGACGGTCAGCCAGTGGACTTCCATTCTCTGGGGAGGGTCGATTTGTTGACGGTCAGCCCATTCGTATAGATCCGAGTTCGGTAGGGAGCTAATCTGTCGACGTAGGCATGGTCGTAGAGCTCCGAGCTCCGAGTGAACAATTCCCTGCTCTTCCGCTGATGCTCGCTCTTCCATAATGTCTGCTTGAGTTCGAATGGTGCTCCAGTAGTCGCCATACAGAAACGCCTCGTGGTGGGCCAAGTACGCACTGATCTGCAGAGACAAGCGTGGTTGCTGATCGGAACTGCTCAAGAGCCGTGCTTCGTCGCGCGAGGAGACGGGGAGGGACACGATGCCTTCGACCTCATGCCCACCGAGACCACCGAGGACTAAGGATCCGTCGACAAAATCTTGGCCGGAGTCCCGGATTCGGTCACCGGGTACCAGGAGTCCCTGGAATTAGCCTCACGCCATGGTCAGGTGGCCGCCCGGATCCGGATTGAGAAAGTCATCGAGCAGGTGAAAGCCCTCGTCAAGACTAGCGGCAACTTTCACCAGCTTATCGCCAATGCCCCAATGCACCTGAATCACTGCCTGAACAGCCACGGTAACCGCTTCAGCAACACCGTCATCTGTTGAGGTCGGGAGCGCGTGGGTCGCGCATACGCTCCGGGAACGAGTGGTTGCCAGCCATCGGGGCAAATGGACCACACCCGGAACGTTTTCTCGGGGCGCGGGGTCTGAGCCTTGAAGTCGGTGATGCGCAGGCCGAAGCCGACGAGGTTCAGCTGGGTGATTTTCATTGCCAGTCTAGTTGTTGCGCCCGTGGACTAGAGGAGCATGGACCTCTTCATGATCAACAATCTTGGGCATTGTCATCCTGTTTAGTCAAGTCATGGTAGGCTGCCAGGAGCATTGTGTTTGACGCTGGTCTTGCGGAACTCGCACACGGCACTAGCGCGCCGCGAGCTCGTCCGGAATGTACCGCTGCCGCGCCATGGCGTGGGAAACATTCTGCGTATACTCGCGGCGCAGCGTCTGGGGCTGAGGGCTGTACCAGATGTTGGTCATCGTCAATTACGTCTCCGATTCGGGTGCCGAGCGGGCTCGAGAAGCGCGTGAATCAGTCATTTGATCGGCGACATCTGCCTGCATAAAGCTTGAAGACTTGTTCAGCGAATTTAGCGAGAAAGGTTGGAACAGAGTTTAGAGCGTAAATAACCTCAGCTTTGCGTTAGCCCCACCTCTTGTAGTACTTCGTCGAACGTCGGCCAACTGCAGACTGCAACTTGTCAAGCACTGCGCGTATATCAAACAACACCCCTCTCCATCTACACAACGTCGATAAGCCCGCATATACAGCTATCAGTATCTCCTTTCTCTTCTCTCAGTGATTTCAGATTCAGCGCTGGTTTGATGCAATCCGAGGAGTCTGGACTTTTCCTCGCGCTGCAATTTCACCAGAATTGCGGCTGATCCATGACGCCGAGAAATCCGACGCTTTCCCCGGCAGTCCGATCCGATAGGGCCTTTTAGTGTAGGAAGATTCCTACCATGACGGTAGGGGAAGGAGTCTTGTAGTTCTCGGTGGATTGCGTGGAGGTTTCGTGCACAGGCAACGGGCGACGTAAACGGCGCAGTTGCTGATGTAGATGATACTGGGAAATATCAGCCCCAATAGCCGCGAAAGGGCGACGTGGTAACCCAGCCATTCGTGCAATATCCCATGACATCCCCTTCGCCATCCAAAAGATCCGCCCGTATCACCCGCTGCCCCAGAATCTTGTCCCGCTGGTATTGCAACAGAGGGGGACAAGGTGCAGAATGAGCAAATACCCCGAACAAGATGGCTCTGGGGCAGGTGAAGAACAAAGGGTAGGCCTTTGAAACCCTAGATATAGCTCGAATGTGGTCTTTAAGTAAAAGCGGAAGGCGGTTGGAGAAGCGCTCCTGAAGTGGCAGATGTAATCCCTGCGGACCTCGTATGCAGTAAACATGGGTCTCGAGCAAGCGGATGCCGTACGGAAGCGGTTCTTTGAAGCCTCAAACGCGGTGGTTTCGTACGGTTGGTCTTCGTAGGCGGCACGATCTTCTTTCCTAGGAAATTAGCTCGCGTTTTTTGTTGGTATTGCAAACCGTTACGATGGGATGGGAGGAACGGTGCGGTCTCTCCGTCAACTTATTTCTGGTGATTTTTGTTGATGTTTGAGTAGGACACAGCATCGGTATTTCGGATACACTTATCTTACTCTCCTGGACTCCTGAGAAATTTGTTATCCTCCCACCTGTTTGCAAGTCAGCGGACTTCAATTAAGAAAGAAGTGGGAATGGGGGCTGAGTCTTTGATGAGATCTCCCTAGTCGATATCACTCATGGCACAATAACACCCACTCCGAAGAAACACCCCTACAAGTACGCCCCGATCCCTCTCCCCACCCCGCACTCCCTATATCATCCCCATCCTACCCCCGGAAGCCTTCAAGCATCCCCACGGCAAGAGCCAACATCCCCGCAACCACAATGACGCCTGCGCATCCGCGGAGCCACCAATCAACCATGCGCATCATCGCCGGGCTCTCGAAATCAAGCTAGGAAAGGTTACAAAATGTTCTCTAGCATCGCATCGTTACTTTACTCTTACAAGGGCCATATCTGCAGCCCGCTTAGCCAAGCTAGAGACGCGGACTGACCCTGACATGAGCTCCTGGGCTCCGAGCTCGATATCTATGCCGTCGGCGATCGTTCGTACCACTAGAGACGGCATAGCGTACTCGGGCGGTGGTGAGGGCGTCGTTTCTCGGGACGCTAGTTCGATGCTCGTGAAGTCTTGTGGGCGGGTGATCCTAGCGCGCTGTGCTGCATGATTGGGCTTGTTAGATCATGCTGATATCTTGCATATGACGATCGATACATGCGGCGCAAAGCAGTCGTACAATCGAATGAAAAGACAGGCGCAGGCATGAAATGGATAAGCCTACCATATGCGGTGAAGTAGTCTTCACTGAGAACGGAACTAGGCTTCAGTGCATACGTATTGAAGGACTTCATAATGACGGTAGATGAGACTTTAGACACGGGACGATGCGATGCGATTAAGTGAGGACGATACGCAAACGTCGAAAGAGAAGAGAGGAATGATGATCGACTACGAACGAAGGTAGCTTGATATCAGAGAAAATTTTCATCACCGGCTAACCTGCAGGGAAGGGGCGCGATGTTGAGGAAGGCACGAGCGGGACGTTTTTGCTGACTGCTACTGGGTGATGCCAGCTTGCCGAACCTACAAACGGGGATAGGATCCGATTGCTAGGGCCGCAACCGGAGCTGATGGGAAGGCTCTCCACCACTGCCGCTTCTTAATACCCTGTCCCGCCCGAATCAGACCTTCCAACGCCGCTCTCGCCACGTTTCTTCCGTTTGACCGTACGCATGGTGCTTGGCATCTTCCGTTTCCTTTATCTTCCCGCTTCTCAGGCCAGGCTCGTACACTCCCAAGGATCGCCTTCTTCCGGTTTGTTTCGTCCCGTGACCTCGGTCGCTCGATCTTGATGGTGAGTGCTGGGCAACCTTCTCGTTTTAGCTATATTGCACAAGCACTTCCAATTACGTGGTGAGAAGCCCGATCCCTGTCAGAGAGGTGATGTAGACAAGAGACGGCGGCATACTTCTTCTCCTTCACCTCACAAATAGTCTTCTTCTACGCTATCCCTACTAGGGAAAGGCCATATGAGCTCGGTTCGAAAGGAACAGATGGTACGTATCCTGCGAAAGTGATTGCGTTCGTTCGATCGAGGATTGCGGATATTCGAAATGTTCGGTCACGGTGGCAGGAGGTGTGAGAGTATATAACGGAGACGATGCAGGGCTGTTGCTGGCACTAATGAGAATCGCCGGAGATAGAGTCCGGAGGGGTTGTTGGATGTAACGAATGAGCAGGTGAATGATGAGTATGCCGCCCTCAAGCGTGGCCATAGTGGGGAGCGTTGTCGAGTTGAAGAATCCAGCGAATGCAACGATGGACTGAATGATGAGCTCCTCTGCTGCAGCTGTAGACTGGCCGGGCTCTTGATGATGAACACGTCCTGGAAGAGCGTGTCGATAGGGAGTCCTCTCCTAGCAGTGAAGGCCTGCCGGCACTCTACCTTATCCGCTTCTTCTCTCCTTCTAGCCGAGACGTCGCTGTGGGTTAGATCAGGAACCAAACGCCCCACTTCGGCGCCATCAAGCCAACCCATCAAGGCTGTCTAGTCGAGGTGGGCGCCATACTCGCCAGCTTCATGATAGTGCTAGCCGAAGATGTCGACTGAGCCAATTGTATAATCTGTGGGCTCACCGTTATGGAGATCGCCGTCAGAACTGACAAGAGCGTGCTCCCTGAAGACCCGGGCAGGACAGGAGAAGCTAGCAGCGATGAAGTTGAACCTGCTTGCCTATGCTTATAAGGTAAGCCATGTCGCTGCGAGTGTGGTTGTTGAATTGCGCCTCACATTGTGCAGTGGAGCGTCGAGTCTGACGCAGAGAGCGGTGTGTGCGTCGCCTATGGAGCCATGGTGTTCAACGTAGCACACCCTCTCTCCGTAGGTTAAGGCGGGTCGAGGCGTATAGAGCACTACCCTACATCTCGTTGTTCCGTTGACCAGCAAAGGCTTTGGCTGCGATGTCGGCGGTTTTGGCGGATGCATCCGACCCAAGGACTCTAAAAGATAGGTAATGATGCAGGACTCCGGGGCCTTAGCTGAGCAGTGGTTAGTATCTGAAATACCAAGGGGAAAAGATGTACACTTACACGATGCGGTAGCTTATTCAATCCCTTCCAGCGCTTGAAGGCTTTGAGGATATCCTTAGGGAATGGACCGAGGAGGTAGACGTGAGGCTCCAAGAAGACCATGCTGTGAACTCGGCGTTTTTCGTAGTCGCCTTCGAGGGCGCTTACAGTCCCAGAATTCCCCTCAGAGTTGAGACGATAGCCACTGATAACGCCACCAGGTTCGTAGCCACGTCAGAGCTGACTAATATGCCACCCGAGAAGATGGTATCCTTTCTCGCGTACATCGAAGAAGCCATGATATAGCTGGACTCATGCCAATATAGCTTAATGCCCTGGAATTGCTCGTCAAGCCTCTTTCCAGATTCCTACTCGCCGCGGCAGAACCGGTCATAGAAGACGATGGGACCGTCGCAGCGATCACGAAGGTTACGAGGGGCTTAGACAAGCCTGGCGTTATTCCGCAGTAGCAGGGAATAGGGAGAAGAGCTGATGAATTGGCGAGATAGGGGCATTGCGCATTGCGCCACATCAATGAAGCCGATGTTGCTTTCCGAGATGCAATGCTGAGCCATAACGGGGTTTGGCGCCGAGTTACAGATTTGATGGAGGTGCTGTTGGTGTAGTTTGAGTAGCAAGTAGCAAGTGAATTGCCCGGCAGAGGGCAAGGGAGACGCTCAGCTTTGTGCATGAATCCTGCATTGCAAACGCGTAGGCCAAGGACCGCCGTGTGTTCCATCACTCTGGTGGACGATACCTCACATGGTCCCATTCGAGAGAGCGTAAGCGCTGTGAATAAGGTAGACCGAACCTGTTGTCAAGACATACTTCGCGTATGGTAGAAGGATAATAGAGGTTGAGCGGATAGGGGAAGAGATTGTGTGAAAGTAGACGAACGTTGGAGAGGAGATCGGAGGAAGGTCGAGCTCTCCAGCCATCGAAAGATGGACACGGCATGTATCCATTTGTCTCCCCTCCCATGCCATCAATGGGTGTGATAGGCGAGCCGCTACGAGTTCAAGACACCGAAGTACGGACTACTTCCTCACCAGTACGCCGGGCCGGCATAACCGTGACTGCGTAAACTGTAAGCTTATTGCGGCCTGGATTAAAAATCTGGAGTGTAACGTACTGACTTGTTTCGCCGTACTGCGAGAGAACAAGCGTATATGCGGGAGAGCTGTAACGTGCGTCATCTAATGTATTAGCGGAAGGCCGACGGTTCGCAGTTGAGAGACGAGGTCGGAAGAAGGCCAGCTTTCGGTGCTTCTGTTGAAAATTGAATGGTGTCCAGACCATACTGTCAAAGTCCGGAATACGCCAACTTGGCGAGTTGCGATCTCGTAGCCGGACCAGTTGACAGTGGTCCGCCATCACGAGTTGCGATGTGGAGAACGAGAGAAGCGGCGCGCATCAAGTAGGCGGCTAGATCAGCCAAACCGTCGCGTCTCTTACGTCTCTTCGAACCTCTGGCTCTTCCATTGTTTGATAGTCGGAGAAATGCCCGCGGCGGCGCTGTAGCTCTATGGGTCGGGCGCGTTCGTACGATCGTTTGTACGTATTGGTGGCCGATGTTTGAGAATTGGTCGCAGAGATGATTTTGTTGGCTCAATGTACTTCTGCAGGTCAACCGAAGAACAGCGGCTCATTTCTCAGCGGTGGTAGAAAGAGGACGTCGCAGAGCACTCGAATGGCGACGGTGGAAGTGCTGTGAGGATAGGTTGCGGGTTCGCCGTCGATGGGTGACGCTGATGTCATCGCGTCGGCCTACCGGAACAGGTCAAGCGGGGCAGAGCTCGGGCCAGGAGTTCACCTCACCACACCCTCTCCCGTCTACCTCCAGGACCCTTCGTCCCAGCCACAATGCCTTCCTCGGACCTTTCACACATTAGCCTTGACCTCATGGACCCAGTCGAAGTTCGATATTCGCCTCCACATGTCATCTACTAGCGGAACGCGGCCCTAGCAGGATGACCTGCCCCACCGCTTTCTATTACCTTTGTACTCTAGAAAGCCGTCTTCAGCTTGGTGGAGTACTTCCTCCACCGCCCTCATATGCTCCATCGCACGTATTCGTCGGTGAAAACGGAAGTCATGTGTCGACTCTACACCTGGGCATGTGGTTAGTGCACACCGCTCACGATTACGGACGACGTCCTACCGCCACGCGCTCTAGAGCCTTCGGGACCTCTCTTTTTCCCAAGCACATCTTCCATCAGCGACCCAAGCCAGTGCATCGCGCCATCTCCGATTTCACACACCAAGTCGAAGGCGTCCAGTCTATCACTCTGGCCCGTGAGTAGGGCACCCGCCAGGAGCACAGCCAGAACCCGCCGAGGGCGAAGCCGGGTCGTAGCAGTTACGTACGCGCCAGTAGCGGTCCCTTGACTTCCGATGATCGCGAGTCACCTCCACGTGGCTGACACAGCCTCAACGAAGTGCAATCTTTCAAAGACAATCTTGTCCTATCAAGAGGCATTGCTAAATGACGAGGTGTACAACACTTCGGGGTCCAGCCCACACGTCTCGCCCTACCTTCACTCGCAGGAAAACGGTCTTGGTCTGCGCGATGAAGCTGTTTCTGCTATTACTTCAAACCTTCTCCCCAACTTGAAGAAGGACGTCCACATCTACATCAAGTCCGAGGTGGAGAACCACGTCAAGGTGTTTGTCCAGGGTAGTCTCGAGCACCACCAGAGAAAGATGTCAGAGGAGGAGGAGCAGTCAAAGAATTACTGGCACCGGATGGAGCAAACGATAAAGAATGGGGAAGTGAGGACTGAGCAGCTAGAGAAGAGCTACTTGAAGCTGGCTATGAAAGAGGAGTTGGCGTAGTTGCAAGTGGAGGTGGTACGGTGCGCAGTGGAGACGAGGCTGAGGGTGGAGGAGGTAGAGGGGGCAATGGGAAGAGTAAAGGGCTCAGAGGGTGCGGTGAAGATGGGGGTGGGAAAGCGTGATGACAGGAGCGTGCCGCAGTGGGCGGTGGATCTGGGGATGCGGGTAGATGAAAGGCAGGAGAAGCTAGCAGCAGTAGAGGAGATACAAGGGAAGTTGAAGGCGGTAGAGGGGGCAGCAAAACGGCAGGCGGATGGGAGAGCCGATAGAAAGACGCCGCCGTGGGCGCTAGATCTGCTGAGGAGGGTGGAGATGTTGGAGGAGTTGATGGACAGGAGGGAAAGGGGAGGAGGCTAATCAGGGGGTGAAGACTAGGATGCGCCGCTCTTCTAGCATCCGGCAGTTTCCAAGCGGGATGTCCTAACATTTTATACCCTTCTCCCTTTCCTGGTGCAGACCCGTTCTACAAATGCCACTGAAACTTTGACTTACACAGCCGGATTAGAGGGAATTTGGATACGTCGCGTCTGTCCTCTTAGCCCTGAAGCTCAAAGCCATCGCAGGTGCCCAGCCAATAGGCTTGGACGGCTTTTCACGGTTGCGTCTCAGCAGTAATGCTCCTCTTCGGAGCCGATCGACAGTTCCAAGAACACGTGGAAGCAATACTTCGGCATTCGAAATGTTTCTAAGCTTGCATTTGAGCAGGTCTGTGGATGAAGTCCACTCGCGCATTCAGCCCCCATTTGCATATACGTCACCGCCACCTCGCACACGGAGGACTTCCGCCGCGCGACGTATCACGAGGATTACCTCGAAGCTACAAACCGACTACCTCGATGCTCTGTCCCTCGCATGCTCGCCCTCTAGTCTATTCTCCATCACGCACGCGAACGAAAACGCTTCACCTATCTTCCGCCCAAAACCCCTCTATCTCATCACCATCAATCCGCTTCCCAGACAAGGGCTGCACGTCACCGAGCCCGCACCTATTACACGGAATAATTCCGAGAAGAGCAAGGAGCGCTACGTCGCTAGAAACTCCGACGCTAGCATCGACGCCCGTGAGGACATTACGTCCGTCGAGGAAAGGCAGTCTACAAACGAGAAGAAGCCATTAGCACGCGCTTGACGGACCGAATCCAGTCGTGTGGTTTCGCCGGCGATATCTGGCGCAAACCCAGGCTTTCGTACGAGTCGATCAGGATCTGCTGCTGGTCCCAGATCTTGACCCTTTCAGCATTACAGGCCGGTGATGGCTCGAAATACGATTTCTAGTCACGGGTGCGGCTGTAGGACTGGAACGAAGAGCAGGACGAAGACGAAAGCCTGGGAACCGCGTAGCGTCTCAAGACGAGTCTCGACGGTCGCCTGGTTGCGTTTCACGGCGCCGGAGTTCAAAGGAAGCCGGATCGTGCTCTCAACGGGCACTTCGGGGTAGAGGGGGCGTGTATCGCAAGACCGCGTCCGCGGCGGAGCGGGTAGAGACCGAAGAGTGTGATAACGAAGCGACTTTGGCTACACGATCCCAGCGCGGAGGGCCAGGTTCCCGGTGGTAAGGGTCGGGTACAGATCGACGCGGCGCGAAGCCGGTCGAACAGCCTTCCAGGAGCAAAAGCCGGACGTCTCGTAGAGCATACGACTCTGGCGGTAGAGGATAGCCTGCTGGTCCTCGAAGTTGCGTTCGCGATATTGGCCATCCCCAAATACATAGGCGGGAACTCTAGTCATCAAGGGATCGAGAAGCATCGGCAGGGCGTCCCAAGGCCCCAAAAGTGATCCGAGTACTTAAAAGATGTGATCGTGGTGTCCCCCAGTCCCCGGCGCCAGTAAAAATTCGACGCAGATCCATAGAACGCCAGTGAAGAGGCAGCGGAGTGTTGGATAACGTGAACGCGGGGCTCGCACGCTTGGTCGCGATCCCGTCGAAGCGAACGGAGGATGGTTTGCGAAGGCGGAGTGGGATACATTATAGCGAGCGGTGACGGTGGTAGCTCTCGATTTCAAGACGCCGTACGGGATCAGTGATTCGGCTTCGGCGACTCTCGCAGCGCCCGGCTCCCGCGGGCTCGCCATTTCGCGACTAGATGTCACAATTTTGCTCGGTAAGGGCGAGCGCGAGGAGCGGTCATGAGCTGAGGCGCGGAGAGTGGAGGTCAGCAGAGAACAGCCGCAGGCGAAGATACTTCATTTATGTCGGACTTGGGGGCATCTTGATATGTATTTGCGTAAAGGTAAGCAACCAACCAAGGTTGTTGTATTTCGATTGGGGGAGAGGTCTGGCTTGTTCAGCATGGCGCCGCTGTTGCTTCCGACCTCCGGCTCGCTCGTGGGGTGTCCTGGTACCGCCGCTATTCCTTTGCTAAGTTGCTCTTTCGCGTACGCAACCTAAGCCAGGTGCGCAGACAGGGAGGCGTCAGCAGTTCCAAGTAACTCGAACGTAAAGAAGGAGCAGCCGCGATCGCGCAAATGCGCAGCTCGACAGACGCGGGCGGGCGCCTGTGTTGATTTGAGAGGAGTCGTGGAGCGTGGATTGAGCGGGCACTGGGGGTGGATAAGCCCCCGTAGGCTGCTCTTTGCGGCGAGAATCGCGATCAACATGATGCCATCGGATGCCGTCAAGTCGAGGCCGAGCTGCAGTTGGTCGTCCTTCGCCGGGTTGGCGATCGTCTGCCGTTGTCGCCATTGAGCTGCGCGGGGGCGAGGGCGCGTCTCGATTCCCGCAGTGGGCGCTCACTCACTTGCGCGTGTCGGCCTGTTTTTGGGGCCGGGCTTAGTAGTGAGCGTGTCGCTGAGGTTGGTGACGAAGAGGAATATGGCAAAGTGATGAACAGTCGGCTCACTATCAAAGAAGCCTTCGAGCGATGGAGTGGGGTTGTGCTGTACGAACTCGGATTAGGGTAGAATAGATGGGATTTATCGGCGAGGCTATCGAAGAGAGGACCAAGGAGTATTATTAATATCTATGAGGTACGTCGACAGCGTCCCGCTCCCCCGAAAGGGGGCCGGACGAGCAAGGGGTCGAGCCCGTGGCTGGAACTGTTGTTTGTAGGGCTGGCCCCAGATCATGGGCGCGGAAGGCTTGAGCGGCCTGTCCGTGAACTGCGGCTGCTGGGCGCGGATGATGACTTGGAATTGCCGTCGTTGGTGGTGGAGGCACTGACATTGACGCTTTCTGCTTGTCAGTGTTCGCGTTGGACGAAGAATCGAAATATAGGCTTTATTTCTTACTTTGACCCGATACTCTGCCGATGCTCGATGCCCTTCCGAACCGTGGCCGTAGTCCGCTCGGCCTATTAACAAGCTGCCTCTCGATGAACAAATGCGCCATGTAGAACAGCGCACCCGTGCCGCGCCTCTTCTGCGGGGAAAATATGCGGCACACAGATTGCAGAGGGCAGTGGCGATGGTACCATTTGAGTATGGCGGTCTTCACCGATGAGCTTCTCGTAGACGAGCTTAGCTGGGTTCTAGAGGAAGGATGTGTCGTAAAACTGGTTCCTGTCTTCGGCGGTCAAGCGCGTCTTGTTGCGCCGGCGTGCCGCGAGTGTCTTCGTCTGGGCGACGATGCGTGACCGGGCGGGCGACCGCGGCAGCGCGCACCAGGTCTTCCTGCTGGCGCTGCGCTCCACGAGTATCGGTATATTCCGAAGATGGCGTCGTGTCTGTGGCCTGTGGCGTGATTCCTCTCAGTGTCCCTGTCTGTCCATATAGGAGCATCCTTCCTAACGGCCGAGAACATGGTCTCGAGTATCCAGAATCCGTCGACGAGGTCTTGAGGGAGCTGGGCGGTGCCGAGGGGTGTGCTGCCGACAGCATCTCCGCACAGTCATTGATCATAGGGAGGCTCCGAGGGTTTTGTATTGGTAGGCGTGTCCCTCATTTCGACGGGTCGTGGCAGATCTGTATGCATTTATCGACGAAGTCTTGAGGGAGCCATGTTGTCCTAGGCGCTGTACGAGGTCGAGCAGAAAAGGACCGCCAGAGGGTGTGCGTGTCTCCCAGAAACGGGGTTGTAGCTGGTGACGGGGGATGGAGGATCATGTGGTAGACGCTTTCGTGCAGGACGGATACGTCGAGGAGACCGGAGATGCAGAGCCGCAATGCTGTGAGCAGTGGGAGGAGGAGAGGCCATGGTATCTATCGCGCAAGGAAAGGCCAGGATGCGATAAGTAGAGTGGGCGGGCCAAGACGTGTCTCACCTATGTCGAGCGGGATCTGTTGAATTATAGGTCGAGCGTGAGGCTGCCGCTTTGGCTTGGAGCCTGCCCAACAAGCAACCTCATCACGAGTTGCTCACCCACGCCGAGTGCCATAGTATAGCTGCAGGTAGGCTCTGGGACCGCGGTGTAGTATAGCTTGCCGGTAAGTTCTTGGAGACGGTCATGCGCGGGCGTGAGCGCACCGTGCCATGGGTGTGAAGCGCTCTCGGGGCAGGGCGTGGAAGTAGCGCCTTGGCGGCCGCTTAGGGTCACTGTTTTCTCTCACACCCAGCGACGACAGCATGGTGCGTCCACGTATCGCAGTGTTGGATTCCGCTTTTCCACGCTCTTGCGTTATCGCCTTGCTCGCGGTCTCTTTGATTCTTAGAACCGAATCAGACCATCGGCCCAAGGTAGAAGATTTTTGCGCGTTAGGTTGTGTAAAATCCTGTCCCGCTGAGAGGCTTCGCGAGATGAATGAAGAGAGGGCTGTTAGCGACGAAGGGTAAAGAAGCAGCCGCAGGCTTACAGAATCCCGAGCGGTTCCTGGCCTATCGTGCGTTGTCGCTGAAATGTCCGTCGCTGAGGATGCAGAGTTGCCGGAGGCTGGAGCTGCTGTTTCGCCGTGCCTCGGCAGGCCCACGCTTGCGGCTGCGACTGCCAACCCAAGCTAGGCACAAGACCATCGCGACTTTTTATATACGCCGTGCACGTCAATACTCCCAACTGTTTCCCGGCTATCCAGTTCTCTGTACGCCCGCATTTGCTTCCCTTGCTCGCGTCATAATTGGATTGGGTGCGCAGCCGCGAGCGGGGTCGGCGGGTCGCGTTCGAGGTCGAAAGGTTCGGCGCGTGCGCTGGGTGCTTGTGCTTGTGGAGGGTTGCGTGATAGCGTTCGAGGAGGGCGGTGAAGGTCTCGCTGTGGAAGATATGAGGTACGATTGGGTTTGTGGTCAAGGGGGTTATTGTAGCTTCGCGCGACGTTACGGCTACGTTTGCGTCAACAGCTTCTCCTTGGGGATCGTCATGGACTGCGGATGAGATTTGCCCAGTGGACGGCGGCGCTAACTGTGGGGACATAAGCGATCTGGCTCCGTTCCCGGTAACCGGGTCTCTGGGTCGCCCGAGATTCCCATCCTTGTCGTTAGCCCAATCCATTCCAAGGTTCTTCCACAAACCCCTCGCCCACAGTTGGGAGAGCCTGCCACACAGTAACTATCTCAACCTAGACAAAGTATAGTTTACCAGCGCACTCAACATGATAGCAAGGCGATGAATGGGGGATGCTGTCATTCGAATTCGGCCTGGGTGAGGAGGCTTACCCGATCCGGCTAGTGTCAAAGGAGATAGCGGCGATAAGGTCAATGACGATGCATCCACCCCAACTATCCCTAGAGCATTAGAGCACCATCTAACCCGGTTTAGAACCAGAACGTCTGTGAACGAAGTGCATTTCATAATCGTCGGCCATACAGTCACGCCTTTCCTCCAGGGCTCCAGCTGTTCCTGAAAGCGTAGCGCAATATTCCACGCCAGCGGGGTTGGGTCTTCCTGCCAGTCCTCAAAGTAACCCAAGGACAAGACGCGGCTGCAGATGCAAGACCGACCATCGGGACGGTTGATCGCACTCACGCCAACAACAGATGTCTCGAACGACACACATTAGCGGTCATCCCGCACATCTACGAGCACCCTCTCACCCCATCTTCCAGATGGGATGTAGCGGGATTCGTCATCCGTTACTGTCTTGGCTCGTCCCAAGCGAGACGATGAGTCTCTGTGCCGAACTCGACGACTGGTTGCCTATGATAACGGACTCTCTGGTTTGAGTGGTTGGTCGCGGCTTCTTCCCTGGTAGACTCCCTCCGTGTCCTGAGGAAAGCCTCCTAGGCTCCGTCGATTCGACCCCCTATCCTTTCGACGTCGGGAAACTGGACGCCGTTGATTCGGTTGAAGCCTGCCAGACTTCTGTTGTAGAACCACCCTTTGCAGCGGCGGTGCGCTATTACCAAGAGTGTCGAAACCCGTGAGCTCTTCTGCTGGTGGGGCTGTGATGCCTTCTTGCCATCTGTTACTGAGCGCCACCGCTTTCTATATCTGGCGTAAGTCCATTCACGGTGGTTGGCTTGCTGCGAATTAGTGGAGCGCGCATTGCCTTCTGGTCCTCTCGCCTCCGGGTCGCCCCTGCCAGGGTGCATCTCCTAACTCGCTCACCTGCTACTCATTTTCCGGCGAAACACCCCAATCCCCCATCAACGAAACGTATCGTCCCATCTCGGCCGTTTGATTAGGCGAGTTTATTGCGAATATCGATGTCTTCGCCTTAGGGACGGAATCCGTGTGGTACTGTCACGAGCTTCAGTGAGGCTAGTCAAGCTGCTGTATGTAATGCGGCATCAGTATTACAAGCGAGGAAAGAGTTCGCATTTGCGATTAGGTACCGCTGTCGCCGAGAAGCGGATGCTTGGCCGCCGTGTGCGGACTTGAGCATCAGCGCGGCGTCGTCGGACGCGGCGGGCCCCGTATCGTCCTCCTTATCTTCTCGTCCAGGAGCGAGAAGTAGCTGGAGCTTCTTAGCCGCTGGTAGACTGGTAGGCTAAGAGTCCTCCGGGCGCAGCGTATTTGTCTCGTCCGACCGCCAGGAAACATATCGCGGATTCATGGCCGTGCTTCCGAGCGCTTGACCAAGAGGTGTACATGTCCCTAGGCGGTGGCGCGGTTCCTGAGATGGTTGCCACGGTCAATATCCTCGCCGAAGAACACACCACGATGTCCATCGAGAAGCCGCTCACCCTACTACCGCCTGCCTCACGCGCCATTCCGGCGTTTCTCTCTCCTCAGTTTCCATGTCAAAGAACCAAGCAAGCCATTACTCAAAGCCGTCGTATAGGAGAGAAACCCACAACTCGATGAACCTAACTGAGTGGAAACAAATACCGTGTGTATTCAGTTTCGAGGTGAGCGAGAACAAACTAATAACCGCCACTGCCAGAACTGCTGTCTGATGAGTACTCCTCCGCACAGGCACACCATGTCAGTGAAAGGGCTGTAGATGCTGGATTCTCATATTCCTCCCGCTTGAAAGCTCTATAATGAGACTCGTGTTATTGCTTTGCACGGTCAAATGCATACAAACTGTTATTCGTAGCGCATGCACCGAATCCGAGAATTCCAGTTTGCATGCAATGCTATACGGCGCTTCTCTTCGGCCCCGACTCAGACAGAGAGCGGAGAATTCTGGGCAAGGAGGCACAGGACCAAAGGGGGAGAGGACAAGAAGGCCGAGATGGAAGGAGAAACGGAGAAGGGAGAGGGGCGGGTGAAAGGCTTTCTTGCGAATGCCGAAGACGGCGGAAGGAAAAGGAGGAGTTGGCGCGATGACAGTGACGGGAATAAGAAGGGGAGGAAGATTCTGAAGACTAACGCTGAAGCGAATGAGTGTCGACCCCAGGCGCTGCGTCGACGAGGCTGCCGGCACTGGGTCCGCTGACGACATAACTCGATCTCTTGGAACACGGTGCAACGTGGACAATGCTGGCAGGAAAGAGGGTCATGCTGCTAGTAATGGCGCCAGGAAGTGGCGAAAGAGAAAATCGGAGGAATATGACGAGGACGGCGATGACAGATGGGACTGCGACGAATAATACTACAGGAAGGAAGGAAAACTTATCGGAGATGCCGAGTTCGCATGGGAGTGACAGGTCCTCATGGCCAAGGAATGCATCGTCTGCTGGTTTCGAGCAACCGGGGGATAATCGGTGCGCCTTCGCCGGTATAGAAGAAATATATAACCGCTGGCGTACTCGTGCGCCGTGATGTGCGGCCCAAGGCGCGTTGTAAAAGGGCGCGATTCGCCCATGGCGCGGAAAGGTGTCGTAGCGCAGAGAGCGTCTAAACCTTGTCGTGGTGGTAATGCTCGGAGGTTGGTCCAGCACAGCTTGAGAAGGGTGATTATGCTCTGAATGGCGCTGGCCACGGTTGGGCAAGGTTGCCCCCATCCACCAAGATCCTTATCACACCGACGGAGAAAAGTTACGTCAAGAGAGTTATCGCCTTGCTTCTCTAAGACGACGATGCAAGTAGATGTAGGGTTGCTTGCGCTAGCTCGGAATCGCTCTTCGTCCGCGCTCAGGCAGCCCCCTCCCTCTTCTCCTCGTGTGCCTTCAGCGGCCCATCCGCGTCGTTTCTCGCTGCCGTGCGAACCGCCTACGAATGAGCCCGGTGACTCTCCGTCCAAGGCGCTGTCGTCGAGGCGCGTTTGCTTGTCCGCTTCGTCTCGCTCTAGGATGTCGCGTCGTGGCGTTCTGCAGTGCTCCGTTTCCCGAGGCGAGGATTCTTCGGCTGGATTTCTGCTGGAGATGCCTTCATTCATCTCGAGGCGCGCCTGCATCTCATTGAGGTCCGGAAGCGGCATGAGACGATTTGCGCTATGGTTAAAATGGAGGTGAAGTGACGTTCCGCCCGGACGTAATCGCTTTAGTAGCAGTCAGATCTCTTCCGCGAATTATTTCGGTATCGCTCGGCTCGCGATGTAGAGTTCTGGGGGGCTCTGCCCCGGGGTGTCGCGGGCGTCTGCAAATGGCTCCAGGATCACGTCTTGTGCTCAGAGCTTCTGGAAGAACGTTGGGCCCCTAAAGCTGACGAATGCTGCTAAGCGGTGCGCGATGTTTTAGAGCAAGCGACTTTTGCGAATCGCGTCACAGTAGCTTTGGGAGGTTCGGCTTCGTCGACGGCAGATTCTTGACCTGGCAGATTGGCCACAAGTGTAGTTAGCAATAATCGAGGTGTTCCTAAGGAAGATGGCAATGAGAGAAAGGAGTGCTTACCGATCGGGCGAGTCGGCAAACATCTTTGCCCATACCCCTCCGCGGCGCCTCCTCCCATCAATGTCATTGAGCATGCTCTCCTCCTTGCTACTCGTTCTCTCATTCTGCGTCAACTTTGTCAGTGCGTAGCCTCAGTAACCTCCTCGTTAGCCCGCTCATAGCTTCATCCATGTCATCGCTCCCAATCTCAATATGCTCCTCCTCCAGTCAAGGTGTAGAGAGCCGACGAGGCGAAGGCGACTCTGCGGGCTGCGTCTGAGCTTCGGTGGTGCTACTAAGCCTACTTTTCAAGCAGAGTGAACCACAGCTGTGATGTCACGGGCTACCACAAGTTCGATAAGAAAGAAGGGACAGGGACCAATTGCGAGAGCGACGTTCCATGAGCGAGATAATGTGGGTTGAAGAAGGGTCATGCGCAAGGCGCGGCGAGGTTGGGAGAAGTGTTGAAAGTAGAATGAATTGAGTCAAACCCCAAACTCCCACAGCCGCGGTGCGGGCCGCCAAGACACGGCTGTCGCGCTAGGCTAGATGGAGAGGAAATCACATGCAGGCGCACTCTTCAGGGCTCATCCATGAACCATAACTGGGACACTGAACTCCGCGGAGCCCTTTAATATACCTCCAGAATGCTTAACCATAAGAAATTAATTGCTAATAGGACGAAGACGAAGACACAAGAGGAACTTGCCGCGGAAGTTGAGCAATGGCCCAAGAAGAACTTCTTAGCTCGGCGGCTATGAGATCGCTTCTTTCGCGGATGATGAGGACAAGGCTGCTGAGGCAGATGTCCGCCCTCTGGCCGCATCGATGGCGCCTTCAACCACCAAGAGAGACTCCCAGCCTACACTGGATCCGTTTACAGAAGTGGAGCGACATCCAGAGCCGTTTCAAATGTCAGAGTTTCGAACTGCACTTGCGCCATTCGTTAACAAGCATTTAGTAACTCAAGAGGGGCGCCCAGACTTATAAGCGCTTCTCAATTTGCTTGACCCTGTCACCGAAGGAATTTGCGGCCTTACCTAGGTGCCGAGCAAGTGGAAGCGCTGCATCCTGATGGTGTTCAACAGCGCGAACACCCTCTTCACCCGCAACGTCCGCCATGCGACCCTGCTGATGCCACACGCCGCGCACCACCCCAGCTTCAGATCATACCCCGCCTTGTTCTTTCGTCCCGCCACCGCCTTCATCTCCCGCGATTGCCGATCCCAAGTTTCGCCCAAGAACCTCTTTCAATTTACCATTTCCTTTCTTCGCTGTCAACTCTTCCCCCGCTCGTAAGTTAACCGTGCCATCCATAGCTACATCATCCCCAGTTTCACTGCCATCTTTCGGACAGGGCACATTCTTCCATCATAGAATTATCGACGTCGCAAGCGCCTCAGCGTAACCGCAATCTTTCTACCTCTTCTTCCAGTCAAAGTTTGCCATATCATAGCCTACCCATTCCTCTTTCTCCGCGAACGCATGAAGAACCTTACACTAGAAGTAGCTCTGCGTCCGCTTTTGAATCGCATCAAAAGCAAAAGATTTGCTTGTCCCGGTGCATTAGAAAGCTGTCTGGCTCGCACATCTTCCTCTCGTTGAGGATTCGTCAGCGGTTCGTACTGCATCAGGCAGCTCGAGCCTTGGGTTTGGAGTGCCGATCATTCGGAGCATCTCCGCAACGCTCGTTAACTTCTTTCAATTTGCTTTGTCCGCTTCTGGACCTCTAAGGGCGGCTTCATGGCCGCATCTTGGAGCTCCTCGTATTTTTGTTCAATGTATGTTGTTTCGAATTCAGGAACGCCGGAGGCCGCTCCTCCCTTTCCTTCACACCAGAATATTAGATATGTCTGTGCCACGCCAGGATGGTCGACTTCGACGAGTGATATGTTCTTTGTGAACGCTCCTTTGTTTCACTGTGTATTTTACAGTTAACAACTATTAGCTTTCATGCCTTAAAGACGAGAGAATAGGCTTATCGGTGAAAGTTTCCGCAAAGTTGTTCAGCGTCCGAAAGAAACAGTTCGTAGGTGTCGGAGAGAGTGCACGTGGCCTTGGGACGCTGCGGGTCCGGGAGAAGACTCCGCCTTCACTGCCTGAATGGATTCGGCGCAGTCCGTGCGCCGACGCCCATTCGCCCGGCTCTGGGTATTTATGTCTCAAGCCAGGCCTTGACTCCAGAGACCTTGACGCCAGAACACAACGCCCAACTTCCTCATTTCCTCAACCATGGTGCGCAGCTTCGTATTGCGCAAACGGGAAAAGCAGTTCCATGCCCAACAACTAGAAAAGTGGAGCGAACCAAAACTCCGCGAGCTACTCAAGAAACTTACCGACGCGAAACCGGAAAAGTTGCAACACTCTATCGGCACAATCTCGACTCTGCGAGGCACGTATAGGCGATGGTGCTGCATGGACATTAGTCACGACAAGGACGTGGATTATGCGCCGCTGACTCAAGATTACATCAAGTGGCTAAGGGACCTGCTGCAGTGGGGTGAGGAGGTAGGTAGTACCATCTACCTCTGCATATTAGTACTAACTAAGCCTAGATTCTCAGGGATAGCAACAAATCCCCCTTGACTATTCCACACACTTTCCTAGTTCTTAGAAACGTCATGTCACGTCCTCGTGGGAGCAATAGCAACTAGACTAATACGAAGTCCTATCTGTGCCTCGTACTCCTCAAGGATACAGGCGGAGGATTTTAGAAACTTCAGAAGGGTGTGAAGAAAGAAACTATGGAGGCATTTTTGGTAGCGGAGAAGGTTGACGGACTATCAAAGGATATTGACTTCAATTCCAGGCGTGAAAGCAAGATGGTGCTACAGGCTGCTCAGCTAGCCGATTCATAAACTTTTGGAAGCCTATCTAGACTTCCAAAATGTGAGAATTATCGAGACTCGACCATTCCTTCCTGCTTGGACGTCTACTCATTCTACACCAAAGCTCCTGCGCCGCCCCGATGATTGAATGCCTTCAATACGTCAGCGAGGACAGCTCGGTTTTCGATTATAGCGTGTGGGTTAATATCCCAAGCGACGTCCTGGATGAACATAAAAGTCCTCCGTAGTCGCCAACATATAGTGCATAGAGCGTTCACAGTGCGGGAAAATGTTCAGCTGCTCATGCCTGCCCTGGAATACCTGTCAGACATTGTCAGCCTTATACAATTACAAAGTGATGCTAGGCTCGCAACAGCCTAACCACCTAACTTCGAGTTTGTGGGCTAGACCATTGTTGGTGTTGGTGATTCGTGTTCCTTTCCTCTCAGGGGCTCTTAGTCAGCCAGTCTTGGGACGAGCTAGACTGAGGTCAGTTGTCCACTCTTCTCTTTTTTCTTTTCACATATTCGCATCTCGAGGAAGCTTCCCTCATTTCTATTTTTCCTCAATCTACGCACTGCCGTTTAAATATCTACTGAACTTCGGGAAAATGAGATCCAGTTGCTTGCGACTCACCGAGCACGTGACTTTTCCAGGCGATGGAGATGTCATCCATGCCGGAATTCTATTTATCTACTCTAACTCAAATTGGCCGGTTGTGCACATGCGCAGCTCTAGTGTATCCCATATCATTATATAAGTGGTGGTTGTTGTCGAGCAGGCGGGCAGTGCGTGCCCTGCAGCACTGAAGCCAACTCCCAGTGCCTAGGAACGTAACAACGTCACAATCATAAAATTAATTTACAACGCCGAGCTGTCCCGCATAGTGGCAATCCGCGAAGCGAGGAATATGTAAAAATAATCCGCGGTAGGTATAGTGTTGTATACCATCAAGGGTGTTGCCAACTACTAGATGTATTATCCCCTACTCTCTCCAGAAGACAGACAAGTAAGAGTAGTGGAGAAAGCAACCTCACGATCCTCCCTGTGGTGTGGGGGCATTCTGTCTCGACATCGACACCGTCGCGTGTCTGTAGTCGGGTTAATCATTCCACTATGTCTTATGCAGCATCTATTCGATTTGCACCAATGTGTAAAATGTATTCAAGGAGGTCAGGGGCTTAATGGGCATGCAAATGGATATGTCCTGAGCAAGAAATAGCAGTATGTAGAACGTCTGTCCGTGCCCGAATATCATGGTCGAAGCTTTGCTTACCACGACGGTCGATAACACGTTAAAGCTACTCTAGAAGTAGCGCATGGTCTCACAATCAACGCCGTTAAGAGTCGAGATACTACTCCATCCAGACTCGGAACTGAACCATAGATCTCGAGGAAGAACGGCGACCATATCCTGTCTCGTTCGGGACCGGGCGCGGACACGCTCGACAGCCCAGCCAACACCTTTAGCAGCTCGGCTAGAAACGTCCTCTTCAAGCGTTGGGATGCTGCGACGGATGACCCAGACTACATCACGAAGGTTCCGGCCAAGAGCAGAAACGCCATCTTGCGTGGCTCAGGATCGCTCGCGCACTGCGTGGTCGATACTGACCCGCTTTCCCGAACCGTTTGCAACTGCTTCGGTCAACACCAGCGAACCAGCCCTGGACAGCCACACGCACCTACTATATACTGCGGTCGACTTGGGGCCGCAGCGTCATCGAGCTGTTTCTGCTGCGGCGCGATGAGCGTCACCGGTGACCGTTGGTTTCAGCGCTTGGATATTGCGTGCCTCTTTGGAGGAGAGCCTCTGCGTAGTAGTATGCTATGTGGACCCGTCAGTGGTGGGCTTTGTAGTGTTCGTCTGAGCCCGGATTCTCGCGCTGTGCGCGGGGGGGGGGGTCTGGAATTCAGCATTGGGTTTAGCCCAAAGCGTTGTACGTGGGGGATCGTCGGTGAAAGTGCGGTGACGGGCTTCGGCGCGTCTGGCTGTCTCTGAGCGATTGGCGTAGCGCCGTAGAGGGAACGGGCGCTGGGAATGCATGTGTCGCCATAGCGGGTGGGGGCGCGCCGTCCTGCAGCATTTCCGCTGCCGCTGCCTGGTACGTACGTGAGCATCGGGAACTCTTGGCTCTACGTGGTGGCGGCTAGGGATGCCGATGTTGTTGTTGCGTGAGCCGGGCTTACAGGGAAAGTGGCTTCTCCGGTCGAGGCGGCCTTGGGCCCGGGGACAACCGGAGAGCTCCAGGAGGGCTAAAGTTGCGCCGCCTCTTCGAAGTTACCAACCCAAGTCTAGAGGGAGCATACATGCTCTGCCGCTGGAGATTTGGGAAGGTCGTCGTATAGTTTGTCGTTAGAACTTCTCCCGTTCTCAGACGAATGACCTGAGAACTCGGCTGGAAAGAGCCAGTCAAACTTCGAAACGCGAGCTATCTCATCGAGCCGCGGAACCGTGGGTGAGCGTAATGTAGAGAGGAGGTTTGTCGAAGCGGGTCTCGGTGCGTAAATTGAAGGTTCATGGGATCCCTGTCAGGGCCGGAATAGCTGGCACAATCTTGCTAATTTGAAGAAGAGTAGGAGTCGTGAAGCGGGTTCCCGTCAGGTCCGTGACGAGATGGTAAAAGAGCATAATCTGCCGGTGTGCGAGGTTGCTGGACAGCAGCAGCTCCCGACCCTGGATACCCCGTTAGCCCCAAAGGAGGTGTACAACCTAAGCAAGTTAATCTTCGTTGACAGCTGGCGCTCGTTGCGATAACGAGATCGTTCTCGGAAAGTATCCTAGGGGCCCTAGCTACTGGTTGGACCTTCTTTTGGCTGCCACAGTTCAGAGAGGGTCTAAAATCCAAACGATTTTGTTATCGTCAACTGGTATGTGATAACCACCGCAGAGCAGAAACCCTGGAGCAGAAACGCGGAACCAATAGACCATTACCGGAGATGGTAGAATGAGGACGCTGGTGGTTGTGACCGTAGCTGTGTCCGAAGTTGTTTGCTCATGACGGTTTATGGTTGATATCGCGCTGTCCGAGGTCTATCGCTCGGGAGTTTGTAGTGTATCTTGGTACAGGTTGTGGGTTCGCGCGAGGGTGGCGCTTTGAGCGCGGGACTCCGATAGGCGCGGGTAGCCGTTAGGAGCTGAAGATATACGAGTCGATAGGGGTCCGGAGCGGGCGGCGCGGGGATGCGTCGGTGAGCTGCTGACGATACGGAGCCTATAGGCGGCTGGCTATGCGGGTTGCCACGGCTCTTTGATCTGGTCTCGTATTAGCTCTGGGTTCATATTCTCGTTCGGGGTTGGAAGCACTTACTAAGATAAGGGAAACATCTTTCTCTCCTGGTACCTTTGTCTGGAGAGGCCGTAAAGAGAGGATCGATTGAGCTGGCAAGTAGAAGTGAAGGAGCGGGTAAACACCCAGCAGCACATTGGAGGCGCTTTGGATACGACTTTTTGCTTGAAGCTATAAATTTGTATAACTGAGGGTGTATCAGAGACCGAGCAAAGGTAAACTGCATGCGCTTGGTGAAATGAGCGAACTGTTCAATTCCGAAACGAATCTTCGGAGGAAAGGGCCTTACCCAACAGCAAGCCTTCAGCACGAGTGTAGTGCCCCTTTCGCACATTCTCCCTTTCTAGCTAATGTCGCCGTTGCTTCTTCCAGGACTGCATCGCACCTTTTCCAGTCTCGCGTATGTGACATCTTCTCTTCCAGCTAATTCTTCTCTTGTTTGCCTTCTTGTGCATCCTGCTCGGGGCTCAGTCCGGATCATCCTCAAGATGTATCATTTGAGAGGCTCGCTTCTCCTCGCGGGACAAGAAAGACTCCTCAGCATAGCGCTTAACTAGGGTATTCTCCTTGTACTCCTTATCAGATCGCAGTCCAGGCTAGTGATCGTCATTGCACAACTGTACATCCTTCGCTCCTTCAAAGCTTCGGCAAGCGTAGTATGCGAGATACGGACGGCAATGTTGGCGTTGGAGCCAGGTGGGACCTGGTCGGTGTGACAGAAGTCCCAGAGGAGGAGCTCGAGAGCGGCATCTGGGCCCGAGCTGTCGAGAAAGGGCTGACGGTCGACAACCGTAATGCGCTCCAGTTCATGGGGATGTCACAAGAACAAGAAGCCGGGCGTCCGGTTCCTGGTAGCTCCCTATCGCGTCCAGCTTCAATCTTGGCGTTGCGTAGCTCCTGATCTTCTTCACGAGGGCTGACCTCTTGGTATTCTGCTTGCATATGCGACAAAGTTTGTCCTCGGTGGCGCTGCGCAAGTCACCCGCAAGGGCATCATGCATGCGAGTTGGCATTCAGACCGTGAATACGTCGCCGTCGTTGCCGTAGACATTGCCGTAGCCGTGCTCAGCCCACTCACACCAGAGCTCGTTTTGATCCGCCCATAGAGCTCTTTGTTGGCAGCAAGCACATGCTCCACGGCGCAGTGCTGCGACGCAGACAACAACTCGGAAAACGCAGCACTGTCCAGCCTGCCGTGCCGAATTGCGTCAACCCGTTGGAGCACGCCGTGTATTGTAGGATCGATCAAGGGCGCTTTGGCGGAGAGGGGCGCGTTGAGGAAGAGGAGTCATCGAGCGGGGCTGCGAGCTCGTGGGGCTGTCGCTGCTGCTGGAGGGCGAGTTCTGGGTGTATCGCGACCGTACAGTTGCTGGTCGGCGGGCGGGTTGTAGTGGTGGGCATTGTGATGGGTGACGAGGCTGGGCAGGGCTTCCTAAAATTTTCGATACAGAGCGGTCCACGCGCGCAGCTCTTGCGAGTCCACGTGGCGCCACAGTCGCGAGACGAATTCGATGCTTGGAGCAGAGCCTTGTGTTGGCGCGGGCAAGCAAGCCAGCGCTATGGAGGTATCAGCGGAGCTTCAGCTCGTAGGTCAAGCCACAGCGGGACCTTCAGCTTGCTGGAGCGGCGCATGTCGCGGAGCTCGAGATGGTCGAGCATTGCGAGGGGATCGGCGGAGGTGATGCCTGCAGTCGCGTCGGAGGGCAGCATTTTGCCGTCCAGTTGCTAGTACAAGAGTCAGAAACAAGACGGATAAGTATCGGTGCATGATTCTGGACAGAACTACCACCTAACCCTCTACAGCCTGTATCTATATCCGCGCTCTCAGCGACTAGTGCCGAGCTCGCCGCGCAATCGACGGCTGAGTCTCAGGTGTGCGAAAACCCCACCTTCGCGCTCCGGCTGTCCTGCTCCAATATCCTCCGCCTCCAATCGAATATTATCGATCTCGTCTCAGACATCAGCGAGTTGCAGCTGACAAAACGCGCGGCGGGCCGTGTGGGAGCTTGGGGCTGTGAGGAGCGCCCGAATGAATGCATTCGCAGATAATTCCTGGAGAGAGGGCGCGGCTGCGAAATGTTCGTGTGGTGGTGTGGGAGTTTTCGAAGAGTTGGATCATGGAAACAAACTTCCTTAGTCAGCGAGGTGCGCCATGTGGCTGATCGAGTTAAGCCACGCTCCAAACCAAAGGTGGCCTAGATCCCGTGATTAAGTAGATTGCCATTCAATGAGTTCACAGGTGCTCAGCTATAATTCAGTAAACAGTCCCTAAGCTGGCCAGCAGCATGCTTTGGGAAGCAGGCGATCGCATCTCCTCACAAAGGTCCCAGCTGATGACATAGGCCATCAGTACCTCGCCTCACAACACCAAGATGCCCGTTTAATAGCATTGGATCCATAAATAAAAATCAAACATTGTTCACACGCGAGTCGCACACCGCCGGTACGATATATTATTCTTTGAAAGTGGTAGCTCCCAAGCTAGTAGTGCCAGCCTATCGCAGCCACACGAAGCCACTCTGCTGGAGAATAGTGTCCCGTAAAGGTATTATGTCATTGAATTGTATGTGCAATAGATGTGCATCAACACTTGTTTACACGCGAGTCGCTTCCGGTTGGCATACGGCGGATCTTCGAAGGCGTGGTCTTGGACCTGGAGCCGAGATACCAACACCTGCAGCAAAGCCATGAATTCCCAAGGCAACAAAGGAAAATGCAGCATCCGTAGCGCGGATTTGGTGGATAAAGGAAGGTGTTCTAATCTGTAGATGCATTGGTTGAGAGTTAATGTTGCAGTGATGGCCGCCTTCCTGTCAGGCACTGCTGAATAGCCGAAGTCAGCAGGCGCAGGAATTAAGGTTGGCCCCGTTACGAATATAGCATCAACACAAGGGCCCCGTTTAAACCCAGCGCTGCCCAGAAGTTGGTCCCAAGGTCCGAATTAGAGAGGTTCTTTATTGCTTTTCTCCTTGCATGTTGTCTTGCTACCTTTATCACGCACAAAGAATCCTGCGTGCTGGTGCCACGATCTAATAATAGCAGGTACCCGCCGCGTGGCTAGAGAAACGGCATTTTGAGAGCTACCTAGGTACGGTTGTACTCTAAGCCCGTCCCGCTCCACTTCCCACCATCCAGCCATACATCGCCGTTACACCTTACCCGGCAAGACAGAAAGGATCCAGCTCAGTCATCTTTACTGCTCGCTAGCATCCTTAAAGCTAATCACCTCTACCGCCTCCACCTCGCCACACAACACCCACTCCCTCCTTCCACAATCCGCCAAGTCTCTCCCTAGATAATACACACCCCGCTTCTCTGGCTCCCAAGCTGCAAGACACAAGTCCTCGTATATTATCGTACCTCCCCTTGGGCCGTCTACCGGAATCGCGAAGATGCCCTTAACGTGACCACCGGATATCAGGGCAACGGCGCCATATGGGGCCGATGTGTCGAGGGTGCCTTTAGGGAGGTAGCTGTGGGTGACGGCGGCCCTAATATTGCCAAGGTGGATCAGCTTGGTTGTGAATGTGGACAAGGCGGTGGGGCTGTGTGTGGTCGCACAGTTCGAGTCCTTCGCCGCGGTTTCTGAATCCTTTGTAACTGAGTTCGAGTCCTGTACAGTGGCTTTGGAGAAGATATTGGGATCCTCGACTAGGTTGGTGGCAGCGCTCTTTAATACTGCCCCTGCTTTTGTGTCTTCCGGCACGCGCACATGATAGTTAGTGTACAAAACCGGCCCATATGCATCCTCTGGATCGAATCTCGCCTCGAGTCCACTGTCTCCATTTTCTGGTGGATAATACACTGTGCAGAAAACCGGGCAGACACTGAGTCTTGTCTTAGTCCCACCCGAGCTCCCCAGCTCCCATGTACGTGTACGGTTCGAAAAGGCGCGGAGCGCATATGGCATCTTCCGCTCCGTCTCAGGCGTCCAGTCTTCTTGGGCAACAAGCTCACCGATATCGACACTTTCACAGAACCAGTCCAGCCATTTGTAGTAGCCGTGAGAGACGTCTTCGGAGGCCTCGTCCGACTGTGGCTTAAAGTATTCGTTCAGTTGCTGCCTAGTGGCCGTGCTCGTGCTGTAGGGTTCCTTTGTTGCGCGTTGGCGCTCGAAGGCTTCGAAGTCGTATTGGGTCGACATTAGTGGTAGGTTTAGTGTAATATCAAGGGTTTTTTAAATAGTCGTGTGCGACCTGCCTTGTAAAGGAACAATTGAGGCGTTTATTATTAGATCGCCTCCTCCCTCGGCAACTCTTGCTGCGCCTCGTACTCGGGCCGAAGCGCACCGTCCTTTGTGGCTTTCACCTACCTCTCAGAGATGAGCATTTTGCTGAGGGGTAGGTCGTTGCGTTGCCACCATGCTGGGCGTCAATCCGAAGCGTAAGTAGATAAGCGGAGAAAGGCCAGAGTAGGTCGCGGAAAAAACTATACCTATAAGCAGCAGGGTAACATAACTACACTAGGTATTAAACTTATTAAAGTTTGTTCTTATTAAGATTATTAGCTTATTAATATATGCTGGAAGCCTATGTTATCGCGGTGTTGGTGGGTTAGGCGGAACCGAGGGAACGGTGGTTGCTCCCTAGTGTGTTGCTTTTGAGAACTCCCAGGTAATAGTAACTAGACTCTCCATGTCCGATAGACGGGAGACTGGAAGCTACCTGAGGTCCTCAAGTACATGGCACTCTTAATCCGGGGCATCGCCATATAGTCGCACCCTCACAATCCGCACCACACTCGAGCCCCAATGGGTGTCCCGACTTATTCTCTCAAAGAACCGGCCGCCCCTACGAAAAGCGACATTTTCCCTTGGAGATGCATGGCAGATGCATTCAGGACTAACAACTGTACGTAGACAAATCGTAATCCTTTGTCCGATCTGCTAAGGTGGAAATGCTTATTCTCGGGTCCTTAGGTGCTGTACAGCTGCGAAACGATAGTGCTAGATCAGACTCTAGTCTTCTAAAGACAGGGCGGTACGATCATGGCATTAACAAGAGATTAGCGGCATGTAAAGGCAATCCGTGCCATTGGTCCATTTGAATTTTTGTTTGATAAATAGAAAGTCGTTCTCCCTTTCACTTTCGAGTGCCCTGTTCCATACCGCATGCCGTCACCGGAATAGTGGTGACAAGTTATGCATGAGCAGCGAGCGGGCTCCTTGCCTCGGCTACGGCTATTGCGCGCAGGAATTTTATTCATGCTCGTAATCCTACGGATTAGACTCCCATTCTAGCCTTTGTCCAACGCACTGTAAGCGACAACACGATCTAGGGTGGGACTGCTGGCTGTGCACTTATGTTCAGGCTTGCGAGAGAGTCATGGAATCTAGAGTCGGAGTCGCTGTAGGTGACCCAGCGCAGAGGGGATCTGGTTCTGTATTACGGGGGCCGAGAGGGGGGGGGGTGACGAGGGCAGAAGGGGTGGCTACTATCAAGTGTGAGTGTGCGATGTGCGGCATGTCCTCGCCACGGGTATCTTTAGCCTCCAGCCCACCACACGAGGTGGAGTCAGATGGCGCTGGAGCTGACAGTCAACATCTCACGAGACACGCCGCGGATCCAAGGTAAATATATCGATCCTACTACTCGCACGACCTCCCAGCCGATCGTCCGGCAGCCGTGCCGAAGGCTCTTAAAGAGAGACACCTTTGGAACGGATCCACAAAGACCTGCAGGCCTCGTCTACCACCTAAGTTAAAGTTCGAGTTACAGTTTCGGCCGCGACAATTTCGAAGGACCCGGCGCTGTAGTAGAAGACAAGGCTGTAGAGCAGAAACGACGGCGCCATCGAAGAGGCAACCAACACCTCAAATCCCATCAGGCTCTCTTCCTAGCTCCTGAGTAATTTCGGACGACCGCTCGTGAGTCACCGATCATCCTCCAATTCTCTCAAGTCGTGTCGGGCCGCGGAAAGCAGGCACGAGCGGGTTAGACAGCCGTAGCGTAGCGGACGTCAGATGGACCACAGGCGCTTTACGCGACTAGGTCCGCAGCGACAGCATCGTGTCTGGACCTTGGTAAGTGTTGACTAAACACCCCGGAGAGGCGAGACGGCATCGTAAGGCCACTGAGTCGAGGTTCAGGTGGTGGACCCACTTGGCTTTCGGCGAAGTCCACTCAGTGTAGTTGGACTTCTTCGCCCGCCCATAGTCGTCGATACAACGCCGTGTGCGGTAGGCTGACTCGTCCCTCCTGCCATCGCAGCATTCGAAAACAAACCTTGCAAAGCATTTTACACTCAAGCTAGGGTGTATTGAAGTAATCGTGAAAAGTCGTGAGAGGGGAGATGCTTAAGTAGTAGCCGAAGACCTTCCTTTCCCGCTCAGGGTACGCGACATGGACGAGGACGACCAAGTCGGCCCTCAACCCGATCCACGGATCAACGATAGCCCTCAACCCTTCAGCGCACCGCGAAAGTCCGGCCCTAGCAACAACCAAAAGGCGCGACAAACCTAGCATTAGCACTCTTTCGCATATCCGCGGGTTGGCGGTTAGGAGTACCTAGCATATCAACGGCGTGAAGCCGGCTGATATGCTCCCAGCTCAGACAGACGCCCTCCTCATCTCCGGCGAGTCGGAGGCTTCTTCGCGAAAGCTGTCAGCAGGTCTCCAGTGAACCTCGTTACGTATCGGGATCTGTAGCTGGACCATGGGCTCGCAAGTGTCCGCCGAGCACGCCTCTGAGCACAGCGAATTGTCATCGACCCAGCTCTCTCGGTGCTCGCGCGCCGTAATCCGCTTTCATAAGTCACAAACCGCTAAACGGATAGACGGACGACACGCCTTGCAGGCGTTTCGCCGCCGGTACAGCCGGCGGAGACTCCACGGAGAAGGGTCACGGTTCAGGCCACAGTTTCGTCGCGCACAGTCGGATCCGGCACCGGTTCCAGCCGCGCCGGCTCGTGCGAGGACGATGAAAGCCACAAGAAGTTCGGGGTTGAGGGCCTGTTTGATAATATACCCGGAAGGACGATGAGCACGCCTCAAAAGATATCTCGAAAGGCGACAAGTACACCTTGAAAGGTTAGAAACGCGATATTTCGACTGAGCACAAGAGGAACAGGGGCGCAGGCGTTTTCATGCCGGAAGCTTCGCGCAATATTACTCCGAACCGGATGACCGTATCTCCTCGACGATGCTGTGAACACCCACAAGCTCGGGCCAGCGGGCATCCGCAAGGATGACAGAACAAAGTTCACCGAATCCCTTTTTCGCATCGCCGTGGCCATCGGTAGCGCTGGCAAGCTCGACCTCGCGGTACGGCGAGCGCATCGATTCGGACGCCGGATCCAATGGCTACATTCTTTCCTTGGTGCCAACCGCTCCGGTTTTCCAGCAGGCAAGGTTAACCACTTTTACGCTTCGACAAGCGCGGCGCCTCGTCGCAGCGGTTCCAGGCTATCGCGATCCAGGGACCGGTTCGCGCGCTCGGGTTTCAAGCTTCGTAATGCGGCTGTCACGACGCGGCTTTCTAGCTCCGCGCACTCAGGCTCGGCCGATTCGCATCGCTGTCGCCGAAAAGGCCAAGGTAGCCGCTCCGCTCGAGTTCGACCGGGAAAAGTCTTGCGTTCTTCACCTCAACTCGGCGTAATCGTGGTCTCGAAGAGCGGGCCCGTCCGACTGCCCGCTGCAGAAGAGATAGGACCGGAGGGAGTAACGTCAAAGTTTTCCACATCATTCATGCCGCTCACGCCGCTATCGACGTCGCCGTCTCGCTCCTCGGCTAGGCCGTCGACGCCGCCCGCGCTCGGTGCGCAAAAGAGCAGATCGCGTATCGATGCCGACGTCAGCAATCGTGTCCGAACGGACATGCCAACAGCCTGGCCGGTATCCAACGCTGCGCCGCTAGGTCTTTCAACACCGACGCGACCTCCTTCAAGTAAACCCAAATCTCGCTCGGCCTTCGGACAGGCGGCTCAGTAAGGCATCGTTCTCTTCCATGTCTTTGTTCCGGAATTTTACGCAAGTGTGTATGCCTAAAGAAGGTCGAATGGAAGTCAGCGCGACCTGCTTTTGGCTGAAGGGAAACGCGGGAATTTGCATAGGCTTGTACTGGGATGGGCGGTCTGGAATATGCAAGAAGTGTTTGGGGTAGATTGATTCGATCTCGGAGTGTATTGAAGCCGGGCCGTCTCCATCCATACATATCTGATCTGTCGAGCCCGCGATCCGCGGAAGTCAGAGAGAAGAGGCAGTCATGGGCCCTGAGGTCGGAATAAGAAACTCGCGCAGAGCTCCTAGAGTCACCAGACGTACAAGGCGAATCAAGGCGAATAGACGCGGGTATCCCATCAATGAGGACGGAAGGGTTGTCAGAAGGAGGATCGCTCGAGCTACCGAAACTGCTGCTTTGTTAGAGGATGGGATTGTGTACCTGCGTTGATATGTCAGCTACAAGCCGACCGAGGCATGGTGTGTGCCTATTTGGTCAAGGCGGAGATGTGGTGAGCGGGGGTGAAAGGCGCACGTCTCTGATTTGGAGGTGAGGAGCCGAGAAGATGCCTGCGCCGCCCGATTGGGGGAATAAGCGAGGCCCTAGCCCCATTCGGCCTGCCTGCCTTTGCAAGGTTACAGAGCAGCCAAGTTCATCAAACCTTAGCAGTAGAAAATGGCGATACGGGGCCAATCACGAATTCCGTCTGTGCAGTTGGTGATTTGCACAAGAATAAGGGCATCAGCTGATTGCCGGCAACACCCGCCAAAAAATGGCTCCCGCAAAGCCCCAGATATCGACGTGATCACGGGCCTTCACCTTTGCATCTGCCTACTCGCCGCGACACAATACCTGCCGTCTAGCTACCTCTACCACCCGCATTGCAGCTCACACTCTTTAGCCGAATACAGAACAGCACACAGCAAACTACTACAACGTCACGTACGAGCCCTGCAACGACACAGGCGGCATCAAAGTAGAGCGATGGAGCGACGTCAACGCTACGGAATTCAACACCACAAGAGTAGAACTTGTTGAAGCGAGCTACGTCGCCTTCGCGGCAATGGCTACCAAGGCAATCTCGCTACCACCGCCGCTGCCAAAGGCGAGATCACCCAGGTTCTCGCTTGGTTGACTGATCATGGAATCCCTGATGTGTAGGAGAAGGAACAGCATTCTATTCCGCAGACCAAAGGAGTTGTTAGTTGGAAGCGTGGTGAAGTCGCGGATATACTTGATGCCGACATGATGTGTATCACCAGACGTCGTCGATAGGCTTGTCAGGCACATCTGTTACGGCGCATGTGTTGAGGCTTAACGCAATTGGATATACTATCCTTTCCCATACAATGTGGACGAGGTAACTTGTGCTTCCGATATACCTGTGGCGATTCATCTTTTTCGCTCTTAGGATGGAGTTCTGGTCAGAGGCGCATGCCAAAACGCGATCTTCCATAGTGCTATTCCTCGTTCCCAGGCCCGTGACAATTGGCGCTCATGGTTTCCAACACCGTGTGTATTCCCTGCATATCCCCCAGCCCTTGCCATCACATCGTTACCAGAGATTGTTGCTCAACTCTCGCTTGTTTCTCTTCCTCTCCCCACTATCGTGCCTCTCTCCACACTTATCCCCTTTTCTATCATCTTCACCATTTCCTCCTTGCCAATGCGTGCTCTACTCCTTGCACGCTCCTCCACATCCGTCGCCTTAACACTCAGACCCATGTTCTTCACTACGTCCTTTCTCCGCGCTGAGTTAAACGCCGCTGTAGCTTCTTCTAGGCCTTTGTTGTTGCACGTTTGGTTTGCTAGTACGCGTTACCGTGATTTGCCAAAAAAGAGTTAGGGAAGTGTATAGTATGTGGATAAATAAAAAATGAAGAAGAAAACACCTCTAGGGACCTGGGCTTTGACCGCATTGCTGACTTTGCGGAGCTTGTCTAAGACAACTTCAAAGGTACGTAGACTGCTCTATTTGCCTTCAAACAGCGCAGCATACGGACCTGGTATATTATGTTTGCTCTCACGATGTGTACAATGCCGACCAGTTTTACCCGGACTCCAACAGATGTACCGTATGGAAGGGCAAGTTTGATTGAGTTTCCATCTGAGGTTTCCATCTGACATGGCATGGGATTAGGGAAATCAAGAATATCTTTCACCTCCGCTTCCAGTCACTCCTCACCTGCGCAGAGTTATAACCCTTAGCGTACGTGCGCAGTTCTTGACCGGTCACACATCGCCCCTCCAGTCTTTGACGCACAACGAAGACTCAACCTCCCTCTACCCAACCCGCACCAGGAAAAATGGGAGCGACATTGAGCTACTTGCATCCGACCGGGCGCCCATTCTGCGGCCGATGCGGGGAGCTCCATCGAGAGCACTTGCATCAAATCAATACGCGCTCGCAGTGTCGCAAGTGTGGCAGGCGATTCCATCGACCAGCGGACTTTCGGCCTCTTAAGTTTTCCGCAATCATCTCTCAGGAGAAGAATTGGGGCGATGAGACCCGGCCGAAAGTCGATCTTCTACTCGCTCAGATCCGCGCGTTGATGGCCGTGTTGGAACTGGCAAAACGGGTCTTCCTCAATGACGAAGGAGAGCTCTTGACCGGCGCCGGCCCCTACTTGCTCGACGTGTTGGAGGTGACGGACCAGTTGAGGGAATGCCTTCTCAATCCACCATTCGCCCACAATGAGCAGATTGATAAGACGAACGAGTTCAAGCAGGAACACAACACGCTTGCAAAGAAGCTCCCTCCGGGTTGGGAGTTCACTCGTACAGAAGAAGTCTCAGTGTTAATGCCGCTTGAGCTCATAATGCAGTACCTCCTGGAAAGCAACAAAATTTGCGCAAAAGCGCCCGAGAATGCGCAGCAAATGAAGGCAATGCGTCAGTACACCCTCGTTAATTTGACTTCTTTGGTTCACTTTCTAATTCTCCTGCCGCAGTTGAAGAACTACAAAACCTGGATATATTCAACGGCCTATCTCGGGAACTTCGCCTAGAACACACCGTATTCTTTGCGTACAAACCGAAGCCTACCTCTTACTGCAAAGCCATGTGGTTTGTTCGCGCAACATCTCTATACTGGCTGCCCGTCGATTTCGAAAAGATTACCTCGAACTACTCGACGGAGGATAAAACGAACTTGCACAAAATATCCAGCCGTCAAGCTAAACACCTCATGGAGCGACGGGATTCCTTCATTAAATCTGGCCCATTCATTGAGAGCTCCCAGTCGTTTCTCAATGATGCGAAGCGCATCAGGCAGGAACAACCCAAGGCTATTCCTTCAGACGCACTTCAACAAGTACCTGGATACCGAGCGGTGCCTATCTTTGGCGGGATTGACGGGATTGGTATAGCATGGACGGGCAACTTTGAGCACAAACTGCCGTGCCAGTTCTGCTCTAACCTATACGAGTTTGCTGAGGACCATGAGCGCGACAGTAATTCGGAATGGCTGCCGTGTTGGGGAGCGAAGAGGAGAGCCTATTCCTGTGCTGAGGCAGCGCTTGCTACCACTGGTATGTTCCTCAGTGGAGAGATGTGGAAGAAGTTTCAGGAGGCAAACGCTGGAACCCTTTCGGAGAGGATCTTGGACATTTGGTACTGGGCTCGCCGGTGGGTATCTAGTAAACTTTGTAGAGGTGGGTAAGGGCTGTTTGGTTGGTTTCTCCAGTACATGTCGGGCTTCTGTTGGGGGAAACTGACGCAGGTTGTACTGGAGGGTCATAGCCGATCTCGTCGACCTACTTTCACGCTCTGGTAGGAGGGCAATGGAGAAATATCATTACCATGAATAGCTAGCCATCAACCTTGCCGAAAAAATGGCCTTATACGCAATCCTGATAATGACTATGCCGATTTGCCTATCTCATGTACGTACCTCGCTCTCCCTCTTACTAGTTACTTATACCTACCCCTACAGACCTGTTCGTTTACGTGCAGCGATGGAGGTATTTCCGCCATTACAACAGGAGCGGCACAGGCAGTAACGTGGTTTATAAAATCCTCGGATCAATTTCTCGTCTCGTGTCTGCGAAGTAATATAGACGCTTCTGCAGTTGGTTGCTCTGGAACTAACCCCGTCCAAACAACATCGCGTATTGCTTAGAGCTCCTCGTTTGCGAAGGACTGCTCGATATCGTGCCACCATATCAGCTCTCCGTCCACCTGGCGTCAGCTGATCACTAGCGCCCTCTCCGGAGATATTGCGAGGCATAATCTAGGTGGCGGGAACTTATGCCGGGCACTGCGGTTCCGTTATCTGGTCACTACTCAAGGTCAACCAAGATTCCATGGACTCCACCTTAGGCGCCTTCGGAGGCGCCTCCGGAGGCCGACAGGATGCCCAACTTATTGCATTGCATGCCTTGGCCCCACGGAGACACGGGGTTGGTTTGCAGCGACCGAAATGGAATGAACTTAAATGCGTCATGGCGGAGGGAGAGCGCCTCGCCTCGCCTGTGGATGAAGGTATAGCTTGATCTCCTCCTTAGCACCATGTAAAACGGACTTACAAATGCGGCGTAGCAAGATGCTAGTATCCACGGCGCCTCCGCCCGCGGAAGGCATTGCTACGAATAGGCCCCCGTGTCGTGGTCGAGCAACGGAAATAGTTGAATGCGGAGAGAAAGGGACACAGGAAGAAGAAGAAAGCAAGTAACATAGATGAAGGGAAAGAGGGAAGGTCGCACGCATAAAACGATAGAAAAGCTACTGCTCCAGAAAGGCGACTGACCACGGATCGCGCTGTCTTTAAGCGATACACGCCTCTAAACAACGGCTGTCGGTCGCCGATGGTGATATCAAGGAAGCACCCAGAGGATAGAGAGCAAAGCCGTGAGGCGCGAACAGAGCGAGCGTGGTTTCGGTTCTAAGACGAACGGGGGAAATCGGGCGAGAAGGCCGGCGGGCAGGTAAGGGGGCCGGTACAGAAGAGGCGGAACGGAAGAGTATACAAGAGAGAGCCGGCGAAGGCAAAGGGGTTCACACGAAAGTCTATCGCATCGCATGCAGATCCGTCCTTCCGTCGGTTCACCCACAAGATCGAACGATCGGTTTATGGGAGTGCCTTGCTTCACATCTTCCAGTAATTGGAGCATACCCATCCCCTCCTCTCTGTTCGTCCACGAGATCGTGGTGATAGGCCAATAGGATTCTCTTTTCGCCTTACTTAATCAGATACCATACGGTCGAATAAAATGCAGGAGCTTTCCGTTCTCTTTTATTTGACGGAGTGTTGTACCATGTCCCCAATCTCGAGAGGAGAAGAGGAAGTGAAGGAAGTGGTACGAGCTCCGAATGTCATATCACCGGTCTATTTGCTGAAGATGATAGAGGTGTTTGCAGGCTATTTACCTGGGACGGAGACGCTGAGGATGAGGATGGTGAGCAAGCTTAAGGCTTTGCTGGCGAGGTGACGAGAAAAGATGTGAAAGTGGAGCTCGTTCGTTTCGCGGAGGAAGGTTCTCAGTGCGACGAGGTTGGGGGAGATAGAGTATGCTGCGATTGAGTTTATTGCGCGCACATAGGGATAAGCTGGAGAGATGAGCATAGAGCTAGTTGTAGGAAGCTACGGATAGGAAAACTCTACCTATCTCATAAAGTCACGTGGGCTGTAACCAGATCCGGTAGCAGCATATACGTGCTTAGAAGATCAATAAGTAGGCTTGAGAAATCGAAAAACTGCAAAGCTTTTAAGGGAGTGACCATCTTGAAGTTTGAAGCGTGGGGGTCTTAAAGGCCTGGAGCTGGAGAATAGATGAAAACTACGCACGTGACCTGTCCTTTCACTGCTCTTGCCTATCTTGTGCGGATTGCGGTGGCGTTCTTCGTCACTCCACCGCACGACAAACGAAGACCTTCAAATGGCGTCGATAAGGGCGGCGTTCCCGGTACTGCTCGTTTTGGATCGTTGGGATCGCGGAAATGTTGGGGCCGCTTGATCCGAATAAGTTTCGTCTATGGTCGGTCTGTGTGGTGTTTTACGTTAGGGGTCCGAGACCGAACCCGCAGTCCTCAATGCACTTCACAAAGGCCTCCTCGATGTAGGAATTCTAACTAGTACTCTACTATCAGCCGTCCCTGTAAACCCTATGCGGTCTGCACAAATCGGCGCACAAAGAAGCGGAGGGTTTGCCAGAGGGGTTTACGGGAAACAGCAGGGAGAGGTCAGCCAAGAGGGTGTGCTTGTAGAGTAGGGAGGGAGGGAGGCTCAGTGATTGAGGTAGGTGAAGAAGAGGGCTGCTGAGAGGGGACTCTATTGAAGCTGACCTAAATGCTGCTGCCGTTTTCCAGGTAGGAGATTGTGTCATACGTGATTGAGAAGGGCGTCTTGGTGGATTCATTCGGCGAGGGAGATGGAGGCGGCACGTTTGGACTGCTTATGGCTGTGGCGCGGACAGCAATACAGTCCGCAGTCGACTTCCTCATTGCCGCAGGCCGTTGAAGGAGAAATCCGAACTTTCCCGCCGCCCAGCGGTATCCCCGGTCTGTGCTCGCGCGCTGTCCGCCCTCCGCAGACAATTACTGAATTCCTGCCGTGTTCTTCACAGTTCAGAGTAGCTACCGTTGTCACTAGTAGAGCCCGGATTTTAGCTCGTCGGTTGCGCGGGTCAATCTAGAGGAGGATGCCCAAGAGCGCTGAGAGTGACTCCTGGTTCGAATCCAAGTTGAGTCTGGGCCAGCGGGTTCATCCGCGGAGTCGCAATTTGGTAACCAGCCCTCCGTAATTATCACCCTTCCGCGCCCCCGCCACCCATCGACCACCGTTGATCTTTCTCTATTTTCTCTCTAACCTCACCGAATGCCTACTACGTGGCCCAGCTGGAGGCAACCAGTGGTGCCTTTGGTTCAAGAGCTCTAGTGCGCAAACGGATGAGCATGCGTCCTCTTTGGTTGGCTTCGGCACACCTCACCAGCTTTTGACCCACAGCCGCCTTCAAGGTAGTGTTCAGCAGCCCGCACAAGAGAAGCAGTCGCTCACATTACGCATCAATGGCAGCAAACGAGTCGTCCCTACTATATCCCTCGCCTACCGTCGTAGCTGAGCGCACGCTGCATGCGACGTCGAGGACAAGTGGACAGGTTGGAGATGTTGCTTGCCGAAGAAAAAGCTCGTGCCAACAACCCCACCTACTCCGCGCAATTCTTTCCCTCTCTATACCATTATTTTCTTACGCCGCAACTCCACTCTCCTCTCGCTTAGTAAGCTTGCTCCAATCCACAGATCGCACAGCGCCCCCCTGTTTCTTCCTTTCCTTCTCTTCCAAATCCCTGACGTCTTCTGCGTAATACTCGCATCCATTATAAGCTTCGACACACTCGTTTCGCGCTTCCTGCCATAATCCACAACTTGGTCTTCCATGCGCTCCACGTCCCTCTTATTCTTTGGGTATCCAGACGTCGTGCATGCTCTGCTCCATGCCGCTTCTTCTCCTCCAAAGACATCCATCTCTTCAACCGTTAAGCTAACACGTCCTCCATACCGTTTGCTATAGAGAAGTTTCAAGCTTGAAATTTGCCCGTGGCTGCTGCATGAGGTCCTTGGATCTATGTACGGTGATTCATGGGATCGGTGGAAGGGATTGGAGGATAAGGGGAGAATTATAGTCGGTCGGGTTGCACCATCTCTATCAGTGCCTCTTCCGTTGATATGTACGCCCATGCTTCTTCTAGTGTAGGAGAATCTTGTGGTGTGGAGGAACGTACTCTGCCCTTCTGCCTATATGCAAACCTCTCCTCATGCCTTCCCTAGCCATTGCAAGTGCAATCGAAGTCTTGGAGTAGGTCCATACGATGCCAACTCCATCCTCGTTCTGCCGCTAGTTCACCGGGACGGACCGAAGATGTCATAAAGGAAGTCTGGCTCAGGTGTCGTCATCCTGGCGTTTTGGCCAGGCCTCATCTTCTGGTGAGGATATATTAGACAACCAAATATAGATCTATTGCTGAGAGGAAGCTGTCACCTCAGGGCCTTGTCTTTTGGCTCCTGGTTGATGTATCCTGAATCATCTGACCAAGACCCGGCGAGCACGTGGTTGAACGCAACGGGTGTTGCATGGCGTTCCTGAACTTCGGCTACTGGGAGTCCTTGGATCTTCGGAGAGGGGACAGAACAAGATACGGGGTCTCCTTGTACGTGAATACTGTTCTCCGAAGCTCTCGAACCCCATGTAGGATAATCGCACTCATTCCGGTTCGATCTGGGCCACGACAGTTGCCGCCGATGGTTGCGCTCGAAGGAGTCGTCACTTGTAGACAGACGAGGATTTGGTATCATCCTTCCCCGCCTTCTCACGACAGAATATGCGGGTGTCTTTTCGTCCGGTGATGAGCGAAGAGTGGCAATGCGCAGGAGCCCGGCTCCGGAAAAGACAGGTGGTGTGTTGATAAGCCTCGTGCTCGAAGAAGCAGTCAGGTGCGCAGTGACGATGATGAGCTGGGACTTCCAGGTGTCGTCGAAGGCTCAGTATTAACTAGGGCAGAGCAGCACCGCATTGTCTCTGTCGCCGAGCTCGTTCAAAGACAGTAGATAACGCCCAAGATGGCCAGTGAAGTGGTCATCCTTCTTCGCAACGACGTGGCACGCGTCCGTCTCGATGCCGGCATGGAAATGCCATCATGACTTCCTTTATATGCGCCAGAGAAAGTATCTGACCATGTCGGTGAATTCCGCGCCGTTCTGCGGTGTGGCCGAATAGGCGGAGCGATAGCGTCTTGAGGACGCATGGTCGTTATCGGGCTCCCTGGTTCGGTTCTACGGGTGAGGTGGAGGGGTGGCGAAGAAGGGCAACGGGCCGGTATTTAATGGGGAGGAAACCGAGTGGAGGAAGGGAGGAAGGGTGGGTGATGTCTGTGGAGAAGGGTGAGGTCGTTGGCGACCGTGATCTGCCTTCGGAATTAGGGAGACTCCAAGGTTGGCTCCGAGTATCAACCGTCCCTATTCGTCGTAGCGCCTTCCTGAGAGCCGCTGCAGGCTAGGGCCCGCGACTGTCTTGTCAAACTGTTATACCATGAACCTCCGTAGTACCTTTACTACCCAGGGGATCAGTGCGCTGCGTTGGGGACTCGGGAAATGCTTCGTCATCCGTTTATCACAATACCTCCCCAGCCAAAGGTGCGCTGACGGATCTAGTTCCTGAGCTGCTCAACGTCATCGCCGGACTGGCTACTGTCTCGGCGTTGGGTCTGGTTCGGCGGCTGGACGTGACTGAAATGTCTGTAACCAGCCAGTCGCTCAGCTTATTCAACACGAACTATTGCAGCTCGATGTCTAAATTTTACGGGGGACGAGGAGTTGTTTATATCCTGTTAGGATTTCAGGAGGAACCTAGGCGATCCGAACGAGACGATCGGCCGCCGGTAATCGTCTTTACATAGAGAACGCTGACATCTGCAAGTATATTACTGATGGTGGATCATAGAGTCGCTCAGTTCGCAGTCTTCATTCTCTTCCGCGTTTCAACCTAGCTCCTGGCCCGGGAGCACGTCTTCAAGGATGAGTCAGGAGTGCGAAGCCATTATCGAGCAGGGGAGGAAGGGGAAGCCTAGACAACGTGCCGTCATCAAGAAACGTGGAAGGGAGTCAACCGTAGAAAAGACATGTCGTGATAGAAGGTCATTCCGCCGAAGGATCAATACCCACCTACTTTGCATTGATTGATTCGGTCGAGGAGCACGCTCGCGTCGCGCTCCCGAGGCCCGAAACGATTACGTCGAAAACATGGAGAACGGGAGCCGGGAGGGAGCGACGATGTTACGGAAACACGGACGATCGAGCCCGCGACGCCCTTCACAAAACAGTCTCTGCGCCTGACAGGACTTCAGGACCCGCACCCCTGCTGCACCACAACCGCTCTCTGCAGCGTCACCCACGCTTGATTCGTTTACGACAAGGCGCATCTCCGTCCTCGTCCACATCCCGCCTCATTCGAGCCCAGATGGCGGAGGAGCGATGCAGCGATGCGCTCGTGGGATGCTACCAGGAAAAGGAGCAAGGCAGGGCCAGCAGTCGGAACGCAGGAGAGCCGCAAGCGGACAAAGCCGACGGAGGGCACGAGAAAGGGGAGCCAGACAATTCACGAAAAGGCGAACTCAGAGGAAAATACGAATGAGGAACGACACAAATTTTCGAAGCGAGACAGCGGGGCGAGAAGCGAACGCAAGACGGGCGCGAGACCGCCAAAAGAGTTCGACGTGAGGGAGATTCGTACCAAACCTTCTACCAAGGAGACAGTTCAAAGATACGGATGCCAAGAAGACGGTAAGAAGGGGATGTAGACAGCAGTAGAAGAAGCCGAGTAGTAACGTCGTGTGAAGTCGCCCATAAGCTGAAATATAAGGTCGGCATCGAAACTTTTGCCAACGAACTTGTGAAGAGATGAAAATATTACAGGCTAGGAAGAAGTCGTGAAGACTGGTCACCGAGGTCCTAGTGGTCCAGCGCCGAGCACTACTTGACTCCTGATCCTGCTGCACTGGGCGTTGGACGCTCGCCGCGGCTTTTGCCGCTGTCTGCGTGATGCGGGGATGTTACCTTTGAGGATGGTGGAGCCCGTTCAAAAAGCTGCCACCACTACCTGTTCAGCCGGGTCTCTAGTCTCTATAGGAGAATGCGCTTTTGTGATGCGCCGCCTTCCTGGTAACGCGAGCTGTTCGACTGCGCGAACCTGTTCTGTCCTCTCGGTAGCGTCTCCGTTTCGGGTACGGGACGGTTGTTGCGGCTTGTGGTGAGAGCCAGGTTGACGGACGTGTACTGGTTTCTGCAGTGATCGCTGAGGCCGTGTAATCATCTGGGGAGACTGCCAGATCCAGGCCCGCAGTTGCCCAAAGGCTACGATGCGAAGAATGTCGTGAGGCAAGACGCAGTACGTGACTGTCGCCGTCTCGAGGTGAGCGACCGTGCCATCGCCTACGTCGCCGAACGTCTGTGCGCGGATGCGCTCGTCCTCAAGCGCCTTACTGTACTGGCCAGTATCGCGGTCGGGTGTCCGACTCATGCGTGGTCTCAAGCCTAGCCGTGGACGAGGTTTGGGCGTGTCGAGATTGCGACGGCGGTGGGTAGGGTTGGGTTTGTGACGGTGGAGAACCGTTGGCGCCGGAAGCGGCGACGACTCTTGAGTGTGGGCGGTTCGCTGGGAACAGGACCCGCGATCTTGAGACCGTTGAGGATCGCCGGCACACGATGCCCAGCGCTGAATCAGTGCCAGAGATGAGACGCAAGGATAGCGACGCCACGTCCAAACGTCCGCAGTGGGGGTAACGGCCTATCTACGAGGCGGACACTCGAAGTATAGATCAATATCACTAATCATCTCGCGACCGCCCACGGTAGCAAGATCCACATAGCGGTATCCAACGCCAATGGAGGAAAACGGACATTGAACAATCACTAGGGCAGCGCCGAGAGGAGAGAAGGCGCGGCGTGTGCAGCAGCCCGCATATAGAAAGAGTCTTAATGGCTTCCTAAGGCCGGCTTCGTCGACAACTTGCACAGCTTCCACAGCCGAGAAGAGGAGAAGGAAAGGCTATTCCCAGGACTGTCGGCCATGAGGCGCGAAGGCGCGCGACATTACGCCTGTGCCGCTCCAGCCCGATTTGGTAACGCAATTCTACGCAGACTTCGGCCTACGTACCCACCGAGACGCGCTCCGCAGGCGAACCGAACGAATCGTCGGCATCTGCATCCTCAATAGCTCGCTGACCATGTTTTCTCATTCGGATGACGAGCTCCTTCTTGATCGCTGAAGGCGAAGGCATAGTTTTCGATGTTCTGTTGACGGGGATCCGCTAAAGGGCGGGTCGGCGGATGTGAATGCTCAGGTATGCACCCATGTTCGGGAAGGTCGGAGTTGCACAGCTTCATGCCCTAGATGCCACAGTGTCGTAGGCGCGTCATTGTCTTTGATGAAGGCGCTTGGCGTCTGCTCTTTACGATCCTCTCTAGCCCAAACATGGTATTGGGTCTCCAGTTGGGGGCAGTCGTCGTTCTTGCAGGAATTGGTGGTTCCTATGGCGTCATGAGCGGATAGGCTGCCTTCCTACAATAGACTATTATGGGTGTAGGTATGTATCCAGTCTGTTAGATGCGTATGAGCTGCCTCGATCTTGGTATATGGTGTGTGGAATTCGTCGAATTTCGCCTTCGACCCGAGCGGGCCTTTAGAACAAGTTCGTCTTCCTTCCACCTCTTCAAGACCTCCGCAGGTCCGTTTACACTTCGGAACGGTTTCCGCACACGCGTCCAGAGTTCCTGAGGATGAAGACGGCCCGAGATAATCGTGCGTGCGAGGGCTTATCCCAGAGTCGAAGGCGCCGCACCGCAGATGTGCTATGGCAACCTAAACTTGTTTCCGTTAGAGATCCCCGATAATGTGAATGCAGGCGCAGTACTGAACGTGAGTATACCCACCTCTTTGAGTGAATGCCGCCCTCCCCTTGGACATATCTGGGACTTCGGTCGGGCATTCAAACGCGTCTGCGACGGTCCAACCCCCGCTCAGCTAGACCCGCCGCCGCGCACGACCGACGTAACGACACACCTAGGCCTTGAATAGATACGGGACGCCGTTCGTGACACTTCAGACAGATCCCGACGATCCGTCGTCATTTCGAAAGCTTGCATCGATATCTAGCGAAGATATCAACAACGATCGGGATCCGGAAGCCGGTCGTACCGTCTACACATCTGTCAAGACAACGCGGCGCATCTTCCGATACATCCTTTACGCCTTATCACCTCCACAATACTTCTCACGGACTCGGAGCTGGTGCTAGTCGCTTGGGGCGCGGATGCGCCCGATCGCAATTACGCGGAAGGAAGGACAGAGAACGACTTCGTAATTCTTAAGTCGAACTGACCGCCGTCGACTGCGGAATTCCGCAGGTCTAATCGTTTAGAGTAGTAGGAAGGCCGTCGCAGCCTCGCCAGCATCTCGATCCCAACAATTTTAACAAATAACGAATGAATATCGTCCGCTACGCCCCGGTGAGCCCACGGTTCGAAATTATCGGCGGGACGAAAAACTGATCCGTTGAAGCACAAGAGCAGTTGCCGGAGATGTCTCTTCCCAACGAGCTCGAGAGGCCATCGGAACACGTCGCTTATGTCGATTATGCCAATCATGTTGGATACTACGACTTTCGTTCGCGTCAACCAAAGATGCGGTGTTCGTTGCCAAGATACTAGCTAAGAGCTAGTCGAAAAGGGTATAGCTCCAGAAACCAGAATGCCCAACCTCGGGAAGACACTCTTTCTTACTCTTACATTCTTACATTCTATTCCACTACGTGTGTACAATCTACGTAATTGCAAGCACCTCCAGGTGGGCTATCACGGTCGAGCATCATCAGTAGTCGTCTTGGGAATGCCAATCTGCTGCATTCAAATCACGTCCCAGCTCCCGCATTTCTGCCCGCAAGGTGTTGCACCCTGAATTCCACTGCAGAGCCTTATTCCTGCATTGTCTAATTTCTTTCCCCAGCTTTTTGTCGCCGGATCGTCTTCTATCTTAGATAAGGGTCATAGTTTTATCCACATGCAACATCTCGTTAAGTATCGCCCATCGCCACATATTCTCTAGTACCTCGTAATGCCCGATGTTACCCGGGTGCAAATGTAGGTGAGTAGATATCCCCCCTTCAATCAACCCCATGCGCTACTCTGTCCCGGAGCTCCATGCTTGAGATGGTCCAGTACATGAAGCCCCTCTTGTATAGCAGAACCGGTGATACTTGAACATTCCAAGGTTTTACATGCCCAGAAATATCATTTTCCAACTTTACGACCATTTTGGATGAGTTGTCACCCAAACAAGAGGTTTCACCTTCCGATGCTATAATAGTGTGGACATCACTACTACGCCGACGAGTCTCAAAAGCTATCTTGCGATCTGGATAGCTAGCGACTACGATAATTGCACTCGTCGGTCTACCCGCTCACATGTTGCAGCTTCGTCAAGGGCTTCAAAGCCTCTTCTCCTCGCGCGCTCATGACCGGCACTCTGACTCTGGAGCGTGTGAAAAAGCTATCGATCCCCAAAGACAACCTTGGAAGGGAGCGTCTCTTTGCGCGGATTTCCCTTATATTATTTTCGACCCAGCACTGGTGCCAGTATCTTATAAGAATAACAAATGACGTGTTATGCTCGCTGCTTGTGTACGAAGCGGCGCTCGGGCGCTCGCGTGGGATGTGGGGTGGGGAAGCACCAGCTACCCGGAGTTAAGCAGGACATCTCCCCGGATTTAAGGCACATCGCCATTTCACCACCAATCCTCAACACCTCACCCGAGCTCTCCACCCGCATAGAATGCGCTCCAGAAAAGCGGCAATTCTGGGCTATGTGCGCCCTAGCTTTCTACGACTCGCCGAGCGGGATTCCCGTCTGCGGCGCCGAGCGATGAATCCTTCCAGACCTCTACCCTCGAACGGCTCTCGAAAGTGTATTGCTGTCGGTCTCCTCCCGCCTATCCATCAACCCGCGAGTGCCCGATACTTCCCCATAATACCCCAAACGCTCGACATGTGGAGCACGCGCGCGGACAATCCCAGGAGGCTGTTCGAAACGCCGCGTCCTCGATCCAGACCACCTGCCGATTGACCAGCAAACCAGCCCTTCGATGTAGCAGGTATGTAAAAACCGTCGCCCTCAGTTGCATCCCCTAACGATCCCCTGCAAGCCGTGAAGGGCCAAGCTCTGCGCTGAAATACAACCTGAACCACGCGGCACCCGGCCTCCTCGTCATCCACTTGTCCGATCCCATCATGCTCGATTCACATAATCCCACTCACGACAGCCTCGTCGATCTGGCAGCGGCTCCGAGAAGCTGCTCTTGAGCCCCTTCGTATTCTTTAAAAGAGCCGGGTCTTCTTCGGACTTTGTACGTGCCATTGCTGGCTGGGTCTGTCGTTTAGAGTTGTCGTGCTCGGCCGCTCTTTGTTCGAATGCGCCCAGAAGCGCGTGAAGAACGCCGTTCGGCGTCGCGCTGCGACTCCCTGAGAACACGGGTCGCGCGGTCAACGGCGATGGTGCTTTGGAACCGCATCCTTTCCGCCGTCACGCCTACCCCCACGCTATAGATCCCCACCTCATCATTGTTTTGGCCGGATGCGAACATTAGGATAGGCGTGGCGAGGCCTGGGACGAACCAAGCGAGGAGAGCCGCCTTGTAATGCTGACCTACCTCTGTGGTGCCTGGTCAAGGACGACTTAGTCAGAGACGGCATTCCTTTCGAAACGTTGCTCGTGTATCCGGAATTCGACAAACCACGCGCGCTTTCTAGTCCCGGCGCGGTGTCATCCGATGCCCGCAACTGTGGGCTGTTGCACTCATCGTCATTCAAGGCTGCATGGAGGAGTGCGCGAGGCAACGGGTTGTGCTGTCAACCGGGCCGATTCAGTTGGCCAGACACCGGTGTGCTCCGCCTCTTAGCCACCTGATCATTCGGCGTGATTCGGAAATCCAGATCCCATGATAGAGGCGTTCAGACTCTGTTCCGGAGTCTCTCAGTTCGAATGGACGTAACGCAGCCCGCGTTCCCGCCGACTTTGAGGCCACCAGCCCAGCAGCCGGCGCGTCAACTATCGATTCTCCCTCAGCAAAGCATTCCTATCCCCTTGCCGCCTGTGTCAGTCATACCCACCAAGGCCCAGGACTCCGGCATCCTTAGCGACCTTAATCGTATCCCTCGGAGGGAGGCCTGGTAGGAGTCGGCAGTTGTGCCTTCGTAATACGGATCGGTGAGGTGTCGTTCAAGCCGGTCCTGCAGCCAAGGATCAAAAGTCTGCTCCGACAACATGTGAAGAGGAGGAAAATGGATGTGTGTCAGCGACGCTGTAGCTCGTCTCGTGGCTGCGGCTATCAAGGTATGTGATACCCCTTCCTACAAATGCGGAGACGGCGTTGTTGTGGTCCACAGGACCGGCTGAGGAGTCGATGTGCTTATCCCCGATGGACTCTTGGTACCTCGAGCTTGATTGGAAAGGGACTGGTTGTACATCAGGCAGGCAGGCACAGTCGAGTTCTGCCTCTGATATCCCTAAGAAAAGGAAGAGGAGATCATCAACCACGGTAGCAGACACCGAAGAAGAATAACGGCAAAGCGGTCGCGCAAGAGGGCACGGATGCCACCAAGACATCCGCTTGTGTACTACGATCGGAGTGTGTTTATTGGCTTCCCGCGCGGTGATCATCTACCAAGCGCTTTGCTTACCAGTTGCAGTGCAAGCTATCTTTTCCAGTATCGGAGTGCCCCATCCGCAAACCCTTCTCAACATCCAAGCCTCATTTTCCATCGATTGTAATGCTTTTGCAGAATGCCCATTCGGCCCCTTTGCCCTTCTCCCGAGCGACTAGCCTGTCCCTTTGTTTCTTATCCTTCCTACAGCAAGTTCCTCCCCTTACCCTTCGGTGTCATCCCTTTAGGCGAATTCATGCTCAGGGCTGCCTTTTCCTGCGTCCGTAAGCGTTCTGTGGCTGCCCGTGGTTACGTATACTTCTAGACGCGGAACCCAACGCCAGCGTGGTGGAGACCAGTCGACCATTCTGATACTCATGGGTGAGCAGGACGGAAGGCGTAGAGGGTTTCTTCACTTGGATGTCTACCACGATTCAACATGTTGAGGAAGAAATATGCAGGTATAGGACTGGCCAACTTTAAAACCCGACGTGGTGAGCTCTGAGGTATGTACTGGGGGTCTCCTGTTCCATTTCACTCTCACAATTCCCCAACCGTTGGACTGCCTCCAGTCTGTCTTACTCCTTTTTGTTTTGAACCTACACTCTCTATCTATCTCGCTTTCACACCCCGCAGACGATTGGACTGCTCCGGTCGGTCTCTGTCTTACCCTCGCCATTATTGGACCTGCCCTCTCCATCTCGCTGTCGTAGCCCCGGGAGCCCTTTCTCTCTTGTTTCGCCGCTCTTAGGCTCCTAGTGCCCCGTCTCTCTGGTACTACTGTCGGCACTCCCCGTTCTACTCCGATAACCGCAGAGCACGCGACCCTCCCCGGAATCCATGTCTCAGAATTGAGCAAACGCAGCCTCAGTACCGGTATACCTCTATCGCTACACAGAGTCGCCTCCAGTCGTACAGTAACCTATATCCGGGGGCCCGTCTCCTAGCTGCTCCGAGACGGATATTCTTTTCGCTTCGTCATCATTTAGTATGCTCGCGTAGCCCATTTTGAAGAAGAAGTGGCACGGAGAAGCCGTAGTTATGGAGATCATCACTAATAGCCTCAACGATCTGCATTTTAATACCGCTTTATTGGTAGCCTGTTCTGTAATCTTCAATAGAACCATTGAGGTGGTGAAACCTTGGAAATCGAGAAGCGACGTTGGCCAGGAACACTTTTGACAGCTCGAACTGAAAAGGATACATTACAACAACCAAGCCGATCAGATAGAACGAGAAAAAGGCTCATATATTACCAAGGTGAGTGGGGATACCAGTGCGCCATTTTGTTGAGCGAGGTTCTGACTCCTTGTAGCCACTTCTTCTTCTTCTCTCTCTTGCTGCACTTCATCACTCTTCCGATGGCTCGGTCACATTCAGTTGACGACAGGCGGCGTCGCGGCGGCACGGCGGTGGAATCTTGTGAGGGGTTTTCTGGGATCCTTCAGCCTTACGGCCATCCTGTACCTCCCACCTGCAACACTCCCGCTTGGCCTTCCAAGGATGGTTCAACCCAGCCCAACCAAGCTTGGTATCAGTGCCCCATGCCTCCGGTAGGTCACTGTACAGTGTCAGGTCTGACGCCTGCACCAACCGGAACCAATCACTGGAACGGTACTCATTCCAAACTAAGGGGCCCGTGTTGACCAAATTGCCGCAGCCTATGTCGCACTTGGATCGATATGCGCTGTGGGAATACAGTCCGACGTAGACCTTGGGGTGATTCTTGCCACTTCCGAGAACGTCAGCTCGAACATCGTCAAGCCCAGAGACTGTGTTCACGTCTGCCCAGTCGTAGTAATCATGCCAGTGATGACGATTGAAAATCACCCCCGAAGCGACCCACCAGTCTTCGCCACTGAAAAGGCCGTTAGCGCACCTCGGACCTGATGCCATGCCCCAACTTACCGAGCGCCAGGATCTTTCCTGAATACAACGATGATCCCCTCCCAGTCATGCGGATGTCCAGCGCTCAGGTTGCCATCATGCACATAGTACACGTCAAAAGTAAGGCGCCATTCCTGCTGATCCGGACACCAGGTGGCCGAGACGTAGACGGGAAAAGGGTTTCCCGGAGAATAATCCTTTGCAACGTTAGCATTCCCACCGCAGATTCAGATATCTCGCCCTGCACACACCCCATAATACGGTCCAGGATCTGTGCAGTCCTGCCCAGGATTGATGGAAGGAGGCCCTCTGGGAGAGTCAGCGCCTGGATTAGGCCCGCCATGCCCATTCGTAGCACCTTCGGCATAACATGGGTCCTGTTACGTGTCAGCTTCTTCTGGTTTAAGAGACGTCGGCATTTGCTGCAAGATGGAGAGAAGATTACCATGTTTCTTGCTGACCGGCCGTAAAGAAACACTGGCGAATGGACCACGGCTGGGTTCTTTCCATCATCAATGAAGCCGAATCGCGCCGCAATCTCATCGAAGAAGTCAAAACGACTTCCGTGAAAAGCGCGCGGATCGACGTAGCTCGGCCTCACTGGAAGTGGGGGGATGAGGCGGCTAGGATTTTTTAGTAGCGGGGGTTTGTTTCGATTGGTGGTAGTTGTTGATGCGACGATGGAAGGAGTAATGAGGGTCAAAACAATGACCAACCAGGTGGTAAGGATGGAGTGACACATGTTCAAGGCAGGTTCTGAAAATATTCTGGGAGGTATTTGACCGAAGTGTTGGATGTAGGATATGAAGAGAAGGCTCCGGACGACAAGTGGATTGGAGGAGGCGTGAAAGATGTAGCTTTCCTGGGGCCAGGAATTACAGGCTGCCTACCAAAGAAGCGCATTGGAGTCATCGACCGGTGAAGACATTGAAGAATTGGCGGGTGAAGCCATGGGGAAGCCGACGGGTTGAGCTGTCGAAGAATTGACGGGTGTGGCCATTTGAAAATTGGCGGGTGCAGCCATGGAGACATCGACGGGTCGAGCAGTCGAGGAGTTGAGCGCAGACGGGTGAAGCCATGGAAGAGTTGGCAGCTAAAGACGATACGCAACTGACGGATGAAACAATTGGCGGGTGAAATAATGGGAAAACTAACGGGTGAAACAAACCGAAGCGAAGCGCCGGTGAAGTTTTCAATTATCGGGTACTCCGCGTTGGTCAAGGCGTTTGCGTGTCACCAACTCCCTGCGCCTCCTTCACCTTCCCCACGTAGAAATACCTGCATATCACGCCCTTCCACCACCACGCCATACCTTTTGACCTTCGCACAATCACTCTCGATCTTTGACTTCCCGCCAATACAACCATGTACCGTCGCAAGCTGGCCTTCTCCATCGAAGCGGCAATCGTCGCACTGGCATGCGTCACACTCGGTCTCGCGATAAAGTACGCAATCCAGCTCTGGAACGCACCCGTCTATGGCGGCGACGTCAACAACACCCGACCATCAAGGACAACGATAATCCCGGAGTACAGCATCCTGCCCGTGATTACCATTGTCGCCGGCCTCTTCAATATGGCGCTTCACGTGGCCAGTGGAGTCCGCGCTCTGTACGCCGTCATCGTGTCCTCGCTCTTGGCGACAGCGTGGCTCGTCATGATCGCAATCTGGGGGCAATGCCACCTGCAGGCGCACGATAACCCGGACAATCCGTGGTATGAGGGTATGAGCTTAACGCCGCACATCATCGAGGAGTCTCGATTCGCTGCTGACGAGTTGCAGTCTGCTACCAGACCAACATCAAGGCCGACTATAAGCAAGACTACATCGAGGGAGTCTCCAAGGCGCTCGGCGCCGCGGTGGTTGCTTTTGGTGCTTTGATCTTCATCGCGTAAGTAATTTGGTGTTCCCTTGTGTATCAGCACGTAAATAACCGACACCCCTTGGGTACAGATATCTCGCTCAGGTAACTGCAGCGGCAGTGGACTTCCACCGTTCCCGACAGACTAGCGGCCATTGAAGAGTGTCGGTGCACGAGACTAGAGCACGGTGTCTTACGAGTCTTCAGGATACAGAAACGGTTGGATGCGATATGGGTGTCGATACTTCCTAGGTGCTTGCGTTGGCTGGTTTGTAATGTGTGTTGGTTCCAGGCTATAGACGGGAATTAGCATATTAGATGTGTGTAACCAGTGCCAATTTGATCAACCCAAAGATGAAGAGCTCCCAAGATGTGAGTGACGTGATAATTGATTCAACTGGAAAACGGGATGAACGTACCGCGATCACGGAGCAACGTATTCAGCAACTGCGGCCGCCTGAGAGCCTCTGCAGCCGGAGCTACCACAGAACGCTGGTCACCTTTGCAGTGGCTGCAGCCACTACGAGGCGGACCCCTCTTCGGGGGTATGTTCGGAGAGCTCCCCCATCTCCACAGTAACTAATGCGGAGACACAGTCAGGAGCTGGAGGAGCTCTTCGACTGGCTGATCATGAACACGAGGGGGCAGCCGCGTTTCAAGAGCCTGCAGCACTGACAGTCAGTATCTACGCATGCGCGACGAGCGGAGGTAGAGATAAACCGCAACTCCAGTCATACATGTTCATCCTTCTCCATCCAAGGTAGTCCCGCCGAACGACGTGTTTCGAACCTCAGTTGGGCTCGCGGTGGGCAACCTCGTTGATCTTGTATCTTTGTCGAATGGGTGGAACTTCCCGAGGGCTTTGACGAGAGTTGGCTCGATATTTCTCTTAACCCCGAAAACGCAGACCGCGCAGCCAGGTCGCAAAGAGACCTCGGGATGGGGTCCCGAACGCGTTCAGTGAACTATCGGGCATGAGTAAACAGCACTGAAGGCCTCCAGGCACCGAAATACGGTGTTTGCCATTCTGAGTCCTCTCAACTGTGGATAGGTATCTGAAGGTCTCCAGGCTCAGAAATACACCGTTGGAACGTCGGAATTCCAACAACCGTCGATAGCCCTCTGAAGGCCTCCAGGCTCTGAAATGCGGTTCCGGAGGTGATGTCGGGGAAGGTCCTTGGGAATTCGGTAGGCACGTCATAATCCACCGATCCAACTCTTTCCGGAGGGGGCAGTAGGGTTGGTAATGGGGGCGGTATGGCGCTCGAGGAACTGCGGGTACTCGTCGATATCGCTCACGTCGGCCAGACTGCCAAACCAATACACCGGCCTGGATTGGATGGCGTGTAACTGGATCCTCAAGCGGCGCAGGGGCTGAATAGTCTTCGCAGGAGAACAATGCCGGCTTTGTTGGACAGGCTACAGCCCCCAGGGCCCGCTAGAGAGCTAGTATCTTTCTCGCCAACGTACCAGCTCCGACGAACACCATATTGATGCCCATGTCTGCTACCTTTGATGCGCCCCCTGAACCACAACTACTCACTCAGATGCGCCACATGCACGGCCTCTGAGAGTCTTGCCCGTCGAATCGGACATGATTCAATGATAGGTCCAGTGCATAGCGGGAGCGTGGTTTGTAAGACCTCGTCACGCAAACCTATTCACCGTATCGACCCCTTACAGTCCCCGAGACTTCCGGGGTTGCGTGATGCACGCCAACATGCTAGTGCCAATCTCGGGCGCTGCGCGGACAATAGCATCACCATCTGGAAACCCCCAGATCGACAAGCCAATCATACATTATTCCCACACCTCATGGTGTATTTCCATACTGATGCGCTTTCATAACCCTCCCTCACTTCGAAGCTCGAGCTCAGAGCGAGCTACGAAATCGAACCTCAAAAAGAGAAACGTAGAACTCCGCCCATCACTAGCATCCTCACTTACCGAAAATGACAACAAGCCGCAGGGGAAGTTCATCAATAGACCGAAGGAGACAGTAGCTATTCCGAGTATCTTATATTCTTGATCGTGAGTATTGAGGAGACGGATGCTGTGGAATAAGGCTTGCAGTTGGAGCTACCATCTCCGTTGCCGTATCCACGGTCATGAATCCCCACGGTCATGAATCTCCACGGTCATGAATCTCCACGGTCATGAAAATCCACGGTCATGAAATATTCACGGTCGTAAACATCTGACTCCTCAACTAGCCTCATCCCGCTGTCGCATCACCGAGCCATTATTGTGTCGCCGTCAAAGCCGTCACTTCCAAGGTTCACTGTGCCCAACTGCTCTCCCCCCGGATAAAAAGACCGAGCCGTCCTCGCTCTTACTTGACCGCTGAGAACGTCACCTACGTTCCGCGGCCGCGTTGGGAAGTGCTCATGGGCGGGCGGCGCGCGTTTACGCTGGAGCTGCGGTATCTCTGCTGAGGGAGTTAACAGTACTGTTGTCTTATATGGCTCAACTGTTCATTATCCTTCCTCTATAAGTCCGGCTGAAGCATCAACTCTGCTGGAGGCTTCTACTTCTCTTTATCACTCGCGGTTATGGTACAACCTCATCATCTCTCACCATGCCCAACCCCAGAATCCGTAGCAAGATGAGGATCAGCCTTCCAAAAAGATAGCAAAAGCCCATCACACGCGAGATACGACATCGATACGACAAGCTACATCTGCCACAGCCCGTGCCAGAAGAGTTGCGCAGTCACTATGCTTACCGACGAAGTGTACGTGGTCGGCGCGTCGGGCGTTCACAACTGTCTCCCCCTCTTTCGTCACCCTCGACAAACTCCTCTAGTTCATCCTCCCAGCCTCATCCTCAGCTGTCTAAAACCATTCAAAGAATCCGCAGACTTAGAATACAGCGTCACACCCATCCGATCACGTCCATTCATACTCCCTCCAGCTCGCTCGCCACACCATCCCTCTAGCCGCCCAGGCGCGTCGTTGTCGTTCCGGCTCATCCCCATCCTCCGCGCGACCCAGCCCGTGCTCGCCTCCTCACTCCAGACAATCTCAGTAAAACAGTACTCAGAGATCGTAGAGGACCGAGGCGAAGAAGACCCGTCCTATCGCTCAAATAAAAAAACCCCGGGCATATATACGCTCTCCAAGAATAACCGAAGGGAGTAAGTACGTGTCCCCTATCAACACTTCCCCTCAGCCGTTCTTGAAGATTGGAGGCGTATTCTTCGTTCGTTGGCGGAAGATGTTTCTTGAGCTTGAAGACGTCTTGGTTTGTAGAATGGTTCTTCTCTGTTCTTTGAAGGAGGGTTGTTTAGGTGTTGAATAGAATTTTTTGATTGAGAAAGCGTTCTACGGCGGGAAGGATTGGCGCGAGGCGTCTGGCTTCGGGGGCGAGAAGCGGCCGCGGTCCGTCAGGACAGAGCCGTCGTATAGCCCGGGACGTGTCCTGACGCACTTGGTCGCGAGGAAGTCATATATGATTGGGTCAGAGAGCGAGCGAATTAGCCGAAGTTGTTCGGCGGGCTGGCGGATTCAGCGACGTTGCACCTACGGGAACACGTCTCAGTGGTGGCCGTCGCGGCCTGGAAGCTTCTTCCATGGAGAAGGACGTATCTAGCAACCGTAGAAGCGCGCTCGGGGCCAGAGTCTATTAAACGCCTGCTACTCCCAGTGGTGCTTTGGATGCTGCACATGCGCAACACGAAGCCGGCTCGCTGAGAAGGTATCAGCCAGTTGTAGCGCTTGCTCGCCGCGGCCTATTAGATTTTTAACACGATGCGGAGGGTGAAGACGATATTCCCGAAGTCTGACGTTCGCGCGAAAGAAAAGGCCCCGGACGAGTCGCGCGTTTCGAGCTTCCGCAAGCGTACGCCGGAGGTTGCGGCGCGAGAGCACTATCGGGAGAGCCTCGTGCCCTGAAGTGGGTCCCAGATAGTATCATCGCGCTCAAAACCCAACCTTTCTTCAGATTCATCCTCATTCAACCAACATCCAACAGGACCCCTTCCCACCAGTCCGCAACCTCAGACACAGGTCCGCTCATCCAGCCAAACATATTAACCAGGTGAAGCTATCACTAGAAAAGCGATAGGGAGTCGTTGATTTGTATAATACCCCAAGAAGATAGGTTTGTTGGGATCGCACCGACAAAACGATCTCTAACGCAAGCACCGTCGCAATCGACGCAGCGTTGGGAATGCTCGAATAGCAGGTTTAGCCCACGGAAGAGGTAGGACGGACGACTGGCTTGAATCGGTACCGCAGAATCTGGAAACGTAAATCTCGATTTAAGGGACGTTATGGATCTTCACTCCGCATCGCCAGTTTGTCGACCTCGAGCCCTTCCTCGAGTCCATAGATCTCGCCAAGCTCGCGCGTATAGCTTCTTCCAAGCTACAGCGGCCCCGCGACGAGAGCATCGCCGCTGTAGGAATCGCCTTCTCCTGCTCTGTTGTGCAGACGCTTTTGGCGAGGTGTACAACGGCCATGATGAGGCTCTCCACGGCCTCTCTAATAGCGTTAATTCAGAAGAACACCTCGCTTGGTGATCGAGAAACAAGACCACCTCTAATGGCCGGGTAGAGAAGGGAATATCCGAGCATCCTGAAGTCACTGCACTGAATTTTCAGCGCGACAAGGTTATCGAACGCCGCCACAAGACGGCGGCGAAGGAACGGAAGGATACTACTTTTCAACTACTGCCGTCGTCCTGGTCGTTGTTATAGAATTCGTCAGTTGGATGTTCCGCTCCGGATCTCAACAACGCTGATAATTTGTGATAGGGCAAGCACAGTGCGTTCCTGGAAGAGTTGTCGCGGCTTGGGTCTCTCAGCCATGACTGGGTCGTTGGTGAGTCCGATTAGAATCAATATCCGGAAGCGCCGCTGTTCTTGTATATCTCATCGCGCTGCGACGTCTTCTTGGAAAGCCTGCACGCGCTAGAAACCATGCCGCTGGTATTCTTGCGCGCATAGCTCGACGCCGTGCCCGACGAGCCTCGATCAGCCTCTTTCGCCAGGTTCTGCTCCTCAAGCACACAGCTCTACTTTGGATTATTCTCTAGAAATGTGACAGAAGCCTGTACGTGGTGACGGTAGCCTTACCCTGAATAGAGGTGTTGGCCAAAGGTTGTGTATCCTTCAACCTGGACCGCGCGATAACGTCGACTAGGCTCGTCTTTGTTCTAGGATTCCAGGGGCTACTGGGAAAGGTGGTGATGTCCTTCTCAGAGGGACCGATGGCAACGTGGTGGGAGGATCTGTGTTTTGGAAGACTGGTGATGCAGCGTCTCTTATTATGACGATGCGTTCGCCATTGTGGGCACATCCATCCAGCTTAGTCACTGTGTGGAAGTGCAAGATATTAATGCTAGTCTCATCAGGCGTGCCGATCCGCCCCCAGCTCCCGCTGCTCGTGGAATTACATCTAGGTCTCCTGTCGTAGCTTTTGCTTTGCTGGTATCCAAGTGCGAGAAAGAAACATATAGCGACATGGGCATCGGGACTTTGTCGGCGCGCTGAAGAGAGCGAGAAGAAGATCTCTATAGTAACCTCGAGTGGGTGGATTTCGGTCTTGGAGATGAGAAGCAGGGTAGCACCTCGCAGTGTTCGAATCAGGCTTCGGCTCGGGCGCTGTGGTACAGTTCTCTCGTGCACATGAAACTCGTACGCGACCCGTCGGAGCGCATTCGTCGCTCGCTTATGTCGTCTGGCAGAAGGACTGGCAGGCTCGGTGGGGAGCTTTGGGAATGATGTTACATGCGAATAACTCCCCCGCCTTCGGTAAAGGCGCCCTGGAACCACCAATGCTCTTATGCTTTGCTGATACTTTCCCAACAGGATAGGCGGCTATCTTCGGGGTCGGAATAATCCTAAATGCGAATATCTCCACTGCGAAACTTCCTAGCCAAACGCATCTTTCAGTCGTCCCATTTCCGTCACTCTTCTTCTCCCATAGGTGGAGCTCAAAGGCGGTCATTTCTGCTGGTAGAGAAAGTGTAGACGTGAGAACAAGCAGTTCAACATCTCTTGAAAAAAGTGTGCCCGTTTCATGGGGTGATTGCGGGTGACGAGAGTAGGAGAGCAGGAGGCGGCCATAGTCGGTATACTCCAAATCGAGTCCTAGGTCCTGATCCGTACTTTGAGTGCGCCTTGTTAGTGTAGCGCGAGGGCTAGACGTCCATAATGTTACTGTCAACACTGACTTGCGATAAGGCTCAATCGACGCTGGGTCCCATTCGGGTGGGGACTAAAGTCCGCAATGAATTCTGCAAACTCTCGCCTTATCATCGCGGGGGAAAGCGATGAACCAATCAGTAGAGACGGACCGGATTATGGTGGACAGGACGAGGTACCCGAGGTCTCCATAGGTGAGGATGAGGATGTGGTTACCATAGGTGACTGTGTTCGCGGACGGGGCCACGTAGCTTGCGTACCCTCTCCCTCTTTCTTTCCCTTTCTTGTATCCTGATAGAAGACCGCCCGAGATGACAAAGGGGATAGGAGGATCGAAGGGGTGGGGTATGGCGGGTCGAGGGCCCGGTCAAGGGAGTCAAGGAGACGGAGGTGAAAGTAGGAAAGTTACTTTGAAGGTAATAGAATTTAGTTATACAACCATAGACGAAGAGTGGGAATCAACCTCCAGCGGTGTCCATACTGCCTCGATCTCCAACTTGATTCTGCCTACTCCTTCTTCTGCCCTTCTTGTCAACCACATTGCGTGTATGTGCTCATCCCCGAAGATATACCGCTTCTGCACCAATGGACGGCACGCGCGGGCTTTGAGGGCGCCGGCGCGTTGCAGAATTCGAGACGGCGAAAGAGCTTCCATCTGCCTCGAAGACCGGGGATGTACTGTCATTTGCGTGGTCAGTCGTCGCCTCATCGTCCGGGGCTCGTCGGTTGGTAATCGTGTGCGGCTTCCTCATCGGTGTACTCGTCGGCTTTAATAGCGGTTGGTGGGCAAGTAGGCGAGTAAGTAACGGCGGAAGTCTGCAGGAGGCTATGGATGCCGTGACCGTTAGCCAGATCATCAGGTTAGGAAACACGCTCATGTCAATCGTACCTTGTATTTCCAGTCCGCAGCTAGCGACACAAGCCCGCGAGGAGAACCGCTTAGTATGCAACCATGCCTACCACAACTGTCTTGTATGTGTATACCCGGGGAGATAAGACGGTGCATCTCGGAACATGTTCGGAGAAGGGTTTTCGTGGAAGGACGTTGAGGGAGCTGGGACAACGGCCCAGGTGTTTCGCTCGCGGAAATGTGGAGAACTTCAACAAGCAGCTGTGTAACTGAGAGAACGACGACGTCTATCTAGGTCAAGAAGGTCAGCCATGGGTTATTGTTTTCGTACGTCAGTAATCTTCATACCTCTGATTGTTGCGCCGTTGCGTTGGTATTCGTTCCTTCGCCGAATGCCCCCGCCTCAGAGCTCCTGACGCCGTTGCGCTGGGAAGCCAAAATCTGTTATCCATAGTCTCTGCGCAAGGGCTGAACCGCCCCGTATCATGCCAACCATGCAGAGCCAGCGAATTACGTGACTCCTTCGTAGCTGGGCGGGGCCAAGAGTGACCGCACGGGGTCATGTGAAATGGGTGTCGAGAAGCGTGAGAATTTCAGTAGGTGATGGATAGAGTTGGTCAAAGCGACCAGAACGAACAGGCCGAAGGAGGACTGCCGTTGGAGAGAGCCTGACTTGTTTAGTGTCAAGATAGCTTGAGGGCATAGAGAGGGCGAGATTTAACGGCCCGGCGCTAGGCCAGGATCGAGCCCGTCCTCGGAGTTATCGGAGTTATCCACAACGGAATCGTCAACCTACTTCGTTGCCGTGCCTATCTTTGTCTATCGCACGCGTTCGGATTCCAACCTTGGAAGCAGACATCGACACCATGATTATGTCACCATCGCGCTGCATTCCCCTCGGCATCTGGGCGGAATGTCGCAATCTGGTCCCCTACGTTCCCCATGTCAGTTCGCCAACTGCCTGCGATCCTCACCAACCGCACTTCGTCACGCAATACTTAGCGCCCGTTATAGGTAGTAATACATCAATACTGCTATTGGGCACCTTCGCGAGTTCTACATACCATATTTGGCTTCGACATGTCCACGGCCTCTTGATACCATCACAGTCATGCCCACTTCTATCCCAAGGTCCACCCAGCTAGTACGTCTGGTGCTCTCCACCTCGTTACGATTGCGACCACGTCGTTTCTACTCACCCATGTGCTTCAATCCGCGGCCCTTGCGTATCACCAACCTTCCCCACAGCGCACCACCAACTATTCGCCGTCCGCTTCGCCGAAATCACCCTTGGCAGGGCACGACGTAGGCTGGCACCGCCAAGCTTCAGGCTATTATCTCTACAGAGCACTATCGATCGCTCTCGTTTCTGCTAGAGAGGTTTGATAAGCATAATCAGATGAGGGCTGCCAAGTCAGCCAGTTCGCCAGCTTTTATGCTGCTAAAGCTATGCGTGCCTATGGCGCTCAGTCGGGACGAGATAGTTGAGGTTATGCCTGAGCAGCGTGACGTCAAAGCTGTCGATGAGCGCATCATCGATAAGGAAATTCATGCTGAGGACAGAGAAGATGATCGGACTCTCGCTGAGAATGGGGAGGATCGTGGTAACAATAGCAAGCGGGCTATTGACGGATACGCTACGTTTCCGGACTACATCGCAATCCGCCCCAACGCATACGCTGGACGCCAACCACCCTACACTCTGCCAACGAAACCCACCCTAGGCGTCATTGGCATTTGTCTTAGATCTGGAATTCACCTGCGGTATTCAGCTTTTCTGCACTCACCTTGGTCTCCGCCCCAACAGGCTTTCCGGCCCAGAGCACACCGCATTTTACTTACGGTTGGCATACCATAAGCCCTTGCAAGTCAACTCTACGGAGATATTTGCGGATATCAGTTGTTGACGCTGCTTGCGCTTACGCATACCACACTGCCCAAACGACTCCAGACTTTCGTCTAGACCACATAGAACCCGCTCGAGTCGATCGACGATTATCGAGCGCATTGAGCCCATAAGACAGCACCATCACCAGCTCCGACACGCTCACAACTTCCCACCGCACCTTACGGAGCATCGTACCTCTTCTAAATACGCTTCAAGTCTGTCACGGCCCGGCGTAAACCCTCCGCCAGCTCGTCGGCGCTTTCTCTATCGCCGCTCTACCTCGCGGCACCGTCTCTTCGTCTCTACACCCATTCCCAAATCCCGGATCGAGGACTCTCCCCCGCCTCCCACGGCGCCAGTCTCGCGTAATGGACGTTCTTGGTTCTTGCCATTAATGGGTCTACACTGAACGATATCGCTATTCACCTAGAGGACTCGGCCCGCTCGCACGACGGGACGGGACCAATTCGGCGCTCTTCTAATTACGCTCTGTCAGCTCGGCACCTACGCAGCTTCGAGCCAATCCTCCACCTGCAGTACCATCCTTCATGCTGGACTTCAGCCTTCAACCGAGACGTCTTTGGGGAAACTTATAGGAGACCTCCATAATACCGGGTCTTAGCGTCCACTTGTCGGCTCCCCACGGCACCGGCGTATCTTACCATAGATATGCCCTGTCGTGGACGTTGAACGTCGCTCTCCATCACCTTCAGCGCTCGCCTACTCCCGAATGCCGCTTCAACGGCCACCTCAGCCGAGAGCGCGACATTCTATCGCGACGTCGCCTACTCCACGATCCTACAACGCTAAAACCGGCAGAACAGCAGCACTCGGCACTCACACCTCCATCTCACCAACCCCTCAACGATCCTCTGTGGGACAACCGAAGGGCATGCCAACTCCAGAAAGCACGATTCTCTCCGGCGGTCCTCGGAATCCGGTTGCAGGCCGCCACGAGGGCAGTAACCGATCATCCTCCTGTATGGACAGAGAAGAGGAGATCAGGAATCCGCGCCCCAATGGCCGCGCAGTTCGGCTCGCATCACGGACGTCAAGTAGCGACCAGAGGAACCCGATCCAAGAACCCCACGAGAAGCCAACATGGAGACCAGAATAGCAGATCCGGCCGAGCCACTACGATCTCGAGACACAAAAGGCCGACCCAAGAACTTCTTGCGGGGCAGAAGAACATCACGGGTCGCTAGGAACAGGAATGAACTGAAGATAACCGTGGTCATCAACACATATTGTATTCACACCGTCATTCGATCTGAACAAGTATCATTTGGGGCGGAACCTCCCTCGCTTCGTTTTGTTCCCATTCATTCGAAATCACATCTCTCTCTCTCTCCTCGCGCCACGCGTCCTTCCCAGCATAGGTCTCCGCAAATGCGCGATCCTAACCTTGACGGGGGAATTCCAGCATCAACCACCGGCAGACACCTATCTCTTTTATAACCCGCGCCAAAACACTGCCCAGCACGGTCAGCCTCTCCAACAGCCCCACGAGCATCCCATCGCCTCTCCCACCTACGCTCCATCTCGCGCCCAGCTCCAGCTCCCCCCCCCTCGCCAACGTGGCCTCGTCTTGTGCTTCTCTCCCGCGGAGCGGGGCGAGCTGCGCCTTCAAATCTGTCATGTAGCGGACCGGTGCGGATAGCGCGTCGTTCGCGTTTATGATCGGAGAGAAAAAGCGGACAGCCGTATAGGCACTGGGGCTGTTACGTGAAGCGGAAGTCCTTTCTTAGGGGACGGCGCGTTTGTATAGTTTGTAAGAGGTGTTGCTGCAGGCGTTACTGCTGGCGGGTTTGTCATCGTCGACGTCGGTGTTGTTTTCGTTTTCGGTGTCAGCGGAAGGGGGAGGCCCGTCTTCTTCGTTTACGGTGAGGATGTTCCGCGCCATGTGGGACGAGCGAGGTCCTGGGGTGTTCTGACTTAGGTATCCGGGGAACTTGGAGGCGCGGGATTTTCTGGGCTCGTGGGACTTGGTGGTTGGCAACGGATTCGGTGGCCTCATCGAAGAGGTGAAGAGACGGTGGGAAGCTCAAGATGAGTTGAAAGAGACCGAGATATCGCGAAGCTTAAGACGTGCTGAAGGGGTGGCGAACAAAAATTAGAAGCTCAAGATAACGCCGCGAGGCTTGGTGGATGAGAAAATCTCTGAATGCACTTCACTGTTAAGATTCTAACATCCGAGACGACACGCTGCATTCAACGTCGGCATATTAAACCATCTTTTTGTGGCTATTTTCTTACTATTTCTTACACTGCTTCGTAGCCTCCTACAGCATATTGCTTTCTCCGCGATCATCCACAAGGAGGTTCTCTCATCTTGTTCTCTGGCTGCTTTCGTTTGGTTTGCCGGACCCGGTGGGCAGCTGAGCCTCGCTCCCCTACCCCCTAATCAGCTTCTTCTTCGGAAATCCGGCCAATCAACCGCTCGTACCCAGGAGCATCTATTTTGTTCTTTCACCTCATTTTCATGTTAAATTTATCCTTCGTCGTGCTTTGAACACTTTCAGGAAGACTGCTCCCGACATCGTTGTCACTATCATGACTCCCGCCCCCGGCTGAGTCAACTGATGCTCCGGCAGGAAAATCGAGAGCGCAATGCATCTGGAGTGGTGGCTGCGGCAGGTATCACAAGCCCAAGCGCTCAGCCCTTGGGCATTGCAGGCGGCGCCGGCTGCGGAACGATGGGCTCGAGTCGGTAATCGGCTCCGATGACGAGGAGAGCAGCAGCAGCAGCAGCACTGAAAAGATATGACAATGCGAGATGGAGTAGCCTGTCCGCGGCGACAGTGTGGGCGTCAAGCACGAGCGAGGTAAGGGTGAAGATGAAAGCGCGGCGTAGCTCACAATCGCCTCCCCGAGCATTCCTCACCACCTCCAAAGCCACGATTTGCACTCACCCCATCCACAAGTGGGATGGATCCCTGGTGTTTTGGGGTTGAGTGATAATGTGAGTTGAAGGTGGATACATGCATGCGTGGAGGGCCAGATATCTGGGGTGGAGCTATGGACAACGTCCGTTACGGCGAGTGTATGTTTTCGTACAAGCATCATGTCCGCATTCTCATCTACAGCCAGAACCTGAGCAGCAAAGCCTCGTCAGTCACCACCAACCATCAGCCAGCGCCACCCGCTATACAACCCGAAGCGGGACCGGCCGACGCCACCATTCTTAACTAGGTCTCTAGCACGCGCAAATATTCTCCGCCTCTACGCTCAGTACGATGCGCGGCTTCGGCTGCGCGAGCGGTGGAGGAAATGCCTTGCCGTAGGGGTGTGGCTCAGTGAATGGGCACTGGAGAGCGGAATATAGAGCCGGACGACTGGAACGACAGACCGGGACAGGTCAGGCAGCAGCCCGCTACCCAGCGGCCGGAAACCGGCGAGCGGCCGAAGTCGGTCTGGCCTAGGCGGCTGAGAAGATGGGCCAGGTTCAGATCAGCGGCTTATATTGTCGTGCTTGCGCCGTGCTGGATGACTGGAAATTACCCGTGGGAGAAGATCTCCCGGGTAATTCTTAGTAACGGCGCAGGAATGGTGTGATAGGTGAGCAGCTTTGGGAAGATGGGTGAGCCGTGCTAAGAAAGTTAGCGGCAAGATTTTCGACTAGTTGAGCGAGTATCTCGCCGTGTTTTCTCGTCCAGCTATCCTATTATTACTATTCTGTTAGCGCCTTCTGGCTCGATAGGGGCAAGGAATCCGTCTGCGCATCGAAATGGCGACTTCTGCAGGTATCCCGTTGTTTTCCCGCACCAGTATTGTTGCCGGATATGGTTACTCCTTCACGTGACCTGGTCATATATATATATATAGCCATATTTCTCGTATTCTCAATCAATCAACTCATGTCTCAATACTTGCTACTTCCCCTAAAAGGCATTATGTCTTAAATGGCGATCTGTATGCTGATGATATGCAAGTAGATGTCTCTCTTCCAGGCCGACGAGGGGTAGGCGGCACACAAAGGCCGAGCGTGTCCTTCGGCCGCCGTCATTCCCGTTTGTTAGTACCGGCCGACTCAAGATACCATAATTTGAAACCCGGCGGGCACAATTCCCGAGACGTAACGTTGAGTGCTGAGCCTAGGAGATAAAAAGTAGAATGAACTTCCACATTCAGCAGAAACGCAGCTGTGCATTCAAACTAAGGAAATGGTCTTTCATTTTACTACGCAGCCTCGAGAAAATAGAAGCAGCCCATTCCCTGATACTGCAATCCCTGACACCGCAATCCAGAGACGCATCACCAACGGCGCAGTCTTCCGCCTCAAACAGAGAGGATATAGCCGAATACTCCAAACATCCTCTTGAAAACCCTCAGTGACAGCTCCCCCTACCTTCCGGGATTACCTAGAAGAAGAAGAATGCCTATAACCTAGGCTCCGGATATCCTTGATGCAGGCTGCAGCCCAGTCCGTCAGCGCCCAATAATGGATGTCGTTGATTGAAGTAATTAGCGCTTGCATGTTCGCAAAGCTGCCACAGGCAACCTTATCCATGACACAGCCCTTCCACACATTGGTCGTCAATGCTGATGTCGTTGATAAGCCTGTTTCCTCCTTGGGCGTCGTTACGTACAGTCCCCAGCCGTCGTGTGAAATTAGCACGCTCCAATGACAGAGTGCGACCTCTCTCTCTTCCGTCTTCTTCTCCTTGGCATTTCTGCTACTCTTCTTAGGAGTGAGGGCAATGTTGTCCAGCCAAGAGGATTTCTTCGATGAGGCGGACACCGTAACGCGTGCGGCGCAGCTTCGCAAAGCCCAACGGTTGTATACCATGATTGTTGATGAAATGGCGAGTTTTTGGAGGGCTGCCGCCGCAGGCGCATCCGAAACGCCTTCGTGGGCGTGCTCGAATTCAACGCTGAGATATGGGCAGAAGCGGCTGGAGGAGAATACGGGGACGTAGCTGTGGACGGGGAGCCCGTCCGTGAAGATATTAGTGTCGAGGTAGTAGACACATGATAGCTTGATCTCGTGGGTGTTGTTCGGCGTAGCCATGGCATCGACCGCAGGTGGTGCCTCGTTGAGAGAAGAGGAGTCGTTCTGCACGCGGGCAACGTTCGCAGTTTGTAGAGCCGGCGGCACGGACTGAAATTTCTTCAGAGTTGACGTTCCCCAGAGGCTGGTAGGCGGGAAGAGGAAGATATGGGGCGCATTCGGGATTTTCGGGATAGCCAGATTCGGATTGTGGGGACGAGCAGCATTCAGTTTCTGGGAGACGGCGCGAATAGGTCCACGCTTTTCGTGAGAGCAAGGCTTGCGGGCGAAGCCGGCACGAACAAGGGCTTCCATGAAGTAAGCGTAACGCTCAGCGTCTGTAGCTGCGCTCGTGAGCATGGCCCCAAGTGCGGATTCCAGTTCAGTGGCCCTGCCGGGGTCAGTCCAGAGATCCAGGTGAGCATAGTCTTCCTTGTAATGTTGAAAGCGGTCTGTAGCGGATGCGAGAATCGTGCGGAATGGAATGAGCCTGTCCAGAAGGCTTGTCGAAGCGGTGCCAGCGGTTTGAGGGAAGCCATTGCAACGTAAGGCTTCAGCCACAATATCCAGTTGAGGAATGGGGCGATCACCACGTGAAGTATCCATGGAGGAGCGGGTACTCTGGAGCACGGTGTGCCACAGATCTGATATGAAAGAAGGATCCGCTTCAGCTACTTCTTGTTCGATATCAAGGCTAGAGTGGCAGCTATTATAAGTAGCATGGTTAGTGTTTGCAGTTTGGTCCTGCCGAAGTCCTTTGTGGCTGCGTCAGCATTGTTCCAAACCGTGATTGATTGATGTGCAAATAACAAACATACTGTCTTGTGTATGTCCAGAGTTTGACCTAGCACCCCATGACCATCCGGGTCGATTAGGGGATAGCAGCCTCGAAAAAGCATTAGGGGAAGGGTCCTGACTCGATGCAAGATAAATGGTCTTGCCCTTAGAGCGGCGGTTATCCATTGGTAGCATCTCAAACGCGAAAGTTCGGGAACAGTAGTGTTGGTTGGCAGGTTGATTCCGAGTTGAAGAGCGCCAATGGGCTAAAGATAGAGAGGGCTTGGGGCGAGGTCTTAATATAGAAGAAAGTAAGCAAAGGGTACCGTGCTGATTAATGCTGTAGTGACGGGATAATGTAATGCTGATGAGGAGGATATGCAAGCGCTCGCATATTCACCAAACAGCCGTAGCTGTACCAGGTGTAGAGCATTCTAAAACCCCCACGGTGCGAGATCCCGCCCTGCATTTTTCTTGGTTGGAAAGCACGACGCTTCCTCGCCATCACTGCCAGTAATCTCCCTCGTCCAACATTCCAGCCGGCCGACTCCGCCGCGATCGAGGCATAATATCGCATTATGGCATTGTTCTTGAATCTTCCTCCCATTAGACTCCCCCTCAAAAGTCGAGGACCACGAGTATGATGGATAGTGTCCTTTCATTCATTCCAACCCGATTAGTGCGCTCTCCATCAGCGGAGGGGAGCATCGGCGAGGATGTCGTCATCCAGAACACCAAGACTGTCCGTGTAGCGCTGAAGCGTAATCCAGGAAAGATTTGCAGCGTCGTCAGTTTGCTGCTGTTGAAGAGGAAGCGGAGGCAGCATCAGCTGATCAAGGCGAGAGCCCTGAGATAGGTTTGAGCCAGGAGTGGACACAACGGGATCCGTATGCTGCTGCTGATGATGGTCGGCTTCCATACCCTGAACAAAGTGTTCAGGCTCGGCCCAGCTGGTAGAGGAATTCATGTGCTCTGGATGGGAATCTGCAGAGCCGTTGTCTCGTGGCACCGGCAGATGAGCGACCGGAAGTGCGTCGCTTTGTGGACGCGAAGACGCCTCTCCACAGCTTGGACTTTGATGATCCTGGTCCCGGGTCGCGGTCTCGTATGGTTGCAGAGTTGGGCACAAGACGTGAAGAAAGCGGGCGTGCAGCTCGTGCAGACTGACAATCTCAGATTGGGCTTCGTGGAGCTGTTTCTCAAGCGTGATTCGGTAGTCTTGTGCGTGACAAAAGTCCCGCGGATGCGCTGATCGGAGAGGTCGTCGAGAGCAGTTGGCGATATATATGATGGAATCTTCTCGGAGATACTCAGGGCCGGTGGTAAAGTAGGTGTGTCACCTTGCCCAGTTTCCTTGATAAGGCAATCAATCCAGATATTGACAGAGTGGCGAAGTCGCCTGGCATTGGCGAGAACTGTCAGTCGAGGATCGGATTCGGCATCCGGTAAAGCTGAGGGGCTGGTGTCTTCATCCTCTGGTGCCGTGTAGGTCCGGATTTTGGGCTTGGTCGCGAATTTAATCTTCTTCTTGATGAAATTGGCGGCGGCGTTGAGGTTGAACCGGCCCTCTCAAGGGCTGAGGAGCTCAAGCTCCATTTGTGCGCTTTGCTGCCTGTGTCGACCATCTCAGCAGCTTTGGAGATAGAGAAAACCTGATGGGAGAAGGCTTAAGTGACGAGAGGAGAGCGTTTGCAGGAAATACAACGCTGCAAACGCGACATGGAAGACTCTCCATCTTGTTTCGGATGCTTCCCGCGATCCCTACCACTCCATGATATGGGCGGCAACCTGCACAATGCCGCCGCTGTATCCCTGAAGACTCTCTGAAGGTTAGGGGGTATGGGCAACAGAGATTGGAACCATCGAAAAGTCGTGGATGTTGAGAACAAGGAGGTACAGTTCTTTCGGTGATTCACCGATCACTAGCTTCACATCAATCCTTAGCTGGGCAGCTGTCCTGGAAAGGCTAAAAAGTGCCGCAGCCATAGCTTTCTTCATTTCACCAAAAATGTCCCGAAATTGCCATCAAACGGGCCTCCTTTGTGGGTGCGACGATGCCACAAACCACCGTGGTACAAGTCCGTCATTGGGTTGTACCAAGTATGTAGCGTGTCTGTCCGAGCGGTATCGCTGGACAGGTTCATGCTGTGCGACATACTTAGCCTTCAGCTAGTTGACACGTCACAATCCCACGTCTTGCTTTTCTACGCGGAACGACGTCCGCAGCCCCGGTCCAGTCAATGTGGCGGAGAAAATCAGAGCGGACGAAGATAGGCACGAGATTCAGGCGGTGGCATCGGGTAACGGCTGCGAAGCCTTGTCGCGGCGTTTCGATCGAGCATGGCGGATGGGGCAGCGCTCGCATTCCATCCCGTGCGTACTACCCCCTTGATTCCACTCCGATCGTGTCGCATGCTGGTAACATGCACAATTTGACAGGTATCCCTTTTTATCCCACCTTCTGATTCCAAAATCTGCCTTCGTCTCTGGGGCGCCCTCAACGAATCGACCAGCATCTTGACCACGCCGATTCTCAACTGTATGCCTGCCGTTATGCACCATAGACGGAGCCCCAACTGAGCGAGGATCCGTACGTGCAGCCGTCAAGCCTGGCATCTCAGCTCCCAAGAGAAGATCACCTTCGAAGTCAGAAATGCAACAACCGAATGAAAACAATCCTCCAGCAAACCCTAGGAGGCTCCCATATGAGATGAACCAGGAGACATTCCAACGCATCTGCGATGAAGGGGTATCCTCCTTCCCATTTCCTCTTCCGGGCTAGAACGCAGGTATGTCCCTTCTGCTGCTTCTTCGTAGCTGCGGTTCCGTTATAGCGAGACTGGACATGGGTTGCAGATCCCAATAGTTCCACCAGATCGCATGCGCAATTCCATCTTCGATAATGCCGTAAACATGGTCTGGAGGCTCTGGTACGATTCGCATACTCGAAACATGGTAGAAGAGAGGAGGTGGGGGAGGAGGTAGAGGGCGGGGAACAAGGTAGCGTGTTGAAGACAACAAGAAGTAGACTGTGTGGTTGGCATCGCTTTTTCCCGGGTAGCGGTATGTGACTGAGCTGATTTATGCGGGAACTAGGCTGAGTAGGGTTGTTGGGTGGGATATAGCAGATAGATGGAGGTGCTGGGTGGATGGGATAGAACTCGGCTCGTTCGTATGGGGCTCCAACCCTACCCACCCTCACTATTTACGACGCTCTTTCTCCTTCAACAGAACGGCAAATTCTTCTCGGCCCACATTCGATACGGTCCCTAGATCCACTAGCTCCCCCGCCACCACACGAAACCTCTCGCACATATCCCCCGCCGACGATGCCTCCGAAACACCACACATCCTCGCCTCCCCTAACCCCTCCGAACCTCGTCCATACCTCGTATGGCCGCACCACCATGGCGCGCAACAGCCTGCACACGACGGCCCGCAGTTGCCATCGCCGTCTTCTTGCGGGTTGTCGGCGGGCGTGGCACGGATGAATGTCCAGGGCTTCCTGCGAGACGAGAGCGAACAGGGAGGAGGAGGATTGGGAAGAGGGCCAGTGGCAGCGCAGACGGTCGAGGAAGCGCTGCGTCTAGGGAATGTTGGCATAGGCAGTGGCGTCGAAGTCCCCAGCACGGTGCGCGACGATGCGGACAAGCGGGAAGTTCCAGTGTTCTCCGCCTTCCTTGAGCTGGGATTCAATATTCATCTTCATCTTTGTCTTCTGGCCTGCGACGGGGACGGGAGCGACGCGTTCAGCGGGACAAAGACGTAGTCGAGCATGAGCAGGTTGGTGCCAATGGCAGCGCGAATCTGGTACTGCAGGCGCTCCTCCATACATGGGCCGCCGGGGGACTGCTGGTAATCAATAAAGGCGCCTATGCTTGGTGCAAGGAGCGTAATGTCCAGGATGGCGGGAGCAGTGGTGCTGAGGCGGTGGACCAGCTCCGTGACCTGCTAATGCAGCTGGAACACGTGTAAGAGAATGGTGTTGCACGCATCCTATTTGCCTAGCTTAAGAGACGTTATGTCGGCGAGGTAGAGCAGGAGAAGGTCGAAAAAGATTTCGCTGGCAAAAACCGACTGCGTTGCTGGCAGGGACAACTTCAGCTTCCGCATTGGCATCTTTTTCGGACTCCAAGTTAGAGTCGACGATGGGGCACGCTTTGGACTTCTCGTAGATTTGGTAGCTTGTGCTACAGGTGGAGCCTTCTTCTGCTTCTAGGTTTCTTTCCGCATCCTCTGCGGGTGGTGGATGGGGAATTGCCTTCTTGAGTGGGTGTACCGTAGGTAAATGTACTATAAATAATTGTACCGTAAGCAACTGTGCCATAGCAAGTATCCTATAAGTAATCGGGTACATCCTTCAAGAGCTCGGGATGGACCCACCGCGCCCAGCATGTGAGCAGAGCGCGAACATAGTATTTTAGAGACTGCAAGGGAGGTATACCGGCCCGCTCGCCCGTCATGAATATGGATAGTATAGGGGAAATGTTGTGCGTGTTAAGGTGCCACGTGTGCAGAGGGCTGCAGCTTGTGTTTTAAAGTAACACAGGAACACCGATGGCAGGGGAGCCTACTAGGAATTAGCGTTACGAGTAAAAGAGGGGTGGAATACGCTGTATGTAGTTGGAACCAAACGGAAGCGTCGAAACGGCGAGCATCTCCTCGAATAACGTAAGGCAATGGGGCGCAAATGCAGATCCGGCCACCTACCCACAAAAAACCCTTAATCAAGTTTTCGTTCATCCAGCGACTGCTCTTCAGTCGAGAATACAGTGCTTGTGGGTAGCTCTGGATGTTAGCTTGTCCTTACCCTCTGATCCCATCCATCCATCCATCCACCTACCTGCCCTTTGTCGGGCGGCTGTATAATCAGCACCATAGACCCTCCCACCATCCAGGCTCTCCTCCTCCTCGTCGAACTCCCAGTAAAAACAATCCCCATTCCGACATCAACCTAGGCCGATCCCCACACCCTTCCGTCTTCTCGCAGCCTGTCACACTCCGCTCGCGCTTGATCTAATCTGAATTCCCCTGTGCGAGCGTATCCCACTCACTCAACATGTTCCCCTCCAAGACGCGCCGCACACTCTGCTGTATACATCGTGCCTCCAGTGCGTCAGCCACGCGAGAAGAACGTGCACTGCCTTACCAAGTACCTTGCAGCGCAGCAGGAGCAGTTTAGAGCCGCAGACCAAGTTTTCTGCAGCCTAAGTGGAGGCCACGGCGCTCAGGAGACGGTATGCGGACCTGAAGACGCTGTTGTTGGAGTTCATGTCACCCGAGCAGGAAAAGCGTGCGCGGTAGTTGCGGCGACAATGATGCCGCCTAAAGATGTGGAGAGGATGGCGGGGTCGCCGTAGATCAAAGTGGTGGTAGATCTAATGAGCCATATACGGAGACTGACGGGAGAGGCAGTAACACTGAAGAACAGTACTGAGGTCAGGTATGTGTATGCAGCATATCATTACTTCCACACTCGCCGAACCTTTTCACTCAACACCCGCTCAGTAACCGGACGGCAGACGGGGTAATCGCTGGGCTTCTCATAGTTGGAAAACTGAGAAGACCAACACGACGGCTTCGCTAGCGGTCATCGAGCACGAGAGAGATAAGCCAAGCAAGTCGCGCGCACGCCTGGAAGCGCGTACCAAGACGCTGGAGAAAGGAGCGACGTCGACGAGAAGAGACCGGAAAGGTTGGCCGTCAGGTCAAGAAGCTCGTATTCCGGAAGAGGGGCATCAAAGATAAAAGTGAAAGGATCCGTAGGAGCTCAAAACGGCGAAAGACAAGAATTTCGTACCAAGAAGAAGCAGAGACGCAGAGAGAAGGCAAAGGAAGAGCCGCAGGTTGAGTATGAAAAGGATACAACGGTTCGGCGATGCGGTCAGCCGCTCCGGTCACGGAGCTGCTGGCGGGCGTCAACAGCGAGGCAGCGAAGCCAAAGTCCCAACGGCAAAATCAAGGCACTGGAGAACGAGCGGGACGGCCAAATACAGCGGAACGAAAAGTTGAAGGCGGAGTCGGCACCAGGAGGGATGCAATGGCGGGCTGGCAGCGCGGCGGGACGGTAGAGAGGCGGATGTCGGTGGCAGCTCGCCACGGCCCCGAAGACGAGCTACGACGACAGTACCGTTGTGCTGCGCAGCCTGGTCTCCTTCATACTAGACAGGAAGTCTACGGAAGAGAGAAGAGAGCAATCGTCGTGGGAGACAGAAGGCGACGCTAGATCGGGAAGGGGAAACGAGGTGGTCCTGGTTCGATTCGCCGAGGAGATGTTACGTAAGCGAAACCTAACAACCATTGCACACAACCTCCGCTCGTCAATTATTCCTTCCTCTGCTCATCCGACAATTCTTCTTTGCGCTACCCATCCGAAAATTACTACTTGAGCTGCCAGTCCGACAATACCTCGCGCTGCCCGTCTGCCGATTCCGCACACTACCATCCACCATGCACCACCATGCCAACGTCGAGAAACGCATCAATCCACGCCGCGTCCTCGCGAAACCCACCGATATCCAGCCAGAACCACCGCACGGCGACAAGATCTGAGTCAGCGCCGTGAGTAGACCGTCCGTGTGGCCGCGCGCCAAAGTCCCACACACGCCATCGCGAATGCCTTGGGAAGCTTCAGAGGGGCACTGTTGCGCCGTGTTTCCCACCGCGCTCGATCCAGACACTGGCGGCGATTTCGCGGGCTACGATGGGGCGCGTGCAGTACTATAAGAGAGCTTTGAAGAGCTACGGCGGCGGCGCGGCCATGATCGAGCACGATGTTGGTGCTATTGGCGAGGCTGCGCACCTGCGCGTCCCGGCCTGCCTTTATGTGCTTCGACGAGGCTTGCTGCGTGGCCGTCCCGTTCTTCTGCGCGAGACGACCTGGTCCTCGTTCCGCACTAAGGTGAATTTCTGGAGCGCACAGTGCGTTTCGCAGCTTCCACGGCCACGCGTTTGAGGGCCATGTCGATGGCTTCCTCGCCGGGCATATCGGCATGGATTTGTAGTAGAGCACGCTCTAATGTTGATGGACGTGCTTGGAAAGCACCTCGAGGGGGCCCTTCATTTCGTCAACCCAGGGGAGGGACGTTGGTGTCGAGTGGCAAGAAGGTCGGTGACTACGGCGCCTACAGGACGTCACTATTTGGCTAACCAGCACGCAGACGCAAGCATACCGCCTTCCGCCGTAACACAATGTCCCCCAGCTTCATCAACCGCATCCTCATCCCCTTCGCCCTCGTCTCCACCTACGTAACTGATTCGACGTCCAGCGCGGCATCACCGAAAAGGAGGCCAAAGGTGACCAAAGGTGACGATGGGAATGGAGACACAACGGAGACGGAGATGGGGACAGTAGAACGAGATGGACAATGTCGACAAGGGCAGCATGCGCTTCAAAGCCATGGGCAGGAGGACACCGATACCCACATGGTCACACAAGGCAATGCGGCGTCGTTGATGAGTGGGAAAGCCTTGTTGACCACGGGCTTGGGTGCAGGTGGGCTGGGCCGAAGTCGATATGATAGCGGTTGCCCTCATCGCCCCGTCGCTGGGGGAGGGCTGTTGGTGTTCATGAAGGGCAAGATGGAGAACACCAAGCGGAACGAGGTCGTTCGACAGATGGTCGAATGTTGTTGCCGGATATGGTTACTACTTCACGTGACCTGGTCATGTATATATATAGCTATATTTCTCGTATTCTTAATTAATTAACTTATGTCTTAATACTCTATAATTTACCTAATAGTTATAAGCCTAGATTTACCTACTACTATAAATTAAACCTGCTAAGTTTATTTAATATAATTAGAAGATAAAGTTACTAACTTATACACCTCGTTATTACTAACAGATTCTAGAGTTACTCTAGAAATACGCTATATATAATTAAATTAGCTCTACGTACTATAATTTCTATAATAGAGAATACTATTACTATTACTAATGTTACAAAAGCTATTAAAATACTTAGTATACTATAGAATTAGCCTTACTAGAAGTTTCTTATAAAGAAAAAGGCTATATAATATAGAGTTTAGGCCTACTATAACCTAGATCTAAAAGAGATAAAACGTAAGAGAATTTAGAAGAAGCCTAAACGTCTAATGCTATTAATAATTAAGTAAGAAGCTATAAAGATAGAGAACCTTAACGCTAATAAAAAGTTAGAGTACTAGAACTAGAAAGAAAGGTATAAGAAGAACTTTAAGAAGTACCTTCTTATATAGAAAGGTCTAAGAGAAGTATTAGTATATATTACTATAATAATTAATACCTACCTTATACTATATATTATAGATAAGAATATAGTCTATAAGAGGCTTATAAGCTTAAAGAAATAGGTTATAATAACTAACGTATTACGTTAAGACGTACTACTAGAATAGTATAAGAAAGTTTAGAAGACCTAGAGAGGTAATAAACTAGATAACTAGCTTAATAAATAGATTTAGATTACTAACTATATAGCTAAACTTAATATACTAGACGTATAGAGTATATAAGCCTAGAGAAAGCTACTTAAGGCTCTTTAACTAATTAATAAAGCGTACTCTACGCTTAGAATTACGTAGCTATTTACCTAGCTAGAAAATTAAGCTTCTATAGTACTAGACCTAGTAGTAGAGTTTAGATAGCTATAGAAAGCTACTAAACCTATTATAGCTAGCCTAGAGACGTATATAATACTAGGTATAGCACTATAATAATAGAACTAGAGCTAGAGACGTAGTAAGTTTTAAGAAGAGATACTAGAGTACTTCTATAGGCATTGCTACTAGTTTAGCTAGTACTTTTACGTTAACCTAAAGATCTATCTAACTAGCTAGAAGCCTATTCTAGAAATTTAGGCTAAGTTTAATAAGAAAAAGAAGAAAAAGAAGTAGGCTAAGAAGCTTAAATAAGCTACTAATTAGTTCTCTAAATAGCAAAATAAACCTACGCTAAAAGCGAGTACTACTCTACTAAGCTTTAATAATAATAAGCTAATAAGTAGTACTTCTTCTACTAACTCTATATTCTACTTCTTTAGTATAATAGTTAAGGTTTTAGAAACTTAGAAGATAGTTCTAATAGCTCTATACCTTATTAATAGGTAGATCTATAACTCTAGCTCTAATATTTACATCTATAACTTAGAGAATTAGGGCTAGAAAAAGATAGTAGAAGCTAACTTAAACGTTATTATATACGCTAGAGAGCAAGCTATAAGAGTTAAAGCTTAAAGAGAGGTAATTCTCTAGACTAATACTCTATTAGAACTAACTCTAATACGTCTTATCTATATAGCGTTAGTAGAGAGCTTCTTTATAAATATTATAGAGCTTACGCGCTCTTAAGATATTAAAATCTACTTTAACTCTAGTAGAAACATTCTATATAAGAATAAGCCTAGTAATATAGTCTATAACTTAGAGTATAAATAGAGATACTAGCTACTTAATATAGACAAAAATAGCTACTCTAATCTATAGAAAATATTTACTATATTTATAATAGTATATTAACTATTAAAGAATTTATAACTAGTAATAATTACTACTAGAGCTAAGGCCTATTAACTATAGGTATACCTAAATAAGAAAGCTATTACGTATCTAAAAGAGGCTATTACTAGCTTTAAGCTTAAGAAGAATATACCTCTAGTTAACTAGAAGAACTATAATACCTATATATAGTTAAAAATAAATTATTAAGTCTTCTAGAGACCTAGATTAACGCCTATAAAGCGTTTCTTCTACTAAATAGAGATAGATTTAGTTTAACTACTACTAATAGAAGAAACCTATTTTAATAAGAATAAGTAGAGACTCTACGTAATTAATAAATTCTTAGACTAGTATAAAGAACGTACGTTACTTATAAAAAGTAGAGTAGTATTAATATCTACTATACGTAGAATAATTACTAAACTATAGCGTTAATTTAAGTACTTAGTTATTATACTTAGAACTAATAATAAGAAGAGTTTTAGTAATAAGCTTACTAAGATCTATATTAAATTAGGTATTAAATATAAGTCTAGCTTACCTAAGATGCCTAAGTAGAATAGTTATATAGAGAAAGCTAGAGACGTGATAATTATAAAAAGCTAAGTAATAAGAATTATAGCTAGATTATCTAAGAAGCTAGCTTTAGAGCTATTTATTATAGCTATTTAGATTCTTAATACTACGCTAATTAAATTAAATAGCTAGAAAACTCTATATAAGGTAGTAATAGGTTATAAACTATTAGTAGCTTATTACGCCTCTATTAGCTGTTAAGCGTATGTTTATAGAAAGAACTTTAAGAAAGCTAATAAACTAGAAGTACGTACTTATATTAGATACCTACTAGAATAGAACTTCTTAAATATCTTTAGAATCTAGATACTCTTAAAGAATAAAGTTATTTAAACTTAAGACGTCTTATTTATATATAACAAGCTATATAAGAATAATAGTAGTAAATATAGAAAGTCTCTAGTAGTTAATATAATTAATATTAAGGTGTATAATATCTCTTATAAAGAGCTTATAGTAGAGATTAAAGATCTACTACTATAGAGCTAATTACGTCTATTTAATATAACTTTAGATAAATAGACCTTAACACTAGAGCAACACATACTAGCTAAAGAATTAGTAGAAGAAAACCTAGAAATATAAATTTAGAAGAAGTAATAATAAGCTAAGAAGCGTAATAAGTCTCTAAAGAGTTACTTAATTACTCTAGCGTTGTTAAGACACTCTACTCTATATAAAGAGAGCTTAAGAGGCGCGTTAAGAGAGACTAACCTTTCTAAGATAAGCTTATCTACTATTTAAGCTAAATTACTATAAAGACCTCTTAGAGCTATAGAAGACTCTAAATATATACTAGATAGGCACTAGAATAATACTCTACTACGTTAAAACCTTAATTCTAAAGACCTAAGTAATATAATATAGAGTAGACGCTATAGATACTCTCTCTTAAGGCCTAAATATATAGCTAGCGTAATTAAAGCATAAAAGAAAGCTTAAATATTTAACTTAATACTATTAATAAACTTGTATAACTACGTATTTATAGCTTTAGTAAGCTATATTAATAAATTAAGAGTTAATAAAGAGCCTATAAGGTTAAAATACTACTATAATTAGATACTACCTCTACCTAAGCGTTATAAGAATATTAAAGGCTATATATTTAAAGCTAAGTTTAAAGAGACTATATAGAAGAAGTTTAGTAACTACTTTAAGAAAGAGTACTTTAAGAAGACGTTAGTAACGCTAGCGTTAACTATAGTAGAGTACCTTCTACTTATATAAGTATTATTATATAAATTTAATAAAGATAGATATCTACTTAAGTGTAAAGCTTATCTAGTAGTTTAAAAAAACCTTTAAATATAATAGGGCGATACCTATACTACTACCTTAGTAGTAAGAACCTTTTAAGCTCTAGTAGCTATAGTAACTACCTTTAGATTACTAATATATTAGTACAACGCTATAAACGCCTTTCTAAACGTAAAGCTTTTATAAAAGCTCTACTACTATACTCTAGAAGGTTTTACTAGTTAGTTTAGCAAGCTTTTAGAGCTGTATTAAGCTCTATATAGGCTAAAGAAAGCACCTCTACTATAGTATAAGAACCTTACAGAGACTCTTAAGAAGTTAGAACTTATTAAAATAAGTATTATACTATGTCTATAGAGTAGCGATAAGCTTATAGTCTTCTTCTTTATTAATAATATTATTGTACTTATCTACCTAGATAATATAGACGTTTACGCAGAGTTTAAACGCCGCCTACTTAAAAAGTATAAGATTAGAAAGATAGGTTAACTTAATTAGTTTCTAGGTATACGAGTTGTAAGAGACATAGAAATAGCGTTAACCTAGCTAATTTAGAATTTCTTTATTAATAAGGTTGCTAATAAGTTTAATCTACTTCTAAAACTAGGTACTAAGTATTTACAATTCTCTATAAAGAAGAACGACCTTGTAAAATCTATAGAGGCACCTAATAGAGAGTAGATAAAGCTTTTCTAGTAGCTAGTTAGCTTGCTAGTATATATTTTCTACTTTATACGTCTAGATATATTAAGAGCTTACTTAGTATTAGCTTAATACTTAATTAACCTAGGTTAATAATATCTTTACGCCGCTATACACGTATAGTAATACCTTATAGAGTTAAAAACTCTTATGCTTAAAGTATTATAATATACTATAAAGAAGAAATACTTCTAGAAGGTAGATTTTAAAGAGCCTATCTTCTATAGAGCCTTAGATACTTTATTTAGTAATAATCTAGATACTAGAGTAAGCTCTAAAGGCTATATCTTTAAGCTATATAGATTACCTATAGATTAGAAAGCTACAAAATAATAGATAGTAACTAAATTAATAACTAAGGTAGAGCTTCTAGCGCTTTTAAAGATAGCTTTAGAAATAGAGTAGTAGAACCTACTTTTCTACTACCTAAAGCTAAACCTTAATATTAAACTAAAGCTTTAGTATAATAATTAGTAGACTATAGATATAGTAACTAAAACTATAGAGAAGCTTTAGATAAAGCTTAAACACGTTAATATATACTAAATATAGCTCTGCTAGAAAGTTAAGAACTAAAGAATTAATATTAAATAGATTTCTATAAGTTAAATACTAGCTAATAGACTTATAAAGGTTCTATTACCTTAGAAACACGCCTACTTTATTTAATAGCTAGAGCTTAAGAATATTTCTAGCAAGTTAAAGCTTTTACTATTCTTAGTAGAGTAGTAGAAGTTACCTAAGAACCTCTTACGCTAGTACTAGATTAGATAGTAAACCTAATCTAAGTAATATATACCTAATTTGCTAGTATTTTAGAACCTCTAAGGTAACTATTTACTTTTATTTTACTTCTAGCTCTACTATAGAAGCGCCTACTATACTTATTTAACTATTTTCTATTAGTTTTAACGCGTATATATACTAGTTTTATACGTAATTCTATTATATCTTATTAGGCTACGTTTATTATAATTCTTTAGATTAACTATAAAATTATTAGGCTATATTTATTATAATAAGCTTAGTCTTAATAAAATACTCTACAAGGTTGCTATAAGCTATAGAGAGCTATAGTAACTATAAAAATACTCTAAAAGCTATTAAATAAGGTGTTCTTTCTTTTTACTCTCTACTCTTAAGTTTAATTTACGTCTTTACTATTACTCTATTTCTCTTTTTACCTACGTAGAAGCTATAAAGGTTAGTAGTAGAAAGATATTACACTATTACTTAAATACTTAAACGCTCTACTATCTAAACCTAACCTCTAGAACCTATATTAGACTTTCTAATTAGAAATAGGCACAGCCTTATACATAGATCTCTTATCTCTCTACTTTCTATACTTCTCTTTTAACTCTACAGAGTTCTCTTATAAGAGAGGTAGCTCTTATAGAATACTATAGTACTAAGGAGTGTATTTATAGAAGATAATTATTAATTACCTTTTTAGGTATAGTTAAAAGCCTTACCTTCTTAGACAGCTTTCTGTATACACTCTAAGCTAGGGGGGTGTGTTGCCGGATATAGTTACTACTTCACGTGACCTGGTCATGTATATATATAGCCATATTTCTCGTATTCTCAATCAATCAACTCATGTCTCAATACTCTGCAATTCACCCGATAAATGTGAATCAGCCTAGGACAGGACGAGATGTTTGAGGGTACAAAGAACGATAAGAACAGCGCAGCAAATCTTCTCGGAGCGCTGGAAGAGAACGATGCCATGGAGGTTTATCTTCGATCGGTCGACGCGCACGATTCCTGTCTCCCCAGCAGCTTACCGTCCGGGGACTCGGGACGAGCCTCGAAAAGCGAGGATAGGGTACGGCTCTGGGAAAGGAGCCCAGATTGAATTACTCAGATATAAGGTTAGAGTGCGAGAGGAAGACGATGTCTTGTTGATTCTGGATGCTTGGGTTAGGCTGGCCGAGGTTCCCTTCGAGTCATCGGCTGGAGTGGTCCTCTGGTCTTTCCAACCCAGCACGTCGCTGTTGCTTCGAGTCTCATAAATGCGCAAGTCCTTGGTGATGACCTTGACGTCATTTACCGCTTCACCTATCCTCACAGTATGCATATCTCGGTCCGTGTGTATATCACGTGTCGAAATGCCGAGGTGGTCAATGTCTCTATAAGGCAATTCTAACCTCGTACTCTCTACCTAGGTACTCTACAGTCCGTCCCGCTGCGACCCAATTGCGACCCAATTGCGACCTCGACTCGGAAACCCGATCTCAACACAACCTCAACGGTAATGCAGGACAGCGATGACAAGCGCAGAATTTCAACCCAGTCTCCAGACAAAGTCGTCGGCGGCACAATGGTGAAGGCGGGAGAGAATTATCCGGAAATTCACCAGGGCGACCCAATTCCAATTTCGGATGCAGATCAACATGTTCAGAGCCTACACCACGGCGACCATTTCACGCAGCCACCAGAACCAAAACACGGCATGCACACCTTTCTCGCTTCTCCATCTGCACACGGTCAAATCCAACTTCCTTCCCTAGATTCCTCGTCTCCCATCGACGAAGCTCTCCGCTTTATCTACCAGCTTTCCACGGGCACGTTCCACTGCTCCCACTCTTGTGAGTACTTCAGCATCACACTTTCTCCCAGCGAATTCGCGACCCTGGAAGCTCACATTGCCGCGGATCCCGAGCTCCATCGCTGGACCCAGGACAAACTGCGCGCCAACTACACCGAAGACGACAACAGCCTCCTTATCATGATGGAGACTCGCCTCCATGCCATGTCGTCCCGCGGACTCGAGAGGGAGATCGAGCAGACACTGCACTCGGAAGCTAAGCCCTTCTTCGACTCTGGTAACATCGTCAAACCATGCGCTGGATCCAAGAGCACCGTTACTTTCCCCCATACCTCAAAGCGAAAGAGCCTGCTAACCCCTGACGGCTCTTTTCTTTGCCTTGGGCGGAAATTCCCCACCGTCACCATGGAAGTCGGTGTCTCGCAGATGGAATCCGACCTCTGCGAAAAGGGCACCAAATGGATCAAGCTCTCCAAGGGTCAAGTGCAGGCTGTTCTTTGCATCAAGATTGAGTCCTGGGACGACCAAATGTGTGCCGATTTCCCTGCGTCGAGTCGTGTCCCAAACGAGCCGACATGCAGGCGCAAGGTGTACTACTGGATCCACCGTCCACGCCAGACTGACACCGCCGTTGATCCTACCGAGACGCCAATCACGGTTGTGCGCCAATGCAACGGGACTGTACACGAGGGGTTCATTTGTCTGAAGTTGGCAGATTTTGTTCCGCCACCATGTCCCGACTTCGACATTAAGATCTCGCATAGGAGGCTTCTGGGGATTATAGATGAGGCGGAGCGATATGAGGAGGACGATAGGCGTTTGAGAGTGGGTGACAGGACTGGTAACGAGACGGTTGAAGGGTTGGATGATGAGACTGACGAAGAGACGGACAAGGACACAGACGAGGACACGGACAAGGAGGTACATGATGCGGACGAGGCTGATGATGCGGATGAGGTCGATAAAGGTAGACGTGGAAGACGAGGTAGTGGAGGCAGATGAGGTAGACTAGCATGTAAAGGGAGGCGTCTCTGCAGAGAAACGGGCCACGGGAACTAAGGATATATTGATTGTTCATGATGAAGTGGAAGCGAGAGTCCCCCTTAGCCATCAGCGCTTCTCCCATAACAAGCCGCTGCCCTTGTGGGTCAAACATGCCCCTTGCGATGTCCCTCGCTGTCTCCCAACCGATCACTACTCCGCAGCGGTTATCTCAGGAAAGACCTACAGACGTGAGCTCACCATCCAATTTTTGTTTGCGCGACTCTTCGTGGCCGTGACGTAGGCGGCGTCTCCCTCCAAAGCGCTGGGTCTGAACTGGTTCGGTCAAGTCTCAGTCGGTGATTGATGAGCGACTTGGAAGGCGAATACGGCAGCTTGGCCAGCTCGCATTGGAGCCCTGGAGATGACTTACGAAGACGGCAGCCGGTCGAGCCAGAGGCAAAGGCTTACCGGCCTGCTGTTGCCAACTCGCACCTCGCACAGTGGCTTTCACCACGACCTCCTCACCACAAATTTCCCCAATCGTCCACACACGGCTCCCATAGACCACCCTTCCCACGCATTCTCTATAAGTACGTACTCCTGGCCTTCTTCTCACCTACGCCGCCACAACCCATGCGACATTGCAGTTTGCAAGCCCGAGAACCTGGCTTCCAAGTCTTAACCCGACCTGCGTTGAAGTCACAGGCCTTTGTCAAAGGCCCTTAGAGACTCTTCACGGACCGCGTGTCTCGCAGATAATCGTATTGAGACCTGGCGTCGACGAGAATCCGCCAATTTCCGCTCTCATCTTCGGCGACAGCTTCCTCCGTCTGAATCGGAAACGCTTCTAGACGGCCAGGCAGCGACGCTATGTCGGTGATGCTTGCTCAGGTGGGGTAGGGACATCAGAGCTATTGCCAACGCCCGTGTGATTTGGGACTTCGACCTCAAAACCAATGCCTGCTGGCTTGACGGCTTGTGCCAGCCGAAGATGCCTACAGAAGTAAGCCGCGAACCTCAATGCGAACATAGGTCCAGAACGACTGGCAGCGACAACGCGTGCCTACCTGCCGCCAAGTCCAATCCAAGTAACGGCTCCCCGATCTTAGCAGTGACATCAATCCGTAGTGAGCCAAGCCCAGATAGCTTCACATCTTCGCAGATTTGCACTTTCATAGTGACGGTAACAGCTGCTGGTGCACCCAGCCCTCGCCCCTCAACATTATCCCCATTCCTGTCTTCCCACAGTGGTACACGATCGTTACTGAACGGGCAAGCTGACCAGAACGACACGAAGCGTTTTGCCGGCGATTGCGCCTGCGTGTCTTCCGCTTCGCTATGCAGGCTGCTGCTTAGCTTTTTAGTGTCCGCATAAGTTAAACCCTGCAATATGCTGACCCGTCTCTTGAAATAGATAGGTGTCGACGAAGAAGACCGTGAAGCTCCTCCTAATGCTGGCTGGATTACTGATGCATGCTCAGTGGAGCCTGCGGACCTCGTTTCGGAACATAGGAACGGGTTTTGCTGCTAGTTTCATGCTCGGCGAACACGCTGCGACAGCCAGAGAGCTTGTTTGGGCTAGAAATTGGTCGACATGTCTCCTCCGCTGCTTCCCCAACCAGCATCCCTGTGGCCTGTGGAATACGCCTTCGACGTGAGCAATCTGGAACGGCGACAGTTTCCGTCGCTCTGGATACTGTCAAGGTCTCGCAGTCATGTTCCGAGGAGAGAATCCCATTCTTGTCCGACTAATAGGGTAGGGGAGACGCTGTTGCTCGAGGCTGAAGACGACGCTTACGATGCTCACTATCGTGTCGTCGTACCTCTTCCGAGCGGGTCTACTCATTACCCACATCAATTCACCTCTCTATCCTTCTTCTTCTCGCTCACATTCTAGGTATCGCGAAGGACACTTCCTCCGGCAGACATCGGTGCCCACGTTCCTTGCGTCACGGGTGCACGTACCTCTTTCCACAGCATGTTCTCCCTAGGAAGCGGACCGGCAGATGCACAGGAAGGCCAAGCAAAACGAGACGGTGCAGAAGTTGAGATCGGGAGTCGCCATTGAAGAGATGTGATGTGTGGATGACTTGGTGGGGTGGTCGCCGAAACCCCGGACCAGCAAACTGCCTTCCTTAGTCAGCACCGTTATCTTATCGTTAGGACCATGCCTTTCATCCGCCAGCAAGTGCCCCTGCTCCTCCGCTTCTTCCTCCATCACCGCCGAACTCTATACATGGGCGAGGCACATGCTTAGCACGGCCCCTTCCGGATTAGAAAGAGCCGTCATTTTTTTCCTGCACCGGTTGTGGAGGCGCGGCTTGCCCCAGGCCACTAAGGTGGATACCTAGATGACAAACCCGGAGACCCAGCCCTGGGCTATGCTGTCGTTTGCGATTACGTCTACGCCAAGTGCGAATTCCGTGCACAGAAAGAGAGGCAAGGTGCTGGAGATGAGGATGGGGGTGGCCTTAAGACGCTGATGAAGAACAAGAGACGGGATGGACTGCAAAGGGCAGTCTCCGCATGACGCACAGCATTCACACTCTCGTACCTAGGTAATCTCTAATGCCTCCATTCAAGAAGCTCTCATCTGACCGTAGCGTGTTCTGAAGAGAGGAATGTGGCATGGCGTCGCAGGAACCACATCTACCCAATCAGCATATTAAGGTGTCCCGAACCTGGCTATCCCACCGTTGTCTGCGGTATACCTCGACTACTCCACAACACCAACCACGAGTTAGGAATTATGACGGCTCTTCTTCCCGGCCCGCTGTTGTTTGGGCCGCAACGAGCATACTGGGTTGAGAAAGTGAAAATGGTCGAGCGAGTGAAAACAGTCGATCGAGGCACTGCGCAGCGCTGCGGGGACTTTTTTCATGCTCCCGTATGTCCCTGCCTGCGACGTCGCGACTAGTTCTACGGCACTCAACCCAACAGCTGCGAATCGACTCCCCATCTCGCAACCACATCCCGATATTCAGGAGAGAGCGACAATGCATGATTTCTCGATCTGCCCGCTCTGCTATAAGCTCCTCTTTCGCGGGGATAAACGCGCGGTTGAGGAGCACCAGAGCTCTAGGCTGTGCAGACTACGTCGCCCCTCAACTCCAAGCATGACACCCTCTACCCTACCACCACCACCGCCGCAGCCGCAGCCGCCGCCGCAGCAGCAGCAGTATCACACCTACGCGTTCAATTAGTTCAATTTCAATGCGAACAGTGTCGCTCTGAGCGCACCATGGCAAGCTCCCGCGCCTCTTCCGCCCTCTTCTGGTCTTCCTATCGTGTATCCGCCTACCTTAGCACTGACAGACTCCAATCCACCTTACCCGGCATTACCGTCACCCCTCGTGAGCGCTCATTTTCCCCCATATCCCCCACATCATGCCATGAACGCACCTTCGGCATCCGCAAACCTTTTCAATCCAGCGGGTGGCGCAGCCTTGAGACTCCCTCCTGCTCCCCGCTATGCCTCCAGATATGAATTGGGTGTGGTGGGTTGCCCCACAAGCCCAAACAGCGCATCTCTACGAGGACAGCCGCGCAAAGCGTCCGCAAACTTCAACTCCAACGCCACAGTGGCAGACAACAACCTACTACAATACGGACCTACGCCCCCCGCCTCCGCCAACGCGCCTGCCCTCCGTACACCCTCAGGAAGACGGCCGCGCCATAAGCCCACCCCAAAATTTCCAGACACCGAGCCGCCAGAACGAGACGAGATACCACACCCTAGACGCTTCCCATGCCTCCCCATCACCGGCGCCAGAGGCGAAGCCTTATTTGAAGGATATACCATCTAAGCTCCTCGGCCCCAATATGTATCCCAGCTTTCAACTGTATCTACCTCGGCTTGAGCATGGTATGGCCAAGTTGCAGAACATAGTTGGTCTGCGGCGTGCATCGGAGTTGGACCCAGGATATCCCGTTGTCCGGCCGAGCAGGTGTGTGAAAGACGGTGCTATTAATGGCATGCTTGAGCAGCTCCTGCACAAGCCGAGTGGCCAACGCGCCGGCGCGCGATACGAGCAGCGAGACGGTATCCACAACCTTGAAATCGAATTCGACAAGACGAATGTGCAGGCAGTCAACCAACGCTGTGTGGATACTTTCAAGAACCCTCAGCCGGGAAAACCGGGAGTCCTTGCTCTACGTGTAATACTCGATCGCATCGGAGACATTGGCTTTAGGGTACCGGATGAGGTGCGACGATGGAGGCCACAAAAATGGGCTGCCCCTCAGCCCCTAGATGCCAATTTTTCCTTCGAAGGCACCGGCGTCGATATACATGTTAGTAAGTCCCCCCATGTGAAAGAACTCCGCGCGGTCGCGAGTAGTGGTCTAACATCCATCTAGATAGCGCGCAGATCGTGCAGGCTGCAAACTTCGGGCTTAAACTTCGGCTTTTCTGGCCACCAACTCCAGCTAATACCACTGCGTTCCTCAAATGCTCCACACCTCTGAATGCCGTCACGGACCTTCTTGGGAAGCTCGATGAAGGATATTACTTTGCTACTCGCACGGGAAACGCTATATATATCTCGGAAGGCTGGCTTCATGCCACGTATGCACTGGAAAGCAGCATCGTGGTGGGTAGTACTTGGAGTACTACTGAAGGGCTGGAGCTTGCCGCTCGATTTACAGCCTGTAAGGTCGGCCAAACCCAGGCATATATCCAAGAGGTAGTGGTACTGGCGCAATGCCTTCTGATGGCGCTAGGGATCTGGGACGGGAAGGGCGCAATGCCGGAACCCGCCACTACAAAAAACACCAAACGTACTTCGAGCCGCAGTGCAGCATCCAAGGCCAAGCGAAGGAAAACCAACAGAGCAGCCAACACCCAACAGGAGAAGCTGGAGGGGGAGGGACCGCCACAGCGAAAAGAGGAGGTTAGGCAGGCTCTGCAACTGATATGTCCCAGGGTCATCAGCTCACAACAGGGCATATCCAAATTAGGCCAGCTGAATCGGCTTACCGGAGACCCGACCACCCTGAAGACGGTGGAGAGCCTCTTCCAGCTGATCAGGGAGCGACTGGAGGGGGATAGATACCACGAGAACTGCAAGCACCGCGGCAAGGACTTGCTCACGCATGTTCCCTAGACCGGGCTCCCAAATGGACCGAGCAGCGGGGCGAGTACGTTTTGGGTGGCAGATTCTGGCGAAACTTGTGCCGACTTGCTTGCTTAGGCCGATATCAATGTAGATACGAGAGCCGTTATCGTTTTGGGAGAGAGCAGTGTGGTATTTAGGGGATTGGCCAGGAGGTGTGCTTGGTTCTGCGTCTTATGTTGCATTCTTCATTATCTTCGATGCCTTTTTTGCCTGCGCCGCTCCTTGCATTGAGCGACCCGTTCGGCCTTTTCGCTCGTACATATCTCCTGCTTCCAGCTTATATAATGTCGTCTGGCAGGGAGCAGCGGTGGGTGCACTTGTCTTGCAGGGAAATAGTAAAATTGGGCCAGCAGGGGATACCGTGCTCGTGCTCTCGTCATTGGAATGAATTGTTTGACTGCCTAAGGTCGATAGCTCATGAGAGCGCTATCATGGTCCGGAGGAAGAGCCCAAAGCTAACGTTGTACCTACCATTATTAGCCAGACCTAGGCTTAGCCGAATGTAGACTAGGGCCTATTTTGCCCCCGCTAGAGCCTATTTTGCCCCCGCTAGAGCCTTTTTAATGTTCGGGAAGGGAAGTAAGGGTACGTCGTCAAAGAAAGCTCGGCGAATCGAGTGAGGAAGGAGGTCTTGAGGGGGGCGACGGACCTGGACAAGGAGACGGTCTCCATCAGATTGGGGTGAGCATTCCAAAGTGGTGCCTAGATAGCAATACACACCGTCGACTCGGCCGTACGCGTGTTAGGCTTGAGATCCGTGTATGCGGTATCCGGTGCCTGAAAATAGTGAGGGTAGAAGTGTGCGGAAGATAACCTGCTCCAACTATGTCGGCCCGCTTCACTTTGTAGAATATACGACCACTCGCCTCACGGGTCTATCACTTACCCGGATTATCTTGTCGACTTCAGCCCTTGATACATGCAGGAGCAACCTCGTAATCGATAGATGGACGAGGTAGCCGTTCGAGCCCCTCGTTGCGTTAGACATTCGACCTCGCTCGATCCCTAGCGGGGATTGTAGGCAGCGAATGTGTTCGCCGTCGGCGTGGAAGAAGCTCTGGTTGTAGAGGTATGTGTGTGAAGTGTTCGAAGTCCTTCACTCTCGCAACTTTATATTCGTTAAGTAGTTGTTGCAATAGTGTCCAAAAGCGGACGCATAGAGTGCCAGTGAGCAAACTAGCTATCTGAATGTTCAGTGAACAATCCTATAATAATCTGCGCCACTAAAAAGAAAATAGGCAACCGCCACAATCCATCTCAAATGCTGCCGTCAGACGCGATCGTTGTGTGGACTATTCTATTCAGAGGCATAGTGTATATTGATATCCGCCTAGGTGTTGGAAAGCCTAGACTTTACCGGTGTCATTACGCATGCCAGGAAAAGTATAGAGCAGCCTCCATTTCACAAATTCAACGACAACAGACGGTCCAACTAGCCGTATCTCCATCCTGGGAGACCTCTTCACACACTGTTCCAGCCCCATCATGCTGTGATTTGCTGTAGCCAAGCGGGTCTGGCACGCTTCGATCGAGCATGGACAGAATAGTGAAGCCTGTCATTCTATTTCGAAACCTTACACCTTTTCCTGGGTGGCAGGCACAGGAAGGAATGAAACGTACTCGGGCTTTGCGTTGACACTTCCTTCCGACGACTAGAATCGCGTGTGCGGATCCCACGCCTCGACCTAAGTAGCTATCTCTGTGCGGAAGGCCTCCAATGCACCAACGAACTTCATCATCGACGGCAGCGACGTCACGGTGTCCTACGGTTTGCTCGAGAGCAGCTATATGACGCGATACACGGACTATTCGCGGACGCCTGCGCACCATGCTGTTCGCAACACTTTCACTGCCAAATTGCATTCCCTTCCTGATCCCGCCACCATGGACATGACTCCTACGCCGGCTCCTTCAGGCGGAACTATAGAAAACTGTGTTTCGCGCAAGCATCTCTTAGTAAGAGCGCCTCGGGGAAAGTGTATTCCCCAATGATACGCACTTGAGGCTAGAAGGTTAGAAACCGAAAAGAGCCTGGATGGGAACGAGACGGATAGGAAGTAGAGGTAGAGGTAGGTGTATAGGAAGAGAAAAGGACACGAGTCTAAGAGATGGAATCTTGGCTCTGTTCACTTTAAAGGAGCTAGTACTTCGGACGATTAAGCTCTTCGGCGGCATTCGTAAAACGCTGCAGAATTTTCGTTGCTGGACAAGGATCCTTCTTCAAAAGGCAAAGATGGACATGCAGATCAACATGATGAGGGGTAGCGACCCGCTCCTTACATAATGCAGTTTCAAATTTGAAGAACAAAGGCAAAAAGAGGGAGGTTTTTCATCACTTCGCGTGGTTTTGCTTCATCTGCCCTGCAGGAAGAAATGTGGAATAGTTGCATAGCTTTTAAGACGCTAGGTCAATTCAATGATTTCAAGCCAAAAAAAAAAGGCATTCGTAAGTGATGTCGATGCCGACGCCAACGCTTCTAATGAGCAATTCGCCCTATCTTAAAATGCCACCGACTTTCATTCTCCTCTCAGGCTTCTCCTCAGCACTCGGTCCCACTGTTCCTGAGCTGGTTCCTGAGCTGGTTTGCGTCATCTGCGCCTGTTTGCATGCCCGCCGCCTCTACGAAAATAAGTAACTGGACTGGAGGAAGACGCACCAGAGCAACGCATAAACTTCTTTCAAGGTTGAGCGCAGGGAAAGAAATGCTACATACGCTGCCGAGATCTTGTGAGTTCCTCCCCGAGTTGAGACGCTGATGGAGCGACCGAGGAGCGCCGAACGGGAGGTTCTCGACGTCCTAGACCTCCGATGGCCCATGATCCTGACTGGTGGTTTGTCCACCTAAGAAGTGACAAAGACGAGCCTCTAATGCCACGAAGAATTAGACGCATCTCTATCTACGATAATGACCTACGTTGGCCTTCAATCCATGATATCATCACCTTTCTATATCAGATTACCCTTGTCTTGCCTTGATACACCGATGCCTGCATTGGCGTTCCCGTTTGGAAACGCCGTATCGGAGTTCCGTAAGCTCGTCTGGTTTATCTGGATCGTCTCGTATTGACTAACCTGTACTCTGTTGCGCACCTTATATTTCCGTGTCTCGACGTTCTTTTCAAGTCCCTCAGACGCCTTCGGATGGTAGGTCTGGAATTAAACTGCATCCGCATTATCAATTGACTGTATTCTGGCGGGGTTATGAGAAAGCTGTCATTAGCTTAGGAACGCCGGAACTTCTTCCCGTCCTCGCGTTGCTACCTTAGGGATGGCTCTACACGGGTCGTAAGTCTGCTTAGTCCTACAGGCCGCGAGCCGCCGCGAAGAGGAAGAATAAGATACGTTGCTGCTCCATATTAATAAGTTGATCCTTTTTCCCAATGCCGATAGACCCCTGCTTGAACCCACACCTTGAATTACCTAAGGTCTACACATCGGGCATGCGCTTGAGCAGCTACTACCTAATATCTTGGAATAGAATGCTGTTAACGTCTGCGTTGGCGCTTCTCTTAGGGTCCTTTGCTCCCCCCTACGTTTGATTCTGGTTGCGGTTTAGAATTAAGAATCCTCCCGTAGAGCCGCTCGCTGAAGAAGAGGCTTCTACATCTGCCGTGCCACGGAGATTTCTCGGTAAGGCCGCGGCTGCGGCTGTCCAAGTCGAAGATGTAGCATCCGTGCCACACCTGCTTTTAAGCGGGAACTTCGGGATCGGAATCCGGCGGCTCGACGGGTGAGCTGGCGCTTTCGTAATCGAAGCTGCCGTGCTGGAGAACGCGGCTAACTTCGGGGTGGTGTTGAGGCTCGGGATCAATCCGCATGCACGCCCGGATGGCGCGCAAAGTGCGTGTTTGCTGTTGCGTGGCCTCGACGACATTGTGGAACGCAATTATGGCTGCTGTGTTCGTTCACGGGCGTCAGTTTCGTAAACACGGTATCGCTGGCCGTCAGTTGCTGCTGAGCATTTGCGAGTAAGACATCTGAACCTGGAGTCGCGACTTGCGTATCGTCCACGCCCGCCCAGGGCGCCACCCGCCCCTGCGTGTCCGTCATGTTTGAATTTTTTGCTTGAGTGTTGAGGTTGATGTTGTGTGGTGCTCGGCGAGCGAGCTGGAAGCGTGTACGAGATGCACGACGCGGGGTAGACGCGCTATCACGTGCCGCGGTCGGCACCTGCAATATCTGGAAATTTTGCCGACCTCGTACGTCGACACCCCTCCACACCAACTGGCATGTCCCTACATCTTTCTACTCCGCAACGACAGGCTCTGGAGGACTTCTACGAGGACCAGTACGGGCCGCTTCACGATGTTGTCGCCACCCACGGGCAATATCTCGTCTCTGGCGGCTCAACACCGGCCTTACCCTCCCAGGCCTACTTCAACCGCACCTTCTACGAAGATCTCGTTGAGGCGTTGCGTCTGCTGCAGGAACAAATCATCATGCGCCCTCAGCTCTACGGCGACGAGGCTAAGGAATCCCGCCCTGCACATACCCCGCCCGAGCTGCGCGCCCAGCATCAGAGCAAGGAGGAGCTGCACCTGCGCGAATTCATATACACGATGGTTGCGCCGACGCCCAGCAGCTCTGGTGCCTCGACTCCGCGACGCTTTGAGTCTGTAGAGACGCATGCTACGACGCCCCCGGCGCCCTTCCCACCTACACTGGTTGAAGCCACGAAAACAATGGGTACTACGCGCAAGCGCCCGAATGCCGAAGGAGACACGGACATGGAGGAAGATGCAAGGAAGAAGAAGCGGAGACAGGATGAAGAGACACCAGAGCGTGCGCGAGAAGGTCATAGTAGAGATGCACGAGAACATACCTGCAAGATTCCAGGATGCGAGGAAGTAGAGACTGGGAGGTCACAAGAGGAGAAGCTCGAGATCCCCGGCGTTACAAGGGGGGGAGATGGAGAACCTAGAGGTACAGGAGCAGGAAGCGGAGACCCCAGAGCCACAAGAGCAGGGGGTGGAGAGCTTGGAATCACAAATGAGGTGGAGAGCCCGGGGGCACAAGGAGAGAGAGTCGAGAGCCCTGGAGTCGCAAGAGGAGGTGGATGCCCAGATGGACAAAGGCAGGAGATTGCAAGTCCGGAGCGTGTGGAAGAGACTCAGACGAGATTACCAAAAGATGAGATCTGGGAGTGAGGTGGAAGCTCGAGAGTACGGAAGTTTGGGGACGCAAAACAGAAACGCAGGACTGTCGTTGGAAACTGGGTCGAGGGTTGATGGGCTGGCAAATTGCTAGTTCTGGATGAAATCGAATTCCCTCAGTCTTCCTGTCTAGAAACTTCTCCGACCACGGTTTTTTTCCCCATTGCCCTCGCATTGTTCAGTGTCCTCGAACATGTAGCCGACCACCCTAATTTGCAATGCTTTGTGTGACATAACAGCAGCTACGATATCTGGAGGCCTCATCGTAAGGACGACCACCACGGTGCACGGCACTACAGCGAGCGTCACTCAGTTTCTGGGCATCCCATTGGCATCAGCGCCGATCCGGACGTCATGGTGTGCTCCCTGCATCTGAACGAATTTGGATACGCGGTTGTTTGGGGTCCCTGGGGGTTTCGGCGATCTCCTCCGCTCCGTCCTCAATCCGTCCATCTCGATCATAGCATTGGTTCATGCTCGTCGCTCGGAAGTCTTCGCCCTGTGGTTCCGCATCATCCACCCTCTCTCTCTCCTCCACTCCCACCTTGTCTACTTCAAGCCCAGAAATTCTCTCAGGTACTCCCGCCGTCGTCTCTCCATTCGCCGTAAAAACATACAACACCTCCGCGTTCTCGCATTCGCCATTGTCAACGGCGATCACTGCTACTGAGGAAACCGCCCGCGCCAGTCCTGGGGCAGAGGAGAGGCGAAAAGCGGGCCAAGCGGCGAGAATCGATGCGAGCGTGGTTGCTTTTTGGGCGCAGAGTTCGGTGTTGCAGATGAAGCTATGGTACTGTTCTTCGGGCCCATAGACTAGCCGTCCTGCCGTAGCTACGCCCCACCGTCAAGTTTTTCAGGACTTACGCGTGCGCACACGGTAATTACCGCCGTCTCGATCTAATAAACTAACATATGTCCAAGACACCAGCGGGGAACGTGCGGTCGGTGCTAACCTTGTCGTCAATCTTGATGCCATCGGCGACTTGGCTCCCTCAAGTGCCACGATCAGGATCCGTTCTTGATCTCCGAGCGCTCCACGGTCATCGCCTGGCGCTTCTCACCCTTGGCATGCGCTGTTGTGTCATCTGTTGCTCCTCTGGAGGTTAGTCCAGTTTGTTATGAGCGGCCATTCCTGCTCGACATCTTCCTAAGTGTACTTATGGATAAGACCTTGATGAACCGCAGCACAGCCTACTACACTCAGCCTTTCCGAGGTTCTCCAATTACACGACTTCCCAAGGTCGCATCCACCTACCTGGGCACTCCCTTCGACATGTCGCCCAAGATCTGCAAGGCGGAGCAGTATGGTCCACGACGCGTTGCACACCCAGCTACTCCTCAAGTCCATCCAAACCCACTCCCTCCGACAGCCAAGTGACGGTATATGGCACCTCTTTCTCGGTATGTGCAGGAGCTGTACAACACGAGACCCGATGAATACGATGCTGAGCACGACGGCTGCCTGGAAGACAAACCGGGCTTATCACAAGAGCGCTTACATCTGAGAGGCTAAGTCGTAGGGCATCTTACCCGCCTTATTTACAAATGGGCAATTGGTTGCCAAGGTGATCTAGCAAAGTGCAAGAGTCGGGCGTTTTCAGGTCATTGTCAAGCGGTTAAGGATACTTCGGCCCGATTTCATCGTTGCAACTGGAATACCCTTCCAGCTTAGATGAGGGATGTTCAGAATACACTCGCCGTTGCCATGTAGGATGATTACTGCGCCTCAGCTATTGTGGTGTTGTTCCAAAAGACAACGGCATCGCAGGCATCTTTGTAGACTGCCTTTGACCTTGTATGGCGACTTCCAAGCACTGCGGCTTCAAGTTCTCCTCGCTAGGAGCCTCTGGTGGCTTTTCTCGAGTGGCAGCTATTAGCCCCGCCCCGTAGCGGTAATCTCATCAACTACTCTCCCCAAACTCCCCCTCCTCATAAGCACGCGCCAATTTTGCAGCACCGCCGTCGAAATCGCGAAAGTCTCCGCCCTCAAAGCTAACCGCCACGATCATTTTCTCCTGCCGATCTGGTAGCCAAATCCAGTCATGGAGAGTATGGAGGGTAGCAGGTTCGTTGACGAACATATCTTCTCATGCGTGTTCTTTGTGTGCGGAGCCCTTACCGAAAGACGAAATCCGAGGTATCGTGTGGACAGGGAAACGACTATACCGTGAATGGAGCGGAATCGAACTAGACTTGTCTTGCTCGGAAAAGCCACCATGGTGTTTACACTGAGAACGAGAGAACTCTTTGTCTGATTCACAACATACTCGCATTTTGCGAATATGTGCAGCGATGGCTCGACCAACCGAGGAACCAGTCACGAGCAGCTCGTTGCTCGTCATTCAAGTTGGAGAAGGGTTCGCATGTCAACGTCTTTGCATAAAAGAGATAGCATTTGGAATTGTCATGTCTGGTTGCTGGATGTGTGGTGGAAGACTCCACGTTTGCGAATGACGAACAGCTCATTCACGAAGGTTCACATTCCGCAGCTATGAAGGATACCATGGTCGTTAGTGTCACCTATCGCACCGACGTCTTCAGCTTCCCAACCGCATTCAACATCGCCAACCTCGCGGAGCGCAGTCCAGAACTTGGGACGAACACGTCGGCCTCAACCGTGTGCATCGCAGCATTGACTCTTCCGGTGGCGATCCAGACCGCGTGGCCATTCCCCACCGATCTGGAAGGCGTACACCATTGGTGTTTTGCTTACCAGCCCAACCCGTGCCTATCCAGTCCAATTTTTGGCGCTGCCATCAAGCACGCAGAACGCACTCGAATACCCCTCCCAAGAATCGCAACGTCGATTACACAGATGCCACCTCACCATTCCGATGCGTAGCGGAATCCCAATCAACGAACTTCGGTATGCGCAAGTAAACTGTGGGATTGATCTTGGCTTGGCCAGCGAGGACATCGCCGTTGCGCACGACTCGCAATTCAGACAAAAGTCTGGCACGTCTGGGTGCATGGCGATGATTGCAGCCTGGGCGATGCGGGAATTACGGCGCTGCCGAGGACGGGACAGATATTATGCACTCCGACCCATGGTTATTTGCCACTGAGAAGGAGTCGAATGCAACGTTGTTGGAGGTGGACTCGCTGCGACCGACAGAGGGGCTGTGGTATCCCTATTTGTACTGGTGGACCCGTGGGTGGTGTCGTACGTACCTCTGCCTATGTCGATGACCGTAATCAAGTTCCGAAGTCGAAGACGAGTAGCTGCTTGGTCCACGGGTTGGTCGGATTTTGATCAAGCAGGAGTTCAAGTTCTTGCTTATAATTGCTGACATAAACATGCCCAGGTCTTTCACCATCACTTACAGCACGATGAGCACTTTGTGTAGGTGCATCATCCTGATTCTAGTGGCCGGCATACCAATGTTCGTATTCGCGACCTCCTCGACGCCCAGCACCATGTCCACAATGATATCCATAGGTGTACATAATAACGTGTCCACAGTTGCGAACGCGGGCATGTCACACGACCATTTCATACCAGCCTCATCGAAAGCGGAGAGATCCATGGCAGTGCTGGTGGCCACGCCGTCGTTGATGGCCGACAGCCCGACCGGCTTGGTCTCCTGAACCGCGATCAGACCGATCCTCATGTTGTGCCAATAACGAGTTGGCAGCGTTGATTCAGCCAGTCGTATATCCTCCCAGGAGAAGTTGGGGCGCAGGGCGAATGTTCGGTGGGATTGGGAGGTGGCGGCGGCAGAGGGTGCGAGATAGATTGACAAGCGGTCCGGGCGGAGGAAGTGAGCCGAATAGCTGCGAGTGAAGGTTTCTGAATGCTGTTCGAATCCTGGCTTTGCTGCCCATATCAATACCTGCTTCGGAGATGCCTTGTCGGCGCATCTCAGCCTTTAGCTACCGGAGGTTCAGATCCTGGTCCTGGATGGCCGCTATTGGAGGCGAATAGGAAGGGTTGTAATTGGGGCTGTGGATTATAGGACGCGATATGAGATGGATCGGAACTCATAGGTACAATATGAGGATGCGGTCTACATGAATGCGCATGGAGAGCAAACAATCACACAGGCGGAAGGTTTTAGACGCAGGAAATACGGCAACATGGTAAATGCGTTAATCGTACCCGTGACGCTAAGTAGAGCGATGAAAGGGCCATAGAAGCTAGCGAGGTCGAAGATAGTACACGGTCGAGAAGGGTGGGGGTGCGAGCTGCAAGCGCTGGCGAGGCCTTGGCGCTTCCGTCAGCTCGACGGCGCTTCCAGCAACTCACGGCGTGTCGTCGCGAATGAACATCCCTGCATCTCATTACTCCACTACCAGTTACGACCTACTATCCTTTCTTTCGCAGTTGGCTCCTTGCCTATTGCGCCGACTGAAGAGGCGGTTCTCTACGAATTCTATTCACGACGCGCTCTCTTTTCTCACGGCCCGTCGTCCCTCACAACCCGCACCCTTTCGAGGGACGTGCCCGCCTTTCACGACCATGGCGCCCCCGTCCTACAGCGCGCTGGCACCATTGGCATGTGCTCGAGGGTGCTGAGCAGTCAATTGCCATCTAAACCATACCCCTACCCTACCAGGAGCTTCTTCGCAGTCGATCTACTTGACATTGCAACCGACCAAACTTCCGCAGATATTCTGTATGTCTGAACACAACAAAGATATGCCGGTAGTCTGCACGTATGTATCCTGTTTCGCTTAATACGACGCAAGCTAACATGACCCAGCCTCTGCGCATTCACGCCAAAGGCTCCGTCGCCTTCTATTACTCTTCCGAACCTCGTGCACGAACTGCGGCTCCCACACCCCCACCTGCGAACCCGGCCCGCCACACGTCTAAATGTTACCGAACGCGATGTTCCGCCTCATCGATCACGTCCCAACGTAAAGACAACGTCGTAGCTGCTCAGAATAATCCGAAGAGGAGCGTTGGATGCTGCTCAGCTTTCATGTTTGGTTATCGGCTTTCCAGGCTACGTGTCCTCGTAGGAAAGGGTTGAGGTCAACTTCATGGCCTTTGCCGATTTGCAGGTAGACTACGGAATACGGAGGATCGCCACCTCTACGGTCCAGAACAGAGAACGCTGGTGTCGCTGCCCCCATTCGAAAAACCAACGTGCTCATTGTCTCCCCGACTCATCCCGCGCGCATCCTTCCCTCCTCAGATGAATCGAATCAATCTTGCAAGAAACAGCCTGCCCCGCTTGCTCCCAAAATAAACTGTGGGCGAGAGTTATCAATGCCAACCAGAAAGCCGACGTCGTAATCGCAAACCTCGTCGCCATCGACTATCGCGTCGACACGCATCATCCCCTCCCCTTCGCAGCCAACAAATCGTCTCTACAGTACACAATTGGAGGTTGAAGTCTTCAGGTGGTCGGTTGGTGGAGTTCGTTCCTTCCAGCCCAGCCAATAACCGAAGTTCCAACGCCTCGGCATTCAGCCCCTGTAAGCCCTAGCATTTTTACGAAGGATTCCGGACCGAGCCGGAATCGCGGGAAAGGCCTGTGCGGTGCGCGATGCGAGCTAAGAGTGGTGATGTGGTGTGGTTGGATTAATGGGGATGGGGAGTTATGTGTAAGCCAGGTTCTTGTCAGTGGGATAGGCGGAGGGGAGTTCTTTGTTTTTGGAGTTGGCTTGTGGCTTGTGTTAGAAGGAGCGGCGGATTCGGAGTTGCAGGACCATCGCGGCTTAGATTGAGGGGTTCTGCATTGCTCGTGCGCGCAAAGTGTGAGATGCTTCGCGGTACGTCATCATTCGTATTCGTACGCAGAGTCGTAGTCTGCCTGCTGAATTATTTTTAATCGAAAGTTTGGGTGCGCGCGTTGAAAAACGTACCGCGTGGTATGTTGGAGGGGTGCGAGTATATTGCGGAGCCGTGCTTTGCGGCTGGGGGTGCTGCTGCGGATGATAGCGCTCGTCTCGGGTCTCGGAGCGGGGAGAGAGATGGGGAGAGCGGTGGAATTATTCGGAGCGGAGGGGTTCCCGTTCACAGCCGAGGCTGGCCATAGCTAGCTACTGCGGCGTTCGTGACCCGAAAGCCCTCGGGAAAAAGCGCGCATTGTCAACTTGACATGTTGGGCTTGCAGCCTGCGCATGGATGCGCGTGTTGCGTCGAGAGCGGGATCGAGAAAGAAGGAAATAATAATGTCGCGAAACGATGCGTTGCGGGCAACTCATCGTGGTTGCCGGCTGCGCGAAGGTTCGCGAACTTTTTCCAAAATAGAAAATTCCCCTTAGAACCAGGCCGCTACGAGGCGGGTAAAGAGAAGATATAACTCTTTGCATTTGCAAAGGTGCAGGACGTGTGTCTGGGAAGATTGGGACACCATAGCCTCGATGCAGGGATTTGGGTGTTGGTTCGGATCCATGGATGATGACCATACTTCGTCTTGTGGATGGACTGGCTGCACAAGGGCGAAGTAACCCACCGGCGTAGAGTCTTTGAGCATGCTCAGCATTGACGAGGCTGTAAATGCCGCATCTAAATGGTTGGCGGAAGGAAGCTGAGAGGCGACGACACTCCGCAAGTCATGGATAGATGCTGGCGGTCGTTCGGTTCAGGCTTCGTTCGGTTCGCATTGTCCATCACTACCACCTGGGCAGCGCCACCCCCGCGCGGTGCAGGATTCCACGGTTCCTGGTGCACCTGGCCTTCATGGATCACACCCCTTTCCCTTCATCGTCTCCGCTATAGGGACGCACAGCGCCCGGACAGACCGTCGAGACGCCGCGCAAGTGGATCGAATGACTTGATGGGAGCAAGAGAGGGAACTATGCGCTTCGCTGGCGGAAGGGTGGGCTGAGAGCCTTCCTCATGGAGGTGTTTAGGCGCATATCGGCTTTCGAGAACGGAGAGCCAGGAAGAGGACATGATTAATCGGTACGTCTGGCCGGGTGGGTGGTGGCATGCAATGTGCTTCAGGCTCCTCCTCGTCCGCCCCCTTTTCTGTCTCAGCCTCGTCGTCACAGCAGCGTATATCAACGGCCTTGAGATGCATAGCCTATTCGAACCTTATCTTCGCCCATCTAGACACTTCTCTAGGACCACAATGGCTCATCCTGGGTCCCCTCCATCGGCAACTTCCACTCCTTCTATCCGACGCTTACCGTCCCTCGTTTCCGTCTCCGGTGTCCTGGAACATCTCGGTACGGTTCTCTCCGTCGTTATATTATTGTCTGACCCTGTTAACTTCCTTGGATTAAAACCCACACAAGGTGGACTCGCCATGCCTAAGGAGTGCTGAGGATGCAGTGGCAACGACGCCGTTACCCGTATGCCGAAGAGAAATAGTACGACCCTGGCTTTGGGGTTCCCGGCTTCCATCTGAAGCCGCACTAATTATTCGCCGACCTATACTCCTTAAAGGTCTACGTTTAAAAGGAATTTTGGAACGCTAGTTTTAGCTACAGTAAGGAATGGAACAAAGCTCTATGTCGGTCGGGTTGTGCATGGAAGAGAGGCATTGCGGGAGGAGGAGCCGGGAGGAGGAGAAGGGAGGAAAAAGAAGGGGGAGATGAAACAGGAGGGAGGAAGAGAGGAGCCGGGAGTGTCCATAATTCCCCGAAACCCATCAAGGACATCAACACGTCGAGGATGAGGAGCGCGGCTCAGGCGCGACAACTTCCACGGCATCAAGGAAGACGGCGGGATACGACGTAGCGTGCAAGAGCTAAGGTTTCCGCCTTTTGGCGGAATGTATCGATGGATTTCCGGGGACATGCAAAGCCAAGCATACGTGGTTGACCACACGACGTGGCTAACCAACCTCTGCATGTAGTGTTGCATACCAGAGAGCTCTGGTGGGCCGGATGAGACTCCGACTAACTGATTTCCACCCTCCTTTTATACTTCTCCGCATGCTGTGCAGTCCTGAGCGCTCACGACGCGCGTCATCCCCGGCAGCAGAAACCTGCTGCTCATCTCGGCGTGCCTTCGTCCATAATGGCGAGGGGTCTCTAGATTTCGAACTAGACTTTTCAAGAAGTCTACACTGCGAAATGCGACGCTCTTCTCTCTAAGAGCCCACCAGCTCTACATGGCTCGAACATTTTCTTGCGCCCACAATTGGATGCCGACGTCTCCAATTTGAGAATAGGATGCCCCTCTATTAGGATGACTTCGGGAAAGATTTGGGCGACCGGCGGCTCCTATATTCCAAGGAGAAGCGCAAAGTGGAAGATCGTTGCGATTCAACAAGGCCAGCCTGATCCACGAATGCGTCAAAACGGAAGCTCGCCAGTTATCCTGCAGCGGCTCAACTCCGACGAGAAAGACAAAGCTTACAGTGCGCGGCAATTCTCTATACCTACTGCCTACATGGCGCAGCATGGTCAGATTCGAGCGGCGAAGTCGCTCCCATCCATTGCCCGTAGCGGAGATAGAATGGGGATGAGCACTACAAAGAGCGACGGAAAAAAAGTCTCACGGGTCCAAAGAACACAACGACCTTACCAGCGGCTGCAGCCCGCTGCTTCCCTCGCGATCGGCATACCAACTATCGCTCTACGAGCTGTTGGTCCATGGCCGTGAGCAAGCGCTGGGTGGGATAAACATTGCAAGGAGGGACACGCAACATTGATCCGGCCTTGTGAAGAAGCATGCGTGCTCGCGCTCACTTCCCGGGCTTTGTCGGTTCAAGGATGCACTCATCAAGTTGGATGTCTCCTGGGCTCGGACCTAATGCGCTCCTCTCTTTCCCGCCGCGTGCAGAGGCCCCGCTCTCCCTTGCACTATCCTGCCACAGCCTGCCTTCCCGCGCACTGCATTCGACAACAAGCTATACATACCATAGCTAGAACCAACAATCCCTGGCAACCCGATGCCCAGGGAAGAGTCGGGGCCGTCGTAGGAAGACTGACCTACTATCGTTCCCAAAACCGGACCGGGCATTACCTGATGTGTACCCATGGTGCACACACGCTGGCAAACTACCCCTACCGAATACGTACACCGTCTCCTTCAGCGTACAGGCGGAGGCAGACGCAGGTCCCGCCATAATGCGCAGGGTGATTTGCCAACCCTATTCATAGCGCCGACTTTCAACCGTTCCCCCCACGGACTGGCTAGAGACAGATCTCCTCGCAATGCGCAGTCCTGATGGCCTTGAGGCCAGATGACACTACACCCTGATCAATTGCATAATTCATCGAAGCTCTCATTGCGGTCTTTCTCGGATTGCTGCTGTCTGGAATTGGACGAGCTGGATTTGATGGGAATGAAGGTTCCCTGGGCGTGGCAAGGCACCTGCGCTACTAAATTTGCCATTCGATCCTTTGTTTGGTACCTCCTAGCCCCCGGGATCGTACGAGCAGCTCCGCCGAACCGCCCTGGAGCTAAGCAGGAAAAGAACAAGAAGCTAAACAACCTTCTCGACTGTGATGGGACAGTACATCCCTCCCATGGAGCTCATTTGGTGTTTAACACGTATCAGGGAGAGAAATCGCCTGCAGGATGGAGGAGAAGCTCGACTGCATCGCAGCATTGGGCTCTACTGTTGCGCTCCGGCTAAGTCGAGCACAGAGCGCGCGATCCGGTGAACGACCGCTCGCCCCGTTGCGAAGGACTCCCGTGGTGATTTTGCAACCACCTCCTTCCCCACTTGGTGATCCTCATAAGATGAGCGATAAGAGGAGGCATTCCAGTACAGGGATAGCTATTCACGCTAAAGGACGCGTGATGATTGTCACCGCTTACCGGACACGGATGGGGGAAGAGGCGGTAGCTTAAGACTTGTTATACACGCGCATGTGGGGGTGCTAGCCACATGTTCCTTTATTCTTCTCCAACCTCCACACCAGCCATGTCGAGGACAGTTCCAGTACCTTCAATATGCGTGGTTGGCACTTCCTCTCTTCGTCGGACATAGTGTGAAGTCCTTAGATCCCCCATCTTCGGACTTCCAGGTAACCCGCTGGGGCGGCGAGTCGGCCGCTACCTCGTTCGATATGCTCCCGCCTGCGGTTTCAACGTCTGCCCTGCCGTCTCCAACTACCTTCGCGGGCGTGAGCTCAACCGCGACCGCGACCAGTGGCCTCTCCAGCGCCAGCGCCGCCACCCCAAGCGGCTCCGGTGAGGACAGTGCTAAGACGTGGTACCATACAAACATTTGCCACCCCTATCTTCTATGGAAGCTCTTCGGTAGACGGTAGATTCACTTATCGCGCAAGATGTGAGCGATGACCATCCAGCCAACTGGGTCTGATCCATAGCGGGTTGCGAACTCTTTGTAGTCTCGATAGCCTCCAACGACCGGCGGGAATCATGCTGTTTCACGCTGGCGAATGAGACTCTGGGCTAGCGGATGTTCACGGATTGTTGGAGGATGGGACGACGTCGTACTTGACGCTAAACTCGTTCGCATTCGTCACGAGCGCAATAAACCCTAACCTTTGTCCATTCAACGATTGTACGCTTGTGCCAGAAGCGTAGGAAGAACTGGTCTTCTATACGGGTCTCCATGGTACCCTTCAGTTCAGCATACGCTTCACCTCGATTGCATCGCTTCTCCTCGAGGAACCTTCACCTCAGGACACGACGCGGGGAAGCTTCGACTTTCTGATCGAGGTGCTACTCGGGGATTGGGGCAAAGGAACTCCGGCTTCAGGGGATTTACCATCAGTAGGTGGGAGCCGTAATCCAGAGAGGCCTGGAGAGCCTCCCAAATAGCCGCCATGCTGCAGGATAGCAAGCATTCGATCACGTGGTCGCGATGCGTATAACGGCCCTATTGGCGGACCTGGAGGACACATCCATGCTACTTGCTGAAGCTAAAGCACCTTTTGGTACTCGTTAAAGCTCGCGGGACCGGAAGCCATGGAAACAGACGCCCTTCTACGTCTTTTGCGTCGCGTTGTCAACGAAAAAAAGAGGTTTGGAAGCAAAAGGATCGCGCCAATCCTTCTGCTCTTGAAGTTATGATTCCTTATATCCGCCAGCAAGAGGCTACTCAGCACTGTGTTTGGCAGAAAGTAAATCATAAGGCACAGTCAGCCACCGCTATTGCAAATTCTGCCCAATGACATCATCTCGAGTCGGGCAGGTTGATTTGGAAGCCTCGAGTCTTGTTGTGCTGCTGCTGTAGCGGCTCTGCGTCACTCCCGCAAAGTGCCGCACCGCGAGATTGTAACTTAGAGAGAGTAGGTATAAGCTATCAGAGAAGGCCGCCAACTTGACTTTTAACACAGTGTAGCTTACTAATCCTATGCTTGCGCTCGTCGATAGACGGAATAGGGGAAGAGGGTAAGGAGTCTAGCCATTTTGAAGACTCGAAGCGAGTGGCCCGGCTGAGCCGGCGCTAATGCCACGCTAATCCCTCGAGGGAATCGCACTGGTCCGTGCTCTTGAAATCTTCTTCGACCTCATAAAGAAAAGACCCTATCCTTTAGGTAGTGCTCGCAACTCATCCATCTCCATCAACCTCGAGTCTATCTTCACTAGTATGTCGCTGAGTCAAGAAGCGCGCGAGCGGTTGGAGCAATCGTATCAGGACTTGCGGGCCAGAGAAGAAGCACTATTCAACGAACCAAAATTGCGAGAGCAACTTAACGCTCTAAGCAAGCTAAAAGCTTACAAGGCAAAACAATCTGTTAAGGAAATCGCTGATATCTTGGACATGTATGGACAGCGATGCCGCATGCATATTGGCCACGATGAACACCTGGAATACTCGCTGCAGCCGGGCACTGATCGCGTCTCGAAGAAACAACTCGACAAGCTCTTTCTCTCCTTCGAGGTCTGTCACAACGACCTTTCTGTGTTCTTAGCTAACTAAGCATAGGTCGCCCCAAATACGCCCATCCTCAACAACTCACCCTCAAGTACCATTGTTACTTTCGTTTGCCTTGGAAAGATGGAGTCAAGCCCTCGGGGCGAAGTCAAGAACTGGACCAAGACCAAGGCTCGGCTGTGCCTCCAGCTACTCGATGATGCAGGCGGAGGCTTCTGGAAACTGGAGAAAGGCGAGCAGAAAGGGCAGTTTAAAGCGACTTGTCTAGCGAAAGATGTTAGTGAACTATCGGAGGATGCGTATATCAATGGTGGAGCTGAGACTGAGCTGATGCTCCGCCGCGAATGAACGGAGGAGGAGGGTCTTGTGATGGGAGGACCAGTTTTCCCCTGTTTGATGAGGTAACCCGGAGCGATAAGGTATGAGCCCCCCGAAAGGTGTAGCGTAGGAAACGCATTCATCTATTGTTCGTATCTGACGTAAACCGAAGATTTCCTTAGCTCTATTGCCGCAGCTGAATTGGGTGCACATTCAGTACCCCGCGAAATGGTGTGTGCATCCTGCTCCCGCATGCCTCCCGAGTGTTGGATGAATGTCTTGAGTAAACGAACGCGCAAAATATGTAAGAAATCATTCCCTACATAACTCTGTTAGTAAGTCCGTGACTGGGTTGCGCACGGGCAATATGTTGCGCCGGTGGGGTTCAATGCTGGCCAATGAGAAATCGCGCTGGCGCACTAGCGCCGCTCAATATCTCCTTTGGTCGCTCTATGCTGCACTAAACAATTACTTGCAGGCATTCCCAATTCAACTATGGGGGGGTTGAAGTACCGCAACCGCGTCCCGCGGCCCGCAGACGATATTACGCCTGAGGAGCAAGAGCAATCTCGCAATGCTAATATAGAGCCTATTCTAGCGGCACTGATTACGACGGGTCGGGCTTTTGACAGCTTTACGCATGCGCAAGAGTCCAAAACGTTTACACCAGTGCCGTGGGCTGACTCAGACCCGATAATTCGGGATCTCCGCGTCCAGTTTCGAGAGGCGTTTGAATATCACCTGTGGCTTGCACGACAGTCTTGGAGCCCCCGGGATCCGACAGATACCGACAACGACGGCTGGGAGAGCGAAGTTGATTCTGGGCCAAACTCCGACAGCGGGGAACACCTTGGAAGCGCGGATGATTCCGGGTCCGACACCGACAGCTGGCACGTCACAAGCGTCTCCGATTTCAATTCAAGCAGCCGCAGCGAAGACGAAGACAACGATTATATCCATGTCCCTGAACCTAATCGCAACGACGACAGCGACCATGGTCTTCATGTTGAATTCGGCGAAAGCGAAGACGATGCGGATTCCACGTCTCTTAACAGAGGGCACGAGGAGAGAACGACCTTGGTAGCGGAGACGTTTGCGCGTCTTGACCAATACATCGGTGCACATGGGTGGAGCAGCACGCCAAAGTCATACGTCCCTGCCAGCGAGCCACGTGGGATATTGTTCAATCTAATTGCGGCGACCATGTTCAAATCACCCGAAGAGTTCGCTGAAAACTTCACCTGTAAGCCTAGCCGAACACAGTCTGTGTAGATAATTAATCGAACCTGACAGATGACTACATGAGAAAATTGGGCATAGAGTTTGAGCCTAAGTGGAACGGTCATAATGGCATGCCTGCAACATATGCTCTATTCCCTTTCAGCGGATATTGGTTCCTCGCGTATACGAGTCCCCGGAACGACAACCCTTATTATGCTAGAAAGCAGCGAGAACTCCGAGACGCAAACGTAGGTCGACGGCGATTCGCTAGAATGATGGAAAGGGCAAATAAGGAACTCCAACAACAAGAACTACGATTCGTGATCAAGTACCTCCACAACAAACAGACAGAAATATGGAGGAGGTACCGGAAGCGGATCGAGGAGCCCGAGGTCATCGACAAAGTTCTCACAAAAGCACAGAGAATATGCCGGAAGCGAATCGTTTCGCAGCGCAAGAGCCGCAAAAACGATGTCCTAAGGCACCCAAAGGTGTATTGCTTTGCCTTTAACCCTTCTATGAAAAGGGTGCCTTGTTGCTGGCGTTGCCGGGCGCTGCATAATTTCAGAGAGTACGACGGCTGGGGCGAGTTTAAGGTGCTGTCATTTGGTTGGGACCGTCAAGGAAAATATCCCTGCGGTTGTGCCGAGTCCCTTGCAACACTTATAACCCTATACCTACGTCCCCAAGCGAACGGAGTGCGACGGGGCACCTGGCACAAGCGGCGAGGCGTCTTGCACATGCGGCGGTGATCTCTGAGGATGCAATGAGGTCAGTTGAAGGCTTGACGGCGGAGTCTGAAATATCGACGTCCACGGCAGACATGGCTGGCACCTATTGGGAGGATTTGCTTGCTCTGTTTGGGGGATTCTAGGACTTTGGGAACGACCGGGTTTCAACCCCCCCCCCCCATCGTTAATTATCAGCGGAGTAAATGGGGCCGAAGTGTTGCCGGATATGGTTACTACTTCACGTGACCAAGTCATGTATATATCCCCATATTTCTCGTATTCTCAATCAATCAACTCATGTCTCAATACTTGCCACTTTCCCTGAAAGAAAGGGGTTGGTAGAAGCTGGGAAGACAGCCACAGGTACCGCGATGATTGGTCTTGCTACAGGTTTGCGGCGTGGTGCCAGACAGTCGTGGAAAAGAATAACAAAGAGCAAGGTACGATAACGGCCTATATGGACGTGCTGCGCCTGCCATGCCTGGGCGAGCCGGTTTCTCAACTATGCCGTGCACATTAGCTGACGTGGCCAGATCAGCATCCTCCCATCAAGGCAGTTTGGCACAGATATTGTTCGTATTAGCTTTGATTCAGGCATCACTGGGGTCATTTGAGGACCCGCCCGCCATTATAGACCTACCAGTCAGTAGCATAGCGGCGTGTTCTGGTTCAGTTTGCCGTCATCGACCACAGCGTTTTTCTCTAGGTGGTGCTGTTATAATCTACTTTGAGAGATGTTTTAGGTTCTATGTTGTGCGTCTCTTCACACCATCCTCCTCCCAGGCCTCTCTTCCCTACATTAGCATCTTCTCAACCGTCTTTCTGTCCTTTTTGGGCCTTGTCCTTCCGTTTTTGCCCTAGACCCTGTTTATTGTGCCGTAATGTTTGCAAGGAGCGCAAGTCCTGCATCTTTGCCTGCCGCACCGTTTTCACCTGGAGAAAATTACATTTGTGCAATAGCATGCTGAGTATGCGCACCATATATGAAAAATCAGCATGAGAAACCTTTTCCCAATACAGGCGTGCAATTATCTAGCGACGTTACTGTGTCCCTGTCTACCCTTGCTAGCTCTGAAGCCTTTTCTTCAGTTCCTCAATCTCCTTTTCTTCTGCCGACCCTGTGCCTCAAGTTCAGCGTTCCTTGACAAGTCCGTCTTCGTAATTCCCGCAAGCCACTCCCTTTTAGCAGTTTGGGCCGCAGTGCTCCTGAGCCTTCTTGCAACTACAAGAACCAACGCATCGCGCTTTGCAGTTGCAGGTCTGTTTCTTTTGGAAGGGCAGCTTCGCACATCTTGCCCCAATCGCAAAGGCGCTTCAACTTAGGAAACAACAGAGTCCAGGTTGTACATTCAGGGCGATGGGCTGGCTGTACATCAGTTGCGATGATGATGCCGGTGAATGGAGTATGGACCGTGGTGGAAGGATAATAATGCAAACCAGTTGAGAGCATGGTCATCCAAATCCTGATGTTCGGGAGGGTCCTGGGAATCGACTGAAGGTATAAAGATACGGCCCGGTTGGTCGGATGGCGCAGCAGAACCATGGGGGGTTAAGTCTGACGGGGAGCCTGCATGGTTGCACCTAAAGAAATTGGAAGCGTGAGTATGGTGGAAGTTTGTGGGCCGCCTAAAGCGGTGATTGGATGAAGAATTAAGAAGCTAAAGATACTATCTTGTTCAGCACGATTACAAGATAGGGCAAGACAGGAACGCTGAGTGCAGACTTTCCGAAAATCGTGCCAATTGCTCGACTGTCCCAAGGCAGTTGTAAATAATCGAGTGCCTACAGATGGTGAACAGCAATGTTTGTTCCAAGGGCGTCCACCTATGCTACTCCTTTTCTCTTCTTAGCACTATATCCGGTCTATTACGTAATCTACTTCGTTGCTTGGTATACAACCTGTGTCTAAGCGGGGAATACGCCCAACTATTCCTTAGTATAAAGACCTCGTCCGGCCTTACACTTCGGCCTCAAGCATTCTCCGCTGTCGAATCAATCTCATCTATCAATGGCGCCGAATCATCGCGTTGAGTCTTCCTCTACCAACACGCCACTACAAGATGGCCGCTACTCTAATAACAAGACCAAGGTCCTTCAAACCGATCATTTCCCTAACTCCAGCACTCTTTCGAGGCAAACACCCTCAGATACCATTGTACGTTTGTGGTCGGCTGGGTCAGACTCTATGCGTGAACAAGTGAATAAGTTCTAACATGTACTCCTGGCTTCCAAACCTAAGTACACTAACCCAGAAACATCCAGCAATCCAACAATTGCAATCCATAAACAATGGCCATCATGCTACTTATAACCACGCCCTCCCCAACGCCAACTTAGAAGTGGAAGAAGTAGCCGAAACGGACGCCTCCTTCATTGCAGAACTCTGGGACCTTGTACTTCAGAGTCAGCGCCAATGGATGGACTCCAATACCGGCACCAAGGCCGCCGAGCCTGCCAATATCATGGCAGAATCCTCACACGAACGTGGCTTCCCCGAGACATTTACCATTGAACCGCATACACTGGATAGACTCCTACCCATCCGAGCAAGTCACCAACCAAGCGCACATCGCTTTGCACATTACAAGCAAGCGTATCCCAACCTAGATCTCTGGCTTGATCCCGACGAATTTCCCAACCTCGGAACAGCACTCCAGACCGCCAGCAATGAAGCAGCCACAGATGCTGACTTCGAAGCCTTCGTGTATGAAACTATATTCCGCCCGGGCATTGCCTATGCTACTGGTAATCCTGGACCTATCCGCACCCTCACCCAAGAATTGGCTGCAGTCAAGCACGTTCCTCCAAAAGCATGTGCCGATGTCCAGCAGCCCCATCTCTTCATGTTCCCACCTACCATTTCCCACATTCACTGCGAAAAGCCACACAGAGTGGTTTCGGCCGCTTCAAGGACCGGACGCTCGGCGCGGGACGGCAGCAGCATACAGGGTAATGGTGGCTACGGTACTGAGGTTCCCAACGACAACATCACCAAGAACGGACTTCCCCCGTCCAAGCAAACGATGCGGCTCGCATGCACGTATTCCTCGACACCAATATCTTCACCACCGGGCTCCCAATCCGTGGCTTAGTCCCTGTAGCGGACTCACGCCGCTTCTGCCCGTATCTCAGCGTAAAGTTCCAGCATGCGCGTTACGCCGAGGTGGTGGCCTTCCGCAAGCTCGCTGTCTCGGCGACAATCATGGTCTACAATCGCTGGCTCTTGCGAGAGTCCGCTCTCAAGTCCATCGACAGGCTCAGGAAGAATCAATCATCATTCTCCCGGTCACTTGACGCGGTAACCAAGGCCATAAGCCCACGCAAGGAGACGACGAAGAAGCAGGCTTCCGCGAGCGAAGAGAAGCCGATTTGCCATTGGAGCGTAGAAGTATCCCGATCGAGGTGGGCGCTATACGTGACCTAACCGGTGCGCAAACCCACATCAGGACCAACGGCCTCGGTGACAGGCAAAGCATGGACGGGTTGCACGATCGAGAACGCTCTTGAAGGACCCCTTGCAAATATCAATTTGTTAAGGGATGCCATCAACGATATTTACTACTGGGGATTAACGGAGTGCGCTGATGGTTGCAAGAAGGACATCGAGAGTCTGTCATTAAAGACAGGGTCGACGCTTGGATCATGATAGAGCAGGTGGTGGGTATGATGGAGAGGAACTAGGAGCAGAAACGGGTACTTCAGGGGTGGCGATGCGGGGGTTTTTGGGAGGAAATTAGATACGAAGGCGGCCTAGCGGCTAGACTGCAATTATCTTCTCCTAATCTAACAGGGCCATTTGAGTCTGTCTATCTTGCCTTTTCTCGCCTTTCTGCACTCCCCTCCTCCTGACTACGTTGTTTCTTCCGCAGCCGTAGTGCCTGTTCTTTCACACCTCTTCCTCTCTTACCTGGCGGCACCTGACTTCCTATTGGGCAAAAGGATCGTCCAATCCTTCTGCTCTTCAGTTATGATGCCTTATATATTCGGTAACACTTCCTTTTGGGTGGTGGTGCTCGACTCCGCCTTTCTTCCGCTCCAACAACCCTCTTTCTTCTACTGAAAGCCGCCATCGCAATGACTGCTGCATCCGCGAAAAGAGCTTCTAAAGCAAATGTCGCCTGTGGCTATCCTTTTAGGTGTTGCTGAACCATCTTCATGACAAGCTCGCGGTGTCGGGGATGGCACTGATATAACAGAGGCTGAGCTGAACCCTCGTCTCCTATCAGGAGCAGCTTTGAGGGCAGTGCCATCAAGTATCGCGTGGAAGGACTACTGGTGTGGAGGGGAAGGGCGATTCGTGTGCATAGACCTCTCCGCGACAATGGGCACCCCTTCACCAATCGTGAACGCGATTAGGGAGATAAGAATATCCAACTTAATCCTTGGAATGATAGACAACGCCGGAGAGCGTCGTCGAGGCGATAGATATACTTGTGGCGAACAGGAAGCCCACTGCATACACGACATCAGTCCCCTCCCCCTGAGCGGTAGGAAGCCTGACACGGTTAGCCTTAAATAGCAGCATATGAGGCGCAAGCACCGCTTACCGCCCCCGCGCAGGTTCCGCCACCTATTCGGCTCGGAGCCCGTTGACGTGCGAGGTCCAGCGGCGCTCGTCCGGAACTTTGTTCAGGCGTGCGGGTTCGTAGTCGCTGACGGTGATATCGGCGTAGAGATTTCTAGTATTAGGTGGCGGAGTAGCGACGGTGCGCGGTCATTGAGGCTGGCTGGTCGGGATAATGTTCCGCGACGACCTTGATGACTAATCATCGAAGTTAGGCAAGGCCACCAGACCCTCCCCGCAAGCTCTCGTGGAGGGCAGTTCGTCTCTGCTGCACGATCCCTTTAAAATTCCTAGAGACTATAGCTCTTACATAACCCGCGTGTATAGACGTAGCTCTATCGCTAACCTTCAGAAAGACGGTCGCGCCAGCGTAGACCCCGATTGTCGCCCGGCGCTGCGGTCGATGGCGTGTCAAGCTTGGATGCCTGCGAGTTCGACGTTGACCTGGCGCGCCATCTAGCCTTAGACAGCGAGCGTAGAGCCGGCGAAGAGGTCCAAAGCGAGTTCAACGTCGACCGGGCGCGCCATCGAGCCTTAGACAGCGAGCGCAGGGCTGATGAAGAGGTCCGCACGAGCTCGACTTTGGCCCAGCACCCTCTAGCCTTAACATGAGCGCAGGGCCAATGAAGAGTTCCACACGAGCTCGGCTTTGACCTAGCGCCTTCTAGCATCAACCGCGACCGCATGGCCGGCGAAGGGGTCTGCGGCCAGTTCAGCTTTGGTTCAGCGCCTTCTACTATCAACCGCGAGAGCAGGGCCGACAGAGGAGGTCTGCAGCGAACTCTGTATCATATCAAGACTCCAGATGCGAAAACAGCCGCCGAATTCAGCACCTCAGTTTTCAAATTTCACATCCCCGCTCCAGAATTTCCCACATCACACCCAAAGGCTTCATTCCCGGCATCTCCGTAGCTTGCAACACAGAAAATCGCATTACGAGGCTTTTTCCAGCTTCGCAGAACTGTTCTTTCTTGCTAAAACAGCATTTAGCACATTCGTTTTACTTTCTTCGACGCACCGACCCTCCGCAATGGCTCGGCAGAGCCACCGCTGAACGGGAAAGACGACTTCCACTGGAATCCCCGTTGGCAGGCTCTGCAGGCTCCTTTTCCTTCATCAGTCCTCCTTCTCCTATGCTCTTTCAAAATTGCTTTTACCCACCATCGTTTGATCTACTAAAATGGCCCAGCACCGGCGACAGCCGAACGGGGAGGGCGACTTCCCCCAGAACCCCATCAGCAGCTCTCCTCGTTCCTTTTTTTTTTCATCGGTCCTCTTCATCTACTCTTTAGAATCGCTTTACTGCCCGCTAACATCCAACCCACTAAGAAGGCTTACCGCAGGCGACCGAACAAGTAAACTATCTTTAACAGGGCCTACGGCCACCAGCTCCGTCAGCTCTTTCCACTCTGTAGTTGAATAACCCGTATTTACTTCAGTCTGCCCGCAGTTTCACTCCGTCCCGGGAGAGCCTTTCAATCTACTGAATAGGCCCACCGCAGGCGATCAACGCCCTAGACATCGAACTGTTGACGCAGCGCGTCGCCGGCTCGCTTAGAAGCCGAATCGTTTCCTTGGGGTCCATACACTTTGCTGTAAGCACCGCGGGGTCAATCATTACCTCGCAAATGGACTCCACTCTCGCTGGAATATCTCTGATCCCCCGCAAACGAAATATAGCCAGCATTCCTATCTGTTAGGCGCTAGCACCTCAACCCGCCGCGCTAGAAAAGAGAGCACATTATCGCCCGTGGACTGGAGCAAGCCCAGAGTCGTCCGTCGGGCTCATGTGCGTACGAGACAACACCGTGGAGGAGATTCTCACAACCCGCTTGTCCAGGCCCAAGGAAACTGTATCCGGCTTCTGCTCATCGCCAAGTGGAGTGGCCGCCGGTTTCTCATCGCATAGGAAGTCTGCGTCCCGCTAGCTTAAACTGGTCTGGTTGCTCAAAATAGGGCTTTTGTGCCCACGCCGCGATCGAACGCACATTTATTCAAGCGTCGGGAATACACTTCCATGCGATGAGGGCGGATTGCTGGGCAGATATCCAATTCGTAAGTTGATCCGGTTTGCTCGCCTGTTTAATAGACCGTATGCTAACGCGTATAGCTATCATGCTATTCTTAGAATAAGCAAAGCGGTTACAAGACAGTAGTGCTATTCTCCACGCCTCGCTCCTTTCGTCCACGCACCCTGCGCTATTGGATGATCCCATCATACCCAAAGCCCCCAGGCAAGCAGCTGCACAAACAAAGAGAACGAACAGACGGCTTTACATCATCCTCCTTATCCACACTCCAAACTCCGCACGATCCAGTAACGCAGTCCAATTCTACACTAACTTTACTTTGCAGAACCAGACACTCGCCAGACTACATGGCATTCGCCATCTCTACTCCGCAGGCGGTAATTTTATCCCAAATGCCTCGCCGCTGGGCATGGCTGTGTCCGTCTGCGCGTTGGCAGATTTTCACACCGTGTCGTTTTTTCAAGCTCCGGCGCGCGACATACTGATCTTGGTTTTCATCTGCATAGACCTGACTTGTATTGTATAGAAGAGCGTTGTTCTTCGTTTGTTGGTCGCGGATGGAGGGATTAGATTGCGCGACTGACGTGCATGCAATGCATGCAGGGGGCTGGAGTGAGGTATCTGGGTCTGGATCTGGATCCGCGTCTAGATCTGGATTCAATGTGTACAACAGTTCAGCGTGCCCGTATCGACGCGTTTGCGCTCCGGAGCCTGACCGCTGGCGAGTGAACACGGTCCCGTCGTCGACGGCGCACTGCCAAACGGTCTAAGAAATCGACACGGCGCAGCTCCGTCCCCATCTAAGGAACGAATTTGGAAGACAAAAGCTGCCAAAGAGGGCCAGCCTGACAGCGCCGGCGGCGACGCGGACGCCCTCAATCGGGATACCGATGAGCTATCGCGGGTTGACGGCATGCGAGCCCGCCTCAACGCGCTCCACTACGGTTTAAAATGGCTCACGGACGATATTCTCCAGTGAAGTCTCACAATTTTAGGTTGCTCCCGTTCGCAGTCTTTTACAGCGCTGAAGCCATAGAACCAGCGCTTAGAGCTCCTTCCTCAGCCATAGCCACGGATCCATTGCTGCTGCTTCTGCGAAGTCCAACTTCTGCTCAAATCGCTGCGCACGTGAAAAGGCCACGAATCTTTCAACGTTTATTGTAGTGGCATCTTTCGACGTTCACCGGGATCGGATGCCATGACGAGCGGGTTTGTTGCCTCGACTCAGGCACGCGGTAAGGGGCTGCGTCCGGGTAAGTATGTGCTGGAAGCAGATGGCGAGGAAGTCGGTGTTGGCGGCGAGGAGCGGGGACGGTCATTGCGATGATGTATAAGTGGCAGAGGGTGGATGCCCTTATCGCTGACGGACTAGAAGCGGTAATATCCGAGCACATACTCGTAGAAGTCGCAGATGTGTTCCATTCTTTTGGTTGGGTTGTCCCGGTCTTCGACGTCGCTTCTAATAATCGTCGCTGTAAATATCTGCTTCATCCCAGTGGCGTGTTAGCGTTGTGTTCCTGCAGGCAGCGCTCCATATGCTTTTCGAACCACTACGGTGCGTTACGATGTTCGAATATTCGGCAGAGCACAGGCAGGGGCGGCGGGTGGTTTCCGGAGTTATTGGCACCCTGCTCAGTCAGGCCAGTAAGGTAGTGCCGGTCTTCGACGTACGTCAAAGTATTATCTGAGGAGTCAGTATCGATCCGAATCGGGCTCTCGATTGCTCTCGTGCAGCTGCTTAATCGCGAAGCCACGATCGCATAGATTCTTGTCAGAGAGTGCCATATTTGGTTGGCGTGGCGCGATGACGCTGCTTGCCCGCATGACGACTGGATGGTGCGTTGAAGCCATCCATGCTCCCTGTTGCGCAACCCATTTCACAGTTGTATTGCTCATTGAATCCATCCAGGTTCCCTGTTGCGGAGCTAAATTCACGGTCGGATAGTGCATAGAAGCTATCCAGGCTCCCTGTTGCGGAGCCCAATGCGCGGTCGGGTTGTTCATTGAATCCATCCAGGCTCCCTGTTGCGCAGCCCACTTGAGTGTCGGATCATTCATTGAATCCATCCAGGCCTGGTGATACCCAGTCGCCTCACCCTCCAGCGTATCGTCCTATATCTCTTCGCAGTCGTCGGCATCTGAACGCACCTTGCAACGAGTCCATAGTTCACTACCGGAGCTATAAATCGATGCAGACGGCCATGCTAGTAGAGATTCTCGAAGCGCGCCGCGACTTATAATTCAGGTATGCCATCAGCTTATCAGATTATCGTCGATTGTGTGGGATTGTTCGACTTCCGAGAGAACGTTGAATTAACAGACTCTCAGACTTAGTTGGCGACATGGCAACACGGAGCAGCAAGCGCGGGGCCTTCCGTTCCCGTCAATCCCGGTCTGTCGATGGGGCACGGTATTTTCGGGTTCTTTATCAGACGCACTGCGGGTTGAAGGCATGCAATTCGGGGGTTCTTGACCGGCGATACGGTGGCAGATGGCCTGCGTCTGGGAGGCGTCGAGAAATCACACTACTCCCTGAATTGGCATCACTTTCTATCTTTTTGAAGATCGCTACCACACCTGCCGCTAGCAACCGGTGGCTGAAGTTCGTATTAAGGAGAAAGGGAGTTAGAGAAGAAAGGACACGTGAGGGGGGCATACGTGAAGGAGGATGGAGCGAGACCCTAGAGGTGAGGCAAAGGAGGGAGTACCGCAGGGGCCTCCATTCGGACTGTCGAACTCTCCGATGCACATTCGTTCCATAGAACGGTCCTCCTTTCGAAGGTTAGCGACGTTGTGGACCCTATGTAGGCTTGATTGCTCTTACGTTAGAGGTTTAGGGCGTGGCTCACGCCTCCCGTTGAGAGCGTCGCGTCCACTATTATTAGACGCCGTTGATACGAAGAAGCTTATTGCCGTATCAGAAGGGACAAAGCTCGTTATATTCCTCTCGCTTCTGAGCTAGCACCGTAAAGGTCGAACGGTCCCTTACCACAAACGTCGAAAGCTTGGTTAACACGGACGAAAATAGTTTCGGATGCGATCCTTAGCGCGAGCCCGCTCCCTATACAGCTCGTGGCCTTTCTGATCTGAGAAATACGTAGAGTACGGCGCCCGATTACTCTCGGACACGTCTCCGCTTCTCGAGCACTGACGGCTCACGAAGCCCACGAAGTGCTTTGTCTTCTTTAAAGCGGCAGGGATGCGAATGCTGTTCTTTAAGGTGTAAATCGACGTTGACGAAGGTTCTAGAACGCTGCGGCAACGGGTGTTCAAGGAGGTAGCGCCAGACTTCTTGCGCAAAATCCGGATTGCCATTGCGCATGGGCGTCTACATGGTGAGGCGCGGGTCCGAGAAGAGCTTCATAATCGACACCTTGGTAAGGAGAGCCTGGATGGATCGATTGAACTTGGAAAGGTCATGCCGGTGGAAGCGCCTCGCAGGAACTTGATCTCTAGCGCCTTGTTCGAGGCCTTCTTTTTCAAGAAGCCGTGCCCGGGTGTATCGGGTTGCGAGTGCTTCCTGGAATGGTGGGCGTGAACGTTAGCAGCTATTCCGGCATGAGAATGAAGGCGAGTCCGCGACGTCTGAGCATGGCTCATTCGGCTTCTGCGCGGCGGATTGGATAACTCTTCGGGACTTCAATGGATGACCGCCGGTCCTGAAAGTATGCGCCATGGACTTCGCTTTTTACTCCGGCGTTCGTTGGGAGCCTCGGTGTTAACGATTTCTGTATCTGTTCCCCGTTCGCCTTCTCCATCGCGCTCTAGGAGCCGCTGTATGGGGGCCTCAAGGGCTCGTCGCAATATCGGTCGTCCCGTAGACTCTCTCTGAAATGACCTTCTTGTAGCTCGGAACAGTGCGAAGGTCCTGCTATTGGGTTAGCGCTTGCCAAAGTACATGACTTCGGAGAGTTGTACCTGGGGTAGAAGAGGCTTGATTAGCGCAAACACTGCATCTACGATTTGAACTGGAGGTCCAACAATGTCCGCCTCAGCTTTGGAAAGGGTTATCAAGGGTTCTACTCGAACTATCGCCGACGATGTGAGCCCGGCAATCCGAGCTGTGAGATACACAAAGGACATTCTTCCTTGGGGTCCCCTTCTGGTTCTTAAGGCGTTGCGGGTGGAGTGCGTAAAACGTATATGCTCCTAGGACTACGGGCCAGACGGCTCGCCTGTGGCTTCCGGTGATTGTTAGTCTTTGTGCTCTTCCTTCTCCTCGACCGCGTTGTGCTTCCCCGGATTCTTGCAATACCATCTAGTTCGGCTGCCCAGACTGAGATGTCGTTGAAACGATGGTGGCCCGATATTACCCCCACCCAACATGGCGGAGCAGTCACGAACCCAGGCAATCGGACACCGGCCTCATCGAGTTGGAACCCAGCCATCGCCTTTCATCGACGGCCGGGTGGCTCCGATACCCATCGGGGCTGGTTTGAAGCCATTTCCATCGGCTGCATGCCGCGCTGGGGTACCAATCGAGGTTCGATGCGTGGGATGGAAGACTAAGATCCCGTGCCGTTAGTATCCATTCGCCGATTGCCCTCGACCCTGAAACCTCCGCCGCTGAAGACTGCCTGCGGCAATACTCTTGGAAAGGCGTGGTGGGTTGTGGCCAAACAGCCAAAGAGCCCAGGAATCTTTTGGGCCGTCGGAGGTGGCCAACAATGACAGGAGCAGTGCTCTGAGAACTCACCTGTTCGCGTTCATACGATGGCAAACGGTGGGGTTAAAAGTGAGGAGATGAAGCGCGCGCTCGATATCAACGCGTTTCGCGACGCGGCGTGGGTCAATTCGTTTTCAACGGCGTCCGATCGGGGTCCAAGGAACCACCAGGAGCGAATCCGGAGCAAAGACGCATTGAATATTGATGGACATGCAGGCTGTGGGTGGAAGAGAGGACGTGAAGAGAATGTGTCGTCATCTCCTCGATAAGGCTTAGCGGTGGCGCTTATTCCTTCTAGGAAAAGCGGCTTTTTTTTTCCCGAACACGCCGCTTCCCTTGTCTCCAGGGCTGAACTTACATCCAAGTTTCCTCACATCGAATTGTACTTACGCCACATTTGTAGTGCTTTATTACATCGCTATGCTTGCGTTGCTTACAGCAAAATGCACATACTCACGTTAAATTTCGCGCTCCAGCGCCCTCAACCTGCACAGGCTCCCCGCCCCTCCCTGCGCATTTCCCCGATTCTTCTGCTTCATTCCTGTCAACTCCATTTCCCGTTCACTCCAGCGCCTCGGGACTCTGCGCAATCTCAGCCTCGTGTGCTCAGCATCGCTATTTCCAGCTCCTGCTGTTGCCTTTGCACCCGGAGAACAGCGGGGTACATTTCGACATGTGGCTGTGCATATGACGCTCGAGCAACTTGGGTAGGGCTGAGGACATCGGGAAGAAGAATTCGAAGGTACAGGGGACGGATATCGTTTCCTTTCAGTATGTCTCGCTTTCGTCAGTTAGTATCAAGATTTCGATAGTTTGACATTCCCCGCATGCGTCAGCCTTCTTTCCCTCACGACGTTCTCCGCATCGAACTTCAATCTCGACCAGTACAATCTTCCAACCCATTTCATATTGCTTCCGTGCGAGCTGATCGAAAACGGGATTGCAGCGAAGGATTCGCCAACGCGCGAGTTTCTGTATCTCGACCACGTGCTAAAATCGGTCCCGGGCGGAGCCTTGAACGGGTGGAATATAAGTCATTGCTGTATAGCAATAAGCATCTCCCTCACTGTACAACAAATGCTAACTATGACTCTTATACAGCACACTCGAATGCAGCACCTCCCCATCTATACTCCTAGTAAACTCCAATTTCATGGCAATCTGGTGTTGGTTTTGCGAGATCGGATTGCGCAGCATGTTCCTCCCGTCCCCCCAACGTGCACAGTTGTATGTATACCCTCCGCGCAGCTGGATTGGCCATGATCCAAATTGCAATTGCGGGTTAACAAGCCATGCTGCTGTCGAAGAGCGTCCGGTGTTCTCGGAGCAGGAAGGAGATTCGATTCCTTTCGGACCCGCTACTCTCGGCGGCGGGTTGGGCAGCCCTGAGGCTGGCTCTCAGAGCTGTGAGTTCTACCGAGCAAGTACGCAATCAATCACGCACAAGCCTGCCGCCAGCGAATAACACGACGCCAGCGGTCTCTGCAACTGTGTGCGACTGGCGAACTGTTCATTCTATGGACCGTGGACGAACGCCCGATAGGGACATGACTTCCCCTTCAAAGACAACCACGCTAATGGCTCGTCTGACTGCACATGCCCCGGTCCTAGTCTTGGTCGGGCTTGCTAGTCTACTGGTTGCATCGTCTTCCTTACCGGAATGCCGTCCGCAAACGGGACCGCCACCGCAGGGCCGAGATGGACGGAGAATACTCGTCAACAACATTCGGAGCAGAGGACCAACCTGCAGCACATTTCTATCCCCCTGAGCGTGCATATTCGGCGCAGGAATGTGATCCCAACAGCCATTGCCCCGGGTTCAGGGTGAACGTACACTCTGACGATCGATGGACATGAAGTTCCGAGCAGGTACCTATCCGTGCCTATCCGTACCTGGCACGGATTAGAGGAGTGTCTTGGATCTGTAAGCTGTTGTATGGCGGTGGACTGTTACTCCAGATAGCTTGCGAGCTATTGTATCATCCGGACATCAACCTTGGGCCTCTGGAGCTGCTCAACGGGGAACGTACCACCCTCTATGAGCCTGGAAACATCAACAAGCAACGAGATATCCACATTCTCCTTTCAATCAGAACTATCACGTCTTCCACGAGGATAGCTTAATCGTCATCCTCGAAGTTCCCACCACGATGCAGCCAACCCGTCAACATCTGGTCACTGGGTCGTGCACAGTCACACCCAAAGCCTGAATCCGGTAGCCGTCTTCGAATTCTGCCAGCACGTACACTCCTCCCGGGTTGCCCTGTGAGTGAGACAATACTTGCTCCTTCTTGGGAACCGCGCGCTCTCCGAGCTTTTATCTTCACCTGGTTTGGGCCACCATCATAACCGCGTTTTGCGCATTTCGCACAGGACCTCTACGGCTGTCGAACCACCCCCAGGTCCCAAAATGACATCCTTAGATTGTCCTTAATCTCCAAAGGCTCATAGTGTGTTCACTGGCTCTACATCCGCTTATCTACGAAAAAGCATATCCTAGGGAAAGGGCACATCGATGTCTAAGGTGATGCGGAATGGCCGCCGCATCGGACTTGTCGCCGAGCACCAAGCCCCAGCTACAGATCCTCTGAATTACTTGATTCAATGAACCACGGAACACACCACGGCAGGAATGATCCCAACTACATCCGGACTCCGGACCCAATTCACCGCGGTCAAGAATATTTGCGCAGTGCGGCTGTGAAGCGAGACGCCACGAGCTCATCCGCAGAGACATCAAGCAACAGCGACTGACTCCGTACGAGACACGCCGGGCCAACAGTCTACCATTACTGCCACTCGAGTATTTCCACTCCAAGACCGGCAATTTCCAACGGCGGTGGGGGATCCGCGAAATGCTTCTACTCATGAGATTGTTGATGGCTATTGGAACAACTGCAACTCGTACAGGTAATGGACAGCGTGCTCGTGCGGCTCCAGCTCAATTGCCAATCGCCCCGCGCGGTGCCAGACCAGAAGGAGCCCGGAATGCGCGACGAGTCTAGCACCGGTGTGAGACGGCGGAGCAGCAGAAGGCAACATGCGAAGACAATGCCCTCCAGAAGATTTCCGACAGTCGGCTGATGCGGTGCCGTAACTGTGAATCTTATAATCCTCTTACATTTTCGGCTTGTATTGTTAGAGTTCAGCAGTTACGCAGTAAAGCGCGACAATTGGTAAGCGGGACTGTTCAGTTTTGTTGAAGGTGTAGGCGACGGTGCGGCGGCAGTACAGCCGATGCACACAGTCGGCCGCCGCACCACCCGCCCGCCTCCGTTTCAGTCTCGGTTAGCAGGATTGTCATTGATGTAGCGCATGTGCGCGTGTTGGGATCCGCGAGAGAGGCAAGATTCACGCAGGTAACGAACATACCTCCGTTCAGAGCCGCGAGCGGCACCCCCGAGCTCGATGGTGGAGATACATGCCATCCAAGGGTATTTTCCCGAACTTCACGCACCGCGGCAAGGGTTGACGTCATTAGCAACGTCTTTCGGTCATTCGTGACACTCAGCGGGTTTGCTGCGCCGTACTACGTAGCATGTGATGAGTTGGTAACGGTCCACGGTCCACCTGTTGCACCCACGTCGCATCGACTTACCCCACTTCCCAAAGTCTCTTTCACTGTCCACCTGCACCCCATTCCATTGCTCACACACACACACTCTCTCTCTCTATCCATCCTGTTCCCCTGCGACAGGCTCTCGGACACCTCCTCACCTCACCTCAGTACAATCTCCCTGCGGCTACCATGCTTCTCTGGTGCTTCCGTGCACCTTGCCTGCTTGTACTGTCGGGCGTTCTGGCCCATGGCGCGCTGTATCCGTGCAACGCCGACATCCGCGGTATCAACGCTACCGATCACATTACGCTGGAAAATCCCTTCCAGACTCCAACGAACATTTTCAGTAATGGATCTGGGACTTGGACGTGGACTCTCATCACCAAGTCATACCCAGTCGATGACCACAACTCCACGGACCTTGAACAGCATCTCCGCCTAACCATCGAGCCTGAGGCCGACCTGGTCACGGAAAAGGCGTATCTCGGGTGCGGTGCTATTTTGCACGGCATTTCGCATCGCAGCAGGGTTGCTGGGCAAGATGTTGTCGGAAGCGACGCTGTATCGGGATTCTGCAACAGCGCCCTTGCTCCTAGGTGTCAAGAGATGTTGCTGAACGCCGCCAAGGGGCGCGTTTTCCACAATCAATTCAGCGAATCTGACAGTGTACAACCCGACCGAGTCTGCGACCCACTGCGGAATATGCTAGACTTCAGTGAGATGTCGGAATGCAAGGACGAGGTTGGCGCAGACTGGTGGATTGAGCCCTTCTGTAAGCATCCCAACCATTCAGTTATTGAATTTGCCAGCTCACATTCCACTCATGATAGTATGGGCAGGCTCTCCACTGATGCACGCTAGGTGCCCTATCGAACCGGGTCCAAGCAACCTGACTCGATCTGTTTATACCTGGGGTCAGTCATCATACAACTCTACCGACCTCGCGGCATACAACAACCTCACAACGCTCATTGAGCCAATCATCACCGTTCTCTTTGTGCCAGGCCATAAGGGCTTACGGGATGACACAAAGTGGGCACAGGTTCACATAATGTGTCTCCGCACGGGTAGAAATGTTACCCAGGGCAGTCATCCCGCACCGGCTCAAGTTCCGACCTCTCGAGGTGAGGCAACGTACTTACCCTTCACTCGTCTACTTTTGGTATGCTTTGCCGTCGCTCTTTCATGGACTCTTTAGCTGGTAAGGGGAATGTGACGGGTCATGGTCTGACCCAGGAGGCTTGGAGGATGATGGATACATCGTGGCGGGACACGAACGACGTGATAAGAGAGAATCCATGAAAAGTTCATAATGGTCTTGCCGCCGCTATTCTTACAGTTATTACTGCATCCTCCTGTCGCTCTATTTTCTCCCACTCTCTATAATCCCTTTATTGTTGCTCACTTTCATCCTCCACAATGCACTTTACCCTATTACTCTCCATATTGTGCACTATAAGCCCTACTGGGGCCCCCGTCGTCTGTCCCCGGAGTGAAGGCCTCTGCTGCGAACCTCCCTGTTGCGTGCCTTCGGAGCACTATGAAACCGATAGTAAGAGCTGGAGAGTGGAGGAAGAGCTGCACATGGTGTCTGGTGTCCACGTTGAACCACGTGAGTCTCCTCATACAACAGGATCATGTTAAACGGGAAGAGCACGCTAACCGCACAGCCTCGAGTCTCGTCGTGGAGACAACAGAAGGCAGAACAATTTCATTCAGCACCGGCATCGACATCGGGGGAGATTTGTAGGTCTCTCGTCCCAGACACAACACAATCCGCGTCTAACTTCCCTGCTGCAGAGCGCGTGCGGTTTCCGTCGGCCTCCACTTCGGAGTAGAAGTCTCATACGCCCGCGAGGCAACCGTCGGCGCAAACGCCGTATGCAACGTCCCGCCCGGTCTCACTCTTACCCCCAACGACGCAGTGAGATGCGCATGCGGGCTCAGATACACCGCAAAATACGCAGTGTCGGAAGGCCGACACCGGGGGCGCGCCTGCCATGGCGAAAAGCGGAGGGATTTCGACACACCGTACTCCGCACGCGCGCTGGTTAAGCTGGATCGGGGAACGCCTGCTAGCGGACTGGTGATGTATGAGACTTGTGCTTCGGTCCAGTGGTCGAAGAATTGCCCAGATATGTTCTTTGATTACCATGGGCGGTGTCCGGAGGGTGGATGAGGGGTGGGGTATCTCATCTGCACGCGGATGTCTTTGGGGCTGGGCTACGCCTTCGTTGTCTGGAGGATAGTGCACCTAAAAACCGCAGTGAAGAGTTTGTAAACTATCTCGCCGCCTCTCCAGGCCAAACCCCTCAACTTCAGGCTCACCATGCGTTCTGGTCTTTGATCCGAGCTACTCCGAGCCTAAGCTTGTCGTATAAGAAATACCCCCCCGAAGGCCTCAGAGCCGGTATAACGCTCTCCCAGCACTAACTTAGCATCCTCCAGAGGCACCGAGCTCACTGACCAAGAAGGAGACTTGAGCTGTCACACCTGGTTCCACGCTGTCTGGACAACCCACTTGCGGTTTCGGGTCTTAGCCGAATTTCGGCTCAAATGAGAAGGAGGGAGGCTCCAGTTGGTGTGTGAGCTTTCCTTGCGCTCTAATGGAGGGAATATTGGAATGGATCGATGGATGGTTCGTCTGGACCGTATTGTCTGGGGTAGATATGTTTGATTTGGTGTTCAGAGTTAACGTCCAGATTCGCGCCAGAAAATACGGAACAGACGTGTCTTTCTGCATCATGGTAGTCTGGAAACAGTCCGGCGATCGTGATATCGGCTCAATATATAAGCTAGGGAAAGTGTCAGAGGGGTTTGGAATGCTTGGTTAGACATAAGTGTATGTTCTCAGCATGTTTCACATTTCCATCGCTATCAAGTAGAGATGAGAGTGTGTTCTGGCGTGGTTTATATCTTCATCGTCATCAATGGAAACTTGGTAGCACAATAGACAACGTTGCGGCATGATACAAGGTCAAGAGACGAAGCTAGAGCGCAAGCACTCCAGAAAGGAGATGAGACGGCTGTCGAAAAGCGGAATCAGTCGGCTCAGCGCAGCAGGGGCACTAGAGAGGAAGCTTGCTAGAAGGATAGTTCGTTCCGTGGAGGTGGGCTTTGAGTTTCTTTGATCTGGCAAGTTGTCGGAAGCGGTGCGGAAAGTTTTCTTCTGGTATGGGGTCTTGAGTCTGTGTGGTGCTCTTGCGGAGATAGAACGAAATGGAGGTTGAGGAACGGAGAGCGAGTTGGAGGCCTGTCGTGCGCGCTGGGAGACTATCTGAGCAGACAAGAGGCGACGGACTGATACGGCGATGGAAGCCAGACTTCGACGTAGTTAGAGCCACCATCGAATTTGCGAGGGATACTGGACGGCTACAGTCAAGCTATCAAGACCCAACATGCACAGAAGAAAAAGTGAACGAGCGGACGAACAAACGAGCGGAGAGGGTTGAGGGTTGAAGGTTTCATACCTCCTAAACGATCACACGGCGCGCTAGCTCGAACGTGCCTCGGTTAGTGCGCTGCCGATCAAGCACGACGCCGGGACTGCCCTGCAGACACGAGGCCTCTGAAAGATATTCAGCTCTCCCATCCCTCAGATCCCAATACAATGCGGTAACATAGTACTTTCCTTGATTTGTCTCGTCAAGCACGGCGTCGGGCAACGGGCGAGCAGGTCCCACGGTCGGCTTTTAGACTGGATAAAGCGTAATGAAGCAGGGTGTACTGAGCTGACGCACCCTAGCGCTGACGCTCAGGGTGCATGGCCATAATGGAAAACTTACACGCACTCACCCGCATCCACACACCCACACCCACGCATGTACTATAACCGAGCCTTGATCCGCCCGATTCATCGCTATCATGAACGCGCGTCTCCATATCCCTCGGCCCGGCTCTGACTATGCCCAAAAACATTCGGGTAGATGCTGCAAAGTTAGTCCGAAGACTTTCCCAGGGTGTCTAAGAGAAGAAGTGGGCGCTGTACCATCTTGTTATCTTATTAACAAAGAAACCATCTCTAGTCGGGGCTATTCCAATGTCCAGCCGAGCGCCAACATGAAGGGAGCTGAGACCCCGATTGCCGCTGTGTTGTAGTCGCCGGTAGACATTGGTCGCAAACTCAACGAGCTTGTCATAGTTTAGGTCTGGAAAGTCCTTCCACCTTCTTCAATCCGTTCTGGAGACCTGCTCGCAGTGCGTGTATTCTTCTACCTCATCCTCTTCTTCTATCTCCAATGCTTTCCTCTTTTTAGAGTGCATCGTGCTCCCTTGCGACGGTTGCGACTTCTTTGGAACTTTTGGTTCTCGCCAGGTCATGGGCTTTGTGAGGATAACGTGTTCGACTCAGAGGTCCTTGGAAGGGGCTGAATGGTCGACTGCAAGGAATATCCGAAACTCACCAAAGGTTTGGAGCATGTCAACATACTCCTCATGAATGAGTGTGTAACCCTGAACTGTCAACGGGAAGTGGCATGGCGGATTGTCGTCTGGATCCAGGAGTCGGACATGCTCGCTTTTACAGCTATTGCTGCGCTTTGACACGGTAACTTTGCCTGGATCCTGCTGGCAGCGTTTTCCTGGTTGACACGTCCGCGGCCGGAAGGTTCCCATCTCCCTGGCAATCTCATTGAGAACTAGAACATCCTCAGATCGGGTATAGTATGAGAGAACTTCGCATCGGCTCGGATAAAAAGCTCCTTTGGAGGGATGGTCCAGATCAACTTCTAGTCTGTTGCAGGCAGCAGCAATACTGTTAGGATTATCACACGCGGATAACTCGAGATAGACCAGCACCGGAAGCTTGTCTTGGTTCCTCAGGAACCAGTCATGGAAAGCTTGGAGTGTTGACATGTATTCCAAATGACAGGCATGATTGTCTTTGAGGTATTCCATCAATACCACACTCTAGCAAAGCCAGCGATGAGGGTGAGGTGATTGGCAGTCTTCGGCATCGGCGAAGCCGCGTCCATAGGTCCTCTTTAACTCCTTGACGTGTTTGACGTTAAACCAAGGTGGACAGTCGGATCTTGGATGTCCATCGCGATCGATGTAGTGCGGTATGCACTGGGTATGTGCCTTCTGGATGCTTGGGGCCTACGACGAGGTATAGAATAGAACTAAACTTTGCTACGAAGAGTGAGTGGAGTTGGCGGAGTCCTTGTTGTTCTCTGCTTGAGATTTTGCTAGTTCCTTCGCTTTCTTGATTTCCAGACAGCGGTTGCAGACCGCTTTCCTCCTGCCATCTTTGAACGCGCCGAAAGCTCTAATGGGCACAGTGGTTACTTTTACAGTGCCAAGCCAAAAGTCTGTTCGCGTAGCGCGTCAACGCGTCCCACCCAAAAAAGCCACCTCACCTTCAACACCACCCAATGCCACCAACAATACGTTCTTTTGGCCAGGAAATTTCGCATAATCGTCGCCGGCATGCCAAATTAACTGTGCAACAGCGGGAGTCGATTATTTCGAAGTGGGAGGCTGGTGTTACGACCAGAGAGCTGGCTAAAGAATTTAGCTGCACGACGCGCTGCGTACAGAAGACTATCAATCAATTTCTCACAACTGGCACCTGCGAAAGCCGCCATCGATCGGGGCGCCCCTATAAGCTATCGCGTCGCGATATTCGACAGCTGTACCGTTACGCTCGAAAAACGCCGAAAATTGAGTACTTACCGCTGTTGGCAGAGGCAGGGCTTACTGGGCGGGTGTTAAGGAAAACTGCCTATCGGGCGTTAAGGGCAGAGGGCCTTAAGAAGTTTAGATTGGTGCGCCAACCTAAGATTAACAGGGCTACCGCCTAGTTAAGAGTTTAATGGGAACGTATATGGCGGCATTTTAACTTTAGAAGGACCCCTCTGCGCTTCTCAGATAAGTACTTGGTTTAATTGGGCTCTGGGGGCAACCGCGAATAGTGTTTTCGATACCTATATAAGAAATATCGACATGAGATAGTTGAGGAGCATACAACAAGCCGACCGCCCGCGCAGATGGTGTGGGCGTTAATATGGATCGATAAGAGGGGGAGAATACGCCGGAGCCCCCTAGTTATTATAGAACGCGATCCAGAAGCTCGTCACAATGGATACTTAGCATAGAGTTATACTTAGGCTCTCCGCGAAGGTCTCCTGCGTAATTATCACGCCGGCCAGCGATTCTTACAGGATAACGCGCGTATACACACTGCGCAAGCAACTCGCGATTTCCTGGAAAGCCACCACATCAGGGTCGTCGATTTCCCCCCATACTTACTGGACCTCAACCCTATCGAGCATATGTGGTGGGCATTGAAAAGGATAGTACACAAGCTTTATCCTAATATGGCCACTATTGGGAGGGGTCAGGAGGACTAGGATCGATTTTGTGAGGCTCTGAAGGTGGCATGGCGGAGGATACCCGATTCATTAATTCGCAAGCTTATCCTCTCTATGCCGCGACGCCTACGCGCTGTACGACGTGCGCATGGTTACTAAACGAGGTATTAAGCTCCTGCGAATAAAACGAGCTCTTAATTATCTATTTATGACTATTAGGGGTGGAGTTATGGGTGGTTGAACTCAGGGTGTGAATGTTCCGCCAAGCTCGCTAACCCCTGCTGCGAACAGACTTTTGGCTTAGTACTGTATTACACCAGGCGTCTCCTGCGTTTTTCGCGCCTTGATCCAGAGGCGTCGTCATTGCAAACACTGGTGCGGGAGGTGCTGAAGCAAGGTTAGTTCTTTTTATAGTGAAGAAACAAATGCATTGCTAGCCTGACTTGCTTAACGGTTATGCGAATGCTTTCTAGGGCGGCTGCAGAGTGGATAATGGCGGGGCGGAATGCGTTGAAGGAGGGTTCGCAACGGTGTTTCAAAAGTTCTGAGAACTTTCCAAAAGTTCACAGAACTCTTTCGGAGCAGGCGCAGCCCGAGCGTAACCATTTGGAGCAGGCCTTGGTATTAACAAACACCACCACCCTAGCTGCTCATCACGATCTCGGAATACGTGGCTACAAATTCTCATCGCACTGCTCTGCTTTCCGTTCTTGTAACATCGCCGTGGCCTCTGAACCAACTTTCCCAGCCTACCGAAGCTTGCGTTCTTTTGCGATAGCCCGGCGCCTCACCCGATACGTGTTTTTACGCCTCAAGGTTCTTGTCAGGCGACTTTCGTCCGGCATGACTTCAGTATCTTTCCGACTACCATGCGCAGATATATCAACTCGCCGCTTATCTCATGGATCAGACGCTGTAGGTAGGCACACGAGCCAGCTGCACCGCCACCCTAGATGCAACACTCGGCCACCAATATCAACTATCAGGGGAAGATTCTTGTTAGCATCAATCAGATCCTGCAGTCATCTATCAATTGTTTCCTATTCGCCTGCCCCATACGCCACCTCAATTTCCGCCGCAACTCACAATGGAACCAAATTAGAACGCCAGGCTCTCCCTTGGGCTGCGCCACTCCATAGATGAAACGCCCACGGACAAGAGCACACCAACAGCTTCCACGTTCCATCTTCTGAACGCTCGCTTTCCCGTAATTTGATATTCGGGTGTTCAACACTGCGCTAGATTGCCGTACGACGGAGCTTCACAAGATCGAAAACATGCTAGCATTACCCACAAAACTCACCTTCGTAAAAGGGTAACCCTTCAACATTCCAAACCTTTCATTCGAGAGCATTCAATATAAAAGGGCAATCGATCGAGAAGTTTTGACATCTGAAGAAGATGCCCCTTCCACTATAGGATGTTGGGTGAATTGCAGAGTATCGAGACATGAGTTTATTGATTGAGAATACGAGAAATATGGCTATATATATACATGACCAGGTCACGTGAAGTAGTAACCATATCCGGCAACAAAGGAGAAGGCGTCAAACACGAGGTATTTTTAGAGGCTCCTACGCTTTTCCATTCAGAATATCTCTTGCGAGAGTCTCCATTGCATCGTCTTATCGTGCATAGTGAGCGAGCGATTGGCCGATGTCCCCTGGAACGCCGTCGATTGTGTCGCCGTGCCTGGCAGCCAAGGACGAAGATGTCTTATATCAGCCAGTCGCGATCTCTTCAGCCACTGCTTCACTGCAAGCACAAGGTGCTAAATCAAGGCCTGGTACGGATTGCGCGTGCCCACACTTTTCTGCGCCACGAGTGACGAGAGAGATGAGCCATCCCATTTGGGACTAGCGTCATTTGCGGGCCGCACTTGTAAAACCTCCTGGATCGCCGAATCTTCAGCCTAGGTAGGCTGAACTTCCCTACTACAGTGCATGGCACCATAATTTCGATTTAAGGGTATTCAGTCTCGCCGCTGCCTTCGCCGAGCTCGATTAGTTCATCGACGTCGAACAATGGTACCGCACACAGCATCAACACATGGCCTTCTAGTTTCTTCATGGGTACATCTCTTCTTCTCTCGGTACACCCGTTTAAGACTTCAGGCCGGTTGGAGGCCTCACGACCAAAATTCCGAACGCCTCAGCATCCACGGCATCACCACGTTCAAGATCTCCGACTCCCGTCTTCGGTAACTCCCACTTCCTCCACCATCTCGCATCTCCATGCCTCCCTCATTGCAGACGCCACGCTCCGATACCCGCGCCCTTAGAAACGTCACGCCGCCCTCGCCCTCGCTGTCGCTGTCGCCGTCCAGCGTCGACGCCGTCTCCCCAGCGGAGGGTGCGCCTTTCGCCGGACCGCCTACACCACCCACAACCGCCGACGGCAAGGGTTCCGCGCAGGCACGCATTGTCATCGAGTACTTGCGCGATCTCCAATACGGCCGACGGCGAGCGAGCGAGAGCGGGCGGGCGTGCAATCGTTTCGAGCTTGCCGCCGGCGAGTACGAAGAGGTCCTGCGGCGGCTGGAACGAGATGTTGAGCTGCGCGGCTTTGTCGAGGACAAGGTGCGATACGACTATCACGGGCAAGGGGGTAGACTGGAGATCCGGATGGTTAGCGCGGCACACGAATCGTTCCGCGCGGGTTTAAAGAACGAGATCGTCGCCTGGCTCAACGAGGTCGAGCAGAAGGAGGGGACACGCGATGATATGAAGGAGTTTGTCAAGGAGGTTCGCAAGGACACCGGGTCGCCAACGTACGAGTTTCCGCCGGGGAAAAAGCTCGTTACATACACGCCCGACATTGTCTTCCGCCACCGCCGCGACGCCTTACCCAGCGTCATCATCGAAGTCGCCTACAGCCGGTCAGGAAAAGCGCTGCGTCGGCTCGCCTACAACTATCTCATGGAGTCCAACACGAGCGTGCAGGTAGTAGTAGGCATCGACATCAAGCAACGTTCGAGTCGCAAGGCCACCTTCTCCGTGTGGCGCATCAAGGTCGACGACAGCACCAAGGAGCTGATACTGGACACACAGGTTCACGACCGAGTAGGTCCCGCTGCTACTGAAATCCACATCATACACTAATCGACCACAGGAGTTCCGCGGTGAAGATGGGAAGCCTATGGACCACAGCCCGCTCACCCTGGCGCTCCGCGACTTCGCGACCAAACGAACGGCCGACCAGATGCTCACGGGCGACGCCTGCGAAGACGTACATTTCTCGATCCCGATGGCGCGCCTCTGTGCGCTCCTCAGCACAGCAGAGAAGGACCAGGCGGACACGGATGAGGCCAAGACAGGTGGCGCCTCTCTCGCGATGGACGAACTGCCGAAAGGGTTCAGGAAGCGCCCTCTGTCCGAGTCTCCGCCCCCTCAGCTTGGGGCCGAGGCTGAGGCCGCGATCCGGAAGGACGAGGAGCGTGCGGCGGAGCGTGTGAACCGCGGAGATCGGGCATATTCAGCCAGGGTTTCGAAAGAGCTTCCTCAGCGCGAGTCTCACTCCCGCGACGCGAAGAAGCGAGCACCAGCACCTTCTGGATGAGCGTTTGTTGCTCGTAGCGACGAGAACTCCCACCGCAAGCACCACTACCACTAATATCTCAACAACACGCCTCAGTCAGAGCACCGGAACTGGCGCGCGTGGAAGCCAGAAGCGAACCATCGAACATGCGACGATACATGGGTTGGCCGCAGTGCTATGAGATAGGAGTTGGGGACCTCTGTGGAGAGTGGTATTGCTGGCGAGGAAGATGGGTTGCACTCCGCTCTCCGGAGTGCCTGCGTCATCTGTGCGGTGCCATGGTGCGCTGGATTGGATTTGTCTTGAGATCTTCATCTGCCACACTGAACTACCTACTCGTCATCCCTTGGCGAAGGCCGGAAAGTACCTAGCCATTATCCTCAACGCAACTGTCTTCCCGAAACCTGAGCTGAATGTGCTCCATAACCGCACGCACAGCCACCTTCCCGCCCATCAGTCCCCCATCAACATTCCCCTCTGCCGCGACCAGAGCGAGCCCAGTCCTTCCTCCACTGTTGACTTCAACCCTCCCCGTCCTATCCCATCCAACGCGAGCCAACAGATTGAGTCCCGATATCCTTTCTTTCCTCTCCCAACTCTAAATAGCGGAGCTAGTCTTAGATATGAATGTGCCTCGGCATCCAGCCCATGCCTCCACTGCAACCCCAGGAAGGAACGTATGCGGGAAGTCGATATCCCCATGCCGCATTTTGGTATATATGTGGCCAGAGTCCTCGTGAAGGCTGTTTTCCCAATGACTGGCTGGCAAAATATTTCAAGAGACGAGTTCTAAGACCTGCCCGCACGTTCGGGGCCCAGAAGTCGCTTATTAGTAAGTAGGTCTCGCCGGAATTCATCCCCGGCGGAAAGCGTGGAGTTCTTCTGCCTTGTATGTACTTGAGCTCGGCTCGGCTTGTTATCGCGCAGCTCCTCGTGTCGATGAGGATGAGGCGGAATTCTGCTAGCTCCTGCGGCCTTTGGAGAGAATTAGGATCGGCGCGGCTTGGGTTCTTGTGCTCCTAATCTGTTGAATGAGTGTTGTGGAGAGTCGACTGTGGTGCTGTGTCGACCTCTGCATGGACAATCAGCCAATAGCAAGCCTGAAGATTACCCCTGTAGATCCCTCGGCACCAAGGCGCTGGGATTCCAGCAGGCCGGGCGGTCGCAAGGTTCTTACCCCGCAGCCACGTGGGGTGACCAGGCGGTCGGGATCAGGGCTGCGCGTCATCATCGGGCGCTCGGGCTGCTGATCCCGCCCTTCTCCCACCGCGCACCATCACCTACCTCCCTGTGTCAAACACCTCTTCCAGATCCTTGCTTTGCAGAAAGACCGGACAAGGGATGATGTTGAGGTGGAGTTGTGCAGTTTTGTCAAGTGGACTAATGACAGATGCAGCCGGATGATCGCTGATCGACCGCCCGCGGCGCCGACTCCGAATGCGGGGCCAACGCCGCTACAGTATCACTCCTCTTCCTCCCCTTGCCCTGTTTCTTCTTTTGCGCAGCCCCGTCTGAGACGCCGTCTTCTTCTCTCTTGGGATTGATATCTTTCCGACGTCGCTACTGACGTACGCTGCGGATCGTGGATTCTAATGTAAAGAGGACTCCGCAGGCTGTTTGCGGTTTAGGCGAAGGAGGTGCTTAGGAGGGGTTTGAAGCGGGGGGAAAGGGGAATAGAGGTGTGAGTGGGACTGGGATTAGGAGCAGGGGCGAGAAAAGGACAGAACGGCTAAGGTGTCGAGACTGTTTTGAGATTTCGTGTGGGGCATTGCGGATGATGGCAACGGAGGGGTGGCGCCGACAGGACTCTTGTCGAGAGTGCGGTGTTGATGATCATATATGGGAATGCGTGCGAAGGGAGCTAAAACATCGTGGCGAGAGGAGCTGGGGCGGAAATCTTCATGCTTGTCTCTGGTCCGACCGGCGAGACTTTTGACGGAATTGCCGGGAAGGCTGTTGTTCAGTCTGCTACTTGACTACGATATTGCATATCTTTCGTAATAGAAGAGCGACGTAGATGTCATGAGGGTGGGCAGGCCTGAAGCAAACGACGATCTGGCTGCTGCTCGTTTTAGCGGAAACCCCGGTATACTAACCTCTTAATGTAGACCCGATGCGCCTGCAGCCTATACAACTTGCGGAAGGCTTTCGTACCTGGCCCTTTTATCCTATGCGTGCTAGAAGATTCTATAGAGCGATCAACGCACGAGTTCGTAGGGCGCCGGATGCGATTGAGATTATCAGGCCGGTAGGCTTCAGAGGCCGGAGCGATCATAGGTGGACAAGACGGGTCGGACCTCTCGCGGGATAAGTAGGCTGTGTTGCGATTAAATTTGTATGCTTTGACTCTTACGTCTGCGATCTTGAGCCTGCAGTCAACCTAAGCTTTGGCGGATACGATCGGCGTACAACGGGGACGCGCCACGATAGGCAGCGAAGGCGGCTGAGGAGATCACCATAAGCACGAGGACGATCTAGAGCGTCCTCTTGCCATTTTAGCTGACGAACTGCTTTTCCGATAGGGTCTTGGATTAAAACGGGAGCGGGTTAGGCCCGTGAGAGGGCGATAGAGGTCATCTGAGGAGAGTTTTGTCGGGGCTGGGGTCACAGCAGGTGAGACTGCTGAGCTTGATGCGCCAAGCATATGTGGACCGCATTCGCATCAAGGATGTGCTTTATTGCTTGTACTAATGCAAGGTTAGGAATAATCTACACAAAACCATCTATTCACTTACGTCTCAACATTTGGGCGGCGAGAGAAGAGTAAGAGTTCCGCAGACATATCCAAGTACGTACATCCCGCCAGCCTGGATAGAAGAGTCAGAGATGACTAGCCTTGCAGAGCGAGTCGCTCGACCATTTAGGGGCCTCGTGCGGAGTAGATGTATGGCGGATGCTGGCTATGCTTCGCTCTTAGTCTTCGAGAATAACGCAACTGCGGAGAAGTCCTCAAAGAGAAACTTGTACCGAACAAAGATCGACAGTAGCAGTAAATCTGAAATACATGTACCTCAATTGAGTTCTCAAGACAAGAACGCCGGAAGATGCAAAAAAAAAATGCAAAAACATACAACAGCCGGGTATTCGCTAGTGGTCACCCACCTAACTACTAATCCGCCGGTATCAGGCTTGACGTATGCAGAGCAGACGGGATGCGGTATTTTCCTGATCCTATGGTCGTATGTGCTAGTAATGCGTTTGATAGAGGTATTTATAGATTGTAATAGCGGGGCTTGGCAAGGGGGAGAAGAAGCGGAACGACAAAGCAGATTGGGAGAGATTGGTGTTAGAACGATTGGGTAATCCACTCGAGGCTGCACTCTAGCTCAGAGTCGAGCGCAAGCATGGTTGTAGGATCGATGCCCGCTACAGGCGTAAAGGGATTCTCCGCATGGGGCGATGGCGTCCTCTAGCTAAAGTACTACAACGGCTTAAACGAGAGAATAAATTTATATAAAAGGGCGAAGCGTCGCTATATCATGTACCCTAGGCTCCGTCTATTAATAATCAACCTTACTGGCGAGAATTCTGGCATGGAAAATGTACGGCCACGAGCCTTTGCACAAGAATAGAAACATTTATTGTATTAGGACAGCGACCGGGACTCTAGCTGTCTAGAATACGAAGTTCTCCCGCCTATACGTATTTGGCTGCCTAGCGCTGCTAGAGGAGCATCGACGTGCGCGTTACGATTAGTGTTATAAGAAGTAGGAGGGTAGAAGGTTTATTAGCTATAAGTCCTAGCAGCCCAAACCTAAATAACCCCTAGTCCCTTTCGTACAACTGCTTCCGCCTATCTCCGTAGGCTCAATATCGGCCCTAGCGCATATAGGCTTAATTCGTAATCTTCGAAGGGGCATTGCAGAAGCCCCTGGCAACACATAAGCCTAAGTACGGCCATTACAACTCTTCCAGATTTGAGGAGGGGGCGTAAATAAATAAGGGGACTCTGTCTCCCTTATTAGGTTGTTATTCTTTAAGATTAAGGGGTCCCGATGCAGGCTTTGGGCGGCGGCCTGTTTAACTCTTTTTCCTGAAGATAGTATGGAGGGATGTGAAAACCGTGGCTCCCGCTATCACTGACCTGACTGCCCTGGAAAATGGGATGGCGAAGGCCATGCAGTCCAGCTTATACCCAGAGCTCGGAAGGGCAAATATTACAGCTTGTTGTGCACAGGCGGTAGGAAGACGGGCCGCTTCCTTCTCCCCTCTGGATCTGATCTCTGCATTAGGCCAGCCTATTAACCCACCATGTTTCAAGCTGTTACCTATGCCAACAAAGATGACTTGGAACCTGGCACTAGAGGACAGTACTCAACGGCGGGCGTCTGGCTTGACGAAGCGCAGGAAATGTGCGGCAGGCCGCTACGGAGATGATGTCCGCCTACCACCGTACACGAGATAGCGACCACGCTTGATGGTTTCTCAGTCTGTCGAGTGTGCTGAGGGTGCCGAGGTGTTGAACTATTAAGATGTGGAGACCATCGAGTGCACTCAACGGGTCGAGTTGGCTAGGTAGAGGGCAATCTTCAGGTTGCGTTGGCTCTTCGGATTGCCGGTGCGTGTTGAAGCGTAATTTGTGGAAACGTGACTCGACTCAGGGAAAGCATGCCCGCGTCCCGAGGTCGCCTATCCCCAGATGGCTCGTGTGGGAGCCCCGCCACCCACCGAGCACGTCCTCACTACAAAGACAACCCACCCACTTCATCCTCGCTCATCCTCGCTGCAGCCCAAGGAAACGCCTTTCGGTACTCACAGCCAACTTCGTCGATCTTCCATTCCCAGTGATGGATATTCAAAGCGGCATGCCTGTCAGCTCTCCATCGAATGCCACCATGGACGCAGCCCTCCAACTAGGAAAGAAACTGGACACGCTCCGCGCGAAGCAAAAGGAGTGCTGGTGCGAGCCGAGGCTGCGCAGGCTGATCGACTCTTCTCGCAGCTGCAACCGCGCCTACATTGAACGCAACGCGGTCCGCATTACTGTAGCCCTCAGCTCGTACAGCAAAATGCCCATCGGCCACGACGATGCTTTGGACTATGCCCTTCAGCCCGGAATTGGAGACAGCGCAGAAGAACAGGAGCTGATTCTCTATTGCAACCCCATGGACATCAGTCATGGTCCCACTTCGCCTCTGGCAGACATCCCCGAGGTCAAGGAACCCGAGGCCCCGAGTACCAGTACCGCTTTCCTGATTGGAAGGGTGCTATCACGCGTGCGTGGTAAGCCCCGAGATAAATGGGCTGATACGAAGACGACCCTTCGCCTGATGCTAGGGAAACCCGGAGAGCGTTGCAGCTTTTGCATTGTTGGGGAGGGTCCCGAGAAGGACACAATTACACTGTCTCCGTCGGTGGAGAGCATTGCCGCTCTGGTGGCAGATTCCTATATTAGTGGAAAGACCTCGACCGTTTTGCGCGTGCTTCGTTCGGCGCCTTTGTGAGGCGCTGCGAGCAAAGTTAAGTGAGAAACCTACGTGTACGGAGTAGCTCTAATGATATGGATATAGTATGACGAGATATCCTAACTCAGGATAGTGACGAACTCATTCATGACATCCAACATCGGAAAGCCACCAACCTAGCCCAATCCAAATTCTTGAGCATTATCATGAGGCTTACCACCTTGTCTATTCCTCTTCAATATACAGTCACCGTCGAGACGTCCGCTTCTAGACGGGAGACGGGAGATCACAATAATACCAAGCTTTTGGCGGCAGCTTCCCAGCAAATAGTATCAACTGATACTGTCGAATCCAGACTGGAAATAAAGTGAATTGAGAGAAGCTCACTTAGAGCAGTGGTTATTGCTTGATTACCTTACCTCCCTTCAAAACTCCTGTCCGTTGTTTGTGCCACTTTGATAGGCCCCTGGCTCCGGAAATTTTGATGCTATCGACCGAAGTCATCATCCAGGAGTCGACGAGAGGCTCCCCCTGCTACGTATAATGTTTGTGAAGGTAAACCACACTCAAGTCGATCGTACCCAGTTCCGCCATGTCCGACGATAGTCGCCAGCTCATCGACAGAGACCAGCGTCCGCTTCGGGAAAGTTACCCTCCACTTTAGCGGCTCCAGAAGATCACGCATAGTGGCCATTCAAGAGTAAGCCATCACTTCTCGAGTTCTCCTCATTAAGATCATGCGTAGATTTAAAGGAGTCTCTATTTCGAACTCCTCATTTAGGGTATAGCGGAATTTTTTCCGTGCTGTGTGAAGCACAATAGTTATGTAACTCGCAACGCCGGGGTTCTTGTCCGGCCAGAAGTGCGTTGGTTCTGGCCAGAAGTGTGCCAGCTCTATGCCAGAAGTGAAGACTAAGCCAAAATAGGCAGATGGGGCTGCCCCTCATGAACTTCGAACTGTATCACGAGCGATCTCTGCAGAATGTGCTCATTATCGAGGTCTCGGTAGACACTGTAGAGATCGACATCGTGCGCTTCATTCCTCGTTTCTGCAGGCTGTCAGCAACATTACACCTTCTCGCGCATTGGTTTTGCGATCCAACGGCTGAGATCGATAGACAACCAACGACTCATTTATTCGCCTCCAACTCCGCGCTCATATCCCCCTCCGAGAGAGCCAGTGCATTCGATGCACGTGCGGCAGGCCCAATTCACTTCACACTGGACGCCAAATATCCGCGGCGCCCTGACTGCGAACACATCCAATATTTACTAAATTTGCTGAGTCTGTACATCTCGCAGCCCAGACTACGAGTTCCGATTCACCCCTGAGGGATCCCCCTAGCGCGCCGAGCCCACGAAACACGTGCTACCCACCTAGTATTTCCATCTAACCCGCTTATACCGTCAGCGTAGTTCTTTACATACATTACAGCTTCTTATAACTCTAACATATTTATCTAAATATTCTTATACGTGCCTATAGAGTATAGTCTAATATAAACTAATTCTCTCTATAAGAATCTCTAATGTAGATTTTACACCCATGGACTGCAGGTAGATAGCTACCATATTCACAAGATTGGACCCGTGCCGAGGAGCCTACCATCTCGTTCCACTCCCACTTCCTCCTAGACTCAGTAGTTGAATCTACTGATACCAAGCCGGCCTATCTGAGCGGTAACACAGGAAACCGCGGACTGTCCACTTGCCGTTGACAACGGCAAGTGGGGACTGAAGACCAGTCGGAATCTGCCACTCGTTCTCCAGCACATCCACTATCGTCTTCACAATACCCATATCAGGCTTGTTCTTCCACTTCGCAGCCGCAAGCGCTGCTTCGAGGGCCTCAATGCGCTTATCATTATTCTCGGAGGCTGTCACCTGGGCGCCGAGAGCCTTGATCGTTGCATCCTTGTCCTGGTCCTGGTCCTCGGAAGCCGCGAGCTTGTGGCGGAGCTCCTTGATCTTCTCATCGCGCTTCTCTGCAGCGGTGACTGCATCGCGTAGTGCTTCACCAGCTGTTAGTTCAGCACAGAGACGCTCGATCTTCCGGCCCCGAGCGTACATGCCGATAGCGAGGCAGATGGGCATAAAGGCGAACACGAGGAGGCAGATGACGTCCATGGTCCGCTCGACCAAGGCTTCCGAGGTCGTCGTTGTGTACTCGTACTGCATTATCGACCTTGTAGACTTCAACTTCAACGTTGTGCGCTTGATTGGTATTGGGGCGATTTGAGATTGAATCTTCGTCGCTGTAGTTGTGTGTGTGTGTGTGTGTGTGTGTGTGTGTGTGTGTGTGTGTGTGTGTGTTGTGCGGATGGGAGGAAGTGGGAGATGCTTACTGGGTGGTATTATATACATGCCTGTGTGGACGGATTGTGCAATCATGTTGATAGAGGGAAAGCAAATAGTGTAATGATATCGACCTTGTGCAGGTACAGCTCCTGGGCCAGGTGACAAGCATTTTAAATTGAGGTTGTGGAAGGCTTAAGGACAAGCTTGTAGGCTAAAGAAACCACGGGCAAGCATTGTGAAACGAGATTGTCGAGAACTTAGGGATTAGCTCATAGTGTGGGATAATATCACCATTGTAGAGTAACAGCTCCGGACTGAGGGAACAAGTGTCTGGCCGCCCTCTCGAATTCGCCACGTGTCGGGAATGGAAGAAGTAGAACACCATGAGGGATACTTAGCGTACATTAACATCGAAGGGATCCTCGGGTTCTCGGACTCTTGGTAGCAGAAGTTGCCGAGTGACTGGAGAGGTGACGAATGAGGTTGATTGGCTTTGGACGGGTGGTACGATCTCAATTCCATGTCCTCTACTGGACTCCAAGTCCTCGAGGATGGCTAGCTTTTCGAGAGTTCGATGCCACCGCCAAGGAAGCCAGGCTGTCAAGAGTGTTACAGCAGCGGTGGATTGGTATATCTCCGGCCTGGAGTAAGTGCATATGCAAAGAATGTAGGCTGTGTATCTTATTGCGTGTCATCTGCCCCATTGTATGGCGAATGAGAGCATATTGATTCTCGCTCTTGTGAGCGCAATTGGATCGAGATAGAACCAGCAGAAATGAGAGATCTGTAGACCAACTAATCTATACCACGCTAAGATAGGAGCCGCTATAAGTCTTCTGAGCGTGACTTCAACGATGCATAACAGATCTGGAACGAGGAGAGGTATAGAGATGTCCTTTTACGTAAAGAGCGTGGCCCGCTTTCCTCCAGGAAATATGACTTCCAGTGTATCCATTTTGGTTTTAAGAGTAAGAGACAAACTTCAAAGTGGGAAACGGACCATAGCGTCATGACCCTGCTGCTGATTCCAATCGATCGATCGCGCGTTATTCGCCTAAGCTGATGCCTCACTTACTATTATTGTGGAAGTACGTTGTTGCCCAGTTCGCGGCATTCGTATCTTTGATACCTGCTTTTAGTGGAGAAAGAAACAAGAAGAGTGCGTAGCTGCCGTCAAAGGCGCCAGCCACTAGCCACATCTACTCGTGTCAGCCCTTTTGCAGCCCACTGCTATCCTGAAACAACATGCTTGTATGCTCCATGTCGTCCCCTCCCCGTGGACTACCCTTCGGAATCGCGAATGGTTTCGCCCGGCTTGTTTGTCTCGCGTAAGTTGTCCCCTTGTTGACCTTCCTTCGTTATCGTCGCCGCTGAAGCACATACCTAAGTATCGATGTGCCGCCGCGATCCAAAATATCCGTACCAATCATCCAGCTGATTGACCTGGCAACCTTCCTCACCGCAGTCAGCTCTTATTCTCACCAGGGACCGAGGGAGGGCCCGTACTTACTTTTGGCCTCTATGCTTCTGCCCTTATTTTACCTCATGCTGGTGCTGCAGCTGAAATTCGACTTTACATTGTGTGTATGTCCGGTAAACGAAGTAGAAAAGGGTAGAGGAGGATAGGCTGAAGTGTTAGGGAAAGGTGCGTAGAGGTACAGGAAACGGAGAAGGAGCCGGCTTGTAGTACAAACAAAAGACGTTGCTCCGTTCGAGCCACCACGATGAAGTGAGCACGCATACTTTAGTAACCATGCTCTACGCTGTAGTTCCCTGCCCCTATGTCGCGATATTCCAATCACCTTTTTGCCCAGGCTCTCCCTGGTAACGACCGCGCCGTATCCTGGGGTTCGCCCTGCTTTCGCTTGTCATTCGAGGTGCTTCGAAGGATTATAAGAAATGGTCAGTTAATGGAGGACTGAATCTTCTGGCTGCCATGTTCTGCGGCGTTGAGCGGCTTGGCAGTTAGGGGCACGCAGCGCGCACGGCTGCCCGGAATCCGCATAATGGCACGGGTTTTCTTCGCTTTTTAACGTGTTGAGCGCCCTTGGCATGTGGAAACCCCGTTTCGTTCTGCATTCTCATTGCTGTCATCATTTTGCGTGCGGAGGATCCATTTATTTACCACTCCTCTCCTATATACCGGCTTCTCTTCAAAAACCTAGTCGTTGTCGAATCCTCGACAGAGGTCCAAATCCATAGCAGTGACCAACCTCACTATGCGCAATCACAGCCGCTTTAACCGGAGGAACAACTCATTCAATACGAATCTTATATGACGCGATCGCAGCCCCTTCGTCAATGGAGAGCTAAGGCCGGAAATACAGGTCATCAAAGTCGCAGTGGTCCTCACTTCGAAGAGGATCTGAGGCCGCCGCACCGGTACATCTTATCGACCCCCATTCGCTGTCACGTTGACAGGGACGCAAGACCTGGCAGTGGGATAAACTCATGATCGACCGGGCAGCTCTTCTATCATGGAGGTGCAGCTGAGCTACCCATGAGACTTCGCCAGCCCATTTGAGGACCATCATATCATGGCACGCTACCATGCTCGGCGTATACTTCTGCTCTCTTCACTTTTAATCGTTTACACGCTAACACGCCAGCACGAGGAGTCAGTCCATCCACCGCATTGCTAGCAGAACCATGCTAAGCCATGTATACTCTGCATCCACAACCATATCGTTCACGAACACGACAAGTGCTGGGGTTGGTACAACGCGGCCATGGCGCTCTTTTTAGCGTAAACGATATCGAACAAGGGACGCGGGTACGGACGGTTGGCTGTTTGTGCGTCTATGACGAGTCTAGCCGCAGTGTACGGGAGTGCATACGCCGGGAAGGAGGGCGCTCGGCGCGACAGGAGGACGGCTTCAGAGATTCGGAGTGTCTTCCTCCAACTGGCTCTTGTCAGAACTTCTGTGTGTGGCACGAGTCTTCCGCCATTGGTGCATCGTTCGGCCTGCTCCGGTCGAGCCGTTGCTGCAGTTCCCCAATAGATCAGATCAATACCACTGCGTTTACGGCGCTTCATCTCTACGACCTGACCACACTCAAGTCCACCTCCCGCCGCAACTTTAGAATGCATCAAACACCGGGCAGGGCTGCATGGAATGATGGAGGTTGGAGCGACCACAGATCACTGCACACCGCATATTTCTCTACCGCTTCATCCAGCGACTGTCTAAAAGCTTTGACGGCATTCCTTTAACCTTTTCGCCACTTCGTTCATGAAATGCAACATTCTAGCATCATGTTCCAACGTCGCTGGATGTATGGAGGAAGTCAAACTAGGATAATAATGCCTTCGCCAACATCGCACCGCTCGAACCCGCCTTGGAGTGTAGGGCTTCTTCTACCAGCTTCCCTCGTTCCAGTACTCGTACGCGCTCAGCGTCATCGTATCGCCCATCATCGCTCGCGCAACAAAGCCCTGCGCGCATCCCGAGTTGTTCGTCATGCGGTGGGACAGAAAAGAGGCAGAAGCGGTCGTACGTTCTTAGTGCGCTTGGATATGTAGCTGGTGGTTTCAGCCATTATTATGTACTTTGCAGACGAGTTATGTGAGAGGTAGATAGGTGAAGTCGAAAGGCTCATACCATCGCTAGCACTGAAAACGTCTAGGAATTTTCGGACATTGGGGAGGCGAAGTAACCACTCTCTTTCTGACCTATAAGACGTCATACAAACGCCTAAAGTAACCGCAACTGGATTCGTGCCTCTCGCAAGTCTCTACTCAGCTTTCGACACATGCGGCTCAAGCCTTCCTCCGGGAACTCGTCCCCTCCCTGAACCGCAAAGACCCCTGGTATTCTCTGTCACAAATCTCGCCCTTGTTAGTGGACATGTTTCGATTTTCCTTCCCGCTTGTCCATAGCCATGCTCTGCGCTGTCAAGGCCGTACCCGTAAGTTCGCAGCCCTACAGTTCCCTTATCCCTGCCAGGTAACCTCCCTTGGGCCTTTCCATTCATGTCTTTGTCCATATCCTTTCCCTGTCTTCAACGACCAGTTGATGGAGTGACGAAACTGGGTGAGGAACCTTCGCAGCGTCGACACTGTACAGATTCCACTTGGATCTGTTGGACCAATAACATGGACCTCCATATTTTTGCAACGCGGCGCTGTAGCGTACTCAGCACAGTTGACGGCCCCGGAGCTCTTCCCGTATGCATTGTGACCATTGGTGATGACTTCAGGATAACCCCGCACAACCCGACAAATCTTGCAACCCGACACTGGATTGAGCAGATAGTCGAAAGCCTGCCCTATATGACAGCGCATGCTGAGTACGGGACTCAGTACAACTTCGTTGCGCTCGAATCGTTGCTGGTCTGGGAGAGGCGTTTCTGTTGCAGTTGTGTGGATTCGCCTGCATTCGCGGGAGATCCATCCCTCTTCAGGTACCCTCTGCTTCCGAATATGTAGTAGGCACTTCTTGAACTCCGCGAATTTGATGCGTTCCATCGTTGCTCCGGCAGTCCCACAAAGGAAGCACACATGCGTCACGAATGGCTGGTAAGGGCGTTGCTCGAAGAGGCGATCGTCTCCCTCTAGCTCTTCAATGGTGTCGATAGGCTTTACGAAGTCCTTGAGAGTCTTGATCGTCCCGTTTGGGAATTTTTCCAGGTAGCACCGGATCCGTTTCCAACCGTCTTTCATAGTTCTCTTCGTATCTAAAGTCGACGCTATCGTCCCATCGCCTAGACGTGAGGCTATAAAACGCATTAGCTACTTATTTCCAGCACGTATTAGGAGAATTTGAAGGGAGGATCATACACTTGTAGCCAACCGCTCGAAACTCGAGGCACGATAATTCCAATAGCAACTCCATGCAACCCTGAACGGGGATTGGTGTTCCAAGCTCAACATACATATCCGTCACGTTGATGTCTTGGGCTGAAGCCATTTTGCTTATCTTAGCCCACCGCCTAAGCAGCTTAAGTGCACGGCCCCGTATCTTTCGAAGGAGTGGTAGAAGTTTCCATTCTGTCTCCCCGTAGAGTTGACAGCCTTCCGGGAAGAAAATTACCGTGTATGATCCCATGGTGAGAGCGCCGCTGTTGATTTGCTCTTTGATCTTATAGAGTGGGGCAAGGTAGAGTTGCTCGATTTCCCATCTCACTCGATGAAGGAAGCGATGTTTGACATCTGCAGGGTTACATGAGCATTCTCGGAAAAGAGTCGGAAAGGAAGGGTTTACTCACCACCAAAACGCTCGGTACCCATGAGAAACATTTGCTTAAAAGCATGGAGCTGGTGGTGGGCATTGCGTATCCAACCAGCGATATTGATGAGACGACCCCCAATAGCTTTCCTGCCGGCGTTGAAAGTCATGTTCTGGCTGTTAAGTAGTAGATTGCTAGTTCCTGCGGGCTGGTCAAGAACAAACGCCACTTCACCCCAGTCCTGAGTGACCATCGTAGTAGGGGAATCCAGGCTCATCCTTTCGAGGAGAGTCTGGAACGGGATCAGATACTTCTTCCTGTGTCTCTAAGGAAGGACGGTTGATATAATGGCATGGCAAACGTTAGCATGCCGTTTGTAGGCTCAGCAAGCAACACACGACTGAACCTTCTAAATGGCGCTGTCTACTTAGTTTATGTCCTTTTCTGTCTTTCGCAAGGCCAAGCTCCGTAAGATGGACCTTGGCTGGTATTGTGCTGACCATAGCAGCTTTTTCGGCCTTGATGCCGCGATCCCTGACACTACGATCATGCATGAACTCCAGGGCAGAAGGCATCTGCCCGATGTCATCAAAGAAAAGCCTCCCTGTTAATTCGTTTGCTTAGGCGGCACAATACGACAGTTCGTTCTGTGATGGTTGTGGACATGGGAGAGCAGAAGATGAGTATAATGGGGATCAATCATGCAACTACAAATGGTAAGCGGGACTGTTTTTGACATGTTTGTGGGGCTCAGCTCATGTATACCAAGAAGTAACTCCCAATGCTGATGCTTTCTTGGGATTCCAGAGTGCATTGGCACGTGCTGGGATTTAGGTGGGTATTCGTGGCCGATCCGCGTATCTCTCCCAGAGCTGGTTTAACGTGTAGCCATTGGAGGCGCCTCTTACCATCGCTAATGACCTGTAGAACTTATAATTAGCAATTACCAACAGCGTAGAAAGACAGAATCAGAAAGTATCTTGTGCCAGTCAGAGATGACCATTAAGAGACCTGTATTCTTAGAGTGCACAATGCGCAGGCAAGTTGCGCACACTATTACGTTTCAAATGCTGCAACATCAGGAGAACCGCCTGCTCGTCCAGTTCATCTTTGAGACCGCTTCTTGAGTCCGTCTCATTCTAGCCATGTGTAGCGAACGCACACTTAGAGCCAGTTCTGCGACCATGTCTAACCCGGCTGGGCCTGCTAGTGCATTCACGTGCGCCGCACGCGTCACTGGCGCGCCCCCGCGTTTGCCTACGAAGATTGTCGTATTTTTTGAGTCACCGGACTACGTGGCCGGTGCACCAACATCGGTGACTCAAAAGATACGACAATCGTAGTTTGTAGCTTGCTCTCACCTAGATAGCGTTTGCCCACAGCACACCTGTTCATTATATAATACTTTCCTCACCTTCAACACAACTGCACCTAAGCTACTATCCTAAAGAGCGATAACTCTAGCGATAATAAACCGTGAATACGTAGGTTGCAAAGAATCTGCGTCTACTGTTGCACGCTAAGGTCTGTCACTACCAACCCCAGATTCAAAGCAGGAGTCGCCAGGACCATAAGTCGAGGACGAATCATGAGGAAGAACCGGCGCGCAAATCGCAAACGGATGGGGAAGGACAACAAGAGTCGATCTTCCGCAGCTCACAACCCGGTCGCCTTGCACCCCAAACTCGAGACTGGATCCGCGGATGGAGCGGGAATCGGCAGTAGGACCCCGCCTATGGCAAAACACTCCCCAGACGCCAATGAGGTCTCATCAGATACTATTTCCACCGCGTACAGCGCCCACATCGAGCCTACCGAGGAAGAGACGACAACACTTCTCGATCAGCTCGACGACTTCGAACCTTGGAACGTCGCCGTGCTGCTAAAGGCGGCACGTAGAGACGCCGACACCTTGAAACCTTTCCTAAGCCAGAATGCTCCTGCTCAATGGGGCCAGCTACAGCCTTTGCTTAGCAAGATGACTCAGTGGAACAAACTCTCATATGAGAAGGCTCATAAGGAACTTGCCCCCGATATTTATGGCGAAGAAGACTGGGCCCGCTTTCAGGAGTCGGGCGAGCGCGTTTGGGCAGATCTCCAGGGGTGGATCTTGACGAAACTTAACTCGGACCTCAAGGGCATGCAAGAGTACTGCCAGAAAGCCTACGAGTCGGTTCACACCAGTGACTCAAATGCACTTCCTTGGGAGACTTTCGACGCATTATGCTGCGCTTGCCTCGTTCCTCTCGAGGTAGCGCTTGTCGGCTGTGGGAAGGATAGCCGAGAACCTAATGATGCTCGGCACCAACTGTTGAGCAAATGGGTTGAGCTGGAGCATGACGATCCGGAGGAGTGCGTGCCGACGCTCCCAGAGACGTTTAAACTTAATGAACAGTCGCTCTTGGGGACTATTGACAATACCCGTGGCAGAGAGATTATCGATTGGCACGCCCTCTTCTATTTCTTTGGAGCAAAAGCTCAGCCACATCTCGGGAAAGGAATTCTATTTGAGTACCGCCTCAAACTAAACGGCAATTATACAAAGAAGTGGCTCACTCCATTGGACACCACCTACGTAGCGCCCAAGGAGGATTCCGACGACGAATACGAGGACGAGTCAACACGCGCCGATTTCCAAGCCTTCTTCATAATTGAGGACAAGGATGGCAATCCCAAGTTCGCCGGTCTGCAGCTAGGCTATATCGAGTACTGCTCCCACAGTGGAAAATGGTCCGAGTCCAACATCGCGGTAGCTCTTAGGGGTGTTGGCACGATTAATCCTGGACAGTACCCGCAGCACCGGCTGCCCTGCCGCTCACTAGGACGGGACGGCCTATGCGTTATCAATCCCTTCGCATTCGAGGATCTTAACAATAAGGATACTGCCAGCGAGGAGAAGGCTATCTTGGATGATCTTCAGCTTCACACGGTGCTCTGGAGAGGTGCCCTACCGGAACATAGAAAGGATTGCGGGCCAACCATCACTCTCGGTAAATTCGTCTCGTATCGCGCAGATGCAAACTACGGTGGCCTCCTCCGGCTAGGTAGTAATTAACAGGGGTTAGAATTGATGGATGGGTCAGGTTAGGCCCATATGTAGACAGTCTTGTGCTGCGGTTGCCCTTTGTCAGAGATAGTCTAGGGTCCATAGCGGGAATGGATGATCTACGTTCGGTAACCTAACCCTTTTTATTATTACATGTACTGGAACGCGAAGGAACACGACTATTAAAGTCGTTCATACTCCCTCGCATCGTTGCCCCTAGTATGTGATAAGGTCAAGCGGGGCTTCGCTGCTGTCTCTTCCTTTGGGTAGGCGATGATTTGCATGCTCAATGACGGCATTTTTCGCGAGACAGGAGTCATGGAGCCATTTTGAGCAGAATTCGCGAGTGCGCATTTCGGTCTGGTTCTGAAAGGCCTTTTGTCGTTGGGATGGGAGCGGGAGGTAGGGCCCGCCGGGCGATTCTGGAGGGAAGGCGGGGTTAGAGAATGCACCAACTCTCGCTGTTGCGCGCCGCAGAAGAACATGCGAGATTGCAGTGCACCGAGTACGTACTAATGGGGAAAAGAAAAGAATTGTCATAGACCCGATAGCGCAACCTAAGCATAGACTCCCGTGATATTTTGTCTCCGCCACATCTGCCACAGCTACATCCTTCCGTCATCTGCCAAACCGCAAGCCGTCGCAGGAGTGTGAAGACCCCGCAACAGCCACACCACCATACCACCACAGGATGCGCCTCTTTTCTCTCACTGGCTGCGCGGCAATTGGTTGTGTTGGCGGAGAGCAACGCTGAGGTCGCAGCCAGCACGGTTAGCCCTGCATGCGGTGACGCAGCAGCCGGTGCGGCCTGAGAGGGTGAGGACCCAGTCGGAGACCACCATTTCCCCTGTGCAGAGGCTAGAGACGGTCTCCAAAGCCACAACTTGCGTGTGCGACGAAAGCACGTGCGTCTTTGTCGTCAGGTCCACATCTGGCAGGGCTTCCGCGCCAACATACTCGTCAATATCGTACGTCCACGCAATGTGGAGCCACGTCATTCCCTCGAGCTCTCGCATCTCCAGGACTAGGGCGGGATCCACCTGGCGGGCGCCATCGACAATGCTCACAATGTTCACAAAGGAGCCGATTCTGACGAACGTACGGGGCGCGATGCATTCCGAGTTGAGACGCGGGAGGATTGCCCATCGAGGCCGACCAGCACGGCGGGAAGAGCGAGTTAGGGAGACTCTGAACTTGAACGGCTGGGCACCGTTGGAACTTATTGAGTGGCAGCGGAACGCGGCTACAAGCTGTCATTAGCTAAAGCACGAAAACTGGGAGTGAGCTCATACGAGGGCGAGCAGCTTTCAGATTAGCAATAGGTATTCCCTCCTCGCCCTCGCCCTCGCCCTCGTCGTCAGTGTAGTCTTCCTGCTCAGCATTCTCCTCATCCCGCTCCTCAAGTTCCGTAACCTCCTCCGCTGGATATTGGCCCTGTGCGGCCTCTGCAAGGCTCGATGCCATGTCTTCTAGAGTGTGACCGCTGGTGTGTCGCGCATGCGTAGAAGGGAGGGTGTGGGTGCTAAGGACTCAGCCCGCGGGGTTGTCACGACGTGGTGTTGTTGTAGTCAGCGCCTGCTCGGGCAGGGCAAAGGGCAAATAATGAAGCAGAGGCCGAGACGCGTCGCGCGAGGGTAGGAGGAGGGGCTGGTGTCGTGACAAACGGGATCACCGAGCAGCAGACGAGCAGCCGGGAAGCCGAAATGGAAAGCAGCCAGCGGGAACGTTGCCGATCGATCAGGGCTAACGCGTGATGGGAGGAGCGACGGATTGAGGATGCATCGAGATGGATAGACGAGGGGGGAGTTGGGTGTCGTGGGATAGCGCGTTGCCAGCGCGCGCAGCAGCAAAACTGTTTGTGCGCTTAGGTAAGCGAACGCCGGTTCGAATCTGAGTTGCCGGCATGAAGCCTCGACGGGCGCTCGCTGTCGTGACAGCGAGAATCAACGGCGAGCGCCATTTGCGACGGGCGCGTGTTCGTGCAGAGGACAGCTTGGAGGGCGGGCATCTTGTGTAGGCTGCGTATCTATTAATAAAGAGCGTGAGCGGAGGCGCGGATACAGTGCAGCGACGACAGGTGATGGGTAGCGATGGACGACGAGAGAGAGGAGGATGGAGGAAGAGTGGTGAGGAGCAGAGCGCACGTCAGATTTGTCACAGGGCGTAGCGCCAGGCTAAATCGGAGAATTATTCGGGTACCACGCAAGGGCGAAGCGATCCCTCAATGGTGGCGACATCTCCACCCAATCAACACTGGTGCCAACAACCAAGCCTCCTCCCCCGTGCACAGCATCCTTGTCCGAGCCTCTCCAGAATGCATAAGCAAAATATACTACGGTGTGGCGCTAGGCTTGCACAACGAGGCTCCCGTTAGAAACTTGCCAATCGAGCGCTTAAAGCAAGAGCGAGATTTGTAGAAGCTTCTCTAGGGAGGAGAAGGCACTGAAGCCGGGATCGCCTTGGCGCGCAGTTGAAAGCGAGCACGCTAATATCAGGGAATATCCAAGCTGAACCTTGAAACCCACTCCTAAACGTCGAGCACCCAGATCGAGCCAGTTCACTTCCCCGCTCTGTGCTGTACCCGGGGCGGGAGCGCGACGCTCCTGAACACGAAGGAAGTGTGCGACCATGGAATTCAATTATGAATTATTAATGACATGTGGAGTTCACGAGGCCTCAGATGTTCTGAGCGAGTGGTATCTCGCTCGAGGGCGAGGTGTTACGCCATCACGGTGTACATCCAGCTTCAACTTGCATCACAGCGAACGGTATGAGATAGGCTAGAGAGTCTAAAGATGCGGATGCAAATAGTGAGGAGGACACACTACACTTACTACATACTCTCTTTTGGACCTGGACGTTCCGGACCTACTCTTCACAATGCGGAAGTGGTGTATACACCATGCTGGGACTACGCGGTGAATACTGCAGGTCACATTGCTAGTAGGGAAATGCAATACACATTGCGGATATCGTGTAGTTAGGACCATTCATTCGCCGCACCTCTACTACGCTATCAAGGATGCAAACCATGGCCGCTACACTGTCTCCGCCCACCACATGCACCAATGCAGCACAGCCACCACCTTCATCGCATCAAAGCAGGTCCGTGTACTGCCCACAGCAACCTGTTCCCAGATAGTCGTCTTCTCCTCCGTCCGCGAGATGATGAGGAGATGCCAGTCGTGTCCCTGGGCGATCAGCAGGGGGATCGCAGGGCAGGATGCCGCAGTTGGCACGCTCGGAAGATACGACAGGCGATTGAGCCAGGCATCGGTCCATATAGCGATCTGCGGCTTGCCGTCTGTCCACGACTTGTTGGGGCCCTTTGTCTCGATGTTGATGGCGATGGGGTGGCTGCGGACAGGGTCGCGTGTGATGTGGTTCCAGGACTTCACCTTGGCTTGCGAAAGCGGGGTGAGCTCGCGCCAGGCTTGCTTTGCGGGGGTATCGGGTTTAAGCGTGACGATGTAGTCGATGACGTGTTTCGGGAGGCCTTCGGTGGTGCGGGCAAGCCACGGAGGATCGAGCTTGACGGTTTTCCTATCGGCGCGTTAGCTGGAGAACCGAAGGGGGAGATCCGACATACACGCCATGGACGGCAAGCTGACCCGCATACTTGCTGGTTTTGTGTGCAAGCTTGATGAGAGGGTACTGAACGTTAGCGTTCCAATCGTCCTCCGAGGTCCCCGTACCCCGATCATGCCGCCACCCAGCCGTCACAAGCTCTTGCAGGCGCCGCATCGAGGGCATCGAGCCGTACAATAGGCGCTGCCCTGGGTCGTTCGCCCACGAATACCGGAAGCGTTTGCATTCTGCGCCCAATATCAAGGGAATTACCTCCTCCAGGTCATCATACCCAAGGATGCCGATGCCGTCTGCAAACTCCCTTATCATGTCCCGCATTCTCATAACATCCACGCATTCTTCGTTCTCTTCATGATCGTGAAAGTTGCAGAAGACAAGCGAGTTCTCCGAGTCCTCCAGAGCCTGCAGCTGCTTCGTCGGGCTCAGCCGCCCGCTGTTGTGTGATTCGAGGGAGACGGTGTCAGAGACGGCGGCGTCGGGTTCGGTTCTGCGCGGCGAGGGAGGCTCGAACTGATGCAGCGAAGGAGGGAGAATACGCGGACCGGCAGCGACATCGCGGCTTCGTTTGGGCGGACGGGGCGTCTCCAAGTCGTCGCCGTAGCTGGCGTCCATGATGCGTCGCTTCTTCGCCGGTCGCGGGTTCTCGTAATTGTCGTGCGCAAAGCGATCAGTCGGGGTGTAGGGCACGTCTTGCGGGATTGAATCGACAGCGTCAATCCAGACAGAGATTTCGGCAAGGCTTGCGGGGCTCATGGGAGGTCGGCGTGCGCTAGATGGCGATGTGATGGGATGCGATGAGATGGAGTGGGTCGCTCGGGTGCCCACGTTGTTTTGGTCTTGGCGCGCTAACGGATCCCGGTAAAGCTGCACCGCATTCCGACCGACGGGTCAACTCGACGAGCACGCCCTCGCGAGCAGTTCGCCGCGAATATTGTCGCTGCTCGGCAATTCCTCTTAGCTGGTTACTACTGTGTTTCGTTCAAGGCGAAACCTCCGTTTGACCCGTGTTGTGGGACCATCCAGGATGTACAGCGATACTCTGCACCAACCCTCTTCAGCCTCACAGTTACCAGCCAATTTACCCCACAGGAGGCGCTCAGGGCATTGCAGATTCATCGGCGCTAGCGCCAATCATCATCACCGCCGGCTGGAACGCCGCTTCAGGCGCGGGTTTCTAGTAGAATATGAGCGGTGACCATCGAAGAGCGGTGCCTGGAGTGAAAGGATGGGGGATGTGTCACGGGTCAAGAAAAGTTCTAATGTACAGGATAGTTGACGTTTTTGTGCCTCCCGGAAAATCGCTCCGACCTACCGTTTTGGCAAGAAACCCTAGTACCGGACATCTATGCGTCGGAGAAATTCGCGGAGGAATTAGTCAGGGTGACGTGGATCTGATTAGCCAGCTGGAACGACGAAAGAGTGCATCTTGCTAGCGAACGCAGCGTAATCCCTAGATCTAATGTAGCGTCCCCATCCAAAACTAACCAGAATAGACAAGCAGAGCAAAGTTTGTTGAGGTTGTTGCGACAGTACGTGTTGCTTCTCGTTTAAATCCCTTTTCGTAATACAGAGTATACAACAATACCGTGGCCCAACATGGTTCCTCCAGCTCCGGCGAATGCATCAAGGCCGCGACGATGTAGGCTTCCATCAATTGACCCGACGAAAATGCCGTGCTGTGTCCACATGTCAGATGAACGCACCAAGCGCGCCAAACGAACCTCGCACTGACTCAACATGTTGTAAACATTTACGGCCTCCACTCAGCTGTCCTTTATATCTCAGCCGCGTCCCAATTCCCCACACTGGCTATGAGAAGCCGGCACCGCAACCGCGCCTGCTGCACACGACATCGACCACCGACGACGCGGACTGGAAAGCAAACTAGGACATCCTTGCAACCGAAACCTTGCGGAAAGTCACATGATTCAAAGAGATGCTCGCAGCGGCGAAACGCAGAATTAGCGCTGTAGGGGAGCAGAGCACCGAGGTTGAGGAGCTTCGGAGACACGGCTGTAGCGAGCGATGACGAAAATTGAAGGCTACTGGATGCAAGAAATCATGTCGGATATGAGGTAGAGGAAAAGGTAGTGAGGGTGGAACAAGTGACGGCGCAGAATCAAGAGTTGAAGGAAAGGATTACGCTCCAGCCGGGAGGCAGAGACGGGCATTGGGGAGACAAAGAAAAGGAAGACGAGAAGAGGCGAAGCTCGTCGGGGCGCGGAGAGAGGCTGACTTCTGCTTCCGATACAGCGGCGGCTCGAAGGGAGCGGGCTCAGCGATGCTGAGGTTGGCCGTCGAATGCACTATTTTTGCGATAATTCTCTGGAGCCAGGCTGCTGCGGTGAAGGTGCTGTGTGAGAATGAGAGTGCCGCCAATGTATCTAAAGGCAGGGGAAGGCGTAATAGAAGTGGGAGATCGCCCCTATTTAGTCTTTCCCTTCTAGAGGTCCAGATGAAGATCTGTGCGATTTAGCAGCGGTGTGGAAAGTTTGTCGGAAATTAGTCGTTTGCAGGATCAGTGAATGGGCATCGAGCGGGCGATATGACAGATATCAACAGCTCAGCTGTAACGTGGATGAGGCGGGTAGGTACTCTTCATCAGGTGGGAGACCGCAAGGGGTAGGAATAAGGTGCGGGTCTCTCTGGAGGTCAATTTCGAGGAAGTGGGCGAGGACTAACGCTTTATTTGAGGGCGCAGAAGGGAAGAGATATGCGGGATAGTAGGACGTCTCACTGAAATAGCGTGGGGCTTTAGATGGCGGGCACTCTGTCCTGGAAATAGTTAATTGCGAATTTAGGAAGATAAAGTGTACGGAGGATAGAGGAAAGAGGAGTAAGAACAGATGGGTTTAAGCTGAGGTATTATTGTCGCCGATGGTGGCTTTATACCCTTGTTACGATTTGAGCTTTCCAAGATTTTGAATAATCCCAAGGAGTAAGCAGCGAGTGTCAGGGGAGACATTTCCTAATCGTGTGGAGCAGCCGCCTGGTTATTAATTAGACTAGCCTAATCACACATACTACAAAGAACAACCAACCAGGAATGCTGCCAGGTGTTCTTTCAAAGCCCGAGAAACGACTCGAGGTACGCTCATCCATGGACTACTGCCGCAACGGAGGACCTCCGAGCATCCTCCAAAGAACGGAAAGGGTCGCAATCTGAGCCAACAATAGAATGCTAAAGCTTGCTAGAGAATGCGATTTGCTTTATCGCAACACTATTCAAGTTTTTCAATTAGATTCAATATAATCTACCCCCATGCCAACCCCGATTGGCTCATACTTCTTCCTAAAGCGGATTTTATCCTTCAATACATCGCACAAATGCTGCTTCTTCGGCAGAGCATCCAAAATTGCGCTTATCGTTTCTTCATGCTTCTCCTCCTGCACTGAAGTAAGCCGCTCAACGATCTTGTTTACCACCAAGTCCAGGTTTTCAGCGGCGAATTCTTGGGGGAGAAGTTTTGGATATACCCCAATGTTCTCTACGACGGCATCTAAGATAGCTTCAGCATCTTGCGCTTGGTCTTGCTTCGTTTTATCAAGGTTAGTGGAAGGTTCTGCATGCTTCTCCTTGAGAGACGGGGCCATGCAATTAATAACATTTTCCACTACGGCGCCTATGTCTTGAGCTATGTACTCACAGAAATATCCAATGTCCTCTAGATGGTGCGTGATTGCATGGTGCACCGAGGCTTCGAATTTAGCAAGCGCTTTTATCCTATCACCCTTTTCCTCACACTTTTGCGCATCTGCCGCGGGGGTGAGCGTCTCAACTCCGCCTCTAAAATGGTCTTGCTGGGGCGGATCCATATCTAACCTCGGGGGCACACACTTCTGAGAGTGAGCGAGTTCAATCTGCAGACACCCAATGTGATGCTTTGCATCCTTGAAATCAGCAGTCAACTTGCTAATCTCTTCCTCTTTTTGTTGGAGTTGATTCCCCCGTTCAGTAAGTTGATTCTGCAGATCAGCGACTTGTTGCTTCAACGCCGCAATCTCGGGGCTCTCGGGAGTTGATGGAGGAGTGCTAGAGGGCATGCGGATAGGTAAATTTAAGACGAGGACTTCTTGGGGAGCCATTTTCGTCGAAAGATCGAAGTGGAAGCTGCAGTAACGGTGGTGTAGGGCGTGATAGGGGCTTACCGGAAGCCTCTCAGGAGAATGATCTGTGGGTCTGGGAGAAAAGAGAAGAGATCTTAGCCATAGTTTTATACTTTCCTTTGGCACGAGCAGAGAGCGGTGTAAATGGAGGGTGAAGATAGTTGTGCATTCGTATACGAGGGGACGGAATACAGGATAAAGGAGTTGTGCAGTACAATAAAGGAGGTGGAGTGGAGGAAACCTCCATTGTGCAGGTTGCGATGCAGAAACAAGACAAGGGTAAGTGAGGTGTACAACGCACAATGGCAACGATACGACGGTCCAACAACGGCCACGAGAGGGAAGTTCGCCTAGCCGACGTGCGCCGCTGACCTTGTCCTGTCCCAGCTCTCTTCAACTTACATGAACCCTGAACAATGCCCACGGCGCGAACGGCACCCCCTTCCCCCTAGTCCACTGCACAAGTCCTCAGTTTTAGCCTCCTCTCCCATGCTATTGTTCTTCCAGTTCCCCCACCCCACCAACCACTCAATGAATTTCTCCGTCCCAACCGTAAATGCCTATCCCTACCCCGCAAATGCTCCACTCCCTTCTTGCACATTGTCGATGTCCTTGCTGAGCCAGTGTTCTGTAAACACTTTTGCGAGATGGAACCATCCACTTAACACTTGGCTTTCCACAGTGAAAAGGAGTTCTCGGATAAGAGGGATGTAGAGGAGGCCATGGAGCTCAGGAAATGCCGGCAGCGCCGAGAAAATACGTCTCGTAGAAATGGTCGCGGTCCCTAGCAGTCGACTGCAGTTTATTGACCGAGCGCGCTGGCGGTTTCATTGCCATGACAGGCTTTGCGAGAACTGGTATGGACTGAAGATGCACTGGACCTAGTATCCAGGCCAAGCCTTGTGGCGCCGGCGAAGAACGTCTCAAGGGGACCGTTGGAGCCATGAGCGATGGAGGCGCAGGTCGGCGGAGGTGAGCTCCTCAGCGGGTCTTGTAGCACGCTTGCATGGCCAGAGATGGTTTCTCTGTCTGCCTTCACTGGGTAGGTCTTATTCTTCATGTTCGCGGCCGAGAAAAGGTGGGCTCAAGTGGGCTCAAGTCGTTGATAAGAACTGCGTGGGAGCTTGATGGTCCTGGCTGGCGTCGTGTGTGCGCGGGTGAGCCAAGCGGCAAGGCTAGACCTGGTCGTCCTGTCAGCGCGAACGTGGAGGAATGGTCTGGAGAAGCTACCTCTCTGTCGCTGAGTATGCTGGCAAAATGGCGCACACTGTTCTGGTTGCTGTCCAGCGCGGCGTTATATGTGCAGCGCGAGGACGAGAGGGTGTGCGTAGGTTACTAGATAAAGAGCTCGAAAGCTTCATGTCGAGACCACTCCGTCATGAAGCTGCTTCTGATGTGGCTGTGGAACTGCTCCGCAGCTTTCACCGACGAATTCGACGCATTACTCTTTCACATAGCAAACTCGACCACTCCGCAGCTTTCACCGACGAATTTGGCGCACTCTGCAGACCGACCACACGTCAATTTTCCTAATCGCCTCCGCTGTTTCGATTGCCTCCACCCCATACACCGCTCTGCCTTCCATCTTTACACCGACGTCCGCCGTTTCCACCATCTCCACCCTGGATACCGCGCCACCTTCTATATTCACGCTGACGTCCGCCGCCCAGTCTCAGCTGTGAACTCCCGCAACCGGTCGACTCTCTCCCTTCACGCTCTCGAATTCCAACAGCATATCGGCCCTAGCTGCCTTCAAATTGGCAGGATACAGCGTCATGGAAATTTGTACAAGCGGAGACGGATGCGAGAAGATGTCCAAGGCGGCGGCGAAGGCGCACAGTCCGGTCAGGCGATCGACTCACGCAACTGGTCGACTGTTTTCTCCTTTCTCTCCCTCGGACTCCGGTGGCGTATCGGCCCCAGCCAACTTTAAGTGTGCTGCGAAGGCGCTCGGTCTGGTTAAGAGGCTCCGACGTCAGACTAAAGAAAGACTGCGAATCGCAAGAGCTAACCAAGAGTGCTCTTCGCGCTAAGCGAACGACGGTATCGAAATTCAAAGAACTCGGCGTGGAAAACCCTGATGAGGACGCTGTGTTGGAGGCCATTTCTATGCGTCGCAAATCGGCCTCTCTCAAAAGCGTTATGGAGGAAGCGGGTCGGACATACGGCGAACTGTTTAATGCTTTCGTCGAGCTGAAGACGGACGCGTTGCAAGAGAAGCTTAAGCAAGACGCGACCGCCATCTCGACCCTTTAAAACTGCTTGCTGTTGCTCAAGAACGTCGAGAGCAATATCTCCAAGGCCGAGGAGGACTTCGTGGTGGCCAAGCAGGAGGAGGCGAGCATCGAGGCACAATGGAAGGTCCGTGCGCAAGACGACGATGGGGAGGATCAGGGTGAGATAGCGGAAGGGTGGTCTAGATTCTTGGAGACTACACCTGGGGCTAGCTCAAGCTCATCGTCGCTTCCATGGCCTGACATGCGTCTCATCTCGCCCCGGGTGTGGGAGTTTGCGCGGGTGTCCTTAGTTCTGCATGGATTCGCCGAGAGCAGGGCAGGATTTTTTTCTTCGATGTCAGGATCTTTGGTGTTTTCGCGTACGACGATCGGCTGGATGGGAGAGGCAGCTGTTAGATATCTAAACCACTCATGCGCAACCACCACCACCACCTGCAGTCTCAACGCCAATTTGGGTTCTAGATCCATTTGATGATCCTTCCGCGGCGCCCACAGTTCCGCTTCCTTCTCATAACTCATTCGATGCCACGCGCCAGATATCTCATCCAACGCGTCGCTCCATCGCTCCATCAGTACTTGAAAACCCTCTCTTCACACTTCTCGAAGCTTACCTCCCTCCTCAATCGCCTCTCTGCCCTTAAACCTACTAGCACGACACATATCTCTCACCAAACGCCGACATGCTTGAGCTTTGAAATCGCCTTTCGGATCTCAAGCTCTATGGCCCGGAGCGGGAGCCACAGGTTGACTGAGGGAAGACGTATGCAGGGCTATAAGGTAGTAAAATGGGTGGAGAGATGACGTTCCTAACGGGGCACGACCTGGACAATTGTGGTTTCCCTTTCTTTGTCTTCCTCCCCCTCTTCTCATTCAATCCCGGCCTTCAATGCTGCAATATTCCGTGCTAGCCGCCGCCCATGCTCGCCTTGGAAAGTCTTCTTGCGCTGTGTGCCACCCTGTCTTATTTCAGCAGGGAAACTTCAACCTGCATGGTGTTGGCGTTGTCTGTGGTGGGACGAAGCTTGCTGTAAGTGGCTTGGAACTGCTCTGATAGCCTTGAGCATGCCGACGATAGCAAAGCGGAGTGGTTCTGGTGGCTAGGAAGGCCTGAATGTTGGTCTGCTGTGTCAGGCCTGTAACCGCAGAAGCTGTTGGTAGTTCCCATGACATCTTCGACGGGTGGCGGACTTCTTAATATGCAACTCGCTCCCGCCACTGCCCTGGGGCACTGACAGCTATATATTCCCTCGTGATCCCGCCACCACTCCTTGAAACTGTTCACGAGTTTCTTGGGTGTTTCCACAACACCCACACCGGGATGCTGTATGTGATCCTCTACTGCTGTAAGCTTCGGGCTCAAACGTATTCTTTTCGCTGGTGCCGCTTTATGCTTGGCGACTTCTAGATGGAACAAATGGTCCATTCAGTTTCACCGTAGAAGATGCGGAGCGCGTCAGCGCACGCCAAACTCGTTTGCGGCGAGATAACATCGATAATAGGTGTGGAGAATGGGCTCGAAGTGTCAGCGAGCGGAAGAGGAAGCGCTATTCTGCCACACTGTCATCGGATCCAAAGTTGCAGAGTCTTCCACCTCCTAATCGCCACCCTCCCACGTTTCCTAAGCGTATCCTTCTCTTCACCCATGTTTTCCGAAACGTACCCCAAGTCGATCCGCGGATTTGGGCATAAACCCCCTCACATCCAGCCACGCCTGAAACTTGTCGTCGGACGACGATGCATTCAAGGCTGATTCATTAAAGGCCGGCGCTCGATAACGCCAGCGACTCTGGAAGACGAAGTTTGGTCGGCTGGCTGACTGGCGCACCTCTCTGAACATAGATGCGCAGAGGTCAGCTTGGCCAGATAGTCGGTCGTCTTGTCTACTTCGTGCAGCTGCTCGTCGGGGTCCCTGCTCCAGGTCCTGGCAGACCTCTCTACCCGCTGGAGAAACTTGAGTATGACCATGACTTAGTTGTTCTGCTCGGGTGTGGCGAGCTTGCTGGCACTGCAGTCCCATGATGAATGAAGCTTTTGCCATGTATAGCGCAGGCGAGCTGTTAGCTGCGACTCTTGCTCCCACGTCCAGCGGATGGCGTTGGCGACATTTTGAGCTGCGTATCCGTACTCGGCGAGCCCCTGTCCGAGGTTGAGGGTGGTTTGTTGTGCTCGTTGACGAAGGCGTCGGTGGTGTTGCGGGGGATATGGTTGCTGGTCGACGGACGCCGGTCTGGTCTAGTAGAGGTTGCTGTCTCTGCGTCCTTCACTGCTTTGTCGCGTAGTACTGGGAGCATATCGGCGTGATGCGCAAGAGTGTCCGCCGACACAGTCGCAGCCCATGTGCTTATGTCATAGTGAAGGGTGCCTGGGACGTGAATGCCGGCTCCTTCTGATCCAGAACTTTCAGTGCTCCATATGCCCTAACAATGCCGTTGATGCTGCCTAGTAAAGCCTTCCCGGGGGCACTATTTGCTTGAACCCGTCCGCAATAGCGTCTGCTCTTGAGAGTTCTGATTTACGCAGCTCCTTGACCGTGTTGTCAATTCATTTCTGCACCTCGTCTTTTAGCTCGAGAAGGAGGAGCGGCGGGACGCAGTCACTAGGCGATTTGGTAGTTTGGTCCAGGCAGTTAATGAAGGAATAGCGCAGACGGACGGCTAACGGCTGACCGGCAGAATGTTATCCAGCAGATCCACATGCCCGCATTATCCGTGACCCATGCGCCGCTCCCGCTGAAGCCGCCTCAAAGCCTGGGAGGTAGGTGGTTCCAGCTCTTGTGTAAGAGGACGGCCAGGAATAACAACACACCGACGCAGAAGAGCATGGATATCAGGCAGGGCAAGGAAAATCGAGAGACGGACTTGATGAGCCGAATCCAGTTCGTCGACGCATTTGCGTTCTCCAGGCCTAAACTAGTCAGAAATGAGAAGGAGAAGGGTTTCTCTAGTGATCGGATGTACTCACAGTGCTTGTCGATAACGCTATCGGTAGAACCATAGCAGAGCTATGGCCAACGCAAGGACAACAAGGCTGATCGGGATGGCGACCCGTGTCTCTGCGAGCCACTGCACCTATTCTTCTATGCTAGACTAGTCATTTTCGTTGAGCCCAACTCATGATTGGTTGTCGTGGTCATGGTCAGTGAGCCAGAAGACGAGCGCGTTGGTGGGCATGTGGGAGTCAAGCACCCTTGGGCCGTGAATAGTAACCGAGTGCTCTCTGAAAGCTCACGCGTTCATGACCGGCGGTGAAAGGCGCTGCAGATTGCTGTGTGCCTGCATGCATTCACAACGTCCCGGCGCAGCCACACCTAGCAAGCGGGACATGGGCTGCAGCATGCATTCACATCGTCCCAGCGACGGGCAATCAGCGGTGAAATGCGCTGCAGGGTACTGTGCTTCGGCATACATCCACTTCGTCCCGGCACAGTGGGTTTCATCGCCCAATCCCGACGCAGACCAGATGCCCAGGTGTAACACCCGACCTCACTGGAGACTCCACACGCTTCCGCACACGCTGCAAGATGTCAACGCAATCTCATATCGTCGCCACAACTTCCACACATTCCCCTCTTTCGCATTCCTTCATCAGTGTCACCCTGCTGCAGCCGGAATCCAGCCTCCTCATCCACGTATTGCCCTCCAATTATACGAACGACCGTTGTATCTTCCCTTCTCCTTCTTAGCCCTCTGGCGAAAAAGAACTGGGATGGATCGACAGGGTGTCATTTGTCACTCGACCTGGCAACGCTCAAGCTGCGCCTCACATACGCGTATCCTCTCAAGGGCGACGGCTCAGCTAAGCAAAAGAAGCAGTAGATCGCGAGTGGTTGGGGCAAGGAGGCAGGCTTTGAACACGTCTTGCTCCTGTGTCCTTGTATAGTGCGTCTGCTGGAAACCTAGAACACCGAGCCACGCGAATCTATGCGCAAGTGGAGCAAGGCCTTCGAGGCTTGTAAGCGTGAATTTGGCATACTGCCGCCGGAGGAGAAGCACTGGGATGAGCGGGTCGAGGATGACACCAAGGATGCAGGGAATGGCGAAAACGGTGCTGGTAAGGCGACAGACGAGGACTACCCTGAGCACTGGGTGACTATCAATCTCTCCTAGGGTCGGGGCTCTAATGCTTTGAAATGGAATGCGCGATCCTCCAGCGAACATAAAGGGTTTCGAAACGGCCTTCGCGCGTCACCTGGATGTACAGGGCTGAGACTCTCTAATTGGACATAGGATCTGGAGAGAATGATGGAGCCCCCGTGTATTTATAGTACGCGGCCATAGGTATGTCGACGTCAGGTCGAAAGCCAGCATGAAGAGGGCACGGCCTTGCTCCAAGAGTCTTGAGAGTTCGTTCTTTACGGCCTTAAGATTGGTGAATCGGCTTGCAGTTTCTTGGAAGGAAGTTGATGCAACTAAATCAGATCCACAAGTCGGGGGTTTGAAGAAGGCCGGTAGTGAGCTCACGTTCAAAAGGTTGAAACAAAAAGCTAGGCCATAACACTTCGCCGACGCACCCGGTGAGGGATTGGGGTTTGAGGGCGGCGAGCGGTTCGGCAGATTAGAGAGGATGGATGAGATCATCGTGAGTAGGATGGTGTTGGTGTTGCGGGTGTGTATGTAAGAGTTCCTGGCGAGGTAGAGCAGAAAGATACAGCAGTAGCAAAGCCCTGCTCTCAGCCGCTTGTTGGCTCCTCGGTATCGTCAGACTCTTGGTCTGAGGTTGTCGAGATCTTCATTCCCTCGATTTTAGTTTGTCGAACTGAGTCTCCGATGTAGTCTCGAACATGTCAAAGAATCTAATGCGGGCATGGGCGGTCTTCTAAACCGGTGGAGCGGCGCTGGCTTATGCGCCCTGAGCAGCAGCTAGTAGTGCATGCCAGCCGTTTTGCACACGAGTATATATCGGGATGCGAACGGAATGTATAGATGACGGTATGTTGAGACCGGCCTGAGAGACGTGGAGTTAAATAGGCTTCGGCACTACACGGAGTTGTCGACATTGTCGTAGAGCATCGGCCGGCCTGCCTCTACGACGTAGTATATGCAGCACTAAGAGCGCCCCCAATTCGCGCTCCCCTTGGTGGCTCTTCTTGCTCACATTGCCCTTGAAGGGGGTGAGCTGATCTTGCCAGACTCTTAGGTATTTGGCGGGGGCTACCAACAGCGGTCCTAGCAGGCCTCGATCCTCTGGGGCCATAGGGTCAAAGACGAGCAGTCGCGGTGGGTGATGGGAGCGGTCGTTTTGACTGGGATGCTTGAGGTGTGTTTGCTTGTAGCGATACCGTTGCTTTGGGGCTGGCGGGATTGTGCTTTGGAGCTATACCTCATGTCTTTCAGCGATGGCCGGCAGAGAGCTCAGTGATGTAGTTGAAATGGAGATCCCTGTATTCAGAGGCCCTGGCACGGGAGTTGGGGTTAGAGGTTTTTGCTGGTGTTGCTTGGACTGCAAGGATGGTTTCGTTTCCTAGGATCTTCGCGTACGTGGCTACGTGCTGAGCAGCCAACAATATGCTCAGGACTGTCTGCCAGCGGTCTCGCGCACGGTATATATTAGTATAGCGAACAGAATATATAGATGACGGGAGTGACAAGGCTGCCCCGAGAAACATAGCCTCGAACGTGTTTTGGCAAGAAGGCCTTGTCACGACGACGCGGACCGGAGCCTGCATGGCATGAGGCCGTCTGGCGAAGTATATATATAAGAGCAGGGCCGGGCGGACCGTGGCAGTGGTAGGTCCTGACCATCCTGTGGGGAGATGGAGCCGTCGAATTAGGCAGGGGTAGAATGAGAGGCGCAGATGCCGGGGGATTGCGATGCTTCTGGCTGAACTTATCCGAGATACGGATTGAGGAGGTCAGAGATGTAAGCACAGCTGTGATGGTGATAGTATATGTATATATATATCTGGGATCGTCCTTTCGCACGTCCTCCTTTGTTCGCATATCCGCCGCTGGAAGGTTGGCGCTTAGTCGCGGATGAGCGCGAAGCGGTCTCAGAGGTAGTAGTTGCAGCTACAAACACGAGTGAGCGGTTAGCACAAAGTTCGAAAGATGCAACAGCAAAGCGGCGCTAACTTACTGCTATTATATCCGTCGCGTTTGGCGCTTTCGTGCAGCGCGCTCGGTTCTCGCCACGAAGCAACTAGCTTGCTCTTGCCCTTGTTCCGACCAGTGTTGCTACTCAGCTTCTACATTGCAAGATCGAGCAAGGCGTCTCCTTCATCGGAACGAGACTCGAGACGTCAGACTCGGAGATGTGAGGGTTAGAAACGGACTAATGCTTCGGGTCAGTTGTTAGGCTATGAATTCGTGGGACTTGCTTACGCGTAGGTATATATATAAGGGCAGGGCTGCCTTCCTGTAAGCCCGTTCGCGTTGCTGTCCTCATATTGGGGCATGTCGTTCCCATCAGCTTCCGAAACTTGCTGAAGGTTCCGAGAGCGATGCCTGACTGCTCATCGCACAATCAAGCAGTGGATATGAAGGACGATCTGCGTCCACGGAGCCTGTGAAGCCAAGCCGCTTGAGGAACTTCCGTTTTCTCAGGGATATCCGCGACTTAGTAAGTGAGACCCTTCCACTGGACAGAGGGACCGGGGGCCTCAGTGGTCGTGACTTGGCCCTGTATGGCAGTGGTCTGATTTACCGGAGCGGAATTGATATATCCTTCGATAGCAGCCCTCTGGTGGTCAACTGCCCTGGTGAGTTGGACAATGATGGAGGCTCCATGTATATATAGAAGTGGTGTAGTAGTGGCCGAGTTTGTTTGACCCAGACGCGAGCAGAGTCGATGCGGATGTTGACGAGGCAGTCGAAGCTGAGTGCGTAGACGTAGTCGAGATAGGTTGCGGTCACCTACCATTAGATGACGGCATCCAGCCCAGCAGAAGGGCTCTGCGCGATCCGCTCGTGAGGCAATGTCCCTGGAGCAATGAACGCTAGGTTGCATTCGCTGAGATGTAGTAGACTCTGCCGATTGATACTGGACGGAAATATATATAGGATATCGGAGCGGAAGTGCGGGCGGATTTGCGGGCAGGAAAGGGTTTCTTAAGCTGGAGCTCCGAGTCAGCAACGTTGATAGAACCGTGGTGAAGGGGTAAACCGTACGACATCGGAAAGGGACCTTCGACAGACCCAGAAGGAGCGCGCATTGTGAACTGCTGGCAGACGAAGTCCCATCGCTTGCCTTCTTCTTTCCCAGACTAACATTGGCTCCATACGTGGCGTTGGGAGAGGGCCCATTCATAGTGTTCGAAAGGCTGCCGTCGGCTTCATCCTCGGACTTGGAAATGGTTTCATTCGCTGGTGATGCAATGCCGGCGAACTGCCGTCCCGGAGATGATGTAGACGGCATTGGAATATATAGTGTTCGCTACTGAGTTGCATCCAGCCCTGAACGAGAGAAGGCGGGAAAAGAAGACATGAACATGAAGAAGACGAAGACGAAGACGAAGACGAGGACGAAGACGAAGACGAGGACGAAGACGAAGACGAGGACGAAGACGAAGACGAAGACGAGGACGAAGACGAAGCACGGCCGGACGCCAAGAAGGAAGATGAGTGGGGGAGGAAGAAGGAGACAATGAGATGACCCTACAACAGCAGAGCAAGCTCCCAATCGTAGTGACGTGGCACCTGTCACCGCATTTATAGCAGAGCGGGTTCCCACTTCCAACTCAGGGGCCTCTCCACATGATCCCGACGGAAGCATCGGTATCCGTCTCCGCAGCATGCGGCGCGCGACGGGAGGCATAGCGGTGGAAATAACAGGCGTCGTTTGCGTCGGACGGGAGACGGGATCGTGTTTCGTTGACCACGGCAGTCGGGTTCAATCTGGGCGGAAAGATGCCGTCTGGGCAAGCCCTGCACTGCATTGGGCCACTGCCAAGGGCACTAAGATTTAGCGCGAACATCAGGATCGCTGGGGCTGGAAAGCCGCGCAGGGCTGTGATTGGATGCAGCCATGTGGCGGTGCACTGGCAGATCTCTTTCAAAGTCGGGCGCACAGATATGACGAGGAGCTTGAAGGCAGCCAGGCTCTCAAGCATCCAGAGCTGTGTTTTGGCTCGGTGCAACATAACGTATTACGGATGCGCCTCGCTCCACGGAAGATTACTGTAGTGAATCCTCTCGCAATAGGTAGTGAAAGCTTTAGTGTAGATTCCACTGAAGCGCTGCATGCAGTATGGGTCGCCTTCGAAAGTGTCAAGCCTTCAATTCTTCTCCATGTCGTGCTAGCATCTCCGCCGTTATCGCACGATCAAGACGGAGGCATTAGTGGACTGCGAGGTTGCTATACCAACTGACGGCAAGCCCACGTCCATCAAATGGTTGCTGTTTGTCGTGAATAACCAGGCAGAAGGCGGATAGGGCATAGCTCCCGTCCTAACGACCTATCTCCAATACCGTCGCGCTTAATCTTCGTCTCGCAGTTCCCACAAGGCCTGCTCCGCGAGACTGGGCTTGAAGGTGCCAACAGCGTCAACAGCGCCTACAGCACCTCCAATCTCGTTGTTATCCTAGAGTAGAATCTCAGCATTTGCAGTACAGGGGCACGAAAACGTGTGCGTCCGCAGCAACAGCGTAGAGGAAAGGAAATCTGTTGGTGCTGCTACACTCCTTGCTTCAATCCATGGGAACGGGACGGGTAAAAGGTGTCACTCCTCACCCTTCGCAGGCCGCTGGCAGACACGGAACTTCTGCGGTGTACGGCGCATGGGTCAACACACTCTAGCGGGTGGTCGGATGGGGCCCCCAGTCCCTGTCAAGATACGGTCGCAGCGTTGGCCAGGCACTTTGTCTAGCCTTGGGTGATATCTCCTGGATAATGTCATGATGTTGACGTTTAGATTCCAAGGCCCGAACAGAGGAAGCTCGTTTGTGGGTTTTGTTCATGCTTGGTAGCGAATTCGACGGCATGATATCTACTCGGTTTGCACCAGGCTTGAAGAGTGGAGTAGACGACCTTGCTCATCCTCTGCTGCCAGCCCTAGGGAATTGTTTAGACTTCGCTCGTATGTAAGAGTTTGAAGGTGAGCTATGTTGATCTTAATGTGTGTATGTACGGTGTAGGGTTGTAATTGTTCACCGCGGTAACGATCCGTTAAAGAAATGGCAGGCAGCTTGACGCGTGAGTCCTCGATAACTGACATGTCAAATGCCAGCCACACCAGCGCCGCAGTCCGCATGGACTCCACCACGAACCAATGGTTGCTGCATTCCAAGCAACCCGACAACAAAAGGTGCCCAAAGCGCCCCCGTACCCTTTCGCGAGTGCCAAAGAAACCCTCGCCGCATACGAGGTTGGGCTTCGCCTGCCCTCAAAACGCGCCAGCCGCATCTTCTTCACCTGCGGCACAAAGGCTTCCTCATCCCGTAGCAACCATGTCTTCACGCTCTACGTCGTCACTACTACTAATACCCCAGCCGCTGATACTTATACCTGGCATATGCAATGCACCTCGTTGACCCCGCGGGCGCCGAAGCTCTCCCCTCGCTTGAAACCGCAACCGCGACGACTCTTTTATACGTAAACGTGCAAGCCCAAGAGCAAGCCAAGAAAGAATGCATCGAGATCAAAAAAGCGCTGAGCGGCCTGCTTAGTGTGGTGGCCGACGTGCGCAAAGTGCTAATGCGGGCATCGCCGGAGAACAACGGGCCGACCTCCTTTGATTCCAATCGACGAATATTGCTTGATTCCAGAATTGATTATCGATCGATAACGTAACCATTTTCTTCCGGCCCATCCCGTCTTATCCTCTCTCATACTTCTCTTCTCTTCCTATTTCCTCCGCGCTTCCTTTTCTCCATTTCTATTAGAGACATCCCTATCAAGCGATCCATCACGAGACATCTTAATATTCAACCCCACATCTGCGATGGAGCAAAAGCAACGAGTGCAGGTATCTAATCTTGGCCATTCATGGCAATACCTAATTGACAGTGCTGTTCGAATTGGCCGCTTAGAAACTGTCTACATCCCCCTGGTTCCAACACATTATCTTTATCGACAGCAAACATTATGGATGCATGCGAAGAATAGCGGGTCTGCAAAGGGGTCCGCAGCATCTTCCTCGCCGCCGCCCCACGGCCAAAATATCTCTTCTATTCTCTAAGATGTGCGGCACAATCAAGTACAGAGCGGCGTCTCGGACAGTTGGAAAGACGGCGATGGCCAGCATCAAGAGAGAGAAGACGGTGCCTGCGCTTAACCTCACCACCACCGGGTGGACACTGGATCGATCATGCGAACGAGCGTCACCAAAACCATGGTAGCGACTGTGCCAGCGCTCACCCCACCCTTGCACCGGCTCCGACCGTGTTGGTGATAGGCAACCATATGCCTATATAATTTGTCAGTACTGTCATGAACTGGCTCCTGTTCAAACCCTTCTCGCTGTATTTCGGCACGTATTCATGCCCTCACCCTTTTATATTCCCAACCTCAATGCTAACAAGCCCCAGAAATACAGCCTTTGGCTCGCTCCTGGACCTCGTCTCTGCGTTCATGATCCCCGCCCTGTTGTATCTCTACACGCCCTTAGCATTGACGCGTGGCCTCAGACCGCTAGCATTCTCCCTACACTTCGAGCACGCTCTCGCGGTAAACATGCTGCTGGAGCACTCGAGTATATTTTTGCCACGTGGCGAGTGGTGCCGCGCGCTGAGGGCGTGGTGGTGCGGCGACGGCTGGACGTTTGGGCGCGGCGCGAGTGCAGGCAAAGCGGTGGAATCGATACGAGAGGGACCGACCGCGGGAATTTGCGATGGAGAACGCAGGTGCGAATGCAGCGCGAGAGTTGCTGCCGTTGGAGTGGAAGCATAGGCTCTATTTGTGAGAGCTGTCGCAGGTGGAGTGAAGCCGATTAGCCAAGGATTACTCTCTTTTTGTGCTCCGACTTTTACCGTTTCAGCCTCTTGGCCTGGAGCGCAATATATTACTTTATTAAATACACATCTTTACCGCGAACGAATAAAGCACATATTCTTTGCTCTCTCTTCTTTACGAGACTACGCTCCAGTTTCTCGCTAAGGCGCACGACAGCTTCATGGCCTTTCTCGCCGAGGAGCGCGCTTACATCACGCCAGCGTAGAATGAAATGTTGTAGTAAAAGAAGCTGCCTACGGGACTAGGAATGCTTCTCTTATTATATGTTAGTTTTACCTTTCTGTTGCAGCAGAGGCGCCCTGCTCTGAGTACATATACTAAACAGTTTTACAAAGCAGAAGAATGATCTTTTGCTTCTTCACTTTCCAATTCTTCGCGCATTGCGGTGAACAGAGCCTGCAGATTTCTACTTTGTTCGAGCACGGAGGTTCGGAGGGCGACAACCTCCTCAGACAGGATAGCGGTAGCACCATAATCCGCAACAGACTTACTCAGCGCTTGGATAACGCGTCGTTGCTTCCCTGATTCGTCCTGGTATGCTTTCTCCTTCTTTAGCCATTCGTCTTTCTCCCGCTGATGCTTCTCTTTCTCGGCCTCGAGCTGGCCGCCTAGGCTGGTGCATAAGTTGGTAACCTGGCGGAGCTGCGTTGTGAGTTTTCTAATAAGTGTCGCGCTGTCCATCTCCCCGCAAGGCTCGCTCTGCTGCTGGTGGCTTGAACTCATCTTAGATGTTCGATAGTCTTTTGTACTAGAACGGATGCGCAAAGGTAAGCCTGGAGAAGCAATTAGAAGAGTAATACTTCCCTAATTTATGCACCACTTCATAAGTCGACATTGTAAGCGTATCCACCGTTATATGCCAACAATACCGCGTTTTAAGATGTGACTCTGCGGCATAGGGATTGTGTTCATTGTGTGGAGAGACTTCTAAACATTTTTCCTGGCTCACACTAATTATATCCTATCCTGCCCCGCCCTCCCATACCTACCGCCCTCTCTTCCTGGCACTCTTTCACATTTATCCACAACCCTATCCCTCTCCTGGGCATCATGGTCCGCCCCACCCCCTACCCGCTCTGCGCCGAGACCACCGCTTTCCCCCTCGAAAGATTACTCATCTTCCTGTCCAAAGCTGAGTTCATCTCATTCTGCAACCATAGCTTCTTCGAATCCCAGTCCTTCGTTAAAGTCGTATGGTAACAACGATCCAGATTTGGAGGTAGGTGTTCTCGTTCCCAGCCTCCGCGTTGCGCGCCGTGATGGAGCAGTCGCACAGGCGGGAAGGATGCAAGCTCTGCGAGTGTCTGTGAAGGAGCACCCTACCAGGCTACAGGGACGACGACGTGGTAGATCTGGTTGGCGAGGGCGACGGGCCGCCTGCATTTGCAGTCGGGCCAAAGGTGTGCTGTTGGTGCGCCGACATGGGTTTTATGGGGTAGTTCTCTAGACAGTATGAATCCTTGTAGAATCTGTCGTAGACTTGTTTGGTCTCGAGGCTGACTAGGTATGCGGATAGGGCGCCGCTTTCGCTGGTGAAGCCGTTGCATCTCAAGTAGTCAGGATGCCAACTCTCCTGGAACCCGCGGAATGCGGCGCAGTATGACTAGAGTATACAGTCAGTGAGGTCCTTTCAACAGTGGGTTGTAGTTCGCGGACATTCTGGTTCGGGATCATGGTCTTGATAAGGAACCCAAGGCTCTATGGCCTGTCATGATACATCCAAGGAAGACTTGCAGGAGGGCTTTCATATCGCGTCAAAGCGGCCCGGCCAGCCCGGAGCGCGAGAGCACATCGTCGATTGACAACAGCAGCATATGCGGCAATTTCCGCGACGGCAACGCATCCAGTGGCCGTCAACATAAGGTGGCTGCCGGCCGGCTCTCTGATCTAGCGACATTTGTCTCTGGCCTAGAAATAGCGATATCCCTGCTCTAGCTATGCAAATGCAGTATCGTTTCGACGGTGTAATTCCTGAGCCAGGGCTTCGTATCAACCGCGCCGCTTGGTAACCCGCAAGAACTAGGACTAGTTCACTGGCCGTGGTCAGCGATCGCGATAGGACGATGAGACGCTCGGAGTGCAGTTTGACGGCGCTCCCGAACGCGACCGCTGCGCTCGGGGTGCACAGCGACAGCGAAGGCGAGTCTGAGTCCTGAATTAATTAGCTTGCGTCATTGCGATGGCTGGGCCACATACATGGGGCCACGAGCTTGTCTACCACCGTACTGGAGCGCTCTGTAGCGAAGACCGGGGCGAATGGGAGCTAGAGTTTGGTCGTCTTACGCGCTATGCCGTGACAGAAAAGAGTTCAGATCGACGGTTGGCGCATGCGAATGAGTATGGCAGGAACTCTCCAACAATGAATCGTACCTCATCTTCATCCGTATCGCCTCCTTTTTCGGCATTGGCTGCTACTGGCCGGTATCGGAATGGGTGGTTTTGACGACATTTCTGATTTCTCGAGTTCGGCATCGTTCGTATCACCGTGTTCTGACTTTGGGGACCCTGCCAATGTCGTGGATGGTGAGGCTCTTCAAAATTGGTAAGAGGGTTATCCGTGAAGGGAAGCCCGCAGCCATTGACACGTTGTAGACTACGAATCCGCCCAAGCTCTTGTTCTGTCGTCCAGACCGCCGAACTCAACGTTTACTGTCCCGACCTCGATCTCCTGGATTGCGGTGACGCGTACTCCCTTTCCGAATCCGTAACCGATGTGCAGCGTCTCCGAAACAGGGGCAGCTAGTACACGGAAATAACCCGCTTCGAGGATGTCTATGGGTGGCAGGAGGTTGATTGGGTTGCACGAGTCGAAATAAACCGCATAGATTTCAATACCGACTTCGTCGACGGCATCTGAAAATCGAATCGCAATCGGGAGCCCGCGGCGCCGCGCGCTAGGGGCCAATGAAGCCCGGCACAAGTAAAGCACGTGGCTGAGGAGAATCGGCGTGGCCCTATACCCAGGCCATCCCGCATACTTTGCCAGTTGGCGATTGAACTGCACCCTATCCAAGGCAGGCATTACGAGAGATGTGGAGGTCGCAAGCTTCAACGCGTCCCTTGTCTGGATTCAGAAGGCAGTTGGGGGGGCGACGTCGCCCGGGTAACAGATATGGCACAGGTAACGCCGCCCAGGGTGAGACTGCTGGACCACCCACTGGCATACCTCTTGCACCTGGGACGAGATAGTGCCTAGCGAGCCCAAACGGATAGTGTCAGACCTCTTCGAACGGCGGCGGCGCGCAACGAGCAGATCCCGGCCTGCCGCCGCCAATGCAACAGATCCGTCAGCAGTCAGGGTAGAACACTGGAAGAGATTGCGTCCATCAAAGACAATGTGTGCCAAGTCGTAGATGCCGAGGACGAGCGTGAAGCCAATGGTAAGGTCTCTATACCACGCGACGTATGAATGGTCGGCGGCCAGGGAGAGGACGACGCTTCGCCTATGTCGAAAGTGACATGGCATAATATGGTCTGGTGTCTGGAAGGATTGGTCGAATGGCCGGATAAGCAGCGGAACAGGCCAGAGTCGTATTGGAAGAAGGTGAACCTAGAAGAGTACCATACATCATGGGCTGTGTCAGAGTAGCGAAAGCGCCGCACGAAGGAGTTGCGACAAGCGGGGTAGTCTGGTGATAACAACAGGTCCACGGTCCTTCGAAGGTCAACTTCCTGCACACTCTTGTGACGCGCAGGTCCTGGCGCGACCTTGCCACGTTTCGGTGGAGGTAGTACCGAGCTCGACGACGCTTGCCGCGTACGCGCCCAAGATATAGAAGACGACGTAGTCTGTGGCCTCCACATGTCGACTGGGAAGGTCTCGAGCTCGCCCGAACTGATTCTGTGTTTGCCCGCAGCGTGCTCCTTCAGACTGTGCCGGAAAGTATGCGTGCTCGGGGGGTGGGTACAGAGAAAGCCTGTCAATCGCGTGCGAAAACTCGTCGAGAGAGAGAGAGAGACAGTCGGGATCTGCGTTTTCCGCGGTGTTTGCGAAGATTTGCACATGGCGTGTGGACGGGTCTGTCTGGAGATAGGATGCTGCATCGTAGAGCCGATCGAAAAATTCATCGTCTCGAGTTTGCCATGTCTGCTGAAAATTGAAGTAAACGCGCCCCGTAGAGCTGAGGGCTCGCAAGTCGCTGGTATCATATGCTTCCTCTGGTGCGCCGGAGACGTTGCGGAACTCATCAAACTCGCCGTCATAGTGGTGCTGGACGCCCAGCCAGATAGCGGGAGTCCAGAATGCTCGCTCGTCCTCCTAATTATGCGAGCATGTCGATGAATGTCTGATCGGCTATCGGAAAGCTGTCGGCGAGTCGAGAGAGGGTGGTGGTGGTGTTGGGGATGAAGAGTAGTTGCGCCGCCCCGCGCCTGCGAGCGAAGCCGGATAGGCCTCGGCGCTAAGCTATTCGTGGAAGGTTCGCTTATCTCGACATGTACAGGGTGCACTCTGGTAACAGCGAGCTTGAATGGAAAAGACGGGCCGTTTCCAGGCTGGATCCGGAGAGGACGGAGTGGGTCCAGAAACCGATAGAGGCATGTTTGGGTGAAGCATCTGCGTTGCTCTTACTCAGGACAGGCATAACTTGTTGTAAACGCACGGGAATTCCGCAAAACTGGTCTCAGATAAAAGGCCACAGCGGCTCCATATGGAGTGCTGCAAATAAGGGATAAGATAGGTCCGGGAAGGAACTAATGCATGTTTGGGTAGAGCATCTATGCTGCTCTCGCTCGGCACAGGCATGGCTTATTATAAACACATGGGATTTTCGTGGAACTAGTCTCAGATGAAGCCACTTACTCTTCTCCACGTCGCTTGCCTCGACCAAGGGAAGCCAGGGTGGTGGCGGAGCGCGAAATAGAAAGCCGACGGAGGTGGTGCGGCTGTTTCCAGGTCCGCTTGCGGGCTGCTGCCAACCACGCGGCCGGGGCAGGCTTGAAACTAACTGTAAAGAAGAAGCCAGCGACGGAAAGCCACAATGAAGATGGAGATGCTACAGCCTGCCTATCTAGGTCTAGCGCGGGACACTTCTGGCCAGAACGGAGGGGCGCGTGCGCACAGAAGTGGATTGATTGGTGCAGAAGTGACGCGCCAGAAGTGATTTAATTGGTGCAGAGTGACGTGCAGAAGTAAAAGGCAGAAGTAACCTGCAGGAAGTGATTTGATTGGTCAATTAATCAGCATGAGGCGTGCGACGAAAACACGATGTAAATACCTGCGAAGGACACATATTGGTCACGTCCTAAGGGGCCGTGGCAGCAAGCGGCATCCATGAGGTGGCTATGCTTGCGCTACGCCGGAATCTAGAGCATCTTGAGACGAATGAAATGTGAGACTGGCTGCTTGTACTTAAGCCGAGGAGATAGGATTCACATTTCATCTCTACTGAAGCTGGTAAGAAGGTTGCCCACTAGTAAGGAGCAGGAAAAGCCCCTGATTACCCTCCTATAATAGAGCAATATGGTCCCATGCTGGCGTTTCTCTTGACAGTGGTCTACCCTTCACGTAACTTCGCATGAAGAAGAGCTGCGTGTTTTCGTGAAATTGCTTGGGATGCGGAAGATGCGACCAGGGGAACTGCCGGGATGGAGACGGGGTTCCAGTAGCCGAAGAAGCACAAAATTATGGGTCATAACTGAAGAGGTAGCATTGGCAACAGGCGATGTTGTGCCTTCTAGAGTGCTAGGTTACACCTCCAATCCGGTCTACATATGATCTACCAGTCTGCCTTGTCTCGCTTACTGCTCATCTGTTACTGCCAATTCCTCAAGTCCTGCTGGCACGCCTGGACATATTCTTGCACAGCCCAGTGGTGCACTCCGTTGACGCAATCAATCATGCTTGCCACTCCAGCTGTTGACATACCACCCGTTGCCACCGATACGATCTTGCAGCCTTCCCAGCGAACGGCACCTTTTGGTTTCGCGCAGTACAGCGTCCACTGGCCTCGGGTAACAACCATGCTCCAGTGTCGCACTTGATCGTGCTGCACCTGATCCATCTGCTTGCACTTCGCCTCCTTGGACAGGAACCAACGATTGTAGATTGCAGTGGCAGCAAAGAGTGCCATCTTCGGGAAGGGCTTCGCGTGATCGTGGGTTTCCCAGTCTATCTCGATTGTGAAGTACGGTAGGAAATGGGTGATCCGGTAGGCAGGAAGACGTTGTGTTGGTAACTGTCCCAGTAGCTCGGCTCTGATGTAGTACACACACTGTGGGTGGATATCGGTATAGACTTGAAGTTCGCCACTACCTCCCCTCCCACTGGCTCCCAGTGGCATTGACTGGATCCTGTCCGTGAGGAGGTTGGCGCGAGCTGGGAAGACCATGCTAGGAAGCGCAGATAGGTACTTTCCTAGGGTCACGTCCCCGTAGATTCCGATTGGCTTGATCTCTGGCTCGTGGACGCGAACTGTTCCACTCAAGGACGAGCGGAAAATATGGTCGAAGAGCAGGTATTTTTGGGTGGTGGGCGTCGCATTCAGGTCTTGCAATGCACTGCTGATTGCGCTGGCCTTGGCTGGGTCGACCCACTCCATGTCAGGGAACGCGGATTGGTAATCTTGCAGGGCTAGGGTTGTTGGCGGGCTCGTGGAATCAATAGAAAGATCCGGTTGCATGGGAATGCCGTAAGAGTTGAAGGCATTCCTAGTAGCCACGTCCGAGGGAGTGCAGAGTAACAACTGCATGGGGTCCTCCATGGCAACGCAGTTGAACAAGTCCGGGTTGACTGCTCTCCAGAGGGCTGAAATGAATGCGGGATCGGTCGCGGGGACTTTTATCTCATCAGTGAGTGCTTGCGGACCTCCATTGGAACTTGCTAGAGGTGAGCAAGCTTTGTCTTTCATGCAAGCAGGCTTTAACTCCTGATTGCTTGTTTGCTGGCCACGAGAAGGGACGGGAATACTCCTGCGATGGCAAGAACAGGGACTATCTCTATGAATAGAATCGAGACAGTCTTGTGTGTCGGCTTCTGCCATGTTGGTGTTGGACTTTGGGGACAAAGAAACCCTCGAAAATCTCTGTAAGGCTTTGGGAACGGGGTTGAGCTGAATCGACGCAGTGTAGATTTAGGCTTAGAGCACTCATTATAGTATAAATAGGTAGCTGCAGGAGCAGTAAGTTGCACGTGCAGCTACTAACGCTGTGGTTACATACTACCTTCAACCCTATATTATATTGTGTGACAGTGTGTATAGGTCAACCGTATGCATTGTATGAGTATGAGTATGAGTAGTGTCTATGTACAGGGAGTTGAGGTGGCCGGGCAGGCGCCAGGTCATGGGGTATAACTAAGGGTCACGTGACATATTGTTAACATTCAAGTCATGAGCCCTCGCTATCTTCCTCAAAGCGTGAACTGCATGCCTCCAATTCACTCCACTGCTCCCACGAGAAGAACTCACCTGAACAAGATCATGCTTCGCCGTGTAACTGTCGCCCGGCGGGTAAGGACAGGCGTTCCCAGACCATGGTGAAAGGATGGGATCTTTGCAAATACACTCATTCTAAAGAGATTTCTTTGCCGATATCGCCTTCTTGGTGGGAAGTGGTGAGATTCTGTAGGTGATAAGAGACGGGTCGGCTTAGGACTTCCATTCTTTGCATGTCGGAGTGGGAGGGTGAATATTTTGCTTTGGAGCCCAACTGCTTCAGCGTCTTGATGGCCAGTGATTGAGTGATTACGGGACGGTTGTGGGCGTCAAAATACCTCTGTAAATAGCTCCCACAGGATAATCGACCATTAGTGGCGACTATGCGTTTCAGGCTAGATGCCGTTGAGGTGGACGGTATTTATCGCCGAGATTGGGTTTGCAAAGGGATGAGGAAGTGATGGGCGGAGCGGGACGGTGGGGAGGAGGGTTACGAAGACTTTGAATTTGAGAGGAGAGAACAAGTAGAAGGAAACAGTAAGAGTGCGCATAATGAGGTATGATACCGTAAGTTTTCTTCCTCGTTCAGCGTTTACTCACTTGCGATCTCTTAGCTGACATACTCTAAAGTAAATAACTCATCAAAGTTCAGTCGAGTAATGCATCCGCGTCTACAGCATAGCTGTCCTCATTACATCCAACAATATGGCAAACCACGTTCCGGGCGGCTTCCTTAATATCCCTCCCGCCATTCACATCCACTTACCCGATCTAGCCACCACTGCTAGGTGCTTCCCAAGTATGCAACACTGCCGTCTCCTCACTCTCCTCTCCCACCACTTCTCCCAATACGCTCGACCTCTCCACATCCTCGCTGCTTCCACCTCTTCTTAGCTTCTACCGGCCGCAGGCCCGCTGCGCACCGTTCCGCAGCCCCTTTGCCGTAACAATATATGCCTGGGATATTTTATCTTTATTTGTATCTACTCACCCGATGAAACAGCTTCCGTGGATATAATTCATGATAATGCTGACTTAAGACACCCTGGTCAGTCAAAGCTCGCTGCAGAGCCTGCCGTCATGCCCACCAGCGTCACCGCCATGATATGATGCTCAGAGAGGTCGTGGAAGGCCTTTGGGGGCGGCTTTGTCCCGGACGATAGCTGTGGCGATCAGTTCGTCTCTATGGTCATACTTCGCTTTCCAAGTGATCCCATAAGTGATAGGCATGGTCTTGGTAGGAGTAACTCTTCCGGATGATGTTGTCTAGGGGTGCGACGGCTTCAAAGCCACCAATCTCAAATTTCCGCAATTCCCAAGGAGGTTTTCCGGTAGTTCAGTGCGCGGGTCGGCGGCTGGTTTCAAGAAGAAGAGATTTCTCAGAGTGAGGAGGCGGTGGGATATCAATCTCACGCTATCTTAGACAGTGGCGCTCCTCTGCGAGTGAGCTCCTGATTCCCTACCAGAATTTATCGTTGCAGCCCGTCAACACCATCGAACACTCGGCATTCGTAGAAGTTATGGAAAACGATTACTACCTCTCTTCCCCTTTCTACTAACCGACGAACTTTGCAGCACCTTGGTAATCAGCTCTCTCACCTACATTATCACCAACGTCATCGATGAAATCGATCTCGGTATTTTGCGTTCGGGCCTGGACGCCGAAGAGTCTAGCATAGAGTCGGCGTTGGGCTTCAGCACTCAAATACACGCCCATGCTCAGCAGAACCTCAGGAGTATCACCGTGGAATGAGATACGCACGCCAATTGCGGAAGTGCTCGTCTCGGGCTCCTTCGTCGTGAGAATGTTGACTGGTCGAAACGGATGCCAAGTTGGGCTGCGGCATTGGGAGGTGTCTGCCGATGACTGCACCTTCTTGGATCCGTGGTATACACGACCGCGCTGGGCGAAGTGGCGATGGCAGTGGCAGTGCTCGGAACGGCTGGGCGGGCCGGCTGGAACCAACCTCAAGCACGAGGCCAGTGCACGCTAGAGGCGGATGATCCGCTGCAGGCATTGTCGTTGAGTGTTTACTGTGCGGCTGGTTCCAGCGCCTCGCGGCGGTTTCGTCTACGGGGAACTCGGCGGCGGCCCAGCTGACATCTGCACTGGGCAGGTGCGCCACTCCAGGGTGCGAAAATGCATCACCAGACGGGCCAGAGAGATGAGAGCTCGCAGAAGCAGCGATTGGGCAGCGGAGGGCGCGGGCGTGGTGATATTCGCTGGAGGCAGACCCGTTCATGGAAGTATGCGCCGTACTTTGAGCCGGACGCATCCTCTGGAGGACCTTGGGGGCATCTCCTGATCCCACCTGCGTTGCTTAGCAATGGATGCCTCAAAACCCGTGGCGAACGACGTACTCGGTAGTATTCACAACTATGGATGCCAGCCTTGTGGCAGCTCAAGCAAGTGGAGCTTATCACGGGGTCCACCTGGCACCGAATCTTCATCTTCCTACAACGGCTGCACTAAATGCCCTCAGCAGTTAGCTCTGCTTGCTACCAAGGCACCTCACTGGAGCATCACTTCAAACACCTAGGCAGGAACTTACAGCCAACGCCGTACGCATCCGAGTGGCCGGGTCAAGAACCGCTCTAGCCCGTGGCCGCCTGCGCGCCGGTTCCTGCGGATGGGTGCGACGGCGTAACAGGTCAGGCACGTAATCCACAAAGCCCTCCAGTGGTGCGCCTAGTGATGACGCTCCGCCAGCACGAGCTCCGTTAGACAGAGAGGTATTGTTGTGGCCTTGTGTATAGGCGGTTTTTGAGTACATGTTTCCACGTTGACACAGCGGCGGATTGTGCACACCCAATGACATTTGGCAGCAGCCAACGTAACAGGGTAGTGTTGATGTAAGCCTGGCTACGCGCGAACTTACGGATTGAGTCTCCTAGGGTCCTGCGTGGCCGTTCAAAAGGTAAGCAGCAGAGGTCGTATGGGCGAAAACGCGAACCCACGAGGGTGACGTGTGCAGACCGCCTCAGCAAACTTGCGATTTTAGGCACCGGGTCTCCGCGGAGGAGTGCAGGAAAACTAGTTTCGTCTTGCTCAGAAAGGGCGCCCGTCACGTCGCAACCCGCGAGAATGCGATGGGTCACTTTCTCGGCTCTGCAGTACGCCAATCAGAGGCGCCGCCTGGGCCGCAGCGTGACACAGCAGTCTACGCTAACACGATCCAGGGACAGCATGCATAGCTCCGATCACCACGTCGCCATTTAATGGGGCGTCGCCTCATACTGCAACAAGTGACGGACAGTGATATCATCGCCATCTGGGCGATAGGGTACGAGAACCGCACATCTGGTCCAAATTGTGATAGTGGTTGCAAGCTTAAGTATCCACTGGTGGGCTTGACAACGTTCTGGTCAGCTTCCTCAGAGCACCAGCTTTCAGATCTGGGCATTCTTCATCGTGTTTCCTCGTTGGTGCCGCCGAAGATCCATGCACGGACGTTTTAGATTCGCGCCGTGTAGTCGTGAGAGGCACGAACTTCTCTAAGCGAGACCGAGTCCACGCCCTGGCTCACGGGAAGTATCTCTGGCTGGTATGGACCTGGATCAAAGTAATAGTGCTCGTCAACCGGATTGGGAAGCGGGAGGGCAGTGAAGGTCGGGTCCACTTCTGGCCAACGGTGTGAAGCTGCCTTAGCTCAAGTCGTCTTTGAAGCTGTCACGACAGGACTCCATGCACGCGTTAAATTCTTGTTGATTGAAGGAAGTGGCATCTGCTCCTCGCCTGGATTGTCTTGGTCTCCATCACCGTCTTCCTGATGAGGGGCTTCGTCAGTATTTTTGAAAGGAAGCTGGCTTGATGAAACAATCGGCGACCCATGCCAGTGGTCCGGAGGGGTATCTCTCAGCACTGGAAGGATGGCCTATCGCGGAACGGGAATCGCTCGTTGATGCTAACGCCCAAACCCGAGCGTACCTCGAAAGCGATAATTCTGGCGCCCGCGTCCGTTCGGCTGGAGTCTCTGGAATGAAGTAGCCTTCATCATCCCAAACGGCAGCCTTCCGGAGCGCCGAGAACAGCCCCTCGGTGGATTCCTGGGCCCCTGGTCAACCTGGAGAATCTCCGCCACCGCCAGTACTACCTTCTTCGGCTTGTTAAATGTCCAGATCCCTGGTTCCTTTAATCCCCCAAGGATTCGGTGTCAGGGGCTTGAGAAGAATCAGCAGCAAGCGGTCGACTCGCAGCCCGTAGCGGCAGCCAGCCACTTGAAAAGGTGCGGAACGCCACCAAACTGCAACAACAGATCCTAAGCGAGCTCCACCCAGTTAGCAAAACGAAGGAGTCTTGCCAAGATGCCTCGCACTGTAGAAACATAATATGGAAAGACCGAGCATCTGAGAGAAAACATCATGTGTCGCTGGCGTTGACTAGACAGCAGTCCCTGACAGCCGGTGTCGGGAGAGGTTACTTGGCTGCCACACGGACGTGCGAGTACCTCGCTGTATGAGGGTACCACCTCCATTGAAGGACGGAAGGACGTCGGGGAATGAAGCGTATATAATCTTCCGGCCGCGAAGCGATCGCGACATTTCGCAGGAAACAAACTTCGAAGTGTTGTGAGGGTAAAGCTGCTGAACACCTCGTGTTACATAGCGACACCACCAGGTAAGTAACGTTGCAGGGTACTGAGACCGAAGCGCTGGTCCTGGGAAACGCAGGAATCTCTTGTTGGGCGTGATGGAGGCCAGGCTATGTGTCGTTTGCTCAATGTGGAGAATAGGGAGGAGTGAAGATATGGATTGCATGGATTCCGCGTAGGTCAAAACTGGCGCATTGTTACTAGAGAGAAGGGTCGGAGCCCTGGAGGGAATTGCTGCTCGTATATGCACCTACGTACTCAGCTCCGCCATCCGACCGTCGCCCGCGTGGCGAGTCGTGCATGTCTACGCAGTTTCGATCACTAAAACCAGAGCTGTGCAGATCGGTCAGACGAAAGTGTGGTTCCTCAATCATTTGGTAGCCAATACCAAAATTGATCTCGACTTCATCAAACTACTCCTTGCTTCAAACACGTCTTGCCTCCACTCCAAGCCCGGCATCGGATGTACACCAGGAACCAAAGCACCTTGGACCCCACCTAAGACTTTGCACAAAACCGGAGCCGCGCGTGCCGTGGCGACGCAGGATGGTCTTGTGGACAGACGTCTGGTAAGAGAAAGCGGTTGCCCTGGTTGGTGATGAGCCCATGAGGTGTCGAAATGCTGGTGACATGGTTGGCGGAGTGCAAGGTTACTCTTACTGTGGTGCAATTCTGATTGGTGTCCTTTGAAAACCCAGAACTTCCGGAGAAAGGCTTGCGCTTGTTTGAGGACGAAAATACGGCGGCATGTTTAAGTCGTAGGGACTCCGTCCGTCGAGCCAAACTGTACATCCTCGCTCATTATCGAGGCGTGTAGCGATAGAGCTAGGCCAAGTTAACAAATTGCCCGTCAGCGGGGGATCCAAGAAGCCACTCTAGGAAGTATTCCCGTACCCCGTTGGGTGAGCAGTTCTATAGCTCGATGAGCGAAGGTTACCATGGCCTGTGATCGCCGAAGGATGTGTGCTTCTGTCTAAGAAGGGAGTTACGGGCCTAACGAGAAAGGACTTATAGAGCTTGGGAGAAGGGGAACCGCGCGGTTGGTCGAGGAAGTGTTCGCGAAGTTCGGATGGAGAGGGTCAGTGGAACGCCAGTTGAAGAAGTGGTCAGCGCAGGACTAAGCCTCGCGATACCAATCATGGAAGCTAACAATATCCTCCAAAAAGCTGGATCAAAACTGGCTCTTCCCCAGCGATGGGATCTTCTCCAGGGACTTTGTTATGCCCATGCGTCGTTTTAGATTGCCCGTGTTCGCGACGGGCTGTCTGGGCGATCCCCCAAAAGCTGCGGCCCGCACACCAAGGGCTCCGATCGATGACCGCGCAGCGCAATTTCGCCGAATTCGATGCTGATGAGAGCGAATGTCGGCTCTGATCACGGATTCGAAGTTTGGAGGGCTCGGTCTCGATGGTTGCGCTGCACGGGTGGTGCCGACATTCGTGTTAGGCGCGTGCGCCATCGCTCGAAAGCTCCGGGCGCGGAGTCGGTTGTCCAGAACCGCTGAGTCGATTTGCGCCGCATTTGACGTGTCCTGTGTCAGACGGTAGCCATAGTAACAGATGCAAAGCATGGAGGGCTAAATCTCGATTGTCGGCATCTGAAAAGGTCTGGCGAGAGCGTTGGGTGTTTGCTGGCGCGGCGAGCATTGGCGAACGCCGACGTTGGTTGGGCAGCTATTCGGCGGCGTCAAGTCGGCTGCAAGCCGATGCACAGAGCGAAGGATAGCATCGGGGGCGTATTCGGGCCTACGAAGTCGATTCCAACTGGAAAATGGACAGATGTCGGCGAGTGGTGCAGGGGAGATCATGAAGAACCAGTCTCCGATGACCGAGACATTCTCCTGCCGACAGCTGCGGCCGTCGCCCTGCGTCCTCGGCCAGGTTCATCCCAGGCAGACAGCTGTCGGCCTCATCCCGTCGCCCTCGTTGGGGATATGCGATCATTGCTGCTTGCGGGGAAGAAAGCAGTGGTTGGCATGGTTGCAGTCTTGACTTGCGGACTAGAGAGACACAACTTTGGCAAGGGGAAAGAATTCTATTTAACTTCCTTGATGCTTGCTATAGGGTGCTGGAAGGAATGTTCGATAATTATTATTCATTGCTAGTAAACAGCTAGATTTACCGCGGCATTACTAGCAAACTTCCAGCAAAGCAAACTTGGTCGCTTCAGTGAATCTTCTGGAAGAGCATCGAATGCTCTTGGTTGCATCTATGACCCCTCTTGGCGGTGGTATACTCCGCGTTTTAGCTTAGGGTTCATATCGTACCATACTTCTCGGAGATGCCTCTCGAATTCATCTATCATCAAGGTTAGCCGAAAGTGGTAGTAGTTCTCGTTATAGAGCATTGAAATACCTCCGGATGTTCCATTTAAAGTGAATGAATGCGAAAAGCCAAACAAATACAGCGTGGCCGGGCTGGTTGTCCCATTCGTCTGGGGAGGAAGGCTTTCGGCAATGGTCAAGCGTGGTAACGGAGTTGAGACTTGGTCGAGTTAGTATGAAACTTATTTACAGGGTGGGACATTGCGTTACGTGGAGTGAAAGACCGGGTGGCGTGGCGGTACACTAATGGTTGGATATCTGAGCTTGCCACAAGCGCTTGCTGCAGCGCACAGGCTACACCAAGGCTCTCACCCACCTCGGGTGGGATTGAAACAAGTGCGTCCTCGGGGTCAATATCGACAGGCACTTCGCCTTCATCTAGTCGCCCATGGATGTCGATTGTCTGAAAGTGTGCTGAAGCCTCGTGGTATAGACGGCACCAAAGTCTGGATCGAGGGATAGGGACACGTGGACGCGAGATATGGTGACCTATGCTGCGCAGCATTGGAAGGTTCGAGTCAACTGAGTCTTGATAGGTTGCTGCTGGGTGTCGAGTAGTATGTAGTTAAAGGAACAAATCGATTAAGCAATATAAGGCAGAAAGTGCGGCGCGTGCCCTGTGTGATAATGAGCGTACCCCGGAGTGGTGGAGTCGTTCACTGCCCTGCTTGTAATTTACTAGCTCACACTATATTCCAACGCATTGAGTTACATTCATAGTTTTTCGAGTCACTCTAACTACCCATTGATGTTATCTTAATATTCCCTCATTGTTACTATATAACTAGAACGTATGGAATCAGTGTCGACCCCCTTCTACTTAGGAGCATAGGACAGGACCAGTCCTATTTTATAAAACTCTTTTTCACCCATTGTTCTCGATAGCTCGAGAAACGGACCAGGTCACTATTTACTACCACCACGCTTGTCGTCACCTGGGGAAGCATATGCAGGAATTGTATAAGTCAACTCGTATGCTTAGGAATGAGAGCCGAAGTTTTAGCAATCTGGAAGGCACTCGAAAGCAAATGCGTACCGGCCAAGAGAGTTGGTAGGGAACCCAAGAGGCCTACCAGCGAGCAAAGATCCTTAGCCTCGAGCGTTCCATCACTATGATTGGCTTGTACGGTTCGCAGCCATGGCTTACCTGCTCAAGCTCCTGGAGCGCCTGCACCACAGGGTTACTAGCTCAGATTCGATGCAATTGATGCATTCACGGTTCATTAGCGCTGCCCTGTGCATCGGTGTCCAGCTCTTCTTTCCACTCGAATAGATAGCGGGTCCATGTTCCCTAGTATAATCATCCGTGAAGCCGCCGATCCATGCCATCATCTTCAAGTACTTCTGGACAAATTGTTATCCCCCAACGGCAGCGTCTGATTTGCTGAACTTCTTCCCTGATCTCGCATTCGGGTCTGCCTGCTTAGTAGGGCCCAGGAACCTTCGTTCCAGCTTATTAGTTAATGTGTCGGACTCCTGGCTTCACTCGCAATGTTGGAGCGTAGGCAATAGCGGACCTAGCGCGAGCTGTTAGGTGGCTGCTCGGATTGCAGAATCTCGAAGTTCTTTAGCCCAGGACATCGCATTTCGAAATAATGCAAGCCCGGTGCGGCATGCTCCAACGTCCCTGTCGCTCGCGAATGCCGCGAGCCGCGTGGTGACATAGGAGACAGCACATGGGTGTCGAATAGAGCCAGCTTTCCATCGACATATGTGGAAGATATGGCTTTGAGGCGTGTATCAAAGGTCGGGTGGGGTCGGCCAAAGGATTCAAGGGCTTGTATGGCTCTGGCCCCAAGGGCGGCATCGTATGCAGCTTGCCGTTTAGCAACAGCGGGCGTTCCGTCCACCTCTTTCACGGCTAGAAACGTGTTTGGGGTCACCGGGAGACTATTCTCAGTCGACAGCCCGATGAGCTCCAAAAGCTGATCTTGGATGGCTGGCTTAATCTGTTCCGGGTATGCTCTGTAGTATAGATCTGGCACGGCGTTTGGTGAAGTTCAGGAAGGGTGTCTGCACTCCACATGTTCTCCTATCGGTCACCGTTCCTTCCAACCAGCTGAGAGTTGCGTCTGCGGTGTTGCCCTCCTTGTCGCTGTAGACCTGGTCTTGTTGAAAGAGATCGAACTGTACATCGCCAAAAGTAGAGAGGAGAGAGAAGCCGACCGGCGCCGTAGCCGCTCCCTAATCTCTTGCAAGTTCTGCACCTGCTAGGGCATTGAACCAGTAGGGTATTCATATCGAGGGCTGAAGACGCGGATATACGTAAGGGCTAGTCGAAGTTTCGATTATATGGGCTGCTCTCTGCGGATGATTTGGTGCTGGATTTATAGGCTCGCGAAGGGCGCATCTTGGGGTCTTGGACCCGCTGAAGAGATTTAGCAGAGGGAAGAGAGGCCGAAAAGTAACATGGGGTTGTGGTATCCAGAGGCGCTGGCCAAGACGGTTGAGAAGTCGTCCGATCGAGCTCTCGCAGTGCCGAAACGGTCAGCTATATACGGAGAGGGATTACCAAAAGCGACTATCATGATCTCTACACCTATGAACGAGGGAGAATATGAACGAGGGAAGATTCAAGCGTCAGCATAAGGAGAGGCGAGAATATGAAGGTAAAGGCGGTGGGTAAAGAAAGGGGTGGGGTCGGACTTGGAACAGCCCTATTCCGAGCCTCGGCTTCTGGCCCGGGCACCAGCAGAACGTAGAGAGTGTTGCGACGAGGATGGTGCGGAGTGGTGTTCGGAAAAGCCCTACCCTCCCGTGCCACGGTCATCATTCGTTGTTCGTCGACGTAGTGCCGTGCGTCGGGCCTAGATTCGCGGAACCCATCAATTATGCGACTTCGACTGTTGGTCTGCTCAATCAGCTGCGTGCTTCATCCAATCATAGGGTCTAAAGATACTTACAGCGCGCCTTCCCTGAATGCTGGATGCTCCTCCAGACCTCCAGACCCGCGGCCGCACAAGTGCTAGACCAGACACGCGGTCTCTCGCATTCTGCTGCACTGGCATCCCTTCGTGCTGAGCTCCGAGTTTTATTCCTACCAGCAGATCTTCTGCCCCGGCAGCGCAGCCACCTTCTGCGAAGTCTAGAACGTTTGTAGTATTGTATGTCCGAGCGACCACACCTTGTTCTCCTCGTGCATAGCATCCTCACAGATACGCGCAAAGCTCTTGAAGCGCAGTCGTATCAGCGGCTGTGATATGGATGCGGGCATCGTGGGCTCGTCGTCGGCGCATCGAGCAGTTCCCGCCAACGAAGCATGCGAACACGACGGCGGCTAGTACAGAGCGCAATAAGCGGGCAGCCTAAAGGCACGGTTGACGTAGTGTTGCCTGTGGCACCGGGGACGCTTCGGATGGCAGAGGAAGAAGGGATGGAGTCGCTCGGGAAGCGTCGCTATCTACGACGGCGCCAATGTCAGCTTTATCCTTACGTTCTCTAGAGTCCCACCGGCAGCGATTCGCAGTCTGGTGAGGTACGATTTGCTCGCGTCCCCGCGTGCTTTCACGCTTGCTTTCACGCCTTGTCGGACTGGCTTAATCGTGACTATCGAAAACTGATCGAAAAAAACTGCGCCAGCCTCTTCCTTCTCACATCTTGTTTCTCGAATCATCCACTCTTCACACTGCCATTTGGGCACCCAACCTCATCCCCTCGTCTCACAACCCAACTTAGTCCGAGGCCAGCATGGGTTGTCAGCACTGTGATGGAGCGCCTCGCCGCCGCCGTCGCGCTGGCTCTGTATCCCGGCGCTCAGATCAGCAGGAATCTGACTACTCTACGGCGGTGCGCCCGCCAGCTCCGCCAGCTCCGTCTCATGCCCTGGTGAGCTTACCCCATTACCTTCCGGATCCCTCTGTCGCTAAAATCTGTAACAGTCAAACAACACCCTTCAGCCGCGGCAACAAGACGGCCTCTTCCCTCGGTCCCACCGCAAGGCCGACGCCATCCAGATACTCTCGTGGCGAGTTCCAAGCGACCTTTCAATCCCTGGCATCCTGCTCTGCGACCACCAACAACACGGGTGACTAGCCTGGCTCCTCTGGATGCTGACCCAGCTGTCTTACAGGCTTCTGCGAATATTCAGTAGTACTAGGAAAGCCAGCGTCTGGTTCCTCAATATTCTCATCGTGATGCCCGAAATTATCAGCGAGACTAGACGGGCGCTGCTGTGAATGCCCGGCGATGACAGCCAGAAGGGTGTGGTCGTGCTGCCGCTGTACCTCGTTATTCCGATCTCGCCAACCCTCTTCCCGATCTACAGGCCCAGCGTGCGCAGTATCTACAAGATGGAGATCGTAGTCGCGCCATCAATCCCCAGAACTCCCCGAATCAGGTTCAGCGCCAGCTGGGTACGCTCTTGCTAGCGCAGAAGTCTACACCAGATCGTCGTCTCACTTTCGCTACGTTTTCCGCTCGAAATGAAAACCAAGAGCACTAGCAAGCCAGTCCTTCGACTCCAGCCTATCTCTATGCGACCCTCCAGATCAGAATGCCCATAGTGAGGCAGGGGTTCCTTCACCGCCCACTCCAGCTCCATCCACAGTCTCATCCCAGTCGTCCACTCCAGCCCCGCGGACTGAAGTCTCAGCAAACGCACAGGGATCCTTCCTCACCGGCCTCTTCTCGTACATCGTCGACAGGATAGAGAACAGAGCTAACATCGCAACCGGCCTGCGGTCCTCCGTCACACAGCACGGAATCAAGAGTTGGATGTATTTTAAAACGGATTGGTGGGAGATTGAGCAGTGGAAGAAGAAGAAGCAGGAGGCTGCCAAGCGGACAGAGAAGCAGAACAAGAAGAAGCACATGAGGGAGGGCAATAACGGTGAAGACGAATACAAGAATAGAGATGGAGATGTAGAGAGAGGTACGGGAAAGAGAAGAAAGAGGAGCCGTGTTAAAGGAGAAGATATAGCGAAGTTACGCGATAAGCATAGCTGCGGCACGGACGTAAGGGGACCCGCAACGTCCCGACCTCTCCTCAGTATCATCGAGCATTATCTTCATCCGACGCCGGCCGCCCAAGCGCGTGATCATCAAGAGATCGGGAGGGATCGTCTGGGCGTAGAGCAAGCCGACCCGGTTCGCGGGATGGTGTTGGTGGTGCTGGTGGTGCTCGCTGACAGCGCGAAGCGGCGAGGCTGATTCCGCCAAGCCAACGCCACCCCCGCTGGCCCGCGCATAACACATCCCCGAATCTACCTAGGTATAGATTTCGCAGGAGCTCGCCCGAGCTTTATCGTTCCATTTGAAGGTGTAGTCGCATTTGAACGCTGGACACCGGTGCGAAAGCCCGCTCGATTCCCCGCATCTCCGACAAGCGGGCTACGCAAGGGTCCAACCATGCTAACCTACCGTTCGCAGGCGCTGGGCCTAAACTTTCTCCTCTTTCATAGCGGATGAACATTAGTCCTCGCCCTTCCAATCCGCCCCCAGCCACCACAGTTGCTACAGCACCAGGCGGCCCGTTCGGAAAAGCGGTTGAAACTCCCAATCCTGTTCCACCAGTTCCCATGCTGCGTCTCCTCAATCAGCGCGCCCGACCGCGTCTCACTCGTCTCTTTCCTCTTCTTAACCGCATCCTGGAAGCGCTGAAGTTCCGCTTGCACGCTGCTCTTCTTCTGTTCCTCCCGCTCAAGCACCGCCTCCGCGCGTTCCCCGTCGAAATGGTACCCGGCTTGTTCCAGGACCCGGGACTTCGCTCCCGCAACTTCGGCTGCCCTGGCCAGATGAAGTTGGGCATTCAAAATAGCGCGGTCCGCTTCAAGTTGATCTATGACAGCCGTGATCTCGTCCTCGAGCTTGTCGGCGCTAGTCGGGAAGCGTGTGGCGATATCGTCCCTCGAATGTGTCGTTGGCGAGCGCGCATATAAAAAGGCGCAGAGTCCGCTGCGAAAGGCGCTGCTTAGGCTTTGGCGGCGACTTCGGCGGGGTTTTCCGTATAGTCGATGCCTGCATGGCTTGTTGTTGACTGGCGTGCTAATGCGGAATTGGCTTGTTTGTTTGGCGTGAGGGCGCGTGCTGAGGCCGAGCGCCCACTCTCGTCGGGATGAGAGAGCGCGGGCAATAAAGTACCGCAACGAACGTGAAATTACGTTTACCGATGCTCCGGAGTATGCGATTTCTCCTAAACTATAAAGCTCGGGCTACAATGCATTCATCGGGTCAAAATCTTGAATCGGAGTAAGAGTGGGTGGTGTTAAGGTCGGGAGGGATTACGTCATCCCGTAGCAGACCTCGGAAGGCGAGAGCACGGCAGACCCACCACTGCGACTCGACGGGCAAGATACGTTTTTTAATGCTCTGAAGTACGCGATTTTAATCGTGGCATAGAGCTGGGCCTACGGTGCCAATTTCCGGAGGGATAACTTGTCCTGTAGCGCAGTAGGCCTCGTCCGGATGAGAACGCAGCAGATAATGTCGTTCCGCAGGCCTCTACTAATAGTAAGAAAGATAGCTTTTCTAACTCGCTGGAGTACGCAATCGTGATTGGGACATGAAGCTCAGCCTACAATGCGTTCGCGGGCGGAAATTAGACGGCGGCGTTGATAGCGTGGGATTACGTTGTCCCGAAACCTGCATGTACGTCGACGTCGTCGTCCACTCTTCTGATCTTCACGTAGCGCCAGATCGTTGCATCGACAGGCGCCCCGCTGTGAAACTTACGGGCTCATCTGTCTGGTTCCCTCGTTCTTTGGCCATCCGACATTCGCACAGGGTCCGGCGCTAGGCACCCAAACGTAAATCTTTCGCTACGGATCCCACAACATACTACCGCGCGCCGCATCGGGCGAAACATGCGCGACTACCAAGAGGCCCGCTTTTAGTGCGAAGAGGGAACCTACGTCAGACTGCACGATGCCGAATTATGATGGCGATGTTACATGAGAAACAGCGAGGTCTCGACGTTTCTGTTTGAGAACTTCCACACATTTTCCCTCGGTATCATTGAAGTCGGCCCAGTCTTTTGTACCTCTGAAGTCTCCTGCATCTACGCTCTTAGGTCTTGTTCGAGGAACGAGAGCGGCACAAAAAGTCCCCGGCTTTTCCTTTGTCGCAAGGTAATGGAACGTCCAGCTTTTGAACAACATGCAGGGCTACAGGTGAACATTTACCCACCAGACGCAACTCCCGGCTACCAGCATCTCGTAAAGGCAGCTATCATGCCGGCAGGATTATCGTACATCAAACATTACACTAGGCCATCCTGGATCGACTGTGGTAAGCCTCACGCGTCCTATCTAGATTCTCTCCGAAAACTGATTATTAGACAGTCTTGCTCAGACCTATGCAGCATGGGCTGCGACTACCAGCCGTCGCTCTAACCCTTCATCCTGATATCCCCGTTCTCGGACGTGATCGTGCAAAGCGCCGACGTTAGAATTGAGCGTTTCAGGAGGGTTGCGACCAAGGCAGCTCTGCACAGGTATTTCACACGTCTTTGATGTTGAGGAAGAGGAGTCGTCCGCTGATATGTAGTGGCAGGTGTAAACAACTTGTCCGCGACATCAGAGTGCAAAATCGGGTTGCGGTTCCAGGCATGGAGGCGATGAATTTCACGACACGCAGCTCCTACGTCTGCTCCAACTCTCTACAGTAAAGACAACACGGCCTCGGCCCAATCACCACATAGTCCCAACATATGCATAAGAGCCGCCCCAGCAGCTCATTCGCGATCGCAGCTCTTTCCGATCCCGAACTGGATCAAGAGCCCAACGTTCACACGGAGATGTCGAGATGCTGCGAGAGTGGGCTGGATTGTGCTCCTGCTCCCCTACCGATGCTAGCCTTATGCAACTCAATGCCCCCGAGTTAGTCCATTCTAGTTTTCTCGGATCTGTTCACACCACTGCTGGTGCCAGTCGTGCTGTCCTTCTGCGCCATGAAGAATGGGGTCATCGTCATCTCGCCCCTCGCCTCCTCGGTGGCGTCCATGTTCAACCTCGCGTATGGGTTCGTCTCCACGTCGTTGTTCAGCATGCTGGTGACAAAGTTTAGAGCGTCTTCCATACTCACTTTGACCTACCTCTCCGTGCCTGGCCCGGAGCTGATGTTCACCTTCCTGATCCCGTTGCCGACGTCGAACAGCTACTCAACTATGCCCGGGAATCTGCAAACTCCTCACCATCATCTCCATCGCCGGGTTCATCTTATGGTTCGAGCCGCGCCTCGCGATGTTGATGCGGCGCTGATACATGCCATTGCCAACGGGCATGTAACCGCGTCGAGGCCCACGTCCGCGTACACGACCGGCAGCTCTAGCAGATGCCGTGGAGCCAATCGTAGGCATGCCCTGTCTTACAATTATGCATGTGCCCAATATCATGCCGAGCCGCATAATCGCGTACGGCCCCTAGAAAGAGCCCAGCTATCGAGAAACACGCATACAAGCACCTCAGCATTACAGCGAGCTTGAAACGTCCTCGTCTCCGCTCGGCAACTTGTTCGTGTCGCTGGACTTGATCTCCTTCCAGTCAATCCTGATTAACATCGCGCAGACAGACATCATTTAGCACAGAGTCTAGACCGACGGCGCGCTGCCAGAATACTTCTTGGGGTCGCACCGAGCGCGCCCGCAAACGTGGTGGCATGCGTTCAAGCCTATCAATCAACTCGTCGTTCGTCTCGCGGCTGCTAAAAGATACCGACGTTCACGTTTCCTAGCCTCCTCTCGTCGAACGTGTACTTCACTCTACTGTCGCGTAGGAGGCTGCTATGGGCTTTAGATCGTAGTTGAAGCTCTTGCGGATGTTCACGGAGTCGGTGTTGGTTGACCTTCGTATGTTGTACGCCATCGCGACGCGGTGGGTTAGCCACGTGCTGCCGGAAGAGTTCGTCTTCTGTAACAGGAGGGTGCTTGAGTTCGAGTGCTTCGGCGGGCAGAGCCGCAAGGTCATGTGCAGCTATAGTATCGCGGGGGTGTTGCAGCTCAGGCACATGTCCCTGCTCAACTACTACAATAAGTCAATGAAGGCCAAGGAGCCAGTCGACGACACGAGCATCGACGCTGACAGGATACATGCCGAAGGAGCTGTTCTCGCGGCTGCACGTGGACTGCAATAGAATCAAGTGTAAGTCTAGGATCACGAAGAAGTGCGGTTCAAGGACGGGCCTATCTCTTATAAAGAATTATCTTCGCGCAGTAGCTAAAACAGAGAGTCTAATAATGTAGAGCTGACAGCTACAAACTCGAATCTGTTCTAGCATAGGAGACCGAAGATCTTTCTCCGGAACACCCTCTATGAGTCTTCCAACGCTACTGAACCCTATATAGAGAACAAGAGACCCGCAGCTTCGAGGTCTCCTCCGCTACAGGAGTTATTCATGGCGCCCGTGCTGTTAGTAAGGGGCACGCTCCTCGCGGCGGCGCCATTCCAATTCACGCCATACACGCATAGAGGCGATTCTTCGCGGTCGTTTGATACTCCGCACAATTCAGGCGACGTTCTTCCATCGCGTCGACCATATCCTCACGACGCTGGTTGCTTCACGACTCGAATTAGAACAATGCGTTCTCACGACTGTGTCAGTATACGTTATACTCACGTCCCGAGAGGTTACGATTGGGCAGAGGGGAGCAGCGTCTACGAGCGGGAAAGTCTCTGCCGCTGTTGTAGCCGCGTCAGAGGTGGTTAAACAGTTTATCTTGTTCTCTTTGATGCGATTATGCCGATGGCCGGGCAGCTTCAGCTTGTGGTAGACAAATCGCGACGTTCGAGCTGATCCACACAAAAAAGGGGTATACACCAAGCTATATACTTGGCCATAGCGATCGATAGAGATCTCGTCGAAACGGTAAGTGACTTGGCTCTGATGATGTACCTGACTAGCGAAGAGGACAACGCCAGCGAGGAATTCTGCCCATCAGGCTTGTTGACGGTTCAGCCGCTTGCTTGTTATGAAGGATTGTAGAGCCCGATGGTCGGTAGTGACGTTGATTGGATCTTTGGTTCCGCGACATTGTCTCTGGGTTTGGCCCGTTCTGGGTTTTTGGCAGAGGAGCTTATGGCTGGAAGCCGCTCGAGAGGCGTCTTTATCGAGTCATATCCAAGAGTCGGCTCACGGCGCTAATCTTCCCCAGAAGTATTTTTCTCTGGCGGCGACGCTTGTACTATCGCGCCATGCATGTATAGGGCGAAAGACAACCCCTCGGCTGGTTACTCTGGCCTGTTGGATCCAGACATCCCGTACCATTGGTCGAACTTGGTAGAAACATCCGCGGGAATGGTGAGGTCACCTTCCTCAGTCTAGATTAACTCTGTAGTCGCCTGAATCTTCTTCTCAAGGACTGCGTTCGATCAAGTCACACTGCCTCACCTGACAACGCCGCATGATCCCTGAGATCCGTCACCTGCTTGAGCCCATTTATAGCGGCGCCCTCAAGGACCATATTACGCTTCTACTTCCTCCCGAACCCGCAACTCCCCTCCTTCTCATCGCCTGCCTCTACCTCTGCTATCTCAACTGACAATGGACGACGGCCTCAGGCGATCCCACACATCTTGCACGTGATTCCGCTTAAACGCCACCCAATCTCGCACGGCCTCGAGCCTGAGGTTAGCGCCACGCATTCGCTGTCCGAGAAGCCTTCTGCGTTCTGAATATCCGAACTCTCGCCGTGCATGCCCGTATCGCTACGCAGACATGCCTGCATCGCGAGGTGTCGCTCCGACGAAAATAGTTAGCCAAGACTGGCTGGAGGCTTCGCAGACGATCGCTCCGGCAAAGGTGCACGGCACCCGGGAAGGAACCGGCCTGACTGGCAGGAGAAGGTGCGCGACTTTTCGCTCCCGAAAATCTCGCCACTGTGTGCGCTGATGATGGTGTTGTGGTGGGAGACGACTGGAGGAAAACGAACGGCACCGTTGCGCATGTCAGCCTCGCTGCGCCTGGCGATCTCGGGAATCTGTCAGGACTATCTTAACGGGCCGTCCCGTCTTTACGCGCCGGCCCAGACCGCCCGGCGTTTCGATGGTCTGGGCTGCCAGCCAGATCGAGGAGTCGGGAATGATTCTGCGTGCGAGCAGGCTGCAAAACCGGCTTTTTCTCGAAGCAGAGGCTGCGATTACTCCGCTGGGATGCAGCGATGTATGCGCTGCACAGGTGTCCGCACTTAATCGAATACGAATCCGCCATTATCCTATCTCAGTCGCGAACAAGCAGGCGCCGCCAGAGGATGATACGGAGTGCTTCGTCTGCAAGACTCCGACAAGGTGGGTGCCAGTCCGACCTCTCTCTTCCCCGCAAAACCAACGCGCCGCATCAGCCCGATACCGCATCTAAGTGAAAAGCAGCGGCGGCGCGCATTGGCTCGGTGTGTCCTCCGCATCCAGCTCAACGATTCCATGGTTCTCGCTCCGCGAATGGGGGTCTTTGTAGTCTTTGCCGCCTTTGACGGTGTAGGATTAGTGGGCGTGATTACTGGTTCCAGAGGGAGGAGTCACTTCCCCTCTATACGTACACTAGGTGTGGTAAACTCCTTCTTTGTGGCAAGGTCCTTCTCGAGCTGTTTAATCTTGTCTTCGAGCAGGCGAATGCACTTCTTCTCCAAGGATACAGGCGACACCGATCTCCGTTCCAGCAAAGATTGAGCTGTAGACTTACGTGTGAGACGAAAATTGAGCGTTGCCTCTTGGACTTTCCTCATGCAAATCATCGATGCTGAGCTCATCGACTGAAATAGCAACCAGGCGTCCGTTAGCAAAAGCACTAGGTTGGCGCGCACGCCGCAGGTGACGCAGGCGGGGGTACAAAAGGGGTCGGGATGGTCAGTCGGCATCCTATTACTTGAAAGATCACGACGCACCAGTCGCAAATAAGACTCAGAGAATGTAGTGAAGCTCCCAGATTGAATCTATCCTGTATTGTCGCTAAACGGCAGGCTGCTCTCGTATCATTCCGAATATAATGCGTCCGGCTGGCTTCCCGAAGGCATGCGACAGGGCGCCCTCTCCGCTGTGAATTAGATCAGCCCATGTACACTACGTTCGCCGCAATTATCTACCCTTGCAGTTAGCCAGCGATCCAACAAAGGATCTGCATGTCATTACCTCATTGTATACAGTATTGAGAGCGCGATCTGCCTAGCGCACTACTCCGCTGAAGTTCAGTCAGCCTAGAATAGCTGGTTCAGGTGTAGTTGAGGATGTTGGAAGCGCTTGTGGAAGACCACGAAGAAGGCAAGCCAGTCAAGTGGTGTGGGAGGACTGGTGAGCAACGAGGAGATATGCGTGGCCGTGGGTGATGAGTCGCAGATGTACTGTGAGACGTTAGTCGCGGCGTGAGTTTGGCACGTGTGCTTAATCTTACCGTCGATGTCATCATAGGAAGGTACCCGCGGTTCATGCGTCCATCATCGAGGGTGGGGCTGAAGATTCCCACACCCTCCAACACCTGAGGCTTATCCAGTTGCGAAGCGAAGCGAAGGAAAGCCGCCGTAGTCGCCCTGCCCCCGCCCGCCTATGAACCACCAGCACCATCCTTCTTCCCCAACGACAGATTCTCTCTCAGTGTAGCCGCAGGCTGGCTAGCCGCTTCTTCTCCTGTCTGCCGTCGTCCAGCAAGGCGGCGATGCGCTCGACGATCTGCTTCACGGCTGTGTCAACGAGCGCTTGCGGGTCCTGTTGTTGAATTAGTTGTTGGTGTTTCTACAGCATGTGCAGCGGCTCGGCGACTGCGGCAAGGCGTGCGAGTTTGACGTCTGCAATAGCTGCTGCTAGGACGTCTTCTGTAGCGGGCGCGTCTGAAAGTCTGCAGGTGGTGGTGGCGGCGGCGTCAAAGAACTGGTACCAGGCGCATCCTCGGCTGCGATGATTGTGGTGGCATGCTGCGGCGACAGCGGCATCGACGGACCAGCCCTCGCATCCCCATCGCCATCCCGGGCCCTCTCATCCAGCTGCTCGTCGTCATCCGCATCCTGCCACGTCCACTCCCAACGACACGGCTCAGGGTCCATGACAAGCGCCCATCCATAGTGGCTCAAATCGCATCGGCCGTACCCCCGATACCTGACCACAATATCCTGGGTAGAATCACAGTCTGGATATCCATACCCCCACACCTTCTTCTCCAACGCAAACACCTCGCGTGCCAGCGCACCGTCTAGAGTCGCTGGCCGCGTGGCCCTATGCTCGATGCTCGATGAAGAGCGGATCGAGCACAAAATTCAAGCCTGTAGCCCGTGTCGCCCTGCTGTCGACGTCTTCGCCGGCGGAGCGCAGAATGGTGGCGAGGCGGAGGGAGGCGCGGATGCGGGAGGAGAGCGAGGATTAGATGGAGGCTAGGTCGCCGAGCTCTTCGCGGGAGGAGGGGGACGAGAGGGGTTGGGGAAGGGGATGAAGGTCTAGGCGTGGAAGAGCTCGTACTGGAGGCAGCCGATGCGGGTGTAGATGTTGGTGAGTTCATCCTTCTTCAGTGCCTGGGCGAGCTGCCGTCGAAGGTCGGCGTTTAGGGCGGTTGCTCTTTGCAGCTGGGACTGCAATTTGGCGACCTTGCGGTTGGCGTCCGGGGGTGTAGGAGCGGGGTAAAGCTGAGGATGGTTGGGGCTTCGCTGGCTAGTTTGTTAGTCATGGTGCCATGAGAAAGGAAGACGGTGGGCGTACCAGAGGCCAACGGGGAAAGAGGAAAGAAGTGTTGGGTTTGGCAGAAGAGGAGGGGAATTGGGCAGGGTCCTCCACACTTCAATCACCCCCCGTAGCCTCTTCCCCCTCTGGTCTGCTAACCACCTCGCCTTATCTACCACGCACGAATCGCCCGGGAAGTCTCTCATACTCAGCCACTCAAGTCGAATAGCGTTGAGCTTTGCCTCGCACGGCAGCGTACGTTGCGTGAGGTAGAGTTTGTAATCCGCGGTCAGGTCCGGTGGCGCCATGCCTTGTTATGCACGGCGCTGTAGCAGAGCAGCTGACCGCGATACGCAGTCGTGACTGAGCGCGCGGAGGTGGTGAGAGCGGAGAGAGACGCGGACAGGATGAGGAGGTTGAGCGCGGCGGCGTAGGACGGGTAGAAGAGGAACGCGGGCGGGCATGTGGGACCGAAGGCATCCGTTGGGGAGGTCAGCGGTGGACGGAGAGAAGGATGAGGGCTGCTCACTGTAGAATTGTATCCAGCGCTAGAGAATCGTGGTCCGTGAGGGCGCAGGCGCCGCTCTAGGCTGGGGCAGCAGGGTCTGGCAGTTGAAGCTGGAGGTCAGGCGGCGCAGAGCCAAAGCGGTGGTAGTGGAGACCCCATAGAGGATCGCCGTCATTGTAGCCGCTCGTGGCATGTCAAGGCAACTGGAGAGGTGACGGGAGCGGTGGACGAGGCCATGATGGTGGCGGTGGTGTTGGTGGCGGTGGTGGTGTTCTGCAGCGGCGTGAAGCAACCAGAAAAGCGGGCGGCGCAGCTGCTGACAAAGACGTGACGCAGCTGTCGAGCGCCGTCGAGCGCCGCCGTCATTGCGACGAGGGCGAAAATTGTGCAATGGCTGCGCTCACGTACCCGGCGGTGCATAACACGTAGGAGTTGCGACGGGCATGCTTCGCTGCCGCAGAATTCCGCCAGGGTGCCGACGGACGGAGAAAGGTCGAGACCTTGGCCCTTCTCTTCACTCCGCGTCCTCCGCCCCGTGTATGCCTGTGCACCCAGTAGCGTGAGAGGGCGCTCTTTGCTCATACTGTATACGCGTTGTGGAAAAGTAGTGGTGATGCGGGCGAGGCACAGATCTGATGCTTAGCGAAGTTCGCTAGAACAAGAACGCTCTAGTGTGTTTCTGTTTAACTCCCGCCTGCCATATCTTTGTTCTCTTCGCCGCCTACCCCAGCAAGTTCTCCGCTCTTGTTTATACGACCCTGATCTGAAAGAGAAATGGGAGAGGGTTGATAGGGTGCTGTTCAAGGCAGACGATAATGGCGACGGGGATGGATATGGGGAGAAGACACGGGCGGCGGCGGAGTCGGCCGATACAGCGTCAGTCACGTGCCACTTTGCCCAACACCCACTCCAGCAGCCCAGCACAGCAAATAGCCGCAGTATCGCCTCGTCGAGATAGCTTACAACCTCGGTATCAATTTCCTCGTAGTAGCCAATCTTCCGCTCAACCTGCTTGGTAGACAATGCTTACAAGTTTGTTTCCACCACGCCCTTCTTGCATTTACCTACACGGGAGAACCAGCCTTGTGCAGACGCTTGGAAGCCCCTACGCGCTGAAGTCTCTATGTCGCTGTGTGCGTACATGTACATTCTCATGGATCACTTTCGTAGCGGCTTTCTGCGAGTGCAGGAATGCTCGGTTGGTGTCGTTGAGGGCGAAACGGACCGTGTTGCCAGCAAAGGAGGCGCTGGCGATGTGGAGGCGGGACTTGTGGAGGAAGTCGCATGCCTCTTTGTGCTGGATGGTTGGCCTGGAAGTGGCTTCGGCAGCAGCGAAGGTACGTATGCGAAGTAGAGCTGGGAACCGCGTGCTCGGTTTATGGAGGCAAAATAGAAACGGGCATCTCTTTCGACCATTCTACATGGTTTAACACCACCCTTACGAATCTCTACTGCACCCTGGGAAACACCAACCGTCTCCTTAGCGCAGGCGAGCGATCATTCGCAGTTATCGTAGCAAGCTGGCAGGGTACAAACTCCTCCTTAGTGGCAGATACGACGGCGTCTTCAGCGACTGTGGAGAGGGATGAGCTATTAAAACAATCAGCACGCACCACACCAACTCCGTTAAGCGGCTCTGCAAACTAGGCCATATCTCTCTGCCGATATCGCCACCGCATTCGCCTCTGCGACACGTCCCTCCCGGGTGAGATGGCGAGCTCGGGATTAATGGAGCGTACTGGCTCACTTGGTTTTGGATCCCGGTCCATCATTTGTATTATAGACTGTGAGTGCGGGAGCGGCCCATGAGCTGCTACCAGCATGTGGTTGCGACGCTATGGGTAATTGGTAATTGTGGGCGCGGTTGTATGTAAAGGAGCCAAGGTCTAGTTGACCCGCCGCTATAAAGAATGAGAGCGGCCAAGGGAACCGCGGATATCGTGAAAGAAGTGGCTGCAGTTACTCTGCAGATGGAAAGAAACGAGCGATATTGACGGGCGTGAAAGCGCAAAGATGCGGAGACTGTTGGAGTACAATCGCCAAGCTTCCTAATCGGGCACTAGCGCCACTGGCGCCACAGAGATTTCTTCGATTTCTCGGAGCTATATACACTCAATACAATACACCTCACCCCAATATGCTGTATTCCTCAATTTCCTACTTCAACAGAGACTAGCGAAAGACGGCAAAGACGTCCTGATGTTAAACTGGTATGCAGAGCGCCAAGAGTGCGCACACTTCGCGTGGTTTTCATTCATCTGCCCTGCAGGAATATTGTAGAATACTTGCATAGCTCTCAGAGCTAGGTCAATTCAATGATTCAACAACAACGACGACAAGAGTGCGCAAGCCTTCAAGGTGTACCCTATCCTGCTGACCCCTGCCCTCCCTGGCTCTCATGTTGGTACATTCGGCACCTGTGTGCCTGCATATCAAACCCCTCCTCTTCTTCTTTACCCCTCTGCATTGCCACCAGCATCGCCTCTCTCGTTCCACTCACTTCTAAACCCTTCAACCTCCCGCTCTTCCAGCTATCTAATTAGGTGTAGTATTTACACAATGTTTCAGCCTCTGAAACAATATACCATTATCCTCCAATTTCCCTATTGGCCATCCCACCTCGCCAATTCGTTTAAAGCAACGAACTGCAAGCACGACCTCCGCGCATTTTCCCTTGGGCATAGGATTTTTGTGCCGGTCAGTAGGTGTCAGCTCGATATAGCCCCAGGTAACCCAGCACGTTGGACAAGCTCCTTTTGGCTCCCCCTTATAGCCTACTGCCTGTCCAAGGTGATCCTTCATGTGTCGAGGGTGGGTGGGGAGCTCCGCTAGCTGCTCTTCACTGAGCTCTTCCTTCTCTAACAGCGGCGTCCGGTTCTTTTCGTCTAAGGGTCTGAATTCACCCTCCTTGGGAATCCGGCCACCCCACAGCGTACGGAAGAAGGACGCGAACTCCAGCGAATCGAACTTGGGCGCTGTCTCGCCTGTAAGGCCGCACGATAGACACATAGCAAAAGTGAGTGGTCGACAGATTTGGCCCAGGTGCTTCTGGGGGAAGCTGAGCTGGCTTTTTTTTCTTGAAAAGCTACGACGAAGGGCGTCCTGAATAGCCTCGAATGACTTGTCCGTTGGGTTGCTCGTAACCACCTCTGCCTTTTGTTAGCAAGATCTTGTGCCCGGCTTCTTCTCTCAGGCCATACCGTTTTGGCAAAGCCAAACGATCATCTCAATGAGGACTTCGTAGGGTGTTTGCGCTGGAACGCATGGCAACTGTGAAAGCCAGTATTCTCTGCCCTCCTTCTCCAGTCGGTTCTTCACACCGTTCACCCTGTCCCCGATATCCGAAGTAGTGATATTTACGCTTTTTTTGGAGAACTCAACCTCAGGTGGTTCGGCCTGGGAATATTTGACGATGGCATCTGCAACGGGTGTGATGAGTTTGTGGACCTCCCAGTTAAGCCTCGAGAAGAATCGTTCTTGTACTGTTGCAGTCAGAGCTAGTAATTGGATGGGTCGTAACCTTCTTACATGGCCTTGGGAGTAGTGTGCCGTCCGCAGTGGTTATGGCGCTGAATGAATCCAGGCTGTGGTTGACTACTTGCAGCCAGTCATATAAGGTTTTGTGGATATGGACGAGTCGGTCTTCCATTTCCTCGGAGGATATGTGTTTATGATTCCATGTGTGTTGGCGATGACCATCCACTGAGCTCCCCAGTACGAGTTGTGGCCATTCCGGTGGTATTACCCAAAGCAAAGGATCGTACGCTGAAGCCATTTGGGTTGGGAAATGAAGAGCTAAACAGTAAAGTCAATACGCCCTTTGAAGAGCCGGTACAGCCCACTGCTGAAGAGGGAAATAAAGAGACGAACTACAGGAGCATAAGTACAGGCGGCATGGTATTTGCTTTCTAAATTTCACAACCGTTTGCTAAGACAAAGTTTGGCTGAACCAATCTGCATGCAAGACGCCTCTCCCCAGGCTAACTCTTGAAAACCCAGATCGTCTCCTGTGAACGGTCTGCGTGCACACGGTCCACGGTGAACGTAGCTCCCTTGTAGCTCTTCTTCTTGCCGTTCATGATAACCGCTTCTGTGTTCCCAAGCGGTACTGAGGTTTCGATGCAGCCGCAGCTAACATCGCTGGATGGATTGAGGTTTCGTAGCGTTTGCTGCTTAACTTCTTGATCTGCCTCGTCTTTGATGTTAGAGCCAGAGACTGCCGAGGGGTCAATGTACCAGCAACCCTCAGACTTAAGAGTGTAGGGATTAATCTTTATAAAGACGATAACCCCCGTATTACACCATTCCTGCTCTTTGCTTAGTTGCTCAAGGTAAGCGAATTGATGGCCGTACAGCATATCCTGGGTGCCTTTTTCTGTAAGAGCGAAGAATGTACGGGGCAAAGCCGGCCCTCGCTCTTCCAAAAACTGCACCTCTTGAAGTGGTGTTAGCCAATGGATGGCAGCTGAAGGCTCACCGTAGTGCAAATCATAGTAATCCCAATCCTCGTCCTCGTCATTGTATTGGTCATTGTGAAAACGAAGTCGATACTTCGAGTCCCCGATGCAGCCGAGATCGAGATCATCTATAAAATTAGTATCGTAGAACTCCCAGAGCTCCCACTTACCCAGCTCCCTTTCTCGTAGGTCTCGAATGTGGGCATACATACTCTCTGTAAGGTCTGGCGACTGCTGAACCTTGTCTTCCTCCATTTGAGTGCTTTCAAACACAGGCCTCTTCGTGTCCTCTTTGGGAACCATATTATAGGGCGATTTGTCCTCGGCTTCGGAGGTCGTTGGCATGGGAGTTGGAGTTGGAGAGTTATAACGGAGCTCCTCAGCGACATGCAAGGGAATTGATTCCACCGCCATTGATGTCTGGGTTCCTAATTGAGCGTAACCAGAGTCGGGAGATGGGAGTATCGATGCCGGAGTTGTCGATAGGGTGCTAGAGCCTGGAGACAAGTCAGTCAGAGTTGTGCTAGATTGCATGGTATTTGAAGATGCGGAGGAACAAATGCTTTTTAAACCATCGGTCTGGGCTCTCGTTACTCCATTGTGAAGCCTGGGAGTGCGCGGTGTAAGGGCACGTCGCTGGGGGTGTTGTTAGTGTTGAAGTAGGCAATTGAGGAATACAGCATATTGGGGTGGGGGGTATTGTATTGAGTGTATATAGCTCCGAGAAATCGACGAAATCTCTGTGGCGCTAGTGCCCGATTAGGAAGCTTGGCGATTGTACTCCAACAGTTAGGAGCATCATCTGGACGTCGGTGGACTAGCGTGCTCGTGTCTTCTGATTGATGAGGTCGAGCGAATTGATTCACTGCTCCGGGGGTCTCTGTGAAAGGAATGGCGGTGCAGTCTGCAAGCAAACTTGGCGTATTGTGCATTCCGAAGGCACAAACTTACTAGCATTGTGCTGCATAATGCAGCAAGCCTCAAAACGAGAACCCACGTGAACTATCGCAATAGTCCCGACGGCCTCTTCCTCCTAGCTCTGCTTGATCGGCGCCCTAAACAGTCATGCAGCAAGCCGACGTGGCGAAAGCTGGTCGTGCTATACTGCCTTCAAGCGAAGATGGATTGTCTCCGGCGCACCTCAGTTTTAGTTCCGCTAGACTGTATGAAATTGCATTTCTAGCCGTTGCAGAAGAGAACCCTACATTACGATCGCGTCATCTTGAACATGTTTAATATCAGCTCTGGACTCTTTATGTATGCGCCAACACGGATTTAATTGCAACCTAAGGTTCTTCCTCGAGCAGTACGCTTGCGCTCGAGTAGTGTGCTTATCCTCGGATAGTACGCTTGCGCTCGAGTAGTATGCTTATCCTCGAGCAGTACGCCCGTCCGCTTCACCGTCCCATACCCCACAACGAATGCTACTCACCGAGCTCAACCTCAGAACAAGGATCACCTCCCCTGTTCCCGGTCCAGAAATTGGAGACTGACTCTACTAGCTGTCGCCGCGCCGAAGGCTGAGTTCCTCCAAAACCAGGCCCTTGATCAGACCATGCCATCTCCCCTGTATGCCGCTCAACCTAGAAGCACGCAGCACAGTCTGATGCAGAATTTGGCGTATTCCCATAACTGTAAAAATTGTTCCCCATCTTGCACAAACTGAATTCCGTAATGGACAACGTAGATAGTCACGTGTTAGCCGCTTAGTCACCGGCGCTCCGACCCCGCCTTATTTTGAGTCCAAAATTTAAGCATGGGCGTCATAGCCGCCACCACATCACCATTATAAGCACCTTTTCTTTCCTCCTCGTCCATGCCCCTAAACGCATGCGCGACGAATATACCGGGCGCGTAGACAATCTCCGCTACGATTTGTTGCGTCCTTGAATAGCATGCCCGCCTGTCTATCTGCTTAGCAGCCTGCCCACCTCGCAACGACCCACAAGCCGGAGCCCCTGGAACCCCTCACCCCCGAGAGTTCAGGGCCTCGATTAGCTAACGGCCTCATCGTCTCCCTTGCCCAGGTCCGGGGCTACATGGGCACTATCAATGGATCCCAACTCGGTCGCACAAGGACCAAACACTGGTTCTGGTAGAACTACAACAACATGTTTACTGGGTAAAGCCGCAGCGTGGCCCGGTGTCAGTGAAGGCGGCACTGCTCGCTGAGGGCGTGAAATGGACGCACACATCAACCTGTGGATGCCCTGCTTCCGGCATTGCGGAAAAGTGGCAGGCAAGAATGGCTGTATTGCAGACAAATCCTGCCATTCTCCGCTGGAGACTCGCCTCCGCTCGCGCATAGCATCGGCCGGCGGGCCCTTCCTCAGGCCCAAACCCACACAGCGTTCGGACACAACTTCCGCGCATCAGCGCCCCTCGCCCCAGACGAGCAGACCACCCCCAACGCGTTTGCTTCCCGCTTCCCCGCTTCCGCTGTCTTCCGCTGTCTTCTGCTCTCTGAGCCAACAAGGAGCAGGCTCCTGCCGCAACCTGTCGCACACTTCCCTTTCCTCACCGCGCGACAGAAGAGTGCCAACGCCAGCCAGACACACGAGCGGGCCTTGTTACAAGCCGCTCGAGACAGCGCCGTCATCGCAGACCATCTCCGCTCCTTCCTCGAACGCATACGAAAACGGAAACCACAAGCCAACCTTATCAACACACGCCACATCTCCCAACATTCGACGGCCACCCGGCCGAGCTCCAGCGCTCCAAAGCCCCCGAAACGCCATCGCGACGCCTCGACGACGACCTCTATAGAGCCCTCTGCGGATAGAGGCAGTCGGGCCCAGGTCGCGACAAGGCAGGGCATGCCATCCCATCTCCCACGTCATCTCGTCAACATTCGGGGTCCAGGAGAGGGGAAGTCAATAAAGTTTCACACCGCGTCGCCTCTCAGAAGCATCGCGCCGCGTTCCTCCAACCACAATCTTCGTCTCCATTCATCACGCAGGAACGCGGCTGCTCTTCCACTCAACATCCCTTAGCAACACCGCACGAAGCCGCGCACGTCAAAGAGGACAATCCGCGGAAGCGGCTCGCAATCTCGCGGAAGACTCCAGAACTGCGCACTCAACTTCTAGCAGCCAGGCCTCCAAAGTTCGAAGCACCCCCAACACAGGCGCAGCACCGATCAACATCACAAGAACAACACCCACGCACAACCGTCAACAACGCGCACAAACCGTCGCATCCAGAGCACCAGGAGAACCCAATCCTCCCACGATCGTCAATCGCCCAAGCTCACCACAGCAGCCGCGCTCTCGCGGCACGTCTCCGATTCTTCGCCACTGCTCAAGCGGCAATGCCGCTTCATACCCGCTCCCCTGCACCGAACCAACATTCACCAGTCAGACATGCATCATAACCTCTATTCTGGCAGGTCAGCACGCACGCTCGCCAACGGCCACTCGAACAACCCCACGTCACTTGCAAAAACCACTTCTCGCTCGCGGATTCCTTTAAAGGAATCACTTTCAGCGAGTCTCGCACGACACAACCGGCAACAACGCTCCACCTAGGATCTTGAGGAGAGTTCGTCATCTGAAACCACAGCGCCAGGGTTAACACACGCGGAAGAACCGCGAACGAACCAACGCCCGTTTCCCTCGCATTCCCTCACCAACATCCCCCAGGCAAACGCCTCGTCGGCATCCTCAAGAACAAATCCCAGCACCCTCCCAGCACCCCTCCACCTCCCCGCCGGCAGCGCCTTCGGCGGTTCCGCACACACGCCAACACCCCGGGTCCACCTTTTCCTCAGCCCATCGCTGATTTTCTGCATTCCGCGGCACTGGCATGTGCAGGCAGTCAGTTCGAAGTAGGTCGAGGCCTTCCGACCGCGCTCGACAGTGGCCCACCTTCAGATCCAACACATCGGCAAGCGAGCAAACGGCAAGCGAGCAAACAACCTCGCACACCGTGCACTGGCCAAACCAGAGTCACATCAAAGCAACACGAAAGTCAAACATCACACTACTCCGCGTTCATCTCACAGAACTCCGAGAACACGCACGCGTCGCGAAACGGCATCCAGTCAAACTCCATTCTTCAGGATCATAATCACCGTCCGACACCACACCACAGGACATTGACCACGATGATCACACTCGCGCAATGCTCGGGCCAAGCACCACTCCCATCGTGTCCCAGCCTCGCCGCCGGATTCCTTCGCCTCGCCAGCGCGCCATCAGCAGTCGCCTCCCCGACGCCGCCGGTCGCGCAATCGTTAACGAGTCTCACCGCATCCTCGATCAAAGCCCTCATCCTCGGAGCCTAAACCATCTTCACCAGAAACGCGGATACCATGTTTCACATCACACCACACCACAATGCAACGCTCGAAGCCCAGACGCGTTGCCAAAAGCAGCCAGGATCCGGCGGATCCAGAACACCAGATCCCGAAAACGCTCACCAGTGAGCCACCTTCTTGTTAACATCGACTCCGCTCACGCTCCTCTCAGGCGCGCCGACGACGCAAATCACTGCTTCAGCGACGACAACAACTCAGCACGAAGCCACGCCTGCCTCCTTTATCAACCTCCCACCCTAATCTCATTAGCGGCACGGTTTCTAGCACGCATCCCGCTTCCAGATCTCGCTCGTCGGCACACTGGCGCCAACGCGGATCACCACGCCTCCTCAGCCATGTTCGATCACGCAGCAAACCAAGGAAGGCAGCACGCGCGCAAATCGCCCAACGCAGCTGTCAATACAATGTTCCGCAAGCCAACCACGCTCACGCCATCGGACCCTTCACATCACTCAGTGCCATGAAGAGGCGCTCAGCGCCGCCACGGTGGACAAAGCATCACGCATTCAGACTCGACGCCACCCGCGGCGAGATTCCCAATGCGGTAGACACTGTGCTCAGAACACGGAGGAAAGCCCGGTCGCCCCTTCGGCGGCAAGGGCAAATCGCCACGTTCTCATCACAACCCAATTGAGCCCACGCGGCAAGTCATACGTGTCGAAAGGCTTAAGGCGTTCAGAGCCAAACACAGGAAGCATCTACCCCATCAGCGCTCATCAGCACGCACCAATACCCCACATCCCAGACAACATCCTCAACGGCGATGAGGACGAAGGATCATCCAACAGTACGGAAGCATTCGTCATGGCAATGTTCAAACTGCCCAGGAACTTGCGCACGCTCTTCGCGCCGCAGGCATAGATCCACGAGGTAGACGAAGAAGGTCATTTCGAAACGAGAGGGCTCTGACCAAGCAGCGAGCGGCGCAATCTTCAGGAACCCGAGGTCGCGCTCAGAGCGTCCGAAGGCAATTGGAAAGCCCACAAGGAGGTCTCCGCGAGCTTGACATCGAAGGCCCCCCATGCGGACCCTTCCTGCAGGTCAGCAAAGCACAGTCAGACTCCTCAAGGGCGATTTGATCACGAACGCAGCCGGACGAACGCACGACGAACGGCGCTCTCCACGTCGACAACGACGACGACGCGCAAGCCGACACGAAAGCACGATCCAAAGCCAGATCAGTGCGGCAAGGTGCGGCCGTCCTCAAGAGGGGGCTCCCTCAACAGCCAAGCCTCCGTGGCCATCAAGTAAAAGTCCTAGGTCGACCACTGGCCAAGCCGCCAATGTTCAAAGGCCAGTCATCCTCCTTCACCGTACTCGCACGGCTCCGCGAATCAGTCTCACAGACACCTTTCGAGCTCAGCGTGACGGGCCCCCTGTCCGCTCGACGACCCTGCCAAAGACGCGCATCACATCCAAGCGCGAGAGCCGCAGACAGCACACATGGAAGCCGCTACAAGCCGGCACTACCAGACAGGCTCTCAAACTAGAGAACGCAAATCTCCGAGCGGCTCTCGAGGTCCAGAACGAGCACACGAAGACCTCAACGGACCCCACAGAGGATCAGACACAGTCCGCGCGAACCGAGCAGAAGAGAAGTAACAACCGCCCTGCATCCCTCACCGATCCAACGCACAACAGGCACCACGACGCATGGCAGACCTACGGCGTCATCTTCCTAGGCCATCCAAGCAGACCCAACGGCTCCACTACATCCCGTCCAAGAGCTTCACGTTCATTCAACGGCACCCCTCTACTCGCGGCATCAAGGACATTATCTCTCAGCAGGCCGCAACACTACGCTCGCCATCAATGGGATCCGCACTGAAACGCAGTCCCAGCACAAGCATGGACTTTCGTCATGACCTTCCTGACCAACCTCCGCAGCGGAATCCACGATCTCGGAGCACATTAACGCGCAATCCACAACCGCCAACGTCGGCCGGACGCCGTTGCAAGCCTCCCAAACACCTTTCATTCAGAGTCTCGTTCTCTAGCCTATGGAGTCGCTACGGCAGCTACGCACGTCATCACCGACCCGCATTCCCGCATCGACGCCCATTCATTCACTCTCAAGGGCAATCTCCAAGCACACTCGGACAGCGCCCACAGCTCGGCTCACAATCGATTACACATTTCCGACTTCAGTGACAACTTCAACAGCAGCTCTCACCACGACCAAGGCCTCCATCAAGTCCAGCACGAGTTCAAGGAGCGTCGCAACGCCACTCGCCTTCTCCGAAACGCCCGACTCGCGCGAGACGCGATCGAGCATCAAGGGGACATGCAGATGATCCCATCCCACATCGACACCAGCACAACCGACTCCACACCGCGGCATCGACCTCGCAATTCCTCCACCACATCAAGCAGGGACCGATGCGTCCAATCCGCCATCCTCCGCCCAGGCTCAGGTCGGACTCACCTCCCCGGCCGCTTTCTAGAACCTCCGGCAATCCCACACCATCCTTCCATCCCAACTCACCATGCTCCACCAAGCAGTCCATAATCACTATATCAACACAAACCTGCGCTTGACGTCGCCCGGAATCTAGGCGGTGATACGGGCGGCAGCGTGGTCGTCGCGGGGCAGTCAAGGGCGAAGCCGTCAGAGACCACGAACAACGCGAAGAGGGCCGCGTCAAACGGAAGCCCATGAGGCGGCGGCAGCAGTGTCGGACAGGGCGGAGACAAAATCAAAAGGCAACTCCAAATAGAGCAACGAGGAGAGGACAAAGTCATTGTCATCGAGGACGAGGGCAAGACCAAGGAGCAATGTGAGAGGCAAGAGGCAGGCATCCCGGGAGCATCCAGGATCGCATCAGACAAGCATCGTCCTCCAATTACCCACGCAGACGGCATCATGAGGACTGCACGGTATCCCAAGGTCCCCCCATCAACAACGAAAGGCGCGTGATTCCGGGCCGAAAAATGCCCTCTTGATTTGCGAAGAAATCCCTAAACTACGTCTTCACCCGCAAATCCACATCATCCCTATCTTCCACCACGCACATCCTGCAAATGATCCGTCCCGCCCTATTCATTCACGCCCGCCTGCTGCGGAATCTTCTCCCCCCACCCCACCCCACCCCCCGGGGGCGACAGCGGCGCATACGTAAGGCCGGAGAGGGATGGACAGGGCGCCGACGAACACGAGAAAGACGAGTTCGACGCGTAGAGCGAAGGCAGCGGAGGACGCGACGCGTAGCAATGGTCAGCAAAGAGGGGCAAGAGGAAGAGAAAGGGTGGGAGCACGTCAGCGGAGGCGGCGGATCAGGAGGCGAAGAAGCGAGGAAGAGCGTGAAACAGTGCTCACAGGGGAAGTGGCGAGAGCGAGGGAGAGACAACGACATCATTCGCGATCTCAGGACGTCTGACAGCAGGGGTCGAGAAGAAAGCGGAGGAGAAGATCGAGAGCGGAGAAGCCGGGTTTCGGAAGCTCTGCCAAAGAGGAAAGCGTCGACATCAGGCTCCAGTGACGCCCGAAAAAGATCAGAAGACCTCTCAAGGGAGCGCAAGAGACGGACGAAGCAGTCTTCACAAGCTCCGCCAAGCAAGACGGGGCCACGGACAATGACAAAGACAACGCGTTGGAAGACACATTAACGTCACCTCTCCTCGAAACGCGCCGTCGACCGTCTGAAGAGAGAAAGCAGCAAATCGGACACCGCAAAGCACGAGGAGCCACCTTCCTCAATCACCGACGAAACTCGCAACAAGGCCATTCCACCTTGATCAAGCCACCAAGAGACATCCTCTCAATGCTCCCACAACCCCACATCTCCCGCGTCAGCCCAGAATCCAGCTTTTCCGGCGACGGCAACGAGGAGGATCAACACTCAAACCCCCGCAACGAAACGCCTCGCAACCGAGCTCCAGGCACGCCACGCAGAAAGAACCGGCGCCGCCAGTTCATCGGAAGACACGACCCAAGAATCTCCAAGGCCAGAAAGCCACTTGAGATGGACGGATCGCGGGGAGTCGCGCCAACCATCCTTCCCTCCTTATAGGCCAACCTCCTATCATCCGCACAAGCGGCAGAGCGGAGTCATTCGACAACTCACCAGAGAATCCGGCCAAGGCACAGCCAGGAGATGAACCAGAGACACTCAGAGGCGTTAGTTTCGGAGCAACCAGCGTTGCGTAAGCACAGACATTCAGATCCCCAGCCCAATAGGGTGAGGAACTCGCTGGCCCGTTGTGCGGTCGACCTGAAGCAGGGCCAGCAGTATGAGGATGACGCGGGTTTTGGGATCGAAGTGGGAGAGATTGGGTCAGGGAAGTCCTGGAATGATGCAATGGTTATCCGTGGGGGCTTCGTGAACTTTCGACACTCTCAGAAGGCGTCCCGGAATGCCGCGGCATTCGCGGACAGCCTTCCAGCTAAAAGGTCTTGATGATTCCCTCTATCTGCCCTTTGGCTGAAGATTGTGGTCACATCAGGAAGTTCATCCAACGCAAAAGATCAAATGATGGAGCTGAGATCGGGCCTTGGAGGGGAGAGACTACAGCCATCTGTAATGTTTGATCATGCTCCTTGCCAAACGTATAGTCCGCCCATGAAGGTCCAGGTGTCTAGCCCCATCTCGAACATCCTAAATGCGCGAAATCCCTTCCGCAGTTGTTGGGTAGATTCGCTGAGGATGGAAGGCCATCGCATTGGCAGCAGTCTGGTGGTGTCGAAGGCGGCCCCGGCGAAGACCACAGCTCAGCCGTCATTCACCGTCCTCCGAGCGCCGCTCGCAGGGTCGCAAAGCTCGCCCCAGACAACGAACCTGGTCCTAAGGCGGCTCGCGTTCACCGCCGATTGGGCGCGCCCGTCGGGTCGGCGACTATCTCGCAGCAACAGAAGAGGCTGAATGGGAAACGATTAAAGGACTTCGCCGTGAGTCGAGCAGTGCTACGGCATAGTCAGCATGCGGTATGATTGGAATTGCGCATCTCTAGAATTCCCTGGTAAATCTCCTTTTCAAACTTGTAGTAGAACAGTTCGCAAAGCCCGCGGCGATGCGAGTACTGCGCTACGTGACCCACTTCTCACTAACCCCTTCTCCCCTTCCGACACCGTTGGATCCCACCGCATGGCTCCCTGAGAATCCGGGACTCGCTCAGATTCTTGATCTACTGAGGGGTATGAGTAGTCCTTCCAGATGCCTCTTGTCCTTCCCCTTTCTTCCCCATATCTTCGACGCCATCGCGCAGGCGGGTAATCATCCCACACTAATCAAATTTTAGATCGCTGGACTCGTGTCTTCATACGATAATCTTAGAGGCGGTACACTGCCTGGCTAAGCATCCTTTGCCGCAACAAGTCAGATTATCTCAAACGCTCTCTTTACTTCGTTCTTCACTTCTTCCCATCGTTTCGGTGTCTGAATACTAGTCAGCTCCCTGGCTACTGATCGACTGCTCCCAGTCGCCTAATACATACCTATGAAGCCCGGTAGAATGGAGAAATTCACTCCACTACCACTCTAGGATGCATGCTCCAGTCTGCTCCACAGCCTTTGCGGACCCGGTTACCTTAACCTTGCGAGGCTCGAATGCCCCGCGAGCTTCCGGTCGGTCATGCTCGGGATGCCTAGTTTGCTCCCAATGCGTCCTGGCCGTCGCCGCTGTATGGCACTATCTCGATACTGCTCTCAATCAGCCCGTCGTTTCGATTATTACATACTTGGACCATACCATAAGGTCTGATCTTGAAACGAGCAGCTCCTTCAGTCAAAAGGAATTCCTGCATCCTTCAAGCCGTCCTACGAGGGGTGAACATTTGCTCGACTTCCAGCTGCGGCTTGCCTCTAGCCGGCAAAATGCTATAGTCGAATGTCGAACGGGGGCTGCTATTACTCGCTGGATGGGAGCAGACCTTTAAACTACGTATAGCAGTGCCCACGGCAGACCTCAAGTACCACAAGGGACATCGTGTATCACCTACCTTATCGATTCATAACAAGCAATAACAGACCCATCAAAACATTCCAGTACAACTATTCCTCCCCAGACGCCATTCCGCACACGGCTTCGATGGCGTTGTCCAGCGTAGGGTTGGTGATGTCCCACACGGTAAGCTTCTGGCGCATCTAGCGGACCCGTCTTCTAACGCATCTCGACCTACTTGTTGCGCTGGGGATTCTGTAACTGTGCGCGCGGGAGCAAACGTACGCAGGCGGTCTATCGCACGACATCCCTGTGCACACACCCAGCATGTCACCCAGTGCGTCAACGTGATCTTGCCACCCCACTCGCGTTGTAGTCAGGCTTTGCGGCTGTAATCGTATCAGCGACCTCAGGATGCGCAAAGCGTGCAGCTGCTCACTTCATGTCGAATCTAGCATCGTCATTGCGCCCTTCTTCTTTCTCGTAGCGTGCGTCGGTCTGGAAGTAGTTCGGCCTGGAATTGACTATCGCATGTAGGTGCTTGATGAATAGCAGGGTCCCGTGCATTGCTGAGACTGCGTCGAAAGCTTGTTGTAGCTATCCTCTATGATGCGATTGAAGGGGGCCAGTCTGGGTCGTCGGGGGTGGTCTGCCGGGTCCTACCACAACGGTTCTGCAGAGCAGGCCTCTGAGTCTCGGCCTTGTGAGCTGCCGTCGGTTCGTTGCCATTGTACTTGACTGGGCTCACGTCCGTGCTGACCACCACTGGTGCCGCCATCCTCTCCTCGTGTAGCGCAAGAAATGTATACAGGCCGTGACAGGGCGCATCACGTGTTGATGATTTGCGGTTAGGTGGTGGGGCTCGTCGGACGATGACAGCAGGGAGAAGCGCTCTCGAATGGACGGTTGGGGCCGCTGAGGATGCTCCAGATGGCGTGGAGTTGTTGAGCGCCCCGGGCGAATGTGGAGTTGGACGGATAAACAAAGCCGTAGCGGGGCGCGCGTTGTGGCCGGCATCTAGCGGTGCCGCGACCACGGCGCTGGTTCCGCAAGCGCCTGCAGGGGCGGCCCGGTGGCCTGGCAGCTGGGTATGCTAGCGAGCCAATAGATGCTGTTGGAAATCGTTGCGGTCGCGATCGGGTTGGGCCATGAAGCTGTGGTGCCAATGCGGCTGCGAAGCGCCGAGCTGGCTGCTGCAAGAAGGAGAATGCGCGAGAGCTTTCGGCCATCCGTCGAGGAGCGTTGTTTTGCAATTTCGTGCGGCTGGTGTTTTTATTTTCCGCGACAATGAATAGCGATCATGAGGAACCCTAACCCAGGCTATCACGAAAGACAGTGCATTTCCGCCAAGCACAACAAGTCTCAGCGAGGACGAGTAGTCGTAGGCTAGAGAGATGTATATGTGCCAGCGACGTAAAACAGACCCTGAACCGTGGAAACGGCGAAATAAAAGTGTGGCAAGCGCCGTTCTTCAGGGCTGATCCGGAGGATCCGAACCGTTCTCCTTCTCCGCCCTCTTTTGCTCTCTCCGCTTCTTCTAGCGCACGGTCTCCGAGTTCCTTGTGTGGGTTTGGGCGGGGGCGGTACGTAGTCGTCCTCCTTCTCATTCTGCCACTTCTTTCGCTTTGGCTGCAGTAGTGCCTTGCGAAGGCCGGTGAGTGGCGACGCTGCTCAACCACGAGGTGGCATCACCGGGGGCGAAGACCGGAGGTTATCGTCGTGGGGACCGGGGATCGAGAAGGCCGTGGAGTCCAGAACGCGGACGGGCTGCGGACGAGCCGTCGTACGGGCTAGGCGATAAAGGTAGCTGCTGCGAAGCCTAGCTAGATGATACGTTATACTGCGACGGCGTCTACTCCAGAGGTCGAGGACAGAATCCCAATGTGAGCGCCAGGACTTTATTGAGCCTAGTCCAGAAGACAGAAATCTTTCGCAACCTTTGTGTTACGAGGCGGGGTCTGCACGGGAGTCTGTCCCTATCCAGCTGCGGATAGAGGGGTTAAGGGGGGGCTGGATGCGTATCCTAGTACGCTGCGTTCGTCTGCAAACCAAACACGGCTGTAATTTAGCTGGCAGCAGAGTCCCAAGCCTCTGCAGGCTATGGTGGAGAAAGCGAGAGGAGAGCCGGCCAGGTGCTACTATGCATAGCACTTTGGCACATATACCAACGTCTTGTCTCCTGGTGCCTCGTCTCCTCTCCAACGCGCATATCCCTTCCTCGCGCCTTCTATCCTCTTCAGTCGTGCTCTCCTTGTACCTTCTGCTCTTATCAGCCACCCTTTCGACGTAAATCCTGCAGACGTTGTAGGAAAAATCAGCGCTCAGCCGCATAGATGGACCAGAGGTTTCGCGCCATAGACCGACCATGTCGTTGCGAGCTGCGAAGTTCTTGATATAAGTTCTAGGAACGCTTGGGCACTCTAGAGGATTGCCGAGCCCGGAGTCATAGGGAAGGCATCGTTAAGCGTGGATGTGAGTGCCGCAGATATCGCAGTGCGAGATTCTGATATAGATTTTAGTTTCTGCGAAGAGTAGGAGTGAGGCAGAAAAGCACGCGTAGGCCGGGGAGGAAATTGCTATTGTCTGACACGTTGAGCCGGCGCGTTCGCATGTGGTGGTGAAGTGCCCTGGAAGTTGAATGAAAGGAGATATTCTACGGACCGCTTGAATATTATTGATACCTAACTGCGGCGCGTAATACACCAAAAACGCTTCTCTTATTTTCTACACAAGACGCTGGCAAATACAGATCATAATCTATACTCTTCAATATAGCCCAACCCAGCGCATCAAAGTGACCAGCGGCAAAAAATCAAGCGACTACGCGAGCTCAGAGGAGGCTAAGAAAGTAAGGGCTAGAAAGCAGGAGAGATAAAGAGTAGGGAGATAGAGACGAGCCTAGCAAGATGGAGCAGAGCACGGGAGAGACGGAGGAAGAAGCGGAGAAGAACGTGGAATTAGTAAGTTCTATCAAGAAGCTGCCTCAAGGGCTGTGCCAAATCTTGAGATTCGCTCGCTTCTTGCAAACACTGACGACGTCAATCAGTCTACGAGCAAGAAGCGGAAGATCGAGGCAGCACGTCAGAAGAAGGCAAACAAAAGCACGAAGAAGGCCAGGGATAAGAAGCGCAGAAACGCCAAATTGCGGAAACGCCAAAGCGGCGAGACCGGATTCAGGTACCACGAATCGAGGACAAGAAAGGCCCAATCAGCCGACAGCACGAAAGCAACGGCGAAGGGAGTGGGTTCGGCGGCTCGAGTGTAAGGGTTGATGGTTAGGCCTCTCTATCGACAGCCGAGACCTCCCTCGGCACCCGCGAGGAAGCTTCCGCAGCTCCGGATACATGGAATCTGCAATGACGGGGAAACTCGAGCCTTCAATCCCGGCAACTGCTTATAGCAGCCTCCACCAAGTTGTTATGCCGGCTTTCGTCTGCACAAGCTGCATCCTCCCTAACCAGATGACCGCGCGGTATGCTGATCAGCGCAGTATGTCGAGCAACGTGGTACGTCAAGCAACGTGGTACGTCGAGCAGTGTGGTACGTCGAGGAGTGTGGTACATCGAGCGGCACGCAAGTGGAGCGGCGCTGCATGTCAAGCAGCTCAGTATGTCCAGCAGCGCTATATGCTAAGCAGCTTGGTATCTAACCTGTCTCCCCAGAAAGCCGCGAAGTTCATGTGTCGGAGACGGTGGCTTGATTGCTCGCCGAGAGTGGGTGTGCGGAACAGGTGTGCGTGGCGCAATCGACCTTGCAGTGCTGGAAGAAGAGCTAGGCTGTCAGTGAGTAGAGGGAGATGATGGGGATGTGACTTACAGCCTCGCAGACGTCCACCACGTACGCCTCTTCTGCGCACCGTCGAGAACTCGGTTGCAGCCCCAGCAGCGCTTGTAGCAGGACGAATCTACCTCATGCTCATCGGTGGGGTCGATTGTGCCTCAAGGCGTATTGCTAGGCTGGCTGAAGGAGTGTTCCGAATTGTCGTCCGTAAGGTCGATTGCGGATGGCGTGTTGCTGGCGTAAACCGGCACCATGGAGAAGGACTGCATGCATCTCTTCAAGGTCGGGAACCTTGTCCAAACAGGTTCTTTTGACGCCTCGTCGCTCAGTGGTCTGATCGGCTGACGGATGGGGGCGATGGATGAGGATGGCGGATGGTGAGGGGCAGACAGTGAGGGCCAGACAGCGATGAGGCCAGACAGCGATGACCAGACAGCGGCCAAGACTCTCGCACGAAGCTGGAGCCGCTCAACCACTCACGCCCCTGGACACCCATTATTGCGCTCTTCAATGGGTGCGCAGAGCAAAACCCACACGCTGCGAAGCTCCGCAACCATGCGTGTCCCGCGCCTCAACCATATCTCCAGCAGTATATATCGCGTTGCGAAACGAGCCGATGTCGGGCGATGGGAGGGTGTGCCACAGCTACGCGACACATTGGCGGTAGAACGGGAGCGTTACGACGGAGAGGCTGAAGGCGGCTTCTCGCGCGTCACCGTTATGGTGGAGGTGCTGTGAGTCGTGTAAGCGGACAGGAAGACGACTCGCGGGATCCAGGCTCGCCATGTCGTCGTCAGGAACGGCTACCTCGCAAGGAGAGCCACGGCGTGAAATGCAGCTGCGGCGAGTAAAGGTGGATATCGCATCGAGTAGCCGGGCGAGGATGGTTCGTCAATTGGACCCAGGATGAAAGTCGATTGGGAAAAGCGAGGGCGGGTTATGTGTACTGTGTAGAGCCAAGTGCTGACTAAGCTTGTAGTTTTCCAACACCACGAGAAGTGTCGCAACAGCGCAACTCATCCCCAGCTCACCCTCGCAGCCACGCTGTCTCTACCCCACAAAATGCTGCAACTCGTACTCATCTAATACCGCCCAGGGCGCCGCAGAATGCCTATACCACCGTCGCGCATCTCGTCGGACCTCTCAAGCCCTCCCTTGGCTGCCATCCCGTCCTCTCGTCAAACCAGCCGCACTCCCGGCAATACAATAACAAGTCTTGCGACAGCACAAGCGGCCGAGCGCCAACAACGATGGCGACTAGTTGCGTGACATCTCACGGCGGGGTCACACACGCTCTGGGATGGCAGTTGATGGAATCGGCTACGAAGGGAGTCATGTATTGACTCGTCAGCGCGCCCGAGTTCAGAAGATTGCTTCACAAGCTCGACAGACTTCTCGACCAAGGCTGATATTCTCCGCTGGGTTCAGGCGATCCGAACGAATCCCTTCTACCATCGGCAACCTCTCTGTCCCGCGCCCGAAGCCTCCAATATTGAGACAACCGTACATTCATTACGGCACGCGTATTTGGGCGGCGGACACTAAGCATCTTATCAAAATACACCCTTGCTCTCGATCTCGGAAGAACAAGTTGTGGTGGAGCATCTCCGTCCTACACTCTGGTGGCAACAACCTCGGCTCCATAGATCCTGTGGGAGCCGAACTCAATCCCGGCAGTGCCAATGCGGACGATTGCAATGTCGGATATCCTCAGTCCCAAAGAGATGTCTTTCCGCGGCCCTAGGCTTTCACCCCGTGCCCGACTTCTCAATTCTTCGATAGGATCGGCGCCTACAAACCTGCCAAGGGCATCGCTACTCAAACTCGCCTTCTGCTTGCAGGGCGTTTCGGGAGGGACCATGGCCACCTTCATCGAAGCGGCTGGCGACGCTGACGCTTTGAGGAAGACGACAAGACGCTCCCGCATCCTCGCTTCGCTGCACCGCATCAAGAGCCCGTGAACATCGACCTCACCAAGCAGGCCTCATCCCATTGGCGCCCTCGCGCAACCGCCCCTTCGTACAGCGTTAGTGCTCCGCCCTTGCCATTCTCGATACCGCCAGCAAGGAAAATTAGACCAAGAAAGATCCAGTGGCCTGCTGCAGTGCGAACGATAGAACGGTTAAGATAAGCTTCACATCCATGTAAGGGGTATAGTTCACGTCGCCGATGCGCTTGTCCGCCTACGTACAGCATGCATGGGTAGCGACTCTCTGGAGAGGATACTTAGATACAGCCAACAACCCTAACTTCCTCACAGCACAAGAATCACTAGCGTGGGAGGATCTCCGAGGAAAATATTTCCAGGATGGCGGCGAGATCCACGGAAACAACTTCGACAAGCGGACACCGGATTCCTTGCAATCATGGTGACCGGGCAGGCAAACGGCTAGCTGTCGTGGTGTGCGGTTGTACATCTCCCCGAGGTGAAGAACTTGTCGAACGGATCTGTGTCGCGGACTGCTCGCTCTACTTCGGCTTCGACGTCTCCCTCCGACGCATGTCGGCCCTGAACCCATCTCATCGCGACCAGCGGCAATGCTTCTATCTTTGGTCCGCAACTTCAGATCTGACGATGGAACCGCATCTCATCACGCCCTGGCTTGGGCCTTGGTACCGCATTTCGGCCTCTTGGGTTCATCGAACACAACGTGCGCTCCAGCACCATAGACGTTGTTCATACACTCTCAGATTATATCTTGTTGGCTTGACATACCGGGCATTTATTATGAGCTGCGCATGCGTGCAGCCGAAGCCGTAGCCCTAATAGCAGCATCTTTCATACTTACACTTAACGCGCACGTCAACTCTGGCCTCCTCCCTTGCTCCTAGACACTCTCTTCTGTAACTACATTACTAAACCTGAATGATAACTTCTCGCCCCACCCTTTTCTAAACCATCGAAAGCAAAGCCTGTCACCATCGAACGAACGAACAAGAGCAGACTGAAAGGTCGGTCGGTAACGAGAAGGCGTTCTAGGCAATCTAGCTAGAGTAGAAAGAAAGGATAGATGTATATAAAAGCGGATGTCGAACCAGATCGGACGGGTATAGAAAAGAAAGTATAGGAGAAGGGACTGGATTCTTACTTTAGAGACGGAATACAGGAGGGAGGGAGGTAGGAGTAGAGAAAAGAGGGTGCGGCAAAGGTGTAGTGTATAAGGGTGGTTCCAAGGCTTGCTAGAATCCCCAGCGCCGGCAGAGACGGAGGATACACTCGTACGAGCTCGATTCGATCCTCTCGGCGCCTTCCCTTCCCCCCCTCTCGTCTCGGGACTCGCGAACCCTACCACATCAGCCACCTACCTACCTGCTCAACACTTTCTCTTCCGCTGCACCTTTCCGCCTTCCTTCTCAGCTTATTGCGTCTATTGATAGACAGTCATGGGAGGTGTTGGCGAAGTTATAGATGCATTTGCGGGTAGAAGAGGAAAGGGACCAAATCTGCGGACAACGAGCAAGGAGTGTGGAATGTCATACAAACCCCGCTGCCGTCGTTCTCTGATCTGAACTTCCTACCTGCTGCATTCCCCTATACTCTGCAGTCAGAGCAAGAGCAAGCAAGGCTGCGATAATTCTCAGCGGGGACAAGATAGGAGACGAACGAGCCAGGGCGTAGCAGCAGCACAAGCCTCCCCTGAAACAAAACGACGTCGATACGTACCCGAGCTGGCTGCTCGCTCGCTGAAGGTTCCACCCATGCGTCGTTGAGCCAGCATCTGAGATCCTCGCTCCCACTCCCGCGGCAACAACGGCACCATTAAGCGCCTTCATCATGTCGTAGGCTCTATTACATTATCCCCTCGATCGAACAGCTACCTCCTGCTCTTGCTTTCTCGAGCAGCTGGCTGGGTACAACGTCGTCCTCAGAATGGAGCTGGTCCTTCTTCGCTCTTCTCTCTATCTTCTTATCCGCGTTCTTCTTCCTTTAATACTTCGTAGAGCCCATCCACGCCTGTAGCGCGCTCGAATCCGCGTTCCCACCCCTTTGGTCTTTATCTACTGTATGGAAAGTTTGAAACGGGCTCTGGCTGGGGTTTGGATGGACATGACATGTCTTCGGGATAGGATTGAATTATGTTGCTAATCCATTTTAGCCGGGCCGGTGCTGCGTCGGGCTGCATCAGGCTGCGTCGAGCTGCGAGGGTAGGGTGGGGTGGGTTCCAAGACGTCAGTATAGAGAAATGCTTCGTACTGTATTGTACAGAGTTCAATTGCTTAGACTAGTCTCCACGCCGTGCTGGTGGTTTGGGTAGTCCTGAGAGGAGGTACTTGAGAAACGTTGAACGGTTCGTAGAGTCCCTCGTATTACCAACCAACGGATTCACATTACACTTTCCGGCTGTGCAAATGCATCCCCCCGCGCCGAGTTGTCAAGTCCAGCGCTTATCCGTGGCCCAGCGAAATAGTCGGCGCTGCTTCGATCGATCAATCGCGCGTCTTCCGCTCCTATCAACAGATAGCCTTGAGCAGCGAATCGCATTATAAACCGCTCTTTGAAAGGTTCCGGCGTCAGCATCGTCATCGGTTTGTGGAGTCTAGGGGTACGATCACGATCGCACATGAGGCGACGTGGGCTTGTGCTACGTACGTAGGGCTAGTTAGTTACGCTGGGTGTGGATGACGGTACGGAGATGGGGGTGGAAATGGAGATGGGGATGAGGATTTTTGGGGAAGGTAGGAACGTACTCGGACAAGCGTCAAAAGCACCGAAGAAGTCATTAGAAGGAAGACTTCCAGATATGCATTTCAGTCCGTCTTTTCCTTTCCGCGCTAGCGACGACGACGCTCGAAAAAGCGGGATGTGCAGCAGACTCTAGGAACTATCTCGCGGCTGATATAGAGAGTACTGAGAGTGTGTTAATGTTGACGATTTCGCGAGGGGAGACGGAGCGGAGCGGAGAGGGATAGGTGAAGGGCTATGTATTGGAGCTTGCGAGCGAGTATATAGCAGCGATAGTGTCGGTGGTGAGGAGATGTAGTATTAGGGGGTTTCGGAAGGTTCTGCGTCGTGGTGGTGGCGGTGGTGCTGGTTTCGGGAAGAGAGGGGAGAGAAGCTGTCACTCCCGTCTCATCCCTTCTTCGCATCGGCTGCGCGTACTCGCTCCGTTTCCCGCAAGCCAGATGTTCCACAGTTGGAATCGGAAGGCGTGAACCAAATCCGACCGCCATATACCAGAGTGCGGTAGGATGGTTCTGCACATAGTTTCAACCGATGCTGTATGCGGTCTAACTGGTTGTGCCACCTGCGGCTTTCACAACGCATGGTGGACTTGTTTCGTCTCGTCTCGCCATGGATAGATACGTGGGGAAAAGCCTATACGTGAAACACTTAATCTACCTGTGAGGGGAATGAATGCGGGTGTAGTCGTAATCGTAATCTGTTAGCGAATATATAAGGCGTCATAACTGAAAGAGCAGAAGGATTGGATCCTTTTGCTCCGGATATAATCGTAGTCGTAGAATTCGCCGTACCCTGCACTGGTCTAGTTGATGTAAAACTCGAGAGGAATTCCATCGGTGCGGTAAATGGGCAAGTGGGGAAGGGGTAGAGGCATGAGTGAGGTAGTCGTGGGAGCTACGGAGGAAGTTCCTACGTCTCGAGAAGGATGGACGGGGAGATTTTGCTGCTACGCCGTGTCTTGTCTGGTTTAGAGAAGGGGAGTAGAATATGAAGCGAGACGTGGTGGCCGGCCGCGTATGCGGTGGGTAGAGTGCTCTTTCGTGTGTCATTGACGGATCCGGAAAGGGTGCCGTACGTAGCGAGAAGGCGGTTCAGTGGCAGGATTAGCTTGCTTTTAATAGAACTGTAAGGTGAGATGCTCTGAGGCTACGTGGTTGAGAGAAAAAGGGTAGCGGGTATGTAAGTAGTGAAGTAGCGTGGGAAAATAGAAAAGCTTACTGTTTGCACATTCACCGAGCCTGGTTCGATAGGCCCGTCAAGGGTACACTGGCGGCGCGCGTTCTCCTTTTCTTGCAATCCGCCACCTAACCGGATCACTGCGTAATAGCGTCCTCGCTACTCCTCGCATCAAGTACACGGTCCTCATCCTCGTCGGTATATACTCGTCGTTGATGGAAGCGGATCCGGGGCTACAAGCAAGCAAGTAACTCCCTTTTCAAAGTCCACTTCCACTTCTCTAGCGCCTTCTGAACACTCCTTCCAGTAACTTATTCTAGGAGGTCCTCCGTCTAGAATGTTTCCATTATTCCCGCAAAGCCGGGAGCCTTGCTCCAAGACCACGTACCAAGGCGGTCTAGCGCTCCCAGCCGTTTAAGACGCTCGCTATACCGTACGAGTAGAAAGGGGGTGCATATCTGAGCAACGAGCCGACTGGTCCCTGCGTATTTGTGTGCGTAGCCTGATGAGTGACGTTTGCAGAGTCTCTCCGATGACTGATCGATGAGCTTTAGAGATCTGCGTACATGTAGCTACTTACTTATTTCTAGGATCTTCGATGTGCGGTTATTATACATAGTTCTTCTAAATAAACTACAACAGGGCGGTAGTACAAGGAAAAACAGGTTTTCCGGAATTGGTTGATCGATGCGGGATCCAATTAGTAGGATCGAAAACCATCGGAACGCACGAATTTCTAGCTGCGCTTTTGGGAGCTGGATTCAAAAACACGTTGTGGATTATACGTACGTTTTATCTTGGCTTACTTGTGTAGTTGGGAAATAGTAGTGGTAGCCAGTCGGGGATCTCAACTCGGCGAAATCAGTGGAATCGAAAACCATCTAAACGTACGATTTTCCGGCTGTATTTTTGGAGCTGGTTGAGAATGCACGCAGACTAGAATAGAATGAATGGCTCTTGATGCTTATAGACACAAACATCATCCCGTTCTTAGTTTTAATGTGTATTATGGCTAAGGGCTTCATTCCGCGCTGTTGCAGCTATCTAGTGAGGAACCGCGGTCGGGGCGCATGTAATCCGATATCACTTATCTAATAGCTGGGCTTGTGGCTCAGACCGCAACCATGCTAGTATATCGTGGCGCTCCAAGATATATTTAAGACTGGCTTTAGTAGGTAGAGGCGCACTCTGAAAAACGAGCGGTATGCTCGAGCATGGGATATCTGATTCCATCTTCTTGAAGCGCTTGCTCCCACGGCAACCTTGAGAACCATGCGCGCGAAAAACGGAATCGGAGCGGGACGAGGAGTTTTGGGGAACGCGGGTTTACGGGCCTGAACTATCCGTTAGAGTTATTAATGTTGAAGGAGATTGCAAGGATTATTCTATGCATACCTTTGTCCGCGAGGGCGCCTGGAGCCTCTTATAAGCCTTCACACTGGATCTCCGTTCCGGATACGGGTGTCCTGCCGTAGTCGAAGTCGTTAAACACGCGACGAAGAAATGGAGAGACGCAATATCGAAGACATCGGTGTCGGAACGATGATACTTTGGCGTGAGAAGAATGTCGGGTGATGTGCTGCTACTCCGCACAAGCTGGCGGGTCGCCATAATACCCCTCATGATTACACCATATTGTACATCCGCGGTGATGCACGGCCGACCCCCTCCAACAAGGACATAGAGGGTCCTCCTCTTGTTCCCGCTCTTCAACGTTTGTCACGCACGCGCCTGAGCATTTGCATGAGAGGATGTCCTTGTCCTTGAGGAACGTAACCAGCTCGCTCAGGCTCTGCTGATCCTGTTCTGAGAAGGAGGGGAGCGCCATGAGGTCCAAAGGTAGCGCGAGCTCGGCCTTTCGAGCTTTCCCCTTCTTCGGTCCTGATTTGGCGGCCTTGTATTTCTGAACGCGCTGTTGTAACGCGTCGAGGTACTCTGGCAGTTGCTGTGGGATGTCTTCGTTCGTGACTTCGGTGTTCTCGACGACGTACTTCATGTTGACCATGATGCGGGACACTGAGTCACTGGCCCAGAGCATACCTCCAGCGGCTAATGAATCGTCCAATGTAAGAACCGCATAAACGACAGGGTAGCCAGGTCGCATAATCAGGGTATCGCCAGAGAGTAGAAGAATAACCTGCACCGTGTTGAGCGGGAGCTTCCAGAACAGGCCATCGCATGCGAGTTCTGTCTGTTCTTTCTCTGTCTAGGGCCCCGTGTATATGAACCACGCGCGCATTCCAGTAACCACAACGACCCAGGTTCCGTTAAGGACGTCTAGGTGCCAGCCTGAGTATGAGTATCGCTCCCCGTAAAGGACCCAGCGAAAGCAAGCCTCCATGTCGATGTCTCGAAGACGCGCTTTTCTGTATTCCTTCCCCAGAGGGGTTTCTCGCATGGCATTTACCCTGGCGCGCAGTTCCCGTTGCAGCGTCACGAAGAGTGTGTACTTGAGCGATCTGATAAAGTATAGTTCTGGTACCTCGGCATTTAGAGCTGCCCCGGAGATGCTGAGAAAGTTGCAGAATTTAAAACCTTTGCGGTTTATAGCTGGCCGTCGCCGTTGGAAGCGATTAAGGAATTCTCGACCCGTCATTATGTGGGTTGGCGAAGAGTTCTTGCCAGTAGGTGTTCGGTGCCAGTTCTGGTACTGGATTTCCGGATTCGAACCAATGGTGAAGTACTGTAGGAATCTGGTACGAGCAGTGTCGAAGCTGTTGAAGGAATTCGTAATTCTCAAGTGCTTGTCCTTCGGGAAGGTGAGGTTGTGGATAGTATGTGAGATCTCCGCAGATTGGTAGCACCTGGGCAGTTTGTAGGGGCGACCGCTAACTAGGAAGGTGTACTGACTGCTTTCCCAAATCGATTTTTCTTCTCGAAGATTTTCAAGGCTCGGGTTAGTGAGCGCGCGCTCCTTGCCACACTAGATTTCCGCAACGTTACATATAAAAACCCGCAGTGCAGTCACCAAAGTCGCACTCGCCAATGTACCGAGTACGGCCGCCGCCAGTGTAGATGCTCGTCGAAGCCCGAGACTGTGACACCCGCGGCACCTTCCCCAATTACCAAGAGGAATTGGCCAGTGTGAAAGCTCGAAGCCGATGGACATTACTCATTTTTGAATGAAAGCCGAAGCGCTGGCGATAGCGATTCCGACTTTGCAACTTCCTAATTCTCTAACGTGAGCCGCAGCAGGCTTTTTCCCACCGAGCAGTTTCCCAGTTCATCCGCCGGGACAGGACGTCGAACGGCGGAGAGTCAAATTGCGCTACTTGTGCCAACCAGATTTAGACGCCGGTTGATTTGAGGGTGCATGGATAATCTGCCCTTGCCACGGATCCTTGGTATAGACGACTCGCCGCTCGCTGAGCGAGACAGCGAGCATCTCGTGTGCTATCCCAAGGGCCTAGATGCCCTACCCCAAGATTCTCCGATGTGTGTCCTAATATGTGCAAAAGACCAGTTGTCCAAAAGGAGGCGCCAAGTATTTGTAAGAAGTTTTACAGCCTCAGCGAAGGTACGATGTTCGGATGAGCGCGATTTGTCTCGATACGGGTGCCGTTGAATGCGTTGTGGAATGTAGAGGGAGTGCCAGCCGAGATTGCGCAGGCCGGAAATCTTCGTATCGATGGGTCGAAGGTAGATGTGAGAAATTGTGGAAGGACATCGGTTGCCCGAGCACGATGATCTATACCAGTCAGCAGGCACGCGATGTATGTGATAGAGAAAGTACCAAAGAGTCAGCATTTTGGCGCGGATCTGGGACAGGCTCCGCATGGGTATGAAGGCTGTAGCGTAGAGGGGGACTTCGCTTCGATCAAACCGATCGACGATGTTATCGATGGGCGACATGGGCCAAGAGCTGGAGTGGCTGCTGCGGGTTGACGACGGCTCTAGAAGGCCTAGACGATAGACCTCGATGAAACCTTTGTAGCCAGGCGGTCGAGATTAGAGCTTCCGGTGGGCTGTGATATTTGGGTCGGCTGGGGATGTGGCGGGCCGAAAGGCTGACTGACGATGCTGCTGCCCGGGCTATGTTCGCGATCGTCCGAGCTTATCAGATGTCCACCCCCACATCACTCATTCGTATCTTTGTCCTTGGTATTGAGGTGGGAGTATCTTGTGCCCATTGACGGGTTTCGCACTGCAGCCCACGGCTCGTGTATCGACTCGGCCTCAGTTTAAGAGGTGTTATTCTGCCTGAGGCTTTTAAATCTGCTGGCTTGGAGTAGAGAGTGTAGCACTAATAGCGTTGCAGATCTGCAGAGTGACTTCGTGTCAAGGCAAATGTTCCAACTTGATAATGAAGTTGAACAAAACCACATCGACGCCCCCGACAGAAATGCAAAACAACAACTTTTCCTGGTATTTGGCGAATATCTGGAGTGGATTAATTCTTATAAACATACGTACATTCTCTCGTCCGTAGTCGAGGCTTTAAAGGCCAGAACTGCGTGCACAGGCATCTAATTATAGCACATAACCGCATTAGCAATCTTAACCGCAACTCAGTGCATAGACTCCACGTCCCTAGGCATAGGGCTATTAATGAACGAATAGAGAGCAAACATCGATAGTTAGTTTCCAGAAAATGTTCCAAGTTACTAGCGGGCCCTGTCCTCTTGGCCACCTGACCTCTAAACTATCCTCCTCTCACACATGAATTTTGTACTCGGGGAACATCGAGTCCTTATGTGATTTGGCCACCAGGTCATCCGAGAAGACCTTGCGCCTTTCGGCGTCGAATGAGTCCAAGAAGTTATGGCGTCCAGAGATGTTGATGAGTAGGTTGAGGTATTTCACATCGACGCTATCTGGGGGCATCTCTTTCGTCATGGACTTGAGTGCTGTTCGTGTGCGGTTGTCGATCTTTGCTCCTTGTTGCAGGAGGACCTTGACAGTCTCCAGCCGCTGGAACGCTTGCCAGACGCTCAGCTTCCTCACATCGATGTACCAGTGAAGACCCGCGCGGCGGTGCTTAAATCCGAAGATTGCTGCATCGAGTAGAGAGACCTGCGTCTGAGGGGCGCTCTTTGTGAACCATTGTTTAAAGGCGAAGCCCTTGCTCTGCTGCCCAACGGGGATGGAAGGGTCGGCCTCCAGCTTGCCTTGGAGATAAGGATGGCATGCCCATGCGGCTGCCCAGGTCATGGTGGCCAGCTCAGGGGCAATGATCTTGTTAGCGGTTGAGACGGCCGTCAGAAAGAAGAGACTCTCAATTCCCATATCCCACAGGTGTCTGGGCTTGACTCTATCGATGATAGAGACTAGCTTGGATCTAGTGGCCGGGTTATTGTCTTCTTGAACTTCGCCGGCAAGCATGAAGATGCGACTGAGACACTGCTTCAGGACAGAATGCTTGGTCTCGAGGGTATGCGTGTGGTGGACCAAAACATCGAGAATACACAGCAAGGGCTGATAGTCCCGGGGCCCATTCCCAATGACCTTCTGCCAGTTGATTTCCCGAAGCCATTCATAGGCTGTCTTGTGGAGGAAATCGATCGTGTGCGGGCCGCCGGTGGGTCCGGGAGTAGAAACCTGAAGAATGCCTCTAGTGTGTCCCTGCAGAAGTCTCTCGGTGTTTTTTGTAATGCTTTGCTCCATCTCAGGATCAAAGTAGCCGTCGTATGAATTTTCATTCTCTTGTGCATCATGGCTGTAGGCGAGCCAGAGAAAGGTGGCCTCCATCTGGCCACTCCATGTCCCTTTCCATGCCATGATGAGCTGGTACAACTTGGACGCAGTGCACTCTTTCTCGGGCCCGATTTGGCCTTGTATGGTGTCATACAGCTTGCTCAGGTCTTGAGGCAAGTCCCTAACCACATTTCGCAGCTCTTGTATGGTGGCTCCGTCCCTGCTCCTCTGAGTGAGCTGTTCGACGACGAGAACAACCCACAAAAATACGCCGCAGGCCTTAGTTTTCAGTTCACTGATCAGCTCGTCAACATTTTGTCCTTCCACATCACGGAGGTCCTGGATCCCTGGGCAGTTCCGGAGACGCTCCTCGACATAGTGATCGATGTCGGGTTGCGTGAGGTCCTGCATGGCAATTGAGCGGCAGCCGCGGAATTTGTCTCGAAAGTAGTTCAATGGCCTGCTAGACACACAGAGCTTCACGTCGTACTTGTTGTGGAGGTCTATAAGAACCTCGAGCATCTCATCGGTGGTCCGGTGCGAAGCCGTTCTGTCCTCGGGTAAGCCCTCGACGAAGCCCTCGTATTCGTCGAGGCCATCAATGAACAGAGCAAGGCGCCAGCCGCTGGTCCGCAGGAGGGAGGCAACCCGGAAAATGCATTCACGAAGCTCCGTCCACTCCCACAGCGGTGCTTCGGCGTTGTCAGGGGCAATGTCAAAGAAGAGTCGACGTCTAGGCGCAACAGCCTCTGCAAGTTCAGGGTGCAGGGAAAGGAGTTGGTAGAGCAACGACCGCAAGAGACCATTACGTGACTTCTGGATCTTGGAACCTGGGTTCCAGAAGTAGAACTCGGCGATACGAACGCGTTCGCCTGCCCACTCCCTGAGTCGGTCGAGGAGGGACTGGTGTGTGGTGAGAAACTTCATCAGAGTACTTTTGCCTGACGCCGGTACTCCGGTAACCCAGAAGATGGACTTTTCCTGGGATACCAGCCATTCCCGAAAACTCATAGCCAGCCTGCCTTTTCCATTCTCCGGCCCCTTGTCGTCCTTGTCAAAGAGCCACTGAAACGTCTTGGGAAATGCCGACTCAATTTGATTTGCGCGGTCCTTCATCTCCTCGAAGCGAAGACTGCGAAGGATTTTGTTCGCAAAATGCCTCTTGTCCCCCTTTTTATAGACTCCCAACCCCTCTGGTGGGACTGTCAGTGTATATGGTGGCGGCGACGGGTCGGAATCTGATTGCAGATCGATCAGATCCGTCGACGCCCAGATGGCCTCTTCCATCTTGGCCTTGCGTGAGGTTTCTGACAAATGTCCGCCTGTGTTGCCGTCTTCAAAGTTATTTTTCGGCCTGTCTGTTGCGATTTGGATGCGGGCAACAATTTGCAGGATGCGCTCGGTTTTGTCTCCGGTCTTCTTGATCTCATCCCTAGCGCCAGTGTGCCGTAGTCAGCATTCCGCCCCAGAAGAGTAAGGACACAAGAGCGGGATGTCCGTTGATCTTACCAAACACATATCAAGACATTCATTGTGACTTGATCGCGGATGCTGTCGAGCTGGCGACTCCATTCCTTGAATTCCTCCGCCGACCAAATGCTACGAATGGCGACCCCAAGTTGTGACGTCATGGCCTTGAACGTGTTGTTTGTAGGCGTCGCCGTCAGTTTATTCAGTCCAGTCTTGAGCTTGGCCTCCACCTCGCTGCATTCCACCGTGAGCTTTTCCAGCGCTTCTGCATGGCGCGGATAACTCGAGCTGAGGTTCTTGACCTTGTCGCGGGCAGTGGAGGCAACCGTTGTGAGGTCGTCGGCCAATTGAGCTAGCCTCATGACGTTGGCAGGCTGACCCTTGGCGGTAGATCTCACTTCAATGGTTTTCGTGGCGAGCTTTTTTGTGAACTCGACGAAGGCAACAACGGCTGATGCCACGCCAAGAATGCTCAGTGGGTCCATGCCTACGATGCCGAAAGAGACCAAGGACTTGTTCTGGACTGTCAGTCACAGCTACAGGGAGGTAGGTTCCTAGGTATCTAGGCAACGAGCATCAGGATACACTTACTTCAGCCTCTAATAACGATGATTTGAGTACTTATCTACCTAATGTAGGTATGTAAATGCATGCACCTAGGCAAGGTTCTGGAGTAAGAGTCTTGTAAATCTGCTCTTCTCAAAAAGTAAAGGCACCCGGGTGTGTTGTGGAGGTACCTCCGTCGGTTGGGTAGGTATTAGGTAAGACAGGATAGGCGACAAGAAGAACAGGGCGAGACGGCTCAAAGCCTTGTGGGTGGGCTTGGCTCCCTCGCCGTTAATCTTTATTTATTTGAGATGATTGTAGACAGGGAAGCAGCTCAATTATTAAAACTCGAGCTCCAAACACAACCGGTGGGCATGAACAAGCGCCCACCCTCGCTTCTTCCATCCTTCTGAGCACTGTGAGTTGATCCAGCTAGCCAGCTTTCAGCTCCTGTGCTGTGGCTGCAGGTTGGCTTGAGCTCTCGTCAATCGATTTGTCTACAGGTTGACCGGTCTGCAAGGCGCCTTTGGTGGTTGGCAAACAAAGTCCCACATTGCATTCCAGCTACACTGTATGATCGGGGAACGGACCCATAGATAAGGCGCCCGGACCACTCCAGTTGGTCAATGGAGACCAGCTTATTTCTCTTGCAAAACCCATCTGGTCATGGGCCTCAAGGACCGACAGATAATTGGGTCGAGTGCGTTCACGCACCACGACATGCAGGTGCCCTTCGCCGGATTTGTATTGTCGTGCAGATGTGATCGCCGATTTGCTTCCTGCGAAAATCTCGCTAAGCGGTTGAGTCAGCCATACGGGGCTCGCCATGAATGTGCTGTTGGCGTTGCCCCCTTCGTGCACCGCTGCGTTGAGGGGGCCCCGCGCGCTCAGCAGCTTCGAATATTCGCCTATGTCTACTACACTCGCTTGCACAATGTGCTTCCGGGTACATCGTATACGTGAGTAAGTTCGCGAACATGGCGCGGGTGGCTAGCGCGCTGCGTCAGCATATCTGACCAATTAGAGACCTGTAGTGAGCCCCTATCTCCGATATGCGACACTCTTGACACTTCGTACCTTCAGGACAATACTCCTGGCTCTCGGATGAATTTCGACAAATCTGGAACGATCATTTGCTTGCAGAGTGCGGTCAAGCAGGCCGTGCAGCAGGCGGTCCGCGGCTGCGCGGTTAGATCCCAGCGCTGCCTTCGGCTCTCACACGCCCAATTACATGGCGCGGCTCCACCCAGATTCCTAACTCTCTAATCCTATCCTCTAGACCCTCAGCTATCTCCTTGAGGTTCAATTCTCCTTCTAAAACGCATTTTATCTGTTCCTTTACGTGCTGGCTCTGATCCCGGCCTCCCAGCTTTCTGGCGGCGCTAGCCAACTTGCGTTAGCTCGACCCCTCAGGGGCCGTCACAAACTGAACGACACCATACACCATTCTCACTCCACCCCAGCTGTCTGTTCGTCCACTGTCTCGGGAGCTTATTCTCTTACGCAGAGTCCAGAGCGCGCTCGAAGCCAGCGAATTTGAGCACGTCGAGAGCGCGATAGCTGCTGTTGCGCGTTCGCGGAGAGCTGGCAGGAGCAGGGTGTCGAATCGCAATGAAGTCATGAACGCCGCAACCCAGCATTACATCCATCTCCGTACTCGAGCGTATTGCTCAAATTGGGAGATTCCGGGGTACACATCCCGTGCGACATAGGCTGATGTGAGCTGTGTTGCCTCCAGCTACTTAATTGTAGAATCTCGCCAACAACAGCCCTTCAACGGTAACAAAATATAAGTCTTATTTATTTTCTTACGTCTCGTTCGCTGAGAGTCACCAAGAATCAATTATTCGGCGACATGGATGGAGAGCCCCGTTCTGCAAACGCACCTCGATTTACTCCCCTTCAAGCCAATTATGGAGATGGCATTCGCTGAAACCGTACAACTCCAACAGGCGTCCCATATCTTGCAGCTTGCGCTCTACTCGAAGTGCGTATTCCCTACCTTGCGTAGTTGAGTGATAATTCAACTCCGCCGACTTCACGACAGTATGCCGTGATGCATAGTGCATTACAAGCTTAAGCAGGCAATGCTATTCTGCACATCGCAATCCTAAACTAACATTTAATCAACAGGTTGGATAAAGCACTAATACGTCAGAAAGACAGATGTTCGGAGTGTTCGCTTTTTGCTTCCCAAAAGCGATTCCACGTCGCTCGTACTGCTACCATCACCTAGACCTTCCAAGCAAACCAATTTGTTTGGTAGGGGGATTGCCTTGAAGCGTGATGGGTGTGCACATCATGCCGACCCCGTTCTGCTGCTCAGATGGCCGGATGCGAGACTGTCACTTCGGAAGTTCTTCGCCTCCTCCGGCAGCGATGCGCCAAGGGTCATACTCGTGGCTCTAGCCCGTAGAGAATAAGGAAAAGGGCCATCCGTGAACGCGGTGTGGACTCTTTACCGCAGCACTGGACGGAAGGGCGTCTGGCCACTCCTTTGGCGCAAGCACCCGATGCTGTCACCAGACTTACGCTGACACTAGCACCGCAACACTGAAACATCCAGTTCAGACTTTATCCCGTGCGTGCTTTTCTTTGGTTTCATTGTCTTGAAACCGAATTACATGTCCAAGGGCAGGTCTATAAGAAGGACCAGAAAGAGATGCCCAGAAAGCACGTCCGCGCAGAGCTTCCACAACACGGTTCAGGCGCCCGAAATCGGCGGCTTATGCAGACTGCTATCCCCTCTATTCCCCAACGAGCCAGCCCCGGCTGAGGACGACAGAGAGAGAGAGAGAGAGAGAGAGAGAGAGAGAGAGAGAGAGAGAGAGAGAGAGAGATGAAGAGTCTGCTCGCGACTTCCACGACGCCCTTGATGCGCCTGACACTACCCTTGCCACGAGCGACTATTCCGAATTATCGCCAACAGAGTCAGCGCCATTAGACGACAGTGCTGACGCCGAAGCTTTTTCCGCTTCTTACTGCTCCTTTGACCATATCATCGCCGACGCTGCGGCCACCCCAGAGCCATCCCACTGCCGGACGTAGCCGTCTCTCCTGCGTTCTATCAGGCGCACGCTCTCTGGACTCATTACCATCGTCCCTATTCCCCTCTTCTGTCTGCGGCCGAACATGAGTGACGTATCTGAGCGATGTCATCGAGTCACTTTTTTGAAGATGTAGATCATGTCTGGACTCCGGAACTCGTTCGGGCTCGGAGGTTTAGTTGACTTAGGTCATCGAGACCATCAAATATGGGGTGGGCGATTTCGTGGTAGCAGGGGTACTCGAATCTTCCAGTGTCTATCTAACGAAGCAGTACTTTACACCGCACCCGGGGTGTTCTTCATCGTGACCCAGATTCGAGTTCTAGCTTTCTGATTGGTCAGCCACAGCACCACCACCACTAGGAATCGAATCGTTCAGTCGTCTGAGCTCGCATCATTTGGCAACCACAAATTTCCCACCGCCGCGCTATCATTACGGGGAATTCAACCGCTCCAAGTCAAGTCCGATGGAAGCATATTGGAACGCACTTGGGCATGGGCGTAATCGGTGAAATTGGCTGTGGTTGGTGCTCTGGCTGTAATTGGCCCATAAGCGAAACGCTAACCCCCAAGTAGGCAGTCCGTGATCTTTGAACTTCGGAGGTTTTCGGCGTCATCTTTTTTTCCATGTCCACCCACAACCACCATACACACCCCCAGGGCGCCGCCTCTACGGCATTACCTCAGCGTTACAAACCTGAGTTGTCCCACCCGGTGCGACGTCTTTCTGGTCGCAATCCAATGTCGCTTCTATTCTTTTGAAGGCCCGAAGCTCCGAGTGACAATAGCTGGTGTCTCTGGTGTGCTGCGCGCCTGACCTTTCAATACCTCCAGACGGTACAATCGAGCAGTGCGTCCCTCAGGAAGATTGAGATCGAATAGGCAGGAGGCCTAGGTAGGTGTCACGGAACTTGGCCCGGGCTACCGCTGACTTCCATCACCAGATGCCGCTCAGGAAGTATTCCATCACCCAGAGATGGGCATAGCGCTTGATCACATAAACGCTCAAATCACCGAGAAGGACTCGACTCAGCTTTGCAGGCCGTCTTTGACCACTATTCCGTCACCCGGAGATATGCTACGCCGCCTGTCACCATGACATGATTTCAAAGCAAGATGCAAGGGACGCTTTCATGGTCCAATGAGCAGTACAACAGGTGGGAGCCTGTTGCGTACGGGAACTCGGTGTATTCGGAGGACCGAAAAGCATGATATGATTTCAAAGCAAGATGCAAGGGACGCTTCCACGGTCCAATGAGCGGTGCCCCAGCTTTTCAGCCACCCGTTACTTCCCCATTATAGCCTCTACTTGCATGATTATCTTATGGCATGCGGCGCTAACCACGGGACGAGATATCGGGAATTTATCGTTATTGTCCCAGAACCTTGGCCTTATATCTTGGTGCTCTTAGGTTTTAAGCTTTTTGGTGTCTCACTCAGCTACACACGTGAATACAACATGGGTCTCGACGCTGCTTCGCTCTTTAACGTCAATGGCATGGTCGCCATAATCACCGGCGGCAGCTCTGGTATTGGCGTCACTTGGGCTCATGCTCTTGATCAAAATGGCGCTGCCAAGGTCTTCATTCTGGGTCGCCGAGAAAACAAGTTAAAAGAGGTTGCAGCCGCTGCGGTGCGTATCCCCTTACTAGCTCTACCAGAAACCCATTTTTCCTTAACATTGCTGAGGGAACCTTTCCATTTCGTGATCTAATGAGTGTCTAGAAAAACAAAACCCTCATTCCTATCGTATGCGACTGCAGCAAGAAAGAGTCTCTGCAAGCTGCCGCAGCACAAATCGAGAAACAAACACCATTCATCAACCTCCTCATTGCCAACGCAGGCGTGCTCTGCAAGGCCACTGGTCTGATTCCGCGCCCGGAAGGTACGACGGTGGAACAAGTGGCGCAAGACTTGTGGGAGAAGACGACGTGGGAGGACGCAGACAACTGCCTTGCTACCAATATCGCCGGATCATACTTCACCTTCATTGCTTTTCTGAAACTGCTGGGCGCTGGTAACGAGCACCCTGACAGTAAATGGAAAGGACTCGTCCAAAGCCAGTTCATCACGAACAGCAGCTCTAGCGCCCTGTGGCGCGGTGAAGAACCCGCCTACATGTATAATGCAAGCAAATCTGCGCTCATTAATCTGACGAAGAATATCGCAACGGCGTTTGCGAAATACGGCATTCGAGCCAACTCTATTGCTCCGGGCTTGTTCCTTACTGAGATCAACGAGAACGATTTCCCACGGGATCCGGATCCTAAGCTTCCAGGTAGTTACCCGGCCTCGTGGCTGCCTGCTACTCGAGCTGGCGATGACGAGGTGCGTGTGCATTCCAACTAAATACACTAAGGCTAACTCTTTCTAGGATATCGCAGGAGTTCTGCTGTTTTTGGCGTCTCGGGCAGGTGCCTATATTAACGGTTGCGTATTGCTCACAGATGGTGGAATGGTCTCTACTAAGCCAGGCTCTTACTAAGCATCACAATGGCGTGGTTGTTTCATATCACCTATCGTTGATGAGGAATGAGGCTGGAATGAGAAGTTGTCAGAGGGACCACACATAGCTCGGAAGAATTTCTGTATTCGCGCGGGAAAGACAACGCATGGCTCATGAAATACCACAGGTGAACATGCCACGGAGAGCTTTGGCGGCCCTTCTATCTGTCATGCGCAGTACGAGGAATCCTGAAGCACTGGGGCTAGTGTCCGGCCATTGGATCATGACCATGGCCAGAAGCTCCTCACGCAGATGATATTCACGTTCATTAAGAGCGGTAAGCCGAGAGACTTCTCGGTTTGTGCGTCTGTGGTGTTGTTCAAGGTGTAAACTTCTGGCATTTACACCACAAGGCGCCTTTTCATTCATCATAGGGCGTTGCTCATGGAAAAAATAGCAAGGCTGTAGGCCATCGGCCACACGCGAGTGCACGTGACAACGCGACAAGGTACCAAAAAGGGCCAAAAAGTCGGTTAGACCGGCAGCAGAATACGAATCCCAATTGGGTTCCATTGTTCGAGACGAGAGCGAAATTAGCGGCGCGCGCGTAGAGCTGGGCTGTTGCCCCGCCCTCAGCGCATTCAAAATCGGCGGTGGGCACGATTGGCAGCTTGCAACATCGGTTAGCGTCCGTTTTGACCGAGAGGGAGATGGAGAGACAGACAGACAGGGAGAGACCTGTCGCTTGCGAGCGCACTGGTGCTCGGTGCTGTGGGGTTTTCTCGAAAAAGATTGAGTGTTCGGCCTGAAGTTCGATGAGAGCCGGGTAACTTCGTGCCGGCGCCTTGGCATTTCCGTCATTTGGCTATAAGGTACGTGGGCTGCGGATGCTCGCCTGAGGCCGTAAAGTTGTGTCTGACGTTTAGCAGTTAGGAAGCGCCCTCAACGACTGGACATACATGGTCCCCAATCCCCTCGCCGTCCTGCTCCACAGCCGAAGCGCTCGAACGGTCCGCCGAACCCAATGCCGTGGACCAATTTCGCCGGTTGAGCGGTACATGATCCGCGCACACATTTAAGTTTGACGAGGTACGTCCGTTCTACGCCGTCTAGCCGGAAGGGCTGGGGACGCGGACGGCTCAGAGGAGGATGAGGCAGACGCTGTGGGAGAGAACGTGAACAAAGAAGAAACGTTGCCAGTGATGAGGATGCATGCCGCGAGATCTACACCAAGAACGATGCCGAGCGTGGAGTGAAGCGTCTCATATATTGACGGTATTATAGACGGCGAGTTCCAGGTCGACCTCTACACGCTACCCGTTTGCTCGTTAAGATGTTGTGGGACTTCACAGCTTCCGAGACTGAATGGACGAGTCCGGATGCTGGGACCGCTGGAGAGGCTAGGGATGTGGATGGCAGAGGAGGATGAGGCAGACGCTGTGGGTGAGAACGTGAATGGAGAAAACGTTGGCGGTGATGAAGACACACGCCCGAGCGCTCGCAAGATACTGGGTGACGGGACCGATGGCGCGGTGACAACGTTCCGAACCGTCACCAACGGCGATGAAACAACCACAGGGAACAGTCCTATGGAGACGAAGTAACTGTGCTCAAGTAGCCTCAGGGAAGATCCTGAAGAGCTTCAAGCGTCGGGATTTGCGAGCATTGGGATTTGCGACTTCGGTCCAGGTACAGTATGAAACTTCTGCTGCCGCCGTTTTTATCTTTCTTCTCTTCCTCCACCTAGTTCTACACCACATGTTCGGTAAGCTAGAGATCAGTGCACCAAGTGATAACTCAGTTTCGACCGTTCTTATAGATGTTATTCAGAACGCCTAATGACCTGCACCCTCATCGCCTTGCTTGCGACAGTCTCCGCGGTGGCCGAAGGCGGGCTGGAACTCCGACCCGCCTCAGTGATCGCAGGGCATCGCATCGCTCGCCCACCCACAACCAAGCCCTGCGCGACGGCTGCACGGCTTTGTAGGGCCGTCGCACACATCCCCAAGCAATCCTAGCGCAATTCCAGGTAAAAATATCGCGATGGGACGGGCGTTGCAGCAGCTGCAGAAGCCTTGTTGGCAGCGGGCCGGGCACACGCCGGAGTTATCGGAGTTATCGAAACATCGTTCAATTGCCGCCTACATCAAGCATCTGGCAACCTAACCGCTGCCCATTCACAACCACACCATACGCGAGAGCTGCGCGGACTTGTATAGCTAGAGCATACGTTTCCCAGTGACTGCAGCTCAATTTTAGGTAATAATACTGGTTGGCGGATCCGTTTGAGCAACTGCAAGTATGCTTCCATCAACGGCGCGGCCTCGTCGCGGTTTTGGGACTTAAGCGTGAACGCAAGATTACCCATAGCCATCAAAGTGCCTAGATGCTCGGCCTCAAGCACCCTCGTTCTGGTCTCTATCACTTGCATCGGTGTCACTTCCGCCTTCCACTAGCCGTGGGTACGTCGACGCCCGGGCGCCAGGTTGCTCATGCTGGTCAGCTTGTGCGCATGCTCCTCCCCAAGCATCCTCTTGAACGTCGCTATCACTTGCACTGCTCTAAAATATAATTTACACCGTTTGGATTATAGCCTCATATTCTGGCGAAAAGTGTATTCTGCCTTGTTACTAACGTCCCTTCCCCTGTGCCGGAAAACCTACCGTGCTGGAAAATATGAGGTGAGGGATACTAATAGCACGCTAAATATTCGCTTAGCAACAGCTCACATCCACAAAACATTTGAAAGGAGAAAACAAATTGCCACATTCAATTATCAACATCACGACATCAAATATGCAGCGAGATATCGATCTCACAATAGCGGACATACACATAGATCTAAAGGATAATCCCTCAACGTTTGGCTGATTTTCGAACCATGTTATCTCCCAGGAAACACACACGAATCTCCGCTTCCTCAAGATACCCCATTTGAAACAATACAGCGACTTATACCCAGAGGTCACCTGCGAACTGACAGAAAAAGGGGACCATCCTGGAGAAAGAAGATACGTTGTCGTCTCTTATTGCTGGGAATCATTCACCAGTTTCGGCTCGAACGCGGACGAGCGGTCCCTGCACTCGCCCGCAATCCTGGTCAGACAACGCGGCAATCCTCCTAGGGCTCCTCGATGTCCCGCCAAAGTTCTGATGAGGGCGATCGCGTTTGCGATTTCTCAGGGGACATCGCTCATTTGGATCGATCAAGAATGTGTGAACCAGGACGATCCTGTCGATATTCAAACCCATCTGCAGTGCAACCACATCATTTTCCACCAGGCGGAATTCAAACTTGGCCTTCTAAGCTTCCAGCTGTCTGCAAGCCAAGCCGATAGACTACTCAGCCTCGAATTGTATCAACTTCAAGCCGATCCAAAGTTTGCCGACTACAGAAGAAGCGTCCTTGCTGGATATGGGCTGAAGTCAATTCAACGAGAAATACGATGCTTAACTCGGTTGCTAAGAGCTATCCGGAGAGATCGCTGGTTCACAAGGGCGTGGGTTTACCAGGAAAGACATTCGGCGAATATGGACATGCATCTTCTTATACCATTGTCGACTGAGGGGCTGAAAACGTTCCGCAGTGCGTTTGGTATAGAGCTTGTTGGAGAAGATTATCCCTTGTACGTTGGATCGGTCTGTTCAATCGCAGCTATGTTGAGGTGGTACCTCTCTGAGCTCAAACTGGGTCAAGGATTCCAGGAAGATACCTCGGTCAAGAACTCCGTATACGAATCCCTAAACGCACTCCATGAAGCCGCGCAGGTCCTTAGTGGTCCCATCTTTTCCGGGACTTCATTCGACAGAGTCTTCGAAACTTTCGAAAGTATGAGCCTGGGCACGGATCGAGGACGAGAGATCGACAGTATTCGTAACCTTCACCTTCACCAAATTTTTCTCGATCTGGAAAGTTGTGACAGCCGGGTCGTCTCGGATCGAGTAGCGATCTTGTCCAATATTATGAACTTTGAACGGAGAGTTATAACGACTTCCTTCACAAGTTACTCCTGGGCTCTGCTCATGCTCTTGTCCGCAAACAATCATGTACCATCAGTTCTTGTTCGAGAGGAGACCTTAACTCAACCGGATCTTCTTCTTTCCCACTCTGTCCCTGCATCGGGATTGATCATGCTTGCGTATGAGATGAAAAGGCTGATAGCAGCGGGCAGGTTGGAATTGCAGAAAGAGTTGGAGAACGTCTCATGCGCTCTGACGGATTTCTTCGGAAGAGATATAACTCGACATACAGAATTTCGGGATGCAGTTGAGGATGCAGTTGAGGATGCAGTAGAAGGTTGTCCGGGAGTCTCTCATGCGGATCCGCTTTCGCTCCTCTCCGAAATTAAGGTGCAAGAATTGAAACGTGTGGCCGTCCTACCACTGTCTGCGACCATTGGCGATATCATTGGAGGAATTGTATCGGCGCACCACGTAGACAACATTGGGTTGCAGTCTAGTCATGGTGAGACTGTGGTCAGGTATGGCATAAACACAAATCAGCTCAAGGAAGGCGTCACGTTCATGGCATTTGTTGGGGAATATCGTTGGCGTTCTGGATTCATTGATAGTTTTTCAATTGAATAGACCACCGGCGCTTTCCTCCTGCCTCAACGGTTGCGCTGCACTCGCCGCCCATGGGAGCATCAGATGTGTGAGCTGTTGTCGCGAAGGAGCGCGGGGTTACGGTGCCCGATGCCCTTGTCTTCCCGCCGGAGTGTGTCGTGCCATAGGGCATCTGAGCTTCGAAACCCCGCTTCCTGGGTCTGACATAGTCCGAGGTCGGATTGTCATCAGCGGGAGCGGGTCCCTCCCGTTTTTACCGAGGAAAAGCCGAGGCCACGTCTGCGGAGGGCTTGCAGCGGGACTCAATCGGCGAGGGGTTCGGGCGAGCCATGCGACTAGGCGCCGCTGGATCTTTCTATGGCGGTCGGGAGAAGCTGGGCGTGTGTTCGTGTCAATGGTGTTTGCGATCCCTCCTATGGTCAAGGTCTGGCACGTTTCGGCTCCGGGGAACATGTCGGCGATGGAGGAGGCAGACTACCACCATATCCTGGGTCCGATGGCGGTGGGCATTCGGGGTCTCCCAGTGGCTGAGACGGTTTCGAGCGCGTAGACGGTGTTCGGGTCGTACGCTTCCGCGTCTTTGCCTCCTTGAGCCGGGGGATAGCGTCGCGGATCCTGGTGAGGCGCGGGCCAAGAGCGTAGTCGAGCACGCTGCGCAGCCGATGCCGCAGACAGGCTATACCGGTATTCTCCTCGTCTTCGATGGCGCTCAGGAACTCCTGCTGCACTCTTCGCATGTGGTACACGGCGCTCCCGTCAGCTTCGGTGCGCCAGTGCACGCACAGGACGGCGGAATGCATGTCGCATGTCAACGACCAATGACACGTGTCCACGACCGACGGAGTAACCCCGGCATCGGTGTAGAAGGTGTGCAGGTAATTGACGATCGCCGTGCCATCGCGCGCACTCTGCCGCTGCGCGTGCCAATGGCCCTGGCTCCCTTTCGCGCTCTTCCACTGGCACGTCAGGAAGGGGAAGTGGAGCCCGGTAAGAAGCGGATCCTTGAGCACCACCACCTCTTCCCCAGCGCTCAATGGCGACTCCACGCCCCCAGCCTGCGCGTCCCTTGTAGTTATATACCCCATGGCGGTATCTGGTTTCGGTTGCGTGAGGGCGCCGTACTGATTCGCGATGAACGGCTCGGGTGCCGGAGGAAGATACTTGCGGTTCAGAAGGGCCTCTGATACGCGCTCGATGTATTTCTCGCCGCCGTCCGCTTCGCCGCAGAACAGGAGGTTGTTCACCATTATGCCGATTCCCGTAGACTCGTTCGCATTCTCCGCTCGTGCCTGCGCGCGCGCAGCATTCTTCGCAGCCGGAGAACGGGTGCTCTCCCGCTGCTTCTTTATGACGGTGTCAATGTGTTCGCGGAGGAGTTGTGGAAAGGCGGCTGTAGAGTTGACGCGTATACCGTATGCATGAAGGCGGTCGTCTTCGTCGTAGGGGCCGGTGCTGGATGCGGACGACGGGGGCATGGGAGAGGTAGCGGGTTCAGAGCTGGTATTCGAGAGCTGCTCCCAGCGCCGGAGGTTCTCGCGCGTGAGGGGCTGGGGCGGGAGCGGGGAGGCCGCCGGCTTCTGCTTCTTGGGGGGGCGCAGAGAGTCGGCGTCGGATTCGGATCGGGCGCGCTTGCGTTGCATAGGGGAGGTCGAGAAGACGGACGATGGGCCGGAAGGCGGACGTTGATGCGACGATGATGAGGTCGGTGCTGACGTTCGAGTCCTGACGACGGATGAACCTCGGCTATTATTAGCGGCTTGGCGAGATGTGAACCCTTGGAGCCCTTTCGAACTTGAACTGCTACAACACAGTAACTTCTTGCCGTATGATAGGAAAGAGAAATCCAGTTTTCCACTTGCTACGGGTCAACAGGGTGGGATCGCACGTTTTGTTGTTGTCAATAAAGGGAAGTTGCGCTCATGCAGTGTGGAATGCGTGAAAGCGAGATTCCGAAAGTTGGGGTGCATCGATCTCTCGGCTCGGCTCGACGCATCCCCTGTTCACGAACAGGTTTCTAAAATTATTCCTCGGTTCCGCAGGGATGTTCCAATTTCCCCATTGCAGGATGCTCAGGTAATTTTCAACGGCGACGTATACTTCGGATAGAGGATGCACCTACATCAAAGGCTGAAGCAAGTTCCTCAACGGGTTTGTAACATGGAGTTCGGCGCTGTGGAAATAAGTATCTCATGTGCTCAGCTGGCATGGGGCAACGGATTGCCTGTTTGGGCGTAGAGCGTGGCTAGTGCATGTGGCGGTGGCGTCGATATCGAACCTCACCTGGAAGACGTCACTTCATCAGCGCTCACTATCTCGTCATCACAACTATCCTCGGACAACAATTTTGCGCGGGGACTATACTTCGGCATCTTGTCCACGTCGATCTCCAGCTTCTCCGTGTCTCCCGTGCGTCATTGCGCTCCATCCGGACCGCCGCTGTGAGCCCGCAATTGGCGAACCAGCTTCACGATGTCACCCTTCAAGGCCTTGCGTATATGGACAACGCGACGCGATCGACATAGAAGAAAGAGCAGCAAATTGGCATCATGTTCGGCTTGTTTTACCCCAAATTTGCCCATGACGAGCCCACGGTAAAGTTACTTCACGTCGTCCGATCAACTTCGACCTTCCATATATATGCAGAGACTATTCTTTCCAGAGGCTCCGTCCGGCATCAGAAGACCTATATCCTACAGGAGCAAGCTATCTTGTTCGTCAAGAGTCGCGATAAGAAGCGCACGATTCGTCGATTGGCGATCTCGTCCGAGCGCGCGAGCGACGTTTCGACGTCCAATATTCGCAGCCCGATGCCGTTGTCATCCAGCTTCCAGATGGCCATGATGGCGAGTGGAAACAGAACACAGCTTGCTTTCTGTATCCGCGCACCGTCTCACATATGGCTCAAGTAGCACCGAACGATGTTATTGGTCTATGGCTATTAAAGGATTGCCCCATGCCGGTCCACGTGCAACGCCCTCACGCCCGCGCTCTTCCGCAACTCCGTTAGTATCAGAGCACCCCAGACACACGCCGAGAGAGTAGGACAAGGCCAGGTCAGTCCTCTAGCGCCGCCTGCATGATAACAACGCCGTCGTCCAACGCCCAAAGGGTCTTACTCTCGCGCGGCGCATGCCCCAGACAGCTACGTTTTGCAATTGTGTCCCGCCGTTGCGCTTCACGAAAAGAGGTGGGGGAATATCATGCCCGAAGGGTGCCCTACTCAGCATGTATGCGGTATCAACCTGCATGGCAGGCTTCGACCCACACCTCCTTACCTGTCCAGCCGGTGGGATTTCAGCATTACATAATCGGAAAATCGCGATGGTGTGGAGCCTGGCAGTTGAACTTGAGCCCGATCGAATCAACGAAATTTCACATCACCCTACACTCTCCAAGGCTACGCACTTCCCCCTCAGTGAGCTCTTCGTACTTGCATACAATTGCGGCATTGTTATATTCAAAATGACAGATTCGATACGCTCGTGGACGAATACGACATTACACATCTTCGGAATGAGGAACCCTTCGTATCCGTAGTCGAATACTGTGTTTTGCATCTTGTCACTTGCCGTAGTAACGGCGTGTAAAGTGTACGGCGCTTCAGGTCAAAGACCGATATTCAATGGTGAGAGCGAGTTATCTAACAATAGCTTGGAGACCCTATGAAGCAGGCATCTCGCTCGACAGACTACCACTCCGCAGGTAGTCTTACCGCTTCTCAGAATTTAGGAGGACGGGCGGTATACTCAACCGCTCGAGTTCTCTATGAATAGTCATCATCAAGCTTTGCAATTCTAAGTCCGAACGGGCCATTACCATTCCATGATTTGGGCTCGCTCGCTCAATATCGTCATCCATCTGCCGCCAGCAAATGTCTCGCGCCCCGTTCATCAGTGCCTGCTATGTGCTCGCATACTGTGAACGGGGCGGAGTACATCTATACCGGTTAATCCGGAGTCAGTCGCGATAATATTCGACCGAAAGCACTGCGCGCTTCAAGTACTCTCGTGCTAATTCCACCCAGTTACTCGCATTCAAAAATACCCAAATCAACCATGGCACCAGCAAATTCTCTCACTGTTCCCTGATTGACGTCCGCCTCTCCTCCATCCCCCTTTTCAGGCAATACCCCAACAGCACTGGCTTTTCCTCTTTGGGCTGACGAACGAAATCGAGCGAGCGGTTGTGGGTAGGACGATAGGATGGTCTGGGTTCCCGCCGCTGAATACCAGCTAAAGTGTGCAACTTCTCGATCCTTGGAACCCATTTCGAATCAGCCTTTCTCGCTTGCGACGTGCCATTTGAAGCCGTCGCGATTGTGATACCGTTCCGGACAGTTGCTTACTCGGAGCGAAAGTTCGGCGATGCACTAGGTGTCGATTTCGCAGTACACCGCTGGCTGCCACCGTCCGCTTGGGAGTCTTCGGCCGAAGTCTGAGACTATTGGTTCCACACCGACATGCTCATTGTTTCGATAACTCCCGATATCGTAGCGATCCCGACGAGGAAATCCGAGAGTGCCATCGCACGAACTATCTGCAGAGATGGGCCATTTGCCACTGCATGGTAACAAGGTGGACTATGGGTCATGAAGTACAGATCTAGGGCTTTAGGCAATGCTAATCTTGAACTACAGGTTGCTCCTTTACGAATTCTCAGCGAGGTTGTTCGTATTAGGTTCTTCGCCAGCCACAGGACGAGCTCTGTAGGCTTGGCCATATACCATTTCTACTGACGTATGGCGAGTTCGACTAGTTCATGTCAGGCTCGTACGGCCCTATTTTTGGATCTTACTTCGTTCAGTCATTGCATTAAACCTAGCAGGTGGGCCCGCGAAATTTCTATCTCCTAAATCAACCAGCTTATATGAGAAGAACAGATGACTCTACTAAAGGATTCCGTCATGCAAGATTACTGAGAAGAAACATGCCAGCTATACGTCTCCGGAAAAGAGCCAGCGAACCCCGCATCCCTCTTTCTAATGATCCCGCACCGCTTGCGCCGCGGCGTCCTGAGGGACGTGCCGTTTTTCGTGAAAGAGACCTGTTGGCGCGACGAGTGCGGTCTGTTACGAAATTGCAGCCGAACGGGTTGCCACTGCGTTGGCATTTCTTGCCCCCAAGGCATTCATGTTTCTGACATCGGCATGATGCGGCTGGAGTATAAGACGCCCTGTTATTGACATGCTGGGTAACCGTACCCTCTTGGAAGTTTTGGGAATCGACATCGAGCTCATCGCTCTGGTCCAGGTCTGTCTCGGTGTTTTTCTCCTTCCCGAAGTCCAAATGGTCAGTCAAGAGTTATGAGAAGGCGGGAACTGCACAAAGCACACTGGACCTACCCGGAAAATCCCAGGACCGAACCATGTCAATCAACAAATCGAAGCCGGAGTCCTATCCCGAGCAGGCACTGGCAGGATTTCAACGTTAGGAGGGTTTGAAGCTCATCGAACGCGACGAGACTGGTAATCCTACTATCTTTAGACTACCTCCATGCGTCCATCGGTGTGGCCGGACGGTTAGGGCCTCTAGAAATTCGAACCGTATTTAGTCTCAGGAGTTTCGCTCACGTTAAATTGTATAACCCAAGTGCTAGACTTCTCGCATACAGTATTAGCGCAATCACAGCCATTTATAGGCGCATTGGCGATCGCTTGCAAGGAGAAGAAGCAGTTGCATCTAGGAGTCGAGCCATTCGTACAAGCACACGAGATAAGATCGTAACGTAGTAAAGGCGCCTTCCCTAGCGCCTTAAGCAAAGCTCCCAATGCTGTAAAACCTAGGCGCACACCGATAATCACGAACATGCTCGTTTGCGTGCATTCGGATGAAGTGATCCTCTCTTTTAGATGTCTAGAATGCGACTCCCTGCGCGATACTCCCGTTCGAGTCATTATTAACCCCCTAATTCTCTGCCCAACTGCGCCGCCTACTCCGTGCTCGACATGCTGCAAGGTTTGACGAGCTAAGATCAGACCAGAGACGAGTGTCGAGCTGTCAGGTCTCGACGGCGTGGATTTCTCTATCGGTCTTCACAACAATCTGGCATGCGCAGGCCGCCAACCATCGATTTCTCGCCTACCAAGCTGGACTTTGAGTGGCGGGCATCCTAGATGCACTCGCTAAGGCCGAGTCGAAGCCTGTAGGTTGCCGTTTCGCTTCGATTGCCGATTTGGAGAACTCGTGGGGACGCCTGCCTCCAGTCCCTGGCAGGCCACAGTGTCCAGTTAGCGGCGCCTAACTGTAAAGAAGCCGCCTTCAAGGGCACAATGAGACGTGTCGGCTGTCGACGGATTCTGCCTTGCGTTGTAGAATCATCTTTCGGAACGTCGCTGTTGGCGCTACTGCTGACAGACCCAGTTCTACATTCTACGACCGCGACACTACTCTGTCACTAAGGGGTTATCCCTAATAACAACTGAGCCCCGTTCTATCCCAGACACTGCTGCTCTGCGTGGTATTCCACATCTGCGAATTTCGTGGACTGTGCTCCAATTGGCATTATAGGAAGTCTCATCTGACGGGCAATAAGGGGTATGCGGCGCTCCGCACTTCACATCCTCCTAGGTCCGTGAAGGGCCATGCTTTAGGCACATATCCGTTTGCACCAACCTTCCGTATCTCTACTCCCTACATCCAGCTGATGTTCGAAACGGTCACCGCATTCCTTTTTACCCAGTTATTCATGCCGCTGGATTGTTGCCTATTCCTCTGCTAGGAGCTGTAGTGAGCGGAAGATGCGGAGACTGACCTGTTATGGATATTTGAACGTATCCTGGTGTGAGATGCTTACCACTGGCGCAACGAGACTGCCATAACAGGGTACCCATATGGACCTCCAACTCCCCATCAAATGTTAGGAATCGTTACAGCGATGCGATCCTCTCATCACGTCAAAAAGACGAAGGGCTCACCACTACTGATATTGGGTATCTTCAATAGAAGCTCAGTGAATATGTAGCTGACAAGGAGTCAGCAGTTCAGCCAGCTTGCGACGGGATCGTGATACCCTGTCTATCCATCTGGGCGTTAGAAGTATAGGAAATTGGAAGCTTGAAGATACTGTACACGAAGCCATGCGAATGGAACGAGAGAAAATTGAAAAGAAGATGAGGAAGAGGAACAAGGAAGTGTGGGTGGGGCCACTCTTTCATAGCACTTCGGTCCGGTACCACTGTAGGTAAAAGACTTCGTTATACTCGCCAGGAAAGAAGCCTATCGTATCCTTAGTAAGAGATTTCTGCTCCGTTACTGCGTCTTCGTGGACCTTTGGCCTCTCCAGGGGTCGCAACTCTTTCCACCCATTATCAAAATCTCGGAAAGATGGCCGGATGCTCGTAAATCAAGCAGCAGGTTTGCAAGAATTGGCTCACCAAATTCACTGCGTCAAAAAATCTCGTCCGAAACGCCGTGTCAAATGGCATCGCCCCACTGGCGCTTAGGACTGGTCCGCGATGATCATATTTCGCGACAAACTTCAGCATCTCAAGACTTCATGCCTCCATTACTGAAAGAACGCTGCGCGGAAGTTTTGATGAGTTGTCTTGCATGTTCTAGTCTATTCAATGCCCAGAGGGGTGGTTGCAGAATTGCCATCGGTCACTGAAGCACACTGGGAACACCAGAGCGCCGATGCACCCCAACCTGCCGCAATTAGGCACTACGTCGCATGAATCAGGCCACCATTATACTGATTCAACTCCCATGTCCCGTTTCCGAGGCGTCGGGCTGGTTTACTCAGCGCTAGACCACCGCGGTCACGACTGCAATTACGACTAACCCGCTACCCATTCCGGCCCTAGCATCACTTGGTATTGAGGACTCCACTCCGCCTGCAACAAGATATCGACGCGGAAATGTAGGATTGCGGCATTTATGACTTAACCTCACCCCTCAATTACAAGACTAGACAGGGCGCATGCACACCTCGCATATTTAATCCCTGTTCCTAGTGCCCAATATAAGCTTGCATCATCCGGAGCTTCTTGCTCATCTCCACTTTTCGAAATTCACCAATCTCAGTAACTATGTCGGACTCGCACATGCTTTCAAAGTATCAAGACTCTTCACAAGTTTCCACCATTCTGGACTACCTTCAAGCAGGATGGACGGGCCAATCTATTACCTGCCTAACTCCCTCAGTCCTGTTAACCCTGTCGGCTTCCGACATCGCTCTGCCGATTTTCATGTCCCTCCGTATATTTCAGAACGCATGCGTACATAGGAGACCACTAACAACTTTGGAGTTAAATATGTCGAAGATGCTATTATACTCGACACTACGAAAGGGTTTGATGCCCGGTTATATTCGTAAATGAAGTGGGGGATCTCGTCTCTAGCGAGGTGTAGTGCACTAGACATTTGCCCCCGCTTGAGTTCTATCCCTGAAACGACTTTCTAAAGGGCAATAGAAATTCAACCTTGGTTGGAAACTCTAGCGTGCACTTAGATAGAGTAATATTCACGTTGCCGCACAACGTAGCTATTATGCAGGTGTCGAACCCACGGCTTGCATTCTTACAGTCAGTGGATGAAGTACTTAAACGTGCCGCGCTACTGGCTAATATTTTTCGAGCCCCTACCGCATCCTAAGCATTTCCTTTTCTTCCCTCCCCCCTATCCCAGGAACCTCCACACAATCCATCTTCCAGCCAGCCAGCCCTACATCGCCTTCGCCTTCCAACCAACTGATACACCCACCCTCAATCCCCTTTCCCTCATATGCCAAAACAAGAGCGTACCCCCCAATCCCCTCATAAGTCAAAACTAGAGCTCGCTCAATCCAACTCCTCCCCCATCCACCCCATCGCATCCAGCGTCTCAAAACACTGCGTCTAGCAGCGTACCGATCCTCGCTCTTCTCCCCGCTCCATCGCCGCCATTCAACATCCTTTCATCCTTTTATCCGTCTCCAGAAAGCTCGTTCATCAGACTTTTCCGCCAGCAGGATTTCAGCGGTGCTCTACTCTTTAAATAGCTAGCAGAGAGCAAACATTTCTTCGTTTCAAATCTTGGAAGTGCGGTAATGATGGGTTAAAGAAGTTGGAAGGCGATTTGTAAGATTTATGGTTTATGAATGCTGTAACTAGGCGGAGGGAGGTGTTGTCTACTACCTCCGGTCTATGGGGGTTTGGAATAGCTTATTTTTTTTGTTTAGGCCTCTTGAGGATCTAAGCCTCGCTGTTGGAGCGGGGATTTAAAGCCGCACTTGGATTTTTCCAATCACCAATAGACAACGAGAAGCAACCCTGCATCATCGATTGCTAGTACTCAAAGTTTAAGCAAGAAAGAGAGGAAGGGGTGTAGACGTGCTCCATCCAAGGGCTTTGCATTGAATGGAATGCTGCGAGTACCATCTCATCCCGCACACAGATGTATCGATATGCCGGGACATTCCCCAACCAAAGCTTCATCCAACGCAGCCCCAGCGCAGTCCAACTACCTCACGCGCCTCCAGCTTCTCGTTCATTAGAACACCTCGCGGCTCTCCAACTTCAACTCCTTTCCTCTCTGGCTTAGCCATCGACGGATAGCTTGGTGCTGCTGACATTCGCATCCCGCGTGTCCGTTCTGTCTCGACTCTTCGCTCCGTGCCTGTTATTGTTTTGCAAGGGGTCCGCCCACTCTCCGTACACGGTACCCTGCAATTCTGTCCACCATCTCCTTCCGCCCCTCGTTGTGCCTGAGCTAGCCAGTTGTGGAATCGCGATGATGCGCGTGTAGCCTCGTTGAGCAGCTATGGGACGGATAGTTGTCTTCTGCGCGTCCGTCGAATTCGTGGGCGTGGCGAGATGTCTGGGATGAGGTTCCACCGTTGTGGGTTGCGGGTGCTGATGGAGGGACGGCGAGGTGGATAGGTACGATCGGAACGGGGAGGTTGCCTCATGGCGAGATATTGCCCGCTTTGTCTGAGAGGGAACGGGCCTAATGGAGCGGGTTGTCGAGGAGTCTCGCGGCTCGGTATCGGCGGGGGCTCCTCCAAAACTGCCATCGAATGCCTGCCGCATCGTTCAGCGCCGTCTTTTCCTCGTTCTCGACTTAAATGAATCGCCTTTGTAGTATTGCGGTAGGTCGGAAACACGAACGCTTCTCGAACCTCAGCCGCCTATGTTAGGTTGGTCTGCCAGGGCAAGAAGCCAGGGCCGCCAGACCGTCTCAGCCCATTCCATCAGCCAATGGAGGACGGCAACCACCTTCAGCGCATCGAAGCACGTGCGCGTACTCCCAATCGCAACCTGCTCCCATATCGTGATCTGCACGCTGCTCTTGGAGACGACTAGCAGGTGCCATTCATGGCCCTGGGCAATGAGCAGCGGCACCGCCGGCCAGAGCTCCCCAGGGCTCCCGATGAACGAGAGCCGCTTGAACCAGGCGTCTGTCCAGATGGCGATCTGGGGCTTTCCGTCGGTCCACGCCTTCGTCGGGCTCTTCGTCTCAATGTTGACGGCGAAGGGTGTGCGGCGCGCCGTGCTTGTGTGGTTCCATGACTTGATCTTGGCCTCGGGGTGCTTTCGCAGGCGGCCCCAGGCTCGGCCAGTGTGCTCGGTCTGCTCGAGAGCAATTACGTAGTCGACGACGCGGCGGGGGAGGGTGTCGCGGGCGAGAGATTTGGGCTCGATCTTGGCTGTTTTACTGGTGGTCGTTAGTACATACTACGTAGTTGCGGGACGGCGGAGAAAACTAACACGTTCTCAATGGTGAGCTGCTCCTTGTGCTTGCTCGTCGAAAGAGCGAGCTCCAGCAGCGGGAGCTGCACCTTCGCGTTCCACTGATCCTCGGACGTGCTCGTGTTGCGATCGCGCCTGCGCGCCATGTGCACAAGCGTCTGAACCGCGGCGATATCAGGCGTCGTGCCGATGGTATTGCGATGCGGATCAATAGCCCAAGGAAAGCCAAGGCGCGTTTGATCCATCTGGGAGAGCTCCGCGGTAGCGAGGCGCAGGCTATCCTGATCATACCCAAGTATGCCCACCCCATCGGCGAAGCGCTGCGCAGCGCAGCGCATGGCGAAAACATCTGCAGGCTCTTCGTATATGGTATCGTCGAAGCTGCAGAAGACAACGGGGTCCTCCTCGAGGTCTTCGAGCATCATCAGCTGCTTGGTCGGGCTCAGACGACCGCTCTGGTGCGATTCGAGCGAAACGTCGGAGGCGGAGGCGGAGACGGAGGACGATTCTGATGGAGGGGCAGGGGATGGAGGTGCGAAGTGGGGAGCGCCATCGAAATCCCGCCGGCGCTTGTTGGGACGGGGCGTGATGTCTGCATCGTGGTTCATAAGGCGCTTGGTCTTGACGGGGCGCGCGTTTTCCTTGTCGTTATCGAATGGGACGACGGGAGGCGCCTGGGCAGCCGGAGGCGTATCGACGTTGTCAATCCAGACGGCGATGTTCATGTGTGATGGGCTGCGATGCGATGCGCGAGCAACGACGATGGGAGCGGCGGTGTTGGTGATGTGTGATCCGGCCGCGTTGTTGTTTGTTGTTGTTCGTTGTTGTTTTTTTCTGAGCAGCAACCGATGCCAAGGCGTCGACCACGTGGCAACCCTGCTACCCCACCAGATGATGCATGATCTCCCACACTTCGCCGGCCCTCATGTCGGGAGGGAATGCCAGGCAGCCAAATTCGCAGTAGGGCGTAATGGGCATGTGGCGTAGATGGCTCGCCAGCTGTGTACGCAAGTGCGCGGTGTCCGATAACGGAATTATGGAGCTGCGGCTGTGGTCGAATCTCAACCCCTGTTCTCTTGCTCTTGTTGGGACGACACGCTTCCCGGATAAACCTTCAGCATCATCTCACACTAATATAATTTCCAGAACATTGGTTCATGTGAGCGATGCGTGACGCGATTGTCTGAGGTTTCGGTGTTGTCTGCTGGAGTGTCTAAGCCCAGGAAGGCCTAGCGCCTCCACAATCCGAAGGCCTGAATATGTAGCGTTCTTGCGCAGAGACGTCAGGATCGACGGTGCGACGAGGGTTCGATGCTCCCGTGCGTCGTGGCATGGAGACTGGGGTCGTCTGCTTGCGACCAGGTTTAAGCGTGAGTCGAATAGGCCGCACAGGGAAGTTTCGGGAGACGGGCCTGGACGCTAGGACGACTGCTTCCTCGTTGTCGTCGTCGACGGAGTCGTTGCCTTTCTTGAGCGGTAAGCGTAGTAGGGGGCTCAGCCCGTTCTTTAGCGCGGGACTGCACTTAAACAGTTCTACTGCCTGGGGTAATAATGACCTCTTCAACAAAGTGGACGCGAGCTCCCCGAAACTCGTCCTCTTGATGAATATGCAACAGCCAGCGAGTCCCGTCGTCAGAACCGGCGCCCGTAGCGAGATAGTGGCAGTACGATGGCACTGCTCGTTCAGAAGCATTGTCCCGCGGCAGCGTTGGAGGTATAGATCTGCGCCGCAACAATAGGGGCGCGATCGAGAGCGTGAGCTCGAGGCGCGGCGCGTCTGACTGCGGAAGCCGGGAGATATTGACGGAGACGTTGGAAAAATTGAAGAAATTTGAAGTTGTGCGGAAGGAAAACGGCGACAGAGTAGTGGAGCAGACAAGGGAGCTTGAACGAAGGACATGGAATTAAAAAGACAGCATCGTCTACAGCAGAAACGCACAAACAGCGGGCGCTGCATGCCCTTGGAAGAGGCAAAGCAACCTCTCGCGCACCGTGGACGCATTGGGAGGGCGATAGATAAGCAGGAGAACCAGGAGACAGGCGCACGCAGCGTCCCATCTTGGTACCGTCGCGATGCGCTCAACAATCCCCTTTCCCTGCCTTCCCCTGGCTCACCTTGCTTGGCGCTGGGTTATACCACGGCCGCTGCTCGTCTCTTCTCCAACGCGTATTTCGACGCCGCCGAGTGCAGCTCGTGCTGGCACGCTCGGTGCGGGTCATGGACGCTTCACCGAGCGTCATCTGTTCCGCAGCTACCGTTGCATATGTCTCCCTCTGCCCTGGTCGTGGCCCGCTGCCACGACTGACACCGCTGACACCACTGGCCGCCCTCCAGACGTACTGCGGTCGCTGCCTCTTCATGCCGGCGGGCGACTGCAGCGAGCATGGCTCTGACGCCCCCCGACCCCGCTGCTAGAATACCATGCCTGCCAGAAGAAGCCGCAGCACACGGCGCCCTCGCCCGCCTCCGCGTCTGCCCACATGGCTGCCAACATGCAGGTGGAGGTGGTTGTCCATGACTTCGGTACATCGCCAGGCCGCGCCCACTCCTCTTTCGCTGCTTCTCACGCACGCTTCGCAGGACATGTCTACTGTGCCCGGTGCATCCGAGCCCACTATGCGGATCCCGTCCATCGGCCTTCGCGCTTCCCCGTCCGCGACGACCCCGCCGTCCGCTCCGTTTAACATGGACGCATACTAGCCTGGCGACGGGGTCCGCAATGGACAAGTGGGCAACATGGCTGGCGGCGTTGGCTATTTGTCGGCCTGTGTATTGGTAGAAGCAAGCATATGCATGCTACGCGACCCACACGCAGTACAGGAGAAACGGAGAAACGCGTGCAGCTATTATTGTGCCGCCTCGCATCCGCATCGACTCCCATAATGCATCCCATCCTCTGTGTTCCATCTCCGTGGCCATCTCCGTAACCCATTGCCATTTCCGCCTTGCTCTTTCTTCCATCCCCATCCACCCATTCATCCATGGAAGCTCCCTTCCATTTCTCCCTTCATTATTCTTCCGAAGACACCTTCGCCGCGTCGCGCTCGACGGTCGCGGTCTGCAGCGCAGCCGCTGTGCTGGAAAGCGGGGCGTTGACGTCTGCGAGGTGGGACTGGACGTCTGAGAGTTGGGCGGCTTTTCGGAGGGCCTGGTGAGCGCAAGGTTGGGATCGGGCAGTTTGGCATTGCTCTGCTTGATTTTGAGGACGTTGGCGTGGGCTGTCTTCTTGAGCTCGTCGAGGGCGGTCTAAAACTGTGCGAGTGGCTGGTAGGAAAACCAGGTCTAGAGCTCGCTTCTGCGGAGGAGGCCGAGGTTGGATGCGATGATAGAGTTGAGCGTCGAGCTCAGGGCAGCCGATATGTCGTTGGTGAGGCGGGCCTCAAAGTCGTCGCCGAGAAGCGCACGCGGGTTTGAGTCGCTGTCGCGGGCGTAGGCGGCTTGCGAGTGGAGCCAGCGGTCGTGGATGGTGGAGATGGACTGCTGTGTGCGGTGCGCTTCTTCAACCTGCTGTTCGTACAGATAGCGACTTGCTCTTCGGGCACCAGAGTGCGGTCATATAGGCTGCGGCCCTGCTCAACCGTTTGGTCGTAAAGGTGGCGCGAACGCTCCGCAGCGTCATGTCGGCTGCAGATAACCTCAGGGCGGACATGGCCAAGTTGCTGGCGCTGTTTGACGACAGCGTCGTAGACAAAGGTCTGGCCTTCTGAAAGCCTCTAGAGATTGGCCCTGACGTCTACAATGCCGTTGTACGCCACATGCCGCTTCTCTCGCGTCTCGCTCGAGAAAGTGTCGAACTTGCCTAGCAGCGTGTGCAATGCCACAGCACGTCTTCGCCTCTTGCTGCATATCCTGACGCTACCCTCGCCTCCAGCCCCGCAACGTATAGCCCGAGGGCCCGGAAGACACTCACGCACGAACCAAACCTTCCCCGGTTCATGACTATATTGAGGTTGGTTGACAGTGTGCGCAGCGCCGAAGTCCACTGCTCGGCCTGTCTCGGGCGAGGCGATTGCAGATTCTCGTAAAGCGTCTCAGTGTCTACGAAAAGCTGGATGATCTCCGGAGACAGTGAGGCGTCCGGGGGCCTATTGGGGTGTGGTTCCTCCAGATTCCGATAAGCGGCCTGCAATTCGCCCCGACAGGTGCTACTGGGGGATGCCGAGCGAGGGCCAGTTTGCCACAAAACTCCTCGCTGAGGTGCCGGCGAAAGCTCTTGATGAGGTAGAGTCGTTGACCTCCTCCATCCGAGCATCCCCTCCGCGTTGTCCGTGCACTGCTGGCAGTCCGTCCGCGCTATCATGTACTCCGGCATGATTCCATGTCGCTCTCTGCCTCTCGACTGCGCGTTGTATGTTCCCATGCACCCTTGTCCCAATATTCGGAGTCACGGCGTCTGGCGTGGCGAAGCCGGTAAAGCCGCGTTCTAAATCTACGACAACCTAGCGTTTGAGCGGCGATGTGCGTAGACGTCGTGGTGAATGGCCTTGGGGGCTGGGGCTTTTTCGTTCTACGAAGCAGACCGAAGGTTAGTGAACGTTCTTTTTTCACATCGCAAGGGAAAATGACGGAAATAAAAGCGACCCATACCAAACCGCCCCATTGCGAGGACGCTGCCATTGGGCAGCTGTTGAATCTGATGCGATCGCGCGGAGACAGAGGAAGCCCGCGTATGAGGAAGGGGGAAAGAAGAGATGCAGTGGGAGATCTTTTCGGTGAGTGTGGCTGCCCAGCTGTCAACAAGTTTGCGATGAAAAAAAATGTCTGCGCTATCATGTGGAGTTCAGAGAGCTGCTGGAAAAAAGGTCAATTATTTTGGTGCGAGGCTGATATTGCGTATGTGCGCGCGGTGTTACGTTCCACCGCAGACGTTGAGAACGCAGCACGAGTCCTGTATAGAGGTGATTCTTTCAATGCTCTTCACCACGATGAAACTCTGGATCGATAATAAGGCCCAGGGTCGGTAGCGCGCGAGCGGACATGTATAAAATTGATCAAATCCTAACCTGCAGTAGAGCTTATGCCCTCTCCGTCGCCCAGAACAAGTCGTCCAGTACTTGGAAACAAGGAACCAAGTGAGCGTACAAAGGGGTGAACGTCGGAAGCCTTCAGATGCATGATCATCATGCCGTTGAACGAGTGAATCGTAAAGCTTTCGAATCCAGTAGGCAGGCCAGGAGCCGTTGAATGAGCAGGCGATGAAGGCAATGAATCTGTGAATCGTCACGTCATAGAGCATCCTATTGAGAAGCCTTCGAATGAGCAGATGGTATAGTCGTCGAATTGAATCCTGAAAACGCTGCAATTGCGAATAAAGGGATAGCGAAGCCTCCGAATGAGCACATGGCGTGGTCAGTGAATTGGATCGCCGTGCTAGTGCCTGCGAGAGCGCGATGCGGACTGCTCCCGCTGCGAGGGCTTGAACCTCTCGGCCACGGTATGCCTCACCGACGCCATGACGACGCGCCGGACGCCAGGTTCAATGCTGCGGCCTTGCAGCACGTGAGTGGGCCAGGGGGAGGGGACAGAGCGCGGGCGGCAAAGAAAGCCTCAGGCTCGTGATTGAGCAGGTTCGGGACGTGAGGGTCACCAGCAAGCCGACCCTCCGTAAGCGCGGCGAGGCGCACCTAAATGGATGCGTGCCGCGACGGCCGGAGCGAGTGCGCGGGAGCGATGCGCCGCGTCGTCGGGAGGTTGTCGGAGGGAAGCTCAGGCGGCGTTTCAGGCGTCGACTTAGGCCACGCGTTCCGCTCGTCTCCCGCATGCTCTGCAGTTGGGGCGAAGAAAGGGACCAGAAAGCGGAAGTTCTCGGCCGTGTTGGGGGTGATCTCGACTCTGCCGTCGGTGTCCCTGTTCTCGGCCAGGAAGAGCCGCTGTGGTCCGTTAGCATGATGTGCTGAACTTCCGGTCAGAGCGGTAACCTACCTGGCGGTCCTCTAGCAAAGCACTCAGCAGGTCCCAGTCCTGCCTTGCGCCGGCCGGTCACGTTACCCGGCGCTTGCGCGGCGAGGAGAGCTCATGCCCAGGTGCGGGCGCGGGTCGCTTTGACTGGGCGGCTGCCATGGTGAGGCAGAGCTAGCGCAAGCGGCCATCTTTTACAGCTGGAATATGAAGAGGCTGAGACGGTGAAGTGGTGAGCTGCCCTGGTGGAGGGTGAGTGGGCATGTCTCGTAGCGCAAGCCGGCCGTGCGCCACGCTTCGGAAGGACAAAGGATAAGAGAAAAAGAAAAGTAGGGTAACGAGAAGGCAAATTCTTTTCTGCCCATCTGTTCGAGCAGCACCCGCGGCATGGCCATTCCGTCTTTCCATATCACTATGAGCCGAAGCCGTTTCGATGGCGTAGGAGGTATGGTTAGTGGAGGTATAAATGACGCCTATATACTCTTCCCAAGCACGATCCTCAACACCTAGCTCAGCTTCAGAATTCGTCAAACCAGGTGCATGCCATAGTGCTACACACTCGGCGAGCGCTAAGAATTCCATGCTTCGGGGTCGTCGAGGGCGGCTCCGAGGAGCGTTCGAGGCTGGCGTCTGGGCTCATTCCATCGCGCGCTGGCCTGGAAGTCCATGTGCTAGCTCAGGTACTCCAACCTAGGCTCGAGAACGTTGTCCCCAATCAGTGCTTCATCGGCGCCCCATCCGTCCTCTTACTCTCACTGGCCTGCTACAGGAGGAGATTGGCTAGTAGAGCCACAATGCATTTTGTCTCTGAGCGCGCGAGCACGAGAATAAAGAAGAATGTGGTGCGCAAGAAGAATTCTGCGCATGGGGAAGCGCGGAGTAGGGCTCCAGTTGGCGGTTGGTAACGAGGCCTCGACATCAGCCCAGGAGGGATTGGTGGAGGAGATCGGTCCCACTAGAGCTGCTCAGAGATTGCCCACGTGGGGAGTAGTTGTGGATGGGTAAGCTCTGGCTGGCTGGAGAGCTGATGTGAGCTCTCCGATTGGCCACAATAATTTCTCGTCTCGAGTTTGATCGCGAAAGTGATGCTCGAGTAGGAGTCGAGCAGATAGGATAAAGCGCAAAAACAGGCAACCGAAAAATCCACGGCTGGACTTCTTTTGCCGAACAAGCATGAAGCGAAGCGCATTGATGGCCGTACGTGAATCGTCGTTGCAGTTGTGCATGGGATTGTCGAGGAATCATGTTCTTTGTTTCTAAGTTTGTGTACAACGCTCCTCTGAATATCGCCTTGCTTTACTCGAGTATTTAACATATCCCGCAATCGGTTGCTGAGCTTCACTCCAGACAGCTCGAGCGGTGCGCACGGATTAGATACAATCACTTCCTCTAGTAAAAAGCCTCCAGCCGAGGCCTAGTCTTGACTCGGAGAGTACAAAAGGCTATTTCTACCCTCCATCCCAGTCAAGCAGCGCTTCATCCAAGAGCCCACCGCAAACTCCAGGCTCAACCTCTACTCAGAGAACAACCTTCACTCCCTCGACTCTTCGAAGCTCTCTTTTCAGCAGCCCCGCCATGTCTCAATCAGCTCCTCGACGAGTTCCGTCCATCGTGGAGATATCTCATCTTATTTTCGACAGTAGGATATCAGCCGCCCAAAGCGCCGAGGCCAACCAGGAAACCGACCAAAAGCCCGAGGACTACCAGGATTGGAAGCCTCACTTGGAAGCAAGCTACCTTAAGATCTTCAAGAAAATTGACGAAGAACGAGGCTTCTTCTACGAGGGATTCAAGCAAGTTGCGCCGGCAGCAATAACCACCTGCCCACAGAACGAATCCGAATGGGTTGCCTGCTGGACCGCATTTCGGGAGCTGTGTAGCGAGTATTTCAAGCCACGCTTGGAAGAGGAATGGAACGCATCCGAATGGGTTGCCTGCTGGACCGCATTTTGGGAGCTGTGTAGCGAGTATTTCAAGCCACGCTTGGAAGAGCAAAAGGAACCTTCAGGAATGAAAGCACTGCTAGCGAAATGGTGCTCTGGAAGGAAAGCACTGCTGGCGAAATGGTGCGAAATGGAGAACGAGAACCAAATGCGAGAGGGCCTTAAGCCAAAACGACCCCAGGAAATGCGGCGCGACTTGTTCATCGACACAATCAAGAAGGCCTTCGAGAAAAAGCTGTTTGAGTGGGGTTGTCTATCATGGCTGTTTGACGAATACATATTCTTCACTCTTCCCCGGAGTAAGGACTTGCAGTACCGAATTGCGTTCCACGAGGACAATCTCTATGAAACCGCAGACTACGCTTTCGACGCCCCGGATGATGGTTTGCCTCCAGCAGCAAAAGTGTGGTTAGCACCAGCAGACGGAGACCATAGTCAGAACACGCATGACAGGATGATATTTGATCGAGATATATTTGCGCTCAAGAAGATCAATGGGCCTTCGGATAGTACCTTGTTTGGTCTCCAGCTTGGCTACATTGAGGTGCGGCCTACTGACGACAACGTCTTCTCACCCACCAAGGACAGCGAAGAAGTTCATACCGAGTGGAGTCCTACTGGAATCATCGTCTTCCTCAAGATAAATCCTGATACGACCAAGTCAGATGGACTCTTCTGTATCGACCTTTCTGCCATATGCGACTACAAGGAGGGGGGTGACAATACACGGGCAATGCTAGGTCTATGCGAGCCAAGGGATGAAAGTGATGGCCATAATACTGGTGCTGGCTTGCCTCACGACCATGAGGAGGGACATGTAGGCACGTACAAGGCCTATCGGGTGTTTACGGATGATGAGCGTATTTGGGTAGAGGAGCAATAGACTCGGGAACCTTGCGCACCATGTTTGTATCATGGAAACGCTTACATTGATTGTGATAGTGCGGACCCTGTGTTGCAGAATTGAATAGAACGTGCTCCAAGCAGTATGTTGCAGGGTGCAAACCTAGTCTCTTTGTACACGAGCAAACTTACAGGCTGGGGATAAAATCTACATAAATGAAATTGAATCCTTTCGCGTTATTGGAGCATCTCCGAGCATAGCATGATGAGATCCGTTCTTCGCAAGTACGGGCGTGTTCGTGATACCGAGAATGAGCTACTTTGGACCACATGGCCGGAGCAGTCACTTCAACTTGAGCTTTCCGAAAGAGACGGGCGCTGGTTCTGGAACTCGCAACCAGCTGGCGAAAGCACTATACATGCCGCAATCCCTAGACAACTTAGGTGTCTCGACGGCAGGCTAGAAGGAATTGAGAAGGGGACATCGACTTTCAACAACATGTTCCACAATGACATGCCAATGATAGCAACGCGTAAGATTAGTTCTTTCCAGCATCCGTCTAATCTTGCTAACTTTAATTACAGTGCGAGAAAGGTTCTATAAGCGATGCGAGTGGGAGCTGGAGAAGATTATTCGGCCATTACTCGTGGATATTAAAGAGATCGTTGAAACGGAAGTCTCGCTCGGGCTTGGGGGACTGCCAGCGGCCAAAAACACATCCGTGGATGGAACCATCCAAGACATAAAAGACCGGCTCGCGGCTACGACCTCGGAGTTTTCAAGATGGCCTGGAGCTGATTCTACAAGTGCACTAAAGGTGCCTACGCAAACGCCGTACGAAGTTCTCGTCGAAGCCTGTGTCTGGAAATGCCAAAACGGTACGCTCATCCAATGTTTCTGTCCAGGAAAAAAAGCTTATGGTTTTCTAGAACTCGTCAAGCACCCTCCAGCGCAGAAGGACTTTGATACCGTTAGAAAGCGGCTCGCGAGGAGTATCCGTGATGAGCTCAATGTCCTAAATGGACACAACCCCCACAACAAGGATGTTTATCGACCATCGACGGTGGTCCTGTGCGTGCGGTGCGGCATCACAGGCGGGACAAAACCGGTTGCGCGAAATGATACTTCAGCTACGAAACCTGTTGGTGCCTTGCTCAAACTCATCTGGGACAAACGTACCCCGAAAAACACCCCAGATCCAAGAGAATACGAGGAGTTCAGCGCCGACGGTGATGCCGAAAAAATTCTCAAGCATCTAGATGCAGAATTCAGACCACCACGTTTCATGCGGCAACACGTTGCAGGGGCAATCGATCAAGACACAAAACGAAAGGGCCCATGTCCGACATGCAGAAGAGTCCTCGGCTATATCGAGCTTGAAGATCATGATGAACAACCGCATCAAAATCCTATGCCGCCTGGTGTCTGCGCAGAATGCCCGGTTTCATTCCGTTGCGACGCGCACGAGCAGGACAAGGTAGACATACGCGAAGGTGATGCGCTTTATCGACAGATTGTTCAAGTCGTTCGGGCTCGAAAGCGAGCGCAGATTGCTACAACACTGCTCTCACCAACACTGGGGACGAAGTGGCGGAAGCTGTGGAGAAGATGGGTGTAATCAAAGGCGAAAGCTTCGAGGGAAAGAGAAAGTGGTGGAAAGAGTGCGACAGGATGCTAGGGGCCCTTCCTAATGACATGCAAGCGGGGAATGTGCAGGGGTATGAGGGGTAGAACGGTTGTATTGTACGGCGCTTCTTCGACTAGCAGGCAAGAAAGGCGATCCCGCGATTCCTTTCATGCAACTCTCCTTCAAGTAAGATTCTCTTCATTTTCAGGCGCTGCATCTCTGGGTGCTGGTAAGCATGCATCTTTTAGCGCAGCGATTCCATTCCCAGATGTCCCGGTTCGTGACCAGAAATTGTAGCGCTCCCGCCTGCTGTCCGTGAGCCGCTACTTGCTTAGTCTAAACTACCTCTTGCTGGTCGTGTTACGCCTTCTCTCTTTTGGCAAAATTGTCCTTATTCTTGAAGGTCATGCGCAGTTTGCGCTTCTCCGGTCATTCGGGCGTCACTCGCCATTTCCTGCTAAATCTTCTGCTCTCGTCATAGTCACCCCCTCGCCTGGGATATACCCATTGAAACCACTCTATCAGCCGCCAGCCCCTCGTTTCTTTGGGCACTGTATGGTAATACATCGCACGAGGACGGAGGGGCGCGGCACAAACGAGCTGAGCGTAACTTGCCTTACTAAATCTAACAAGTAAGACACATCTGCATCTGGGCCTATGTCTCCATCTGCGCCTCAAGCTCTCAGCGATGGCGATTGTGATTAACTTTGACAGTAGGGCTAAGTCGACCAGCCGCGATCCAAACCAGTCTGGCCACCTCAACCCCCACTAGCCCCGCCGTAGCACTTGGCAGCTGCTGCTCCTCGTCATTGACAGCAGTATGCTGTCCATGGATCCTTCCGAAGCTGCCCCATGCCTTCCTCGCCAGAAATCGGCGCCTTTGTGCGGCCTCTCCTTTCGCAGCGTCCCTCCGTAGATACGGAAAGCGCACGCCGGCACTGGTTGCCGAACCGGAGCATGTTGTCCCCAAGCCACGGACTCCTTGAGAAGCCTTCACAGATATCCCGCTGGTCGACTCTCGACGAATTCGCCGCCGCAAGCGAATAAACGGTACCTTCAGGTCTCGGACCTCCAGCACGCCTTCTATCGCCTTTCGCCGCGCTCTACGCAAGACACATCGCCTAGCGAGGAGAAACAGGAACACAAGGAACATACCCCACTCGCTTCCGTGCGAGCTGCGAGAGCAGGAGCTGGAGGCGAACATGCATCGGGTAGTGAGGAGCCAAAGGCAGACGACGGAGATATGCCATTTGAGCCTCCAGAAGATTTAGAAGAGCCAGATGAAGAGATCCGCAGGAAGCTAAAGCTGCTAGGTAAGGGCCTAGTATTGAACCAGACTCGTTCGGTGAACCTTACGGACGCAATTTTCACACCGAGCTCCCCAGCATGGATGACGACGACTACGACGATAGCAGCATCAACAATGAGGGAAACTCCGAACGGGTAGTGTACACTTCCTCTGGCACAGAGCGCAGCCAGCGTGCTAAAATGCCTAAACGCAGCCTTAACAGCCACTATCTCTCCAACTGCATTCGCCAACGTCTCCCTTCGCCGCGAACCCAAGCGCCATCGGCTCTCAGTCGAACCCTCTGGAGACTCCGCACAAGTGCTATCCATCCACGATACTACATCGTCATTTGCCTCCGCATATGTACATAGCGAGCCGAGCTACATCACTTCCATCTCCTCCAACTCGCTCAATCTGGGTACCACCATGCACGGCGCCCTTCAAGACTCTGGCCAGCATTCGCCCTTCTCCGCACCATCTTCGTCGAAAGTTGGGATACAGGGTGGCTATGTATTGCCTCCTGATGTCTCGACGGCAGAGCTGGCACTTAACCTTTGATCGCGGAAGCGGACCCTTCAATCGGCGGTTGCATTAGCCAAGAAAGACACTCAAGACGGCGCGTGCAGAAGTCAAATCAACCCAAGACAACATTGCCAAACCTATGGCCGTCGAACCACCGATTACAGTCAAACAAATCGCGAAATCCCTTGCGCTTTTGTAGGACGTTATCGATGAGGCTGACGAGGGTGCCAAGATGTTCAAGTAGATGCAGGCAAGGTTCGGCGTTGAATATTTGAACCATGCCCAGCTCGTCGAGCGGAATGAGAAGGTCAAGACTGAGGTCGAGCAGAAGAAGCAGGACCTGGAGGCGAAGCGGGCTCAGCTAGCGGCGGCAAGGCGGAATGAGAAGGAGGCGGATGAGAAGTATTGCGAGACGGAACAGGAGTGGGAGGGGGTAAGTACAGAGTGGAAGCGACTCAGGGCTATCGTAATGCAATAAGAGGACTGAACGTCTGGGTAAGCCCGAGTGCCGAGTGAGCGTGGGGTTGAAGGCTACCTCTGCTGGATTTCCATGCCCTAGTTGAGAATTCTCATGGTTAGGAATTCAAGAGGCCTTGCTTGGCTAGCGTGGCGTAAGACCTGTATTGAGACCGAGCTTCACCAGGACTTCATATCCGGTCCGGCGCCATACGAATGCCTTCAATGGGTAAGCTGGGGGGCAGTGAGCGTGCAGCGAACACTGTGATTCATCCTTCCAGTCAGCTCGACCGGCCGGTGAGCAATATCGTAAACATTCGCGCGGTACTAGTAATATAGCGGAGATGAGAAAAGTAACAAATGTAACGAAAGCTAGTCAGCTGAGGAAGAGCAGCTGCCAGGCAAACGATCAACCAGTCGGACGAGGCGCGCGTACCGCTCGCGGTTGTAGAAGGGGCTCGAAGTAGAAGCGCTGTGTGGCCTCGTGGCGCTTGATCCATCGCCGCCGGCGTCGAGGGCCAAAATGCGCACCGGATTGCAGGTGAGTCGCCGCGCCGCTGGCCTCGCCATCATCTGGCTATCTCCCAAAGCCGTCCACCTTGTCCAGAACGTTATCGCGGATGCCCGCCAGGCTATTCCGCTGTCAACGCCTGGCCCACGCACGCCTACACGTTCCTTAGTGCCACGGAGCCCCTTGACGCCTACTGGGTCCCGCGTGTATCCGTTGTGCGACGGCCCCGGCGACACTTCAAATGCTTCTGGGATCTGAGGTCATGGCGGACCACGCTGCTGCCAGACAGGGCAGCGGAGCATCTGTACGATGTGCTTCGGGAGACGTAGATGCGCTTCGACGCCTAATGGCACGATCCAATCTGCTGACGCGTGAGTACGGCCCGGGGAATGCGGCGGAAGGAGGGCCAACCCATTGTCGACCTGCTGGCAGGCAAATGCTCAGAAGTGTGCAGCATGTCCAAGCCAACGATGACCTTGATTGGCGTGACGCCAGGAAACGCCTTACAGATTGCTGCTGGAGGATACCCCGGTCCAGTCTCGGTCAAGCTTCTCGTTCAGGCTTTTCCCGCCCTCTCCGTTCCTGACATCTTGTAGAATACGCGCTTTGGGGAGAGGTACGCGTATGACCGTGGGAGCAAACTAAAGCTAAACTGGGCAGCCCGGCGAAGACGCTGCCGGCTGTTGACCGGGGCACTACGGAAAGCGAGCACCTCATCGTACTTCAACCTGGGCGGCGGAGATGCTGCAAAACAGGCGCAATTAAGATGGCAAAGGGTTAGGGTTGGAGCACCACGAGTGTGGTGATGGCTGCAAAGCTTGGTGCGTTGGGACGACGAAAGGTTGAAATGGCCCAAGCGCGAGCCAATCTATCGTATGCATAAATCCGTGGAAATCTTGGCGGCTTCCTCACGATTTTGCGCGCGCCGTGAAAGATCAACTTCTTCAAGCTTTGATATCTTTTCTTCAAATTTTGAAGGAGAATTCTCCAAGTTATGAAGAAGAGTTCTTGAAATTTTCAAGAAAATCCTTTAAAGCGTTGAAGAGAAATTCAAAGAAATGAAGAAACCCTCTTCATAAAGGATGCACAAAACACCACCCCTCAGATTCTCTTCAAAATTTGAAGGTTCATTCTTCAGTATATGGAGGAGAGTTCTTCAAAATTTGAAGAAAAAATAGCTTGTTATTGAAGAGAAAATGCAAAGTTTCTTATACTTGCGTATTTTCTTTTCAAAATTTAAAGGACTCCTCTATAACTTGAAGAGCAATCCTTCAAATTTTGAAGAGAATTCTTCAAAGCGTTGAAGAGAACTTTGCAGACAAAGGCGTCTTTTCTTGAAAATGAGGGGGTTCAAAGATTTCCACGGATTTATGCATACGATAGATCTTGGCGGTTGCCGTTCCTTGCCATGCTGCCATGACATCAGATTGCCACGGCAGCCCTGGAGTCCACATCCCTCGCATACATTTTCCATCAGCAAGATTCGAAGCCGCGCCTCCACGCCGGAGGCGAATAGACCGGCGCATGGCGTCGACGGCGGAAGCACTGAAAACGACGTACACTAACTCACACCTCTCCCTGGGACGACTGATTGCTAATAACAACAGCACGGTCTGGCAGTCTGCCCACCTTGTGAATACAGGCGGGTGTCGATGCTCCTTCTCCCCTTCGATGCGGACCCTTCTTCTTGCTGGGATCCCTCTCCAATGCGCTTCTCCCCTCGCTGCGATTACTGCCTCTGGCAATTCATGTCCGACGCGATGCTTCACTACGATCCCCGCGCGCCGGTGAGGCTTTCTGGCCCCATGGACATCGGCCAGCTGAATAGATATGGGGGGTGGTGGGACCCAGGCTTATGCTCGGAGCTGTTCCTTCGGACGCGTTCCTTCGCCTGCATACGAGGCCATCGGGGACGCCGCGGAACGCGGCTCACAGGATCCCAGCCTGAGTCGTTCTTGAGGGTCATGCCTAGGTCAATGCAAACGGCAGGCAACGTCTATCATCAACCTCTGGCTATTTCTTTTCTGCCCAGCGTGCATTGGGCGCACCGGTCTCCATTTCGCCCCATTCGATGCGTGGCTGCAGCAATTTTTCGCGGGCGCGGGGGCAGCTGATTTCCCAAAATGGATTGCGGGGTGCACGCTCTCACGTGCGCATCCATCCCAACCTCAGGAAGATTTCCCCTGTTCTCAGCCTGTTTAAATCCATCCACCCGCAGTGCACAGCCTATCGCAGATACATCTACTGTTTCCGCGTTATCGGACTTAATAGCCCGTTTCCTGTTTTGATTGGACGACAGAACAAGCATGGCGTTGACGATCTCTTTTCGAGCTTGCGGTCCATCATCACCACGGTCCATGAGACCCAGGGCGTTCTCAACAGCATCCCGGCATCTGACCTCAAGTCCAAGACGGACGCCAAAGGCTATGAGTGGCAAGAATGCATCACCAAGATCGAAACGGACCTCGTACTTGCCATGGAGCAGATGGGACCATCGACCCGCGACGAAACCGAAGTTGCCCATGCAGACGTCAAGAATCGCCTCGGGCGCGCCATCGGCGACTACTTCGACTTCTAGAACTTTGGCCGGCGCAGTAATGCCCATGTTTTGGCGCGCGGTGTCGCGTGGGAGCGTTAGTTGAAGGCGTGAGTACTGTGTTGGCAGGTATTCTCGGCTCGAGCCCAACTAGCTTACGCTGCTGTGGACGCTGCGGGAGAGCGACTCACCTCCGCCTTTCCCCCACGTTGATCTAAAGTCCCCATGAGAACGGAGTCGGGCTGCTCGAACGGTCGATCTAGCGTAGTCTCAATCCCGCGGGCTGCCTGTGCGATGCGTGGCGCCGAGCGGAGATTCCTATAGCTTCGAGAGCATGTGCAAGGTCAAAGACCGCATGCGCAGTCTCAGCTAGACATGCCTTGGGCTTTCTTTTTCACTCAGGAGCTGTTGTGGAGCTTTTGATCAACCAGAGCGCATTTGGAGATAAATCCCAGCGTTTTTGAGCATCTCCTTATAGATGCCACTCCCAATTCACGGCACTCGCTTTTATTCTCTATTTCCTCACTATTTCTCCCTGCTATTCTCTTCCCCTCTTCCGGGACGCGTACGGCAAGCCACGTCGGAGTTTGGAATGATATCTCGACAGCCGTTAGTAAAGTGCAACGGCCCTGTGCATTTCACAATAAGTATAACTTCTCTCGTCGGCCGCTAGTGCTCGATTGCTCGCGTGCAAAGAACTGAATGCCTTTCTAGGTTGCTCCGCCCCGCTCCATGCTGCTGAGCAGCACGCGTACCACCGCGCTGGCCTTCCTCCGTATTGTTGGAGAATTACCGCAAAGGATCGCCGAGCGAGATCCAACTTTCTAATCCGAAGGGCAACTTTCTCACGCCAGCCGTCGGGCTAGCCGAGCACGCTGTTTCCGAGCTTGACGAGTCAGGCGGAGACGGCCAAGTTCGGTACGCCTTTGGTTCTTTGACGAATTAAGGAGGGCATCAACGCACGATTGGACGCCGCCTGCTGGAAGTGCACCATCAACTACCAGGGGAACAGAGAAGCGGTGTCAGCTTTCCTACTATGCGCCTCTTTCCGTAGCATGTGCTTTCGCTACGCACCTTCTCGTTTGGTCCATCTCTTCCATCCCTGTGTTTGCAGCATCCTTCGGCTGGAGAACAAGGCTTGGGCCACCAATCTTAGCGGATCCCACTTGTAGCACTTGGCTACCAAACAGCAGTAGCTTCAGCGCTGCTCCCCTCGGAGGATCCTCGTTTACGGTGACGCCTTGATTGTATCGTTCGCCAGCGATTGCGCTCGAAACCGCTGCGCCCTGATGCTTGCCCTGCCCCGCGCGGAAGCTCGCCTTTCTCGTTGTCAACGGTGTGCTTGCGGGCGGAGACGTTCTCCTCTGAATCCGCCTCATCCTCCCAAGGCCAGGAAGCGGAGGATACACGCGCTCGATTCCAGCTCCTTGAGAGGGACAACAGAGGCCCGTGTCTGTTGCCTTCCGCAACGAAAAGAAAAACCAGTGGCGCCGCACAATCCTAGGAACAGAAGACATCGTTTCACGTCCCCTTGTTCAAAGCCTCCTTAACTCCCAACAGGGCAAGGGTTCGAATGTGTATGAGGTCTTACCAACCAAGCAGGCGACTGAGAATGGCGGAGCTCATCTCCTCATTGTACCTCAGAGGCCTTCAGGACCTTATCTAGCGATCATGTCAGCGAGATCCGCGTCATCTGTCCTGCATCTAAGTGTTGAAACTGGTCGGCTGATGCAGGCGTCCTGGGCGCTATGATGCCCGTTGCCCAAAAAGCCCAGCTGCAGGTGCCCAGATACGCAAGAACATGAAATGGACCACCGACTGCTTGAGAGGAACATCGCTGGATCAAAGCAGGAGCTGGCTTTTCAGCCTCCCTCTCCTGCCGTCCCTGCGCACGACACGCCAAAAACGCCGCGAAGATGCGGCGTCATTTTCCGACATTAGGCGTAAGAGCACGAAGCCCGAGACGCCATCACTGATCGAAGGTATTTTCTCGTCTGAATGAGTTGCCACGCCCCCGATGCAGCCGGTCCGGTCTGTTTGGCTCCATTCTGCGGTCTCACTGAGAGCGAGTACCCTCCCCACTCCGATACGCGGTCCTTCGCGCTTCGAAACTGCGAACACGGGACTCAACAATCTCTTCCACCGTCACGCGCCCACATTGAGCGTCGGGCTCGTCGCCCTTATCCGCTGTCGCGCTTCAACGCCACAAGCAACAGGTTGGCCAGTGTGATCCGCCTTCATCGTAAACAATGGGCCCGGACTCAATCATCTCATCCGCTATCGGCGTGGACGCTGAGCACCGAACTCTTTCGTCTCGTTCCTTAACCCGCACGAATACCTCAACTATTGGATTAGTCGTCAACGCCATGCGCTATTGCGTTTCACCACCGCGAGCATTGTCCCATCCGGCCTCCCGCTTGAAAATGCGCGCTAGGTCTAGCCACCTCCACTTGCCGTCAAGCGTCAATACTGACTACTAGGCTTACCCCTCTCCTCTATCGTCGCAAGCCAGCGTCAAACATCGCGCTCATCAATCTTGTCCTACCATTATGCATCTACGCTATCGGAATTAGGCTCGTCGGGCTCATCTTTCTCTTGTGCACCGTACCTACGAGCACCTCGCTCGATCATCTCGTTCTGCCATCTCCCATCTATGCTGGGCGATTGAGCTCATCGAATTTTACCGCCGCCGTGCGAGTACCCCGTGAGCATCGGGCTTATGGATTGCGTCCTGTCATCGCGCATCAACACTGTCGGCATCAGGCGTCTTTGGTTACAATGTGCCGTCACACTCCTACACCATGTGCATCGGCCCAGCCTACCTCATCCCTGAAACCTATCTTATATGCCACCGATACGCATAACGGACATCTCATGGCCCAAGCCAGGCAGCAAGAGCAGCATGCATCGACCACCGCTCGGCGCCTTGTCGCTTCGGGTTGGCGTTTGTTCTACCACATCAGTCGCCGCATCACTCATTTTCGACCTGGGCAGATAGCAAAGGCCGAGGCAGCGTTTTCGAAGGTCGAGTCACTGTTCTCCCAGGCCAAGGTATGCATCCCGTGAGCAGCAAGGTGTCGTCTCATCCACCAATTCCTGGCTAACCACACCCTCTTCTAGCTCTGCCAGGCTCTCAAGCCCGCCCTCCCAGATCCGCGTCGTCGCTTCATCTTCTTCACCACCATCTTCAGCGAGGTCCGAATACGTTCCAGACCAACCAGCGCTCCCTCGACTACCTCTGCGACTTGCTTGATCTGCCGAAGCCCGTGACGAACCGACCGAAGATCGGATCTGCATCCGCATCTACGCCCACGTCGGTCGCTCGCAGATCCCTGACACCGTCGCCCTCTCTGGCGGGAAATTCGCCCTTGCAGTTATCCCGAAAGCTTGGATCGCCTTCTCCTCTATCTTTGAGAAATCCGATCTCGACGCGCGGAAACGCTCCTGTCCCAGGTCGGCGGTCTCTGGGGTCAGAAAGGGGGCGAGGGGCCGGGGCAGCTCGTGGTAGGGGGTGGGGTAGGACGCGGGGTAGCAGTAAGGGTGGTGCAAGGGAGTCCTAGAAGGAATGGATAGGCACGTTATCGAATCTACTCTGGTTGTTTTAAAGATTTTGCTCGCCGTTTGGACTTGAGGCAGCTGCGATCACTTGGTTAACTTGGCGATTGGAGTTCGTGGGTCGAGTCCAGGACCGTGCCCGTGTTCTCAATGCTCAAAGGGAAGCGTGAGGCGTGTGAACAAGTAGATGTCTCTAACTCCCTTATTGTATTGTCACGATGTTCGCGCATGTCTGATGTTAGAACGACCTTGGAAAGAGGGCGTCTGTATACTTGATATTGGATAGGAGACGAGATTTAGAGTTGAGGTGTTAACTAATGCGTGGTAAAGTGGCTTCAAGTCTATGCAAGGACTCGGTCAATCTATTACATAAGTGAACAATGGTAGCCAGGTTGATTGTTTCTTTCTTTCTTCCTTTAGTTACTTTGAGACGAAATCCTAACCACTGTAAAGTTATATTTCATAACGTACGGGTACATGCCCCAGCGGCTACTACCAAAGCCGATGGAAAACGCATATCTCGGGGAATTGTGCTCTGCCGTTCACCACTATGCTATTGCTTGGTGCATGCTCAAGTATAGGGCTTAATGCATCAGCCCTAAGGTATAAAGTTCAATTCATAACGCTCTAAGATTCTACCCCCCGACCACCACCTCTCGAAAGGCTATTCGAGTTTCGAGTTGAGAAGAACGGACAAACGGCAGATTTGTTTTCGAGCCCGAAGCTAGTGCCCACGATGTAGGGTAGTTTTATTCAAACCTACGTTAATTGCGTCTCTTGCTCAGCATTAGATAAACCGCAATTTTAGTAAACGTCGAAGAACTCTTCCGTTGTAACGGCACTACAAACCCTATTAAGCACCTGCATGCCTGCCTTCTATTCACAGATTTGTCGCTATCGCTATCGCTATCGCTATCGTGATAATAGTTCTTGTCCCAGACATTCGTTAAGGGCCGTGATCCAGTTATACACTAACTTCATGGCCATCCTATTCTATACCGCAACTGCGTAACTCTAGCTATATCAGTTATCCTATTAGGAATCCCAACGGCTGGTCCAAATTTACACCTCCGGTAGTGCAGGGCTCTCGGCTAGGAACCAGTCAAAGCTGAATAGAGTGGTAGGAAACCTTAGCTCTCTCGATCTAAACGATCCGTGGTAGAGCTATCAATTAACTGGCCAACTTTAGCCTAAGGATACAGTACTAGATATTGAAGTAGAAAATTAAGGAATATAGCATATTAGGATAAGGTGTATTGTATTAAGTGTATATAGCTCCGAGAAATCGAAGAAATCTCTGTAGCGCCAGTGGCGCTAGTGCCCGATTAGGAAGCTTGGCGATTGTACTCTAACACTAGAGACTTAGTTTAGTATAATTCACTAGCCACTAAACTTTATCATGCGGCAGGACTTGGACTCGGATATAGCCTTGTCTTTAGTAAGAATGTTAAAGAGCTAGATTAAAGGCGTGGCATTACTCTAGTTTAAGCCCTCTTGTTTCTTCAGAGCAATAGACCGTGCAATGTAGCCCAAGCCAAGATTACATTTTGCCAAGCCTGTCATGGACCGTGCGCGCCCCGCTCGCTTACGCTATATCGTATTTTGCTTTGCCTCTAACGCCCCACACAGATACTGCAACCACTACTGTTGAGCCTGCTCAGCCCCTACATCCAAGTTGAGTGCGCCCATATATTCGGTGCGATATCTTCGAGTCCATGCTAACCCTCACTCATTAGAAGTGCCCAGTCCACGAGTCACGCTAAAGCCTTTCTACTGCTGAGGTGCCCATCTTAGAAGACAAATCCCATATCGTTTCTGATAGTAAGGGCAAGCAAGACGCGTCGCTCGCAGTGGATGAAGCAACCTGGACGCTACCGTCATCGAAGACCAGTACTCCTATATTGCGAGGTTACACCTGACAGCTAAGGCAGGCAAGAGGAGGTGCAAGGAAGTAACTAGCACAGCAAATCAAGGGCGATTTCTTTGAAAGCCGGCTTCGATATCATTTCTCCATACAAAGGAGAAGCAAGAGGGGGCTCCGGAAGCAGTCGGCGCAGCAACCAGGGCCCACACACCCTTCCTGGATGACCTGAATTTCACCGCGAAACTTGATCTGTCTCCATGACCCATTATCGCGACGAAAGCAGTTCTCTGAAGATGCAGAATCAGCTTTCCGGAGGGGCACCCGTTCACTCGGAGCCTGGAGCGTGCACCGTAGTAGACCCGCCAAGCCCTCTGTCTCTCTCCCCACCTCGCCGACTTTCTCTCTCCCAACCTCAGCACCCCACCACGGCGGTTGAAAATCTACTGAACCTCATCCGCCAGCTGCGTGACGGCACCTACGACAGCCCTGCCGAAGATATCATTATCCCGCTTACATCTGACGAATACGACGCGTTCGAGACTGCTATCAAAGCTGATACAGGCTTGCACGGTTGGGTCTACGACAAGCTCCGCTGTTCCTGGCTCGCGACTACATGCCAGCTCATTATCAAGATGGCCACTATTCCGCACGAAACATGGATCAATATAAGCATGGACGCGCTCAAAGACGCAACAACGCAAACCATCCAGGAGCTCCCAGAAACCTCCGTCGCGCACGACCTCTTCCGCACGTTGAACTTTAATGGCGGGGGCGGTGTTACTCGGCCGGGTCCGCGTACAAAAGGAAAGCTGTGCCCCGATCGCTCAATCTACTCTAACATAAACGCCTCTTGGTGCCCTTGCGTAGTCAGCGAGACCGCATATTCCCAGCAACTTGACAGCATTGAAGACAAGGTGAAGCATTGGGTCACGATGTACGAAGGCAATATCAACACCATCATTGTCTGGAAACTCCATTATGGCCCGCCCCAGTCCAAGAAGGCCATGTACCAGATATACAGGGTCCGCAAGTACGAGGAGCAGGGCAGGGTGCGTGTCGACGTTCAACCTACTCCCCTAACCTCCTTCCGCAGCAGTGATGGGCAAGTCGAGCCCGGGGCGTTCCGGCTCAAGCTCTCTGATCTGTGTCCCGCCGGCGCGCTAGAGCTCGACTCCGCGGATAATGTGGAAATATCGATTCCGCACTCTACCTTGGCAGGACTTCTCACGGAAGTTGAAGCTATTCGGGAGAAAGACGAGCAGCTAAAGGAGCCCTCGAACCGCCGCATTAAGTACAGCTTTCTGCCGCCTTCTACTACGTAAGCAGGCAGGGCATTGAGGCTCCTGCACGATAATGGCCTTCTGATAGATGGAAGGAGGCTCTTGGTATCGAATGCAGGCGCGAATGGGAGCAAGGAATCGTAAGGGAGCGACACGGATCGCGTGGGGCGGTGCAATTCTTACTGCAGTCCCAGATGAGGAAACGGTTGTAGTAACCAATCAAGCTTGCGGCAATAGCCCATTTCACATCGGGTTCCTTCTGCTCTCTTTCAGTGACTGTATTATCTTTGACACAGAATACACCTCGAATGTTGCGAAAGATTTAACAGAAAAGTCAGGGGTAGGTATGCTGCGGCGCAGGTTGCGTATTCGGCCTTGCACAAGTTGTATTATTGCATTTCGCTTCTAATTGGATGCCAAAGGGCGATATATCTGCCTAATTGTTCTAGGGGGTGTGTGTTTGCTCTGTAAGTATGTTGTCATCACGTGACGTAGCATTCACACGGAGCTATGCGATCTCCGATTGGTCAGCTCATGAAGCTGTCGGGTCCCATCGCCAGCAACACGATACCTCTGAAATCTCTTGCAGCGGCTCTATTGCTCCTCCAGTTATTCTCTCACGCGAACAGCCCAAATATAGCACAATTCAACAATGCAAGACTGTCGATACGACGATTTCAACCTCAATCCCGCCCACCCGGCCAGCGATTCGAAGCCACAGTGCGACATCCAAGATTACGCGAGACTACAACAGGCTCATAACAAATTGGAGCAGGACTACGAGGCGCTGCGCTAATGGGCACATGGGCATGCACTATGTGCGGTTCTACCACTAGGATTCGGGCACGATGCAGGAGTCGAGAATTTTACGGCAACAACCCTATCCTCGGTGCTCCGCATTAAAGAGAAGAGAATACGTACGCGATCCTGACTCAAGACCCGATAGTATAGAAGAAAGCGGTAATGAAGAGAAAGAATAGTAGTCTTATTAGCTGTGGAAAGGATTATGAAGATGAAGGGAGGGATAATGGTAAAGAATAAGAACAATGCATCGATAAAGATCAGTACACTAATAAAGAAAGAGGAATTGATAGAGAAAGTACGACGACTAAGAAAGATCAAAGGCCCGTTTTGTCCATGCTTGGGATGCGGCGGCTGGATGGGGGACTGCTGGTCGGCCGGATGGAGACGACGATGGCTGACGACAGGCTCGCGAAGCACGGCGGTAATGTCGACGGACGCCGATAGGGGTGAGTGGTTTGAGATGGGTAGTTTGGGATAGGATCGTTTGACGGTTGTGGTGAGGTGGTCTCGACGCTTGTTTTCTTGGCGGCTGCGAGAAAAGGCGCCGGTAGAGTCGAAAGGGTGACTTGGGTGCATCGCTGTGGGTGTACACCCGCCGAGTCAGGAAGGAGAAGCTCGAGGGCCACTGAGCATATGCGGATGCATTCTTCCACTCGATACTAATCGAGGCAAAGTGTTAGCGGATATATAAAGGCGTCATAACTGAAAGAGCGGAAGGATTGCATCCTTTGGCTCCGGATACAAAGAGAAGAAGCTCGAGGGGCACTGAGCGGACTTCAACTCAACATCCGGCTTTGGCGCCGTACACAATGTTTGCGTCTACGGCACAACGCAGCACAGGTTTTAGCATCGTGCACTATCGCAGTTTGCTTTGTCGATGCTAGCTTGCATAAACTTATATATACCGCTCTACCTAACATAACCTTCCCTTCCCCGCAACGCACAGACTGCGCATATCCATCACTACCACTACTGTCCGGACGTCCCCACCCCCACCAGTTGACCTGACGCCTCTCTACGTCTCGGAGCGCGTCCTTCATCCAGACAAAGACATGCCGTTACCTCAGGCGGTTCCACAGCCTCAGGCTTTGCGCAACCTACGCGACGAACGCAACCTAGAACTCTGCGACGTTCACAATGATGTGAACAGCACACCGCCCGATATCTCGATCACTACCAAGGCGGAGGAACCCGAAGGAAGCAGCCCTCGCGATAAAATATCCAAAATGATTTTCAACCGTCTCAAGGAAGATCAAAACAAACCGCTCTCTGACTGGCTTCTCTGTTACCTCTTTAACCCTGGGTTTACGTTCGACCTTGGAAGGATAGGGAGCGCATGGTACCGGATTGTTTTCCACATGAACAATTTCGAATACCCTGAATACCCCGAGCCGGATGCCGAGTCCTTACAGGGTCTTCCTTGGGCTGCCAAGGACTGGCTCGCACCCGTTTCTTGCGAACAAAAGGGAGCGGACGTAGACGGCGCGCTACCTCTTAATCGAGATGTCTTCGCTCTTGTGGACAAAAATGATATAGCCATGACCCCAACATTGTATGGCAACCAATGTGGTTACATTGAGCAGTCGACAACGGCTGAGGAGAATTGGCACCCCACGAGAATTATTGTGTTCGTGAAGATCGATGCGAAGACTACCGAGCCTGAGGGTGTTTGGTACCTCGATCCCACCATGGTTGAGGGCATCGAGGATGATTGCGACGAATCGATTCGACATCAAGTCATCAAGGATCTCTCTGGATCTACGGGCTCCGGCTACAGCTGCATTACCAGCTCTCGCTTACCAGGCAATACGTATGAGACGGGCGCTCGGAAGGCAGAGTCTCGGAAGTTTGATTCTCGGAAAGGAGTGTTCAAGGTCTACCGCGTGTTCACAGATGATGAGAGCATTTGGATCTGAGGCGAAGGAAAGGGATGCAAGTGCTATTTGCGTGGAGAGCATTTGGCTCAGAGGTAGATAAGACAAGGACAAAGGATACTGCAGCAAGTGCTATTTGCTTGGGTAGCCAAACCGCATGTTAAGGCAAACAAGTATGTGAGATCGTCTACAAATGTCATAGTAGCTTGCGCTTGACCGTTCACACTGCGCTCTCGTCGTTCTTTGCGACATCTCTAGGATGGCTGCACAGGGGCAGTCTCTGCTTTGGACACAATGGAACACATCTTTCACATTTGAACTGCGCCGCACTACAACGGGACGGAAGGCATCATACTCATTCAATTCAAAGACCATTTCCAAGAAGACAATGATGACATTGATCCCGGGGAGACTTGGACCACTGGTTGACTGGGTGCGATTGGTCCGGGAAAGTCTGGATGCATTTTCCCGTATGTTGGCGTTAGCCCCTGGGCTGCTAATATCACGTAAGGTTCAGAGGCTTATCCCATTATTATCAAGCTGACGGTGCTAGTACGAAAGCGATTGCTCTCGAGAGCCGATTGGGAAGTACGGACCTTCATCAAGCCTATCACCCAAGAGATTAGCAAATACGCCAGGGCAGAAAACGTGGGCACATCCCACACCGACGAAAAGACCGGGAATACAATCTCGATTTTGGATATTGAAGTGGCTTTGCAAGACACTGGACCGAAGCTTGAAACGCTGTGCAAGCAAGAGGGGGTTGAACAAGGGGGTGAATCATCACCGGCGGTCATCCCGACACAGACCCTTTACGAAATCCTTGTTGAGATGTCTCTTTGGGTCTGCCAAAACGGTAAGTCATGAGAGATACGAGAGAGATTGCTTGCTAACTACGAACAGAAATTGTTACGGAGTATTCTGGAGAGAAAACGTTCGAAGCGGTTCGGGAAGCACTCGGCAAAAGCATCCGAAAGAGGCTGGACAAGCTAAACGACGATCTTCCCGAACCAATCAAAGGGAGACCCTGTCGCCCACTTACCGTTGTCCTGTGTGCGTCATGCGGTGTAACCGGCGGGACGGCGCCAGATTTCGGAATGAAAGACGTTAATAAGAAGCTCAAAGAGATACGATCGCGTCGCATACCCAGCGGACATAAATTCCGACTCGAAGCTGAAGAGGTTGGGAAATTGGATCTATTGAAGGAAAAGCGGCTGAACAGCACTGATCTAGCTGCGCTTCCCAAGAAACCACGCATCATGGAGGATCATCTTGCAGGAGCAGTGGATCAGCATGCGAAGAGGAAAGGGGCTTGCCCAACATGTTCAGTTCTCTGGGGCTATATCGAGCTAGAATATGGCCCACGGCATGAGGAACCACGACTATGGGAAGACTGCGCGGAGATCGTCAGTGCAATTCGTTGCGATGACTGCACAAATCAGCCTAACTGGCCATCCGGAAGCATACAAGACGACGATGTGCTGTTTCAACGCCTTCGCTGGGCCGTACAACGGCAAAGAGAATTGCCGTAAAATTCTCTCGTTGCCACACACTCCATATCGCGAAACGCCGCCCCGATTGGCCGTGAGCGTTGTATGCGACGAGCCACGACCCTCCCCCGATCCCGATGTCCGGACATGGTGAAACTCTTTGAGTGCTCTCCGCCGCTCTTTGACTGCTCTTTGCCGCTCTGCTTTGTCTTCGTCAGCATCAACAATAAAAAGACATACATAGAATGTGCTATACGGGTGGAGACGGCGAAGAAATTTCTGGTACAGATAGGCAGAGGGGCTGAGCATAAAGAGTTTGAGGAAAGAGACAAGCCAGGTTAGAGAAGTGAGGGCTTTGAGAGGCAGCTACACTGAATAGCGACAGAGACAATGGAGATGGGGAACTCAGAGTACGAAGCGGATTGAAGCGTAGATAGGCCGAAGCGAAACGCGGGGCTTTCCCAAACGGGGAATAGCGCCCTTGGCAATCTCGTTAACGTGCTCTGGCTTTTCAGCGTTATTTCTATACACGTTGCATCGAGCCCGATAGTCGTTATGGCAAAGCTCAAGGAGAGCCAGCATAACCTCGTAAATCGAGCGACCCCATCACACAGTAGACTACCCCCACGACCTCTACTTCCCCCTTCTCCTTCCCTTGACACGCCCATATCGCCGAGCTCAACCACAAAACTCGCTACCCAGACCGCATCACCTATCCCCCGCGTTTCTCGTCCATTTTGTCACGAATACAAGAGCTACTCCACTGTCTTCTAGATCTGAGCCGCTTTGCCATACCTTCAGCGGTTATCGACAAGTCAGGACAACAACGCCGGACGACGTAGGACTGCGAGCGCTGCTGCCAATTCGTAGTAGGATGTGAAAACCCCTCTACAATGCGCAATGCGTGATCGCTGGTTGTGCTTAAATCCCTCCCTTTTAGTCTTCCTGCCAACACGATCTCATTGCCACAGACCTCTGGGTGCGGCGAACTCACATCCCGTACCTAGTATATACCTGTCCTCGATCCGTCGTCTCTGGCGTATCTAGCGTATTGGACCCACAAACTGAAATTGAAACCTTGGCTTTGGCCAATCTCATAGCCCCGTCACGAGCGTGTAATTCTAATTCGCAGTCAACACTCCCCCACAGAGACGAACACCCTTACACTCACACTTACCTTTCCGCCCCTCCGCCAGCACTGCGCCGCATCGAGCATATTCCCGCCCAGAGTAGGGCATGAAAAGAGTAATCCAAGTAGGATTACCACGCCAATTGAAGTTTCGCCAGCCAATAGGAAGTAAGAATTACGGTGTATCTACCATGCCCCGGGAAAAGCAGAAACCCTAATTTCTAGGCACCACAACGAGCGATCCATCCACGACGATAGACGGTTCTGTCCAATCATATGTCGCGACCACGTTTCGTTTCGCACCCGACCCGTATCAACGAACTTGAGTTCTCCTCGCTTCTCGCTGGGGCATGGTGTTGCTGGCAGTCAGGGGCTGCAGATCGGATGTGGTACAGCAGCATTTCACTAGGTCCCTCTAATGCTTAGTCTACAAGCCGTAAAGCGCGGTCCTCTATGTCTACAAACGATAGCGGGTCCCCTGTCGCCCATGACGGAAGTCCACACAGCGATGTCGACCGGAGGTCTCTAGTATTCGACGACGACGCAAAGACGTGCCGTGCGCCCAAGAGCGAGAGAGTGTGAGATTTGAAGATGGAGAGGAGGTTCCAAGGTAACCTGACGAGACGGGGAGTGATACCGCAGAGTCTTGTTAAGCTATAGGTGCACTCCTCCAGTGAGGAAGAGCGACGGCGGTCGAGAATCGCGGCAACGGGCGTGAGAACGTACGGCTTGCTGGGCTCGGCCCGGGTAGCGGAGGCAGTCCATACCTGGCCAGCGCGGTAGAGCAGGAACCAACGGGGGCGACCCCCGGCTACCAAATGCCATGTATAGAGGCGAGCAGTACCCTCACCCACGCTCTACGTTGTGCTATGGTCAGAGTGGAAGGAGTCGAGGATGCGGAACGCGGGCGGAGGCTCAACACGGACAGCGAGCGCCGGGCTGCCAGGTGTAACATGTTCGAGACGGACGGCGAATTGTTCTGCTGCATTGTCAGCCATGTCGAGCATCCCTGGGGTGCCTAAGTACGCACCACGGCTCCTCCCCCACGCCGGTACTAGAAGTGTTGGTGGTAGTTGTGTCGTGACGCAGGACTCCAGGGGTGATAAATAGCGGCTTCGCTTAAGGCTTGGCGGGCATTCGCGAGCGAAGACCTGCAGCCCTACAGGTCAACCCTCCGCCTCGACCCTCCGCCAACCATGGCCGCCACTAGCAAAACCGCCAGCCGAGCTTCCCGGCACGCACAGGACATTGTGTCCCATCAAAGACAATCAGCACCCACAGAGCCCGCCCGCAGTTCCGCGAAGCGAGCGCCATCGTCCGGCCCATCCCCGCCATCCAAAACCACTAGGAATTCTCCGAAGGGCATCACCGCCAGGGCCTCAGAACACACCGCCCACGTTGAGCAGGACGCAGCCGATCCACAGCCATGCTCCTGCACGCCCGCCGCTCGACGCTTGATGGAAAATTGGAGCCCAAGCCCCGAATTCCTGGAGAACCTGCAACATCTCATCCCGCAACTTTGTCCACAGCATACTCAGCAACTCGCCATGCAAGCGATCGGACATTTAGCCAACGCCCCTGTTACATCTGCAAAGCGGACGCTTGACGATCTTGATGGTGCCATGCCTCTGCGCAAAGTCCGACGTGTACACCCTTCGCACGTTGCCAGCCGCAACGACCACACTCCTCCAGATCATTGTGCCGAACAAGAGCAGGACTTCAAAGAGCAAGCTGTGGTCCGGATCCGGGGCCGGCTGGGGTTGAAAGGAGCAACCTCATCAGGACCTCCACTGGAGTCAGCTACGTTTGGGAGGATGAATAACAAGATTATGAGAGACTTACTGGAATTGAGCACGCTCCCGAAGACTTCGGGCCCTGAACCGGAAATCTATTACCTCACTGGGGCTGAAGCGAAAGAACTTCTGGAGTCACGGAACCGTCTTCGTGGGCCAATTGTTACACACGGACAACAAAACTTTCAGTGGCAGGAAGGAGATGGTCAGCCCTTCACCGAGCTATTCGACCGCTTTGGTTGCCTGGAAGATCGGGAAGTAAGTGTTCAGAATCCTTCATTGAAGGTGGGGCAATTTTCTGCTGAAATCTGGACGCTCCAAGAGGTCAAGGAGCATTTTTGCGAACCCAAAAATGGTCAAAGCGAGTTCAATTGCTTAGACATGGCGTCACCGCTCAAGAATGCCCTGCCGGCCTTTCTAACCGGACCCAATTGTGCCCTGCTCAGTTGCATCCGCGACTTTGTCACTTCGCGCCGGACTGCAGGGAGAAGCTCATCGTCGGTAGAAGAGTGGAGACTCTGGACGGAGAAGGAGGAGTGGATTTTGCTTGCCTGGGGCGACATGTACACGATCACCCACACAGATGCCATGGGATACAACTCCTGGCTCACCGTCCAACCCGGATCTAGTCCTGTCGGCTTTGGATGGATCTCAAACCCCACCGAGGAAGAGCGGCGCGAATGGATCACCCAAAATGCTACCTTCAGGGGCCAGTTCGGCGGCCACGTCTCCACAAAGCTACGGTACAAGGTGGTATACCCCGGGCAGACTGTCTGTTTCGCAGCTGGGACTATTCACTTTGTCTTTCGACTTGCCCATAAGCCGACATTCGTTATTGGCGGCCACTTCCTGCGCTGGTCCGACATCGACTCCTGGATTCGCGTGGTTATCAGCCAATATGAGAACAATGACAGTACCAACGAAGAGGTAGTCGAGTACGCACCACAGTGGGTGAACGCCGTTGCCGCATTAGTTCAGGACAAGGTGAAGAGAGGGCTGAGCGAGCAGTTGGGCGGCACGGAACCTGTGGAGAGGTTTCGCGAGGGTGTAAGGGTATGTTACTCTGTCGGTGGCTGTCATACAGATCGCCTTAAGAATCACATGCTAATTCGTCTCGTGACAGGACTTTCAGCAGTTAGTAGCAGGGGCAAAGGCGACAGCAGCGAAGGAGAAGAGGGCAGCGGCGGAGCGGAAAAGAGCAGCAGCGGAAGAGAAGAGAGCAGCAGCAGCAGCAGCAGCAGCAGCGAAGAAAAATCTAGCAAAGGGAAGGTCACCGAAGGAAAGGGCAGCGACGAGAAAGGCACCGAAGAGAAGGGAAGAGAAGTAGACTCAAGTAGAATGAGCTGCTTGCACGTGGACAAGCTAAAAATCACATTCCACGTAGAGTACTGCAACTCGAACATGTCTTTTATCCGGCTCTTGTCTCGACGCGCTTTGAACCGATGGTATCGCTGGGGTGGCTGCAGTGTGAGGTATGCATGGTACTCCTATTCTTCTTTCCAGATGGTGCTGTAAGAACCGTCACTCCCAGCCCTTGGATGCCTATTATAGGCTATTTAGTAATTTGCAGTTACCCGAATGCTATTTTTCCGCGTGATTATGCGTGTGGGAGGGCAGATTCAGGGACCTCATGCCGCTGTTCTTAGTCCGAAATAGGAATAGCGCGCCTTTGGATTGCCCACCGCCCGCCTGGGCGACAAGTTTCCTGGCGACCGAGTATGCTCACCTGTAACATTCTCTATTCGCCTCTTTACATAAAGTAAGTAAGTTCTCCAAACTCACACACTCTGACCTGTAGGATACCACTGGCCGCGTTAAGTAGGCCTCCGTCGAGATTCTCAGATCATGCGCTTGATATACGTCGAAATTGGCTGGGGACGAGGCGGCGGACGGATGGCTTGAAGGCGCCTACCTGCAGAATGATCTCAATCACGACCCTCTCACCTGGGGCCCCGTCCGGTCGTCTACACGGGCCCCACCGCAATCATCCCTACCACATCGGAGTTGCCCATCTCTGCCCGAAGAGTGAGGACTGGCGGATAGTCAACGGCACGCTCGAGCAGTACCAAAGGAGCACATGAGTGAAAGCAGTAACCGTTCTAGACACGTATCACCGCTTCCACCGTGGGCGTAGATAACGGCCTTTTTCGGTGCGATGGCTCCTTGCTCAGCGAGCCCTCGGAACTTCGATTTTCCCCGGCCTTCTCATCGGCGCTCCTCGCCCTCATCGTCGGCCTCCTCTGGGTCGACTGGCGACCCCCATCGGAACCTGTCACTGCCCTCAGTGATCACCTTGGACTTCCGGCGTTTACTCTCGATTTACACTCCGTCTGGTTTGTCCGAGTAGTTCATACCTACCATCCTAGCAAAACATCTCAGCGTCCTACGCCCGCCCAGGAAAGGCACCGCACTTGCACCCACCAGCTGCCATTAGATCGAGTCGTCTGGAATGAACTGGACCGATGACCGATCGCACAGACCCTCCGGATCTATTTCACCTGGACGGCACATCAGACGCGCGTACGTACAGGCCGCATGCAGCCGCGGCACATGACAGGTTTCTATCATGTTCGGGAGCCATGTCTTCTCTTCTCCAGGGCGTCGATTCATCTCGCCGTAGCCGTTGGACAATGGGGAAGTCCGAAGCGTCAGTCCGCGCAGGGGCTGCTCGGAACGTCGGTAATCTGCAGCATATTGCACTGCAGTCTGCAGTCTACGCTCCTGTATCGTCCGTGGTCTCGTAGGTATTCGGGCTCGTGCCAGCACTGTTGTTAGTAACCAACTATCAGGGTCAGTGTCCGCATTAACCGTGGTCTTGTCTACCTGCATAATAATCGATGATCTTGCAGGCGCTTACTAGCACGCTGGCGATCTCGATGTAGACTAGAAAAGGAACGAGACTTTCTCTCAACGCCAGAGCCCCGGCTGACGTGCCCTCGAAACCCCTGCCTGCCACTTGGCCCACACATCCTCGTCTGCCAACCTCAATCCCTCCCATCTATCTGCGCCAGCTGTGGCTTCCATGGCCGTGCGAAATTCTTGACTTCCTCGCGATCTCCGACCATGACGCCACCTCCCTCTCCCGGTTGTAGTCCCAATTCATGCTTACGTTTGGGCTCGCAGGGCATTCAGCAGGACACAATCACTCCTCTACTACACCTTGGGTTGGGCCTGACACCACCTTCATGAGCTTACACATGACCATCTACGTACTCATGGCTACCGTCAGGTTCGACGCCCCCTTCGCAATAAGGAGGATCAGCATAGCCGAGCAGACCGAGCGCCGCCTTACATACGGACCATATCATTTTCATAGCGACAGCATGCTTCAGAAAGAACTTCTCCGGTCCGTACGTCGACCGAAAGTGGCTCGCTGCTGGCCGCCTCCGCATGCCATACGAACCCCTACCGTGAGAATACGCTCCGCTACATCAAGCACGCCAAGTTGAGACTCCACCTTGTCTCGAATCGCCATCGCTGCACTACGGACGAAGACGTATTTCGCGGTCAGCAGATTTCAGCAGAATATTCTCGCAAAAGGCTCACCGTGTTGTTGCGCATTGGACTTTTGGCGTTGGAGCTTGGCGGCTGGGTCGGCGCACGGGAGACGGGACGGAACGGCTGCTGGTAGGGCCGATCTCCGATCTCTTGGCACAACCACAACATAACATCACCAGTCCTCATCCTCATCCACATCCCCGCCTCTTTCGCCCTCGCCTCGCGCCGCATCCTCGACTTCATGCCCAAGCGCAAGCGCGCCCTCTCGGAAAGCTGTGCGTCTGCCGCGCAGCCGACCCCCGCGCCGCTCACCGCCGCCAACCTCAGCCACCTCGAAGCCATGAGCAGCTCGCGGCCACCGTCGCCAACGCGCACCGACAACTCCCTCGACAAGCGCAACAAGCTCGAGGCATACCGCATCGCCGTCGACACCGCCCAGCCGCTGCCTGCCGAGCTCGGCGCGCACGTCAGCAATGTCGTGCGCCGGCCACGCAACCCCGATGTCCCCGTCTCGCCCAACTCCAAGGAGGCGGTTGCGCGCAGGCGATTCGCCGCGAGCCAGAATGAGCACACTGGCGTCCAGAAGCTCGCCCCATACCTGCTCTTCGTGGGCGCCGCCGAAATGGACGACAGGGTGGCGCCGGTCGAGCTCATCGTGTCCAAGAACGAAATCAACCTGAATCGCTTCTTCCTCCCTCCCGCCCCGAGCAAGGACATCAAGAAGACCTGGGGCAATCTGTCGCAGCCGCGCCCAGACACGTGTATTGGCTATATCAGGCAGAGCGATGCCAACAAGGCCATGCCTCGCTGCTCCGCGCCTTTCAGCCCAGAGCAGGAGAGCATCCTCGACAGGCACGTCGCGCGCCCCCCGTTGATAGCTGCAGCTAGTGCTAACACCGCCTAGTTACTGCCTCACCTAGCACATGTATTTCCCCTTCCTCACCGCCCAGTGGAAGGTGCCCGGTGCCAACGAGAACCTGCACGACGCCCAGAACCAAGCCGCCCGCGACGGCGCCGTTATCGTCAACTGCCTCTGGGACCTCTACCGCGTCGCCTACAATCGCACCCCGTCTGTGCTGGAGGCGTGCCACTTCTCGTGGCTGAGCGACCTGGAATTCGCCCAGCTCTGGGTCCATTGGCGTGAAGGCGCACAACACTACATGGAGCATGTGGACGACTTCTCGCTGAGGAAGGAGGATGATGTCTGCAAGGCACGGGGCTTTCTCCGCAACATCGTCAACTCTGCCGTCACGGAGCGGCTCGACTCGATCAAGAAGGCCCTCCCACTATTCGCCAAAGCTCGCACCAAGTCATACCCCTATCCCCTTGCGCATACTGCCGAGACCATGTCGCTCGGGGGGTCCTCTGCCGCTACGCCGCCCTTCCAGTTTGATACCCCTCGATATCCCCAGTCTACGGCCTCGGAGCCGTCGAAGAAACGGCCGAAACTTGAATCGGACAGTGAATCCAAGTCGGACAGTGGATTCAACGAGTGAGCTTGGCTTGGGCAGAATTTGATAACGGCACCGTCGCCATCGGTTCAGCACTTGAGGGTGGCATCATCAAGAAGTCAGGAGCTAGGATGGAGATTGTGGAGCAATGCTATCAAGGCATCGACACCAACGTCTCGCCAGCTTCGACGAGCAAACCGCCTCTCCACCAGCTTTCACATTACACATCGCCTCCGTCCGTGGTCAGGTCTACACGCCAGAGCGAGTCCGGCCGGGCTTTCCCCTGAGGCACGAGCGCAGGGCCGTCCGAGACCTCCTGCTATGGCGGGATGCGGCGTGATAATGGATGTTGCGCGCTCAAAGGAAGAGTTAGGACAAGCCGTCGTCCAAGGTGGAAGCGCCGGACTCGGGCTTCAGGCTCGCCGCATCGATCGCTGTCTCGCCTCAACTGATATATTGGCCCTCCGGCTACGAGCTTCTCTAACGACGACGACAGCCGCACTATTAGAGAGCGGCTTTTCATCGTCGTTTGCGACAATGTGGATGGTGGCAGAACGGAATTGGCGAGAGTTGTAGTAGGTCTGGGGACACTGGGATGGCTGGGGGGAGGAAGCACAGTACTCGTCGAGCAGCAGAGCTAGGGCATAGAGAGTTGTTCATTGCAGGTGCAAGAGTCGGCGATGGACGGGCACTGTAGTGGTTTAGCAGCACCGGTACCTCTCGAATAGAAAGATGAGTACCCAGCTCAATTTGCGCCGCATACTCTTCAGACGTCCAAGACATACGGCATCACGCGCTTACCCTGTAAACAGTTCCTCTCCGGCGTCCCCAGGTCTAGCATGGCACGGTCACAGAATCGCCCCCGCTCCAAGACCCGTGGTTGAGAAAGCTCAATTCACATGCCTTTCCTTTTGTCTTTCGAAAGCCACGCGTGTTATGCATTGCTCAGCCAACGACCTTAGGATGTTCTGGGAGGCAAGAGCACTGCTGGGAAGTCTGTCTGCTTTGTTGTACCGTCTGTCTTGCGGCCATGTTATGCTTGGGCGGGTATGTATGCGATGGTGGTCAGGTCACCCACCGATCTCACTGACAAGCGGCCGGTACACTCAAGTAGCTCCAGTATTGCCGGATTGCGATTGGGAATCGCGGCCGCAGTGAAGAGAAGAAAGAGACGAGGAGGAACACAACTGAGGCTTCAACCGAGAGCCTTCCTTGGTCGGACTTTGGCATTGCACGCCACCCTGGCAGGCACTGAGCTGAGCGCTGACGGACGGCTTCATCGACGCTCGTTGACGCGACGCCCTCATTCATGGCCCAGTTTAGTCTAATCCAGTCAGCACACGGCCCTTCAAGCATCGGCTAAAGCAAATTGAGACTTCTGCATCCGTCTGATATGAGTACGAAAACGAACTTCAAAATGGCGTACGTATTCTCTTCCCTTCCCTTCTCTTCTCGTCTCTCCCTTCTATATGCAACGGTAACGTCAACGTTACAGCAGGAGGGAGGGAACTGGAGTTACTGCAGTGGAGAAGCTCGGAGACAATCGAAAGGTGTTCGTTGATTGCGGGTTTGCGGGTTTGTGGGGAAGGCGTGCTAAGGGACAGACGTGAAAGACGCGAGAGAAGAGCTGCGTTGCTGCTCTGCTTCAGTGCCTGTCGGGGTCTTTGCCAGTCCGGACGGACCGATTCGTCTTGCGTGGAAAGTTGTCTCTGCATTTCTCGCCGCACTGTTTCTCGTCGTACTCGTTCTCGCGGTTAACACTCTCCCCGTCCAAGCACTCTTTCCAGCATCCTCGTCCCACATCGGTGCGAAGTTAACTTAACTACTCCATAACGACAACTCATGCTCCACACTCGACCTAACGACAAACACGCAGCTTAACGCTAGGAAGTGGGTGCACCGTGCAACAGACGGACGGACGGACGGTTCTTCTCCCATCTTAGTAATTATCCCCCTCTCGACTAAGGCAGAGCCAGGCGAAGGTGTCTTCTACCAGTTAAGGAAAAGGCCGTGGAACTCCGTATATCCAGACCACTTACTCTAATTCGCCACTCCACTCGCGTGGAAGGAATCCGCCTAACCTGATATGGCGTTTGTACTCCAGGGTCAAGATCGTTCTTATAGCAGGCAGGCAGGTATCTGCGCGCGCACGGAGTCTCGGCGCAATATCGAATTGAGTCGAAGCAAACCTCCCTCCGCCAAGTGTTTCGGGAGCTACTCACCCAACGACGGAAGTGCCAAAGAGAAAACGGATCCTGCCCAGGTCGCTGCTGGACTTGCGGCATACGTGTATCTCTGGCATACGTCTACCTCCGGGCTGCGTCTACTCGACCTCATCATGGCTAGCAAGGAGATGGCGAGTGATACACAGCGGAGCGTCGGAGAGGTATGCTATTGACGCTTCAGCGGGATTTGGCATGGCTGGGTCTGAAGGAAGCGCTGAAGGCTTGATGGCGAGGGAGTGGATAATGGTACGTGCTTGATCTTCTAGCATTGCAAGGCGATATTGAGGCTGATGATACGCAGATGAGCATACTCCTTCACGTAAATTGTATACTTCAACCGTCATGCACGAGGCCGAGTCGGTGCTGCTTCCTTATTCCGAAATGAATTTGTTAGCGTACCACAGAACCAGCTTGATCTGCCACCTTTCGCACGCCACCAGGGACACTAATAGCCTCATGCTTGCATCGAGACCACCCTCGCAAACTAATATCCGGCGGTACAAACTCGTTCCGCCGGTTGATATCACGATCCCAGATGCTCCTACATTGGGAATCCACCTGCCCACGCAGTCGGTCACTCCCTCGCGTAGCAGTGTGAAGTAATGCCATGCGGTTGGAACTCACATGCGCCCCGTCGTCTCTTGGTGCCCCGGTCGCGCCATGCACCTCGAAATTGGACCATGGATTCTCTGGAAGCTTGTTGGCCGGATATCTGTCTCGACTTTTCTGAACATTCGTCTACTTTCACTTTCCATCCTTTATCGCGGCCATCTAGGGAGTTCTTATTCGTCGGAAAAGCTGTGGCCCCACATTCCATGCCTCTGGAGACTTTCTCGTTATCCCCATTCCGGACGTCGCGGACTTGAAACGCAGGCATGTGGCTCAAAAACAACGCCTTCACCCTCTAATATCCCAATGCTGGCGCCGACGTCGCCAGCGTTATCGCAGGCGTCTTCTTCCAGGTTTAAAGCTCGAGTATTCGTGTTTGCCTCTCTTTGAGCTTTCTTCGCTTCCGGAGATGCGGAAATGCTAGAGGCACGGTAATTGCTGTCTCCATACACCGTCCGTCGCCGTATGCGTGAGAGAGAGCTGGAAGAGACTTAAGAGGGTGCAGAGCGAAATTGGTATCAACACCACCGAAAGCAAGAACTCATGCAACGAATACGCTGAGTTAGGAATCTAGGAAGACGTACACATTTTCGTTTTGTCTTTGGAGATTTGTCTTTAATGAATCTTGGTTGTAAATGACCCTCAACCATGATAAGCTTTATGGATTCACAGTATCTATCGCAGGACCTGGTACAGCTTGTAAAGCGAGCATTACATCTTCCGAACTTTCGAATTCCTCATCCCAACACTTCTGAACGACGCTAGCACAAGATACATTGCGAATATCGGGGAACTCTTCCCGAGCAAAGCACCTCTCCACCTCTTCACTATTTAACTCGTTAAACGGCTTCTTCCACGCCATAATCTCGTATATAGCGCAACCTAGAGCAAAAAGCTCTCGTTTGATATAAGGTCTCCCTTCCCAGGATCTCCCACGGAGAGGTAGCTCATACCAAGGCTCTTCAGCGGCATAGGGCTCTTGGTCATCCAATTTTGCCCCCCCCCCCCCCAAAGTCGCCTATTTTAACAGCATTCTCTCCTGTTAAGAAAACATTGCGACAACTAAAATCACAGTGGAACACCTTTTTAGAGTGTATGTATGCGAGGCCCGCCGCGAGGTCTGCAACCCACGTGAGCCGCTGTGGCAATGGGACTGGGTCGTTTACTCGAATGAAAGATCGGAGGTTGCCGTGTAATGCCCGCTCTAGACGGAGGGAGTGTATGCTTTGTTGAACTTCGACCAGGCCATAATATCGCAAAATGTTTTCGTGTGACCCCAATCTTTCGAAAACTTGGCGTTCCCGGTCCAGCGAGAGCTTCGACGCGCTACACTCTTCAAAGGAGGCAGCTATTCGGCCATCTAGCCACGCAACATAGCCCTTCAGCACAGTGGTGTCATCGTGCAAAGACACAATAGCAGAACCTCCGACGCCAAGAATTCGCTGGTCCCAGTCCCTTGGTAGAGATTGGTGATCATTCATAGTTGTTGGGATATCATGAAGACGTCTGGATGGCTTCCGGTTGGGGCGGGGAACGTTGGCTGAGAAGATGCGGCGGCGCCTTTGACGATAAGGGCAGTAGCGAGGATGCGATTGATGGAAATGATGCGGTGGGAGCGAAGGATACGGTTGACGGAAACCATGTAGTGGACGACGGTGACTGCGATGACAGGGCGAGGCTAGGAGACGGGAGAATGCAAGAACGTCGCGTGTCAGGATGTTGCTCACCGGAACAACTCGTCTTGGCATGAGGGGTTGCTCACCGGAACAAACTCGTCTTGTATCGTTGCATAGGTGTTTTAATAATGGCTAGAACTAGCACTGCTACTCAAACGTAGAGTTGAGAAGCACTCGGCCTTAGGGGATCGCAGTCAATTTGCCCGTTCTCCTAGCGAGCTCTCCACTGTCGGTAGGAGCTTAGATTAGTCGAAGCGGTACAGGCGGACTAAACATATCGCAATTCCAGAATCTGCATTGCCCCGCTATTATACTTGAGCATGATGTATTGTGAATTGAACCCTCAGCTTGCACTAAGGTCGCGAAAAATGCCAATCTGGAGACTATAAGGCCGTAAGAAGCATCGCGCAGCTTACTCTCCGCACCGCTACAGCTTAGAATGCAGCTAGATCCAGCGTGGCTGCGCTCGCTTTGTTTTGCCTTCTAAAGCAGCATTCTCCTCCAAATAGCCCTCCTCCGATAGGACGTTGTTTTCACTGCGACGAGCTTCCTGGGTCGGACAACTTTGTTGTCTTTCCGCCATGGCAAACGGCGACTCATGTTCTTATGCGTAGGTTGGAGCAGTTGGCGGTGCAACGTTTTCGGGACGAAGGAGGGGTTTGGGGAGAGGCTCGCTCAGGGTGACGGCGGAGTTGAACGTCGCGGGAGGAGTGTGCGCGCATCGGAGGGGCGAAGTGGAGGGATGTCCGAGGACTCGACGACGTGCGACGGAGGATGCATTTAGAGGGCCTATGGAAAAGTTCTACGACAGTTAATAGTTACTCCCTAGGTAATCTCGAAGAGATTTGAGCGTAGGGTAGGATCGTGCCCACTAAGCGGTTGTAGAGTCGCTGCGATAGTACGGATGAAGAAAGATTAGGAGATCTCCTAATGGGGCATCTGACATAAACCAGAGCGAGATCCAAGGTGCCAGAAAGGCACCACAGCGGGGCCAGAACGAGTGCAACTCTCCTGGCAAGAATAAGCTAGGAAGCGCGACGTGGCTATTTAAGTATCGACATAAACAAATGTGACAAAGTGAACGAGAGACGACGATAAGCTTTCGTTGGCAGCGCTAGACCTAAAGAGCACCTAGCGTGCCAAACTACATAACTCGATATCTCTAGTGCTAATCTCTTAAAAATTCGAATATTACTTAAGTACGTAATATAAAAAATTTTATCTAATATATATAACTAGCTTTTTAGCCTTCTAATATACTTTATAAATAAATATCTTATATAAATAAATACTCTAAAAATACTAAGCTAGAAAAATTAAAAAGTTTTTCTTAAATAACTAACGTACTTTATAAATAAACGCTCTATATAAATAAATACTCTAAAAATACTAAGCCTTTACTAAATACTACTATCTTTATTATAAAGCTCTCTATAAATACCTAATTAACTTTAAATAAATTCTAAATATAGCTTATACTCTAGACTATTTAATAGAATCTAGAGCTAAGCTTATAACGCGCTATAGCTTTCTATAATATAGAGTAGAAGAAAGTTTACTATTAATACTATAGAGTTACTCTATAATATAAAAAGATATCTAATTTAATAAAGCTTATAAAAAATAAAGAGTAGATAATAGTTAAGTATATACTTAATCTAGACGTATAAGAATTTACTCTCTAGCTTACTACTATTTAAGATATAGCTAATAAGCTACTTACTAAGTAAGAGAAAAAGATTATAGGTAAGAACTAGCTAAATAACTTTATTATATACTATTCTAAGCTTAAAATATAGCTTAATTATAAGTATAACTATTAGAAAGTAAAGTAAAAAGATTTTATAATTATTTAGATATAGTTTAATCTAGTAGATAATATAAAGATAAAGTATAGTATTACTAATAAAGATATATATAATTTTAATAAATCTAGCTTTATAATAGAAATAATATTACCTTAGATAGTAGTTACTAGCTCTAAGAGATAATTATAACTAAAGAGTTTTTAACTAGGTAATTATAAGTAGATTTTAGTAATTATAATAGTAAGAGTAGTAGGTAATATATAGATTCTACTATTTCTTATTATTATAGATAAGAACTATCTTTTAGTATAGTATAAAAGTAGCTAGCTATTATATAACTAGATTATAGCTATTTCTAAAAGTAGCTAGATAATAAATAAAGTTAGTATTATATAGTTAAAGTACTTTAATATATATACTAAAAGTTACGTTATAGATATATATTATCTACTAATTTTAGATAGCTATAAAAGCTATAGCTCTATTAAATTCTAGTAGTATTATAAGAAGAATAAAATTATAGTTCTTTATATACTAGTATATTTATTATATCTTCTATAGCTACTTAATATTAGCTACTTCTACTATTAAAGATAGTATATAGCTACTAAGTTAAAATTCTAATATATAGCTATATTAACTATATTATAAAAAACTAAGTTTCTATCTATATTTTATATAGCTTTTTATATATTAATTATAGATAATAATATTAAAGTAGAATTTAAAAATACTAGCTTAGTTTTATTTAATCTAGATTTAGTAGTATTAAAGCTTAAAGTTTAATTATATATACTAATACTTTCTACTAATAATACTACTATCTAGAAGTATAAAATATCTAGTAATTCTACTAAATTAAAGTTATAATTAACTTTAATTTAGAGAAAAATTATATAGTATCTTAATTTATTACTAACTTATATTATTAAGTTACTTAATTAGCTTAAGAAAGATAATAAGATAATAGCGTATTAGCTAGTACTTATAGAGTCTAAAGTTATCTAGCTTTAAGTAGCTAATATATAGAAAAAGAATACTCTTATAATTAAAGCTAGCTTATAGCTAGTTACTTAAAGAAAAGCTATAGATTAGAATAAAAGTAAGAAGTAGTATAAAGAGATAGTAGTATATAATAGCTAGCTAGCTTAGTAACGCTATAAATACTATAGTAAGCTAGAGTATAATATATAAACGTGCTAGATAGTTAAAGATAATATAGATAAGTTAGATAGCTTATCTAGATTTATCTTAAGTAGCTTAGAGTTAGAGAAATCTAAATAAGATAGCGACTTTTTAGTAGAAGCTTAGTAAAAGTAGTTAGCTTAATAGTATAGTTAGCTCGCTAGTAAAGTACGTTAGTTATTTAAGAAAAGCTTATTAATTTTTGTTAATTTTTCTTACCAAGAAATTTTAGGCGGTTCGATAGTAAAGTATGTTATTAAAAACTGTTCTATTTTTCTCTGCGGTGCCTGTGTAACTCTTAAGTTAACTCTTCGCATTCTAATCGCCTAACTCTTCAGAAACCTCAGCGCCAAGAATCTTCTTCGAAGAGACGGCGACATGGACGTGCTTCAGGATGGATGCAGCGGTCGTTGAGAAGCCGTTTGGGGCAATGCTGACCGACATAGGCGACTCGTCGGCCTTGCTGTTCACAAAGTCCGCGTAGCCTGGATCCACGATGACCTGCCTGATCATATCGCGGTGATGATGCATGGTCTCTGGTAAGGGGCTCGCGGATGAGGGTTCGACTCCTAGCAGGAAGTCTCTGAGAAGTCGCGGAAGAGGGGCGTGTTTGAGGGCGCTGGTGAGACGGCAGTAGTACAAGATGGGGTAGACGCGAGAATCTACGTGGAACGAAGACATCACGAACAGGATTGTCTCTCTCTTCCCCCGCTTCAGCGTAAGCTCGGCGATAGTGGCCCCTTTGAAGCTGGGCGCATCTTCGCGCAGGACCTCGGCATTCCAGTCTGGTCGGTCCGCGCGCTTCGCGTCCAACGGACAAATTGCAAGGATACTCTCGCTGGTAGAGAAGCGCCCCGGCGGCACTGTCTCAATCTCTAGGAAGTCTTCCCTCGGGCCGAAGGAGAGAAGCACCCCGGCCCGACAGTGCGTGTGCGTGTCCTGTGACAGCGGCGGCGGGATCTCCCACCTGCCCGTGTTCCTCGTTGGGACGAACATGTCCGTCAGCGGCGCGTGCACCTCCTCGACCCCGTGGCAGATGGGAATCGGCACGTCGGGGTAGTGCCGGCGCATGAAGCGACCGGTGGTGAGGTTTCCCGACATGGATATGCCGACCAGCTGGCTCTCTCCAGCGATCTGCACATTCAGCGCGCCGATGAAGGATGACCAGCACCGGATGAGCGGCAGGCGGATGGACAGTCCGACATTCGTCATTGTGTACGGTAGGGGCCGCGTCCCGGCCTGGAGGGGGACGTACCGCGCCGCCTCGCGGAAGCCCTGCGGACACGGCGAGAGCAGGCTACCTTGCCGCTCGCCGACGGCCCATGACCAGCAGAAGAGCGAGTGGTCATCCGAGACTTTTAGAATCTCCTCCTGTAGGCGCGAGAAGGCGCGGATCCCCTCGCCGTAGACGAGCGGCATGTGGATGCCGAAGATGCCGAGCGCGCAGTAGGCCATGTCCTCGACGCGGCTGGTCTCGCGCCGCGCCAGCCAGGTCATCCGTTCGGCGACCGAGGCGTCGTGTACGAGCGCGTAGCGGTTGCGCACCCAGCTGTGTATCCGGTCGTCGGCCACTTCTCCGCGCTCCGGGGCCAGGTACCGCATGGCGATGCCCGTCGCCGCACTGACGTGTCGCGCGAGCGTCGCCCGGGTGCCCAGCGGCGACCAGTCGGCCGCGTAAAAGACCACCCTTCCGGGAGCAAGCAGCTCCTGTAGCGTCCATCCGCGACGGAACCAACGGCTACGGCGGATTTCTCGCGTATGGGTCAGCGGCTTGAAGGTCTCAACGTCGGCCAAGTAGGCGTAGCATACTTCCGCCAAAGTGTACCACTCGAACATGGAGTTGATAGCCTCGGCTAGCTCGGCGGAGGAGGACTTGTCAATGCAGTTAGTGTCGACCCACACATAGGCGAAGCCATCCTTCTTCGCCTGCTGGCAGGTCGAGACGATTTTCTCGTAGCCTTTCAGCCTGGAGGCTGTAGATGGGTTGGACCAGTCTTGGTAGGTGACCTCCTCGGTGCCCCATGTGTGGGAAAGGATGGCATACTTGGGGAATCTGCCGCCTAGGAAGTGTTCAAGAGCAAGGGTAGTAGTGTTAATGAGCCGCATGTTCGGTGCTGTGCGCTAGAATCAGAGCTCCGGTTGCGAACTGGATATTCAAGCTAAGCTCGCTTGGCAGAACTACCGTGTTTCATCAGCTAGCGCACGTCCCTACCCGGCGCATAGTTTCTAAGAAATCTTACTTCTCTCGAACTTTATAACTATTAACGTACTTTATTATTAAACGCTCTATATTATTAAACGCTCTATATTATTAAACGCTCTATATTATTAAACGCTCTATATTATTAAACGCTCTAAAAATACTAAGCTTTTACTAAATACTACTATCTCTATTAACATACTTTATAAGCGAACCGACTATATAAGCGAGCCGACTACCTTTCTCTTAGCAAGAAAATTAACGAAAATTAACTCGTTTTTCTTAAATAACTAAGCAAAACCTTAATATTTTTCTATAAAAATATATATATATATTCTCTATAGTATATTACACTTTATAGTAAAGTTGCACTAAGATATATTACGTAATTAAAAAGCTATACGTATTTAGGTAACTTTTAAGAAAAATCTAGTTTACTTCTAGTTAGTACTATTATATCTTTATAATAATATATAAAACTTATAGTATATAGTATTTATAACTTAATAAAGGTTTCTAGAAAACTTTTATAGAGCTAGCTCTTCTAGGTATAGCGTAATAAGAGGTAGAAGTTTAAATATTTTTTTTTAAGTTTTCTTCTCTAACTATATATATATATTAATAATTATTGTAGAGTCTAAGCTACGCACTATATAGAGATAACTTATCCCGTGCTTTAAGATTACTATATAGGGAGAGCCGAGCTCTCTAGTTCTAATATAGTAATCTTCTTTCTTATTTTCTTACCTAACTAAGTAACCTCTACTAAGCTCTCTTTTTTCCTCTATAGTTATAAGCCTAGCGCTTTAAGAACGTAGAATAAGTTCTTTCTACGTACTTAAAGAGCTAGCTAGAGACTACTTAGTTACTCTAGTTATCTTTATATAGTTAAATAACACCTTCTATTTATATACTCTAAGAGCTAACGCTATAAGTAAAGCTCTCTCTACTAGATTATACTAGTTACGTAATTATAATACCTAGCTATACTAGTATATCTAGCTCTAGTTCTACGTAATTAGTAAAGAACTATAAACCTAGATTAATCTAGACGCTAAAAACGCTACAAACCTAGTAGACTCCGCCCTAACGTTTCTAATAATAGAGTTAATTACTAGCAAAGTACTATCTGCTACGCTCTCTAAGAGTAGTAAGCGTAAGAGTATATAGGCTATACCTACTTTAAGTATAGTATCTCTTAATACACTCTACTAGCGAAAACTTAACAAGTATAGAGCGCTCTTAAGCAACTAGGCGTCGTAGGCAACGCGCCTTTAAACTCTATAGAACTAGGTAAACGCAACTATTACTCTAGAGCTTCTTAGACTAGCTATAATAGAGCTTGTGTCTTAGAAGCGTTTAACGCTATAGGCGCTTATACGCGTTCTAAAAAGTAAGCTTATACTAATATTAGTAAGTACCTTAAATATAGTTTGCGCTAAGTACTATACTTATCTTAAAAAGGTAAAGTAGAGTACTTAAATACCTAAAGATTAGTACTAATAGTAGTACTTTCTATATATTAAGGCGAAGACGTATAAGCTTATAGACGTAGAAGGCTAGCTTACTATATAGAACTTTCTTAATACTCTTACTCTAAAGCTTACGCTAGAATAGGCTAGAGCTATATACTAGAAGGTTATCTAGAATAGCGTACTTAGAGCTAATAAGAAGCTTACTTTATAAGAGATTAGAAAAATCTTTACTATAATAATTTACAAATACTCTCTATAAGTATCTAATACAAACTCTAGTATATTTATAACACTAGATAGATAATTAGATTAGCGTACAGGTTATTAGAAGAAACGTATACTAGTTAATATAAGAATCTACCTCTACTAAAAGCTATAGAGTAACCTAAAACTCTATATATAGAGATTAGACGTCTATTATACGCTTAAGATAGTAGTAACTAGCTAAGAAGTAATAATTAGCTAGAATACGCGTTAGAAGATTCTCGCGTAACTTAACTTAGATAGGTTTAAAACTACTAGAGTATTTCTACTAAAGAAGGGTTAGAAGCTTCTAAGTAGGTTAAATAATAATAAAGAATTAACTACCTTACTATACCTTAGAAGTATTTAAGTAGTACTAATTAACTTAACGCTTCTTAGTAAGCTAATAGAAATCTACACAACTATAGACTTTAACGCTTACCCCCTCTCTATAAGTATAATTCTTAATAATAGGGCTACTCTATACTTAGTAAACACGTAAGAGCTACTTATACCTAGGTTATTTAGAAAAGCTTAAGGTGTTTAATGTGTAAAAGCGGGTACTTAAGCCTTTCTAATTGTAGAGACAGGTACTCGCCTACTTAAAGAAGTGCTTAATAGAGCTTAGAGATAGAGTATAGAAGATCTTACTCTATATAACGTTATAGTAGTTAAGAGTTTTTACCTTAATATTATCTTAGAAGCTTATCTAAGAGAGAAAGAAGTCTAGTACCTAGAGCTAGATAGCTCTCTACGTATAGAAATAATAGAAAAGAGCGTAGTACTCGTAAACCTCTTACGTAAGTATAACCTTACATTTATTAAATATAAGCCTGTGTTCTTTTACGCTAAGTAAGTAATTAATATAGTAATAAATTAATAATTATAGTAAGCGTACCTATAATATAATACTAAGTAAATATAGTATATAAGAGTAGGTTACCTAGAGAAATAAGTCTTATAAGTACTTATATAATGTGCGTAGAACGTATAGATAACTAGAACTAAGCGCTTATAGTATAAATACTACGCAACTATACACGCTATATAAGTAATCTTCTAACGCCTAAGAGAGTAATTACTCTACCTATTCTAGAGAATCGTATAGAATCTATTTAATATACTCTTAGAGTAATTAGAAAAGCTCTAGGTAATAGTTCTAAAGTATAACTTTAGTAGAAAGATCTTTACACGCACACTTCTAGTAAAATTACTCTTAGAGATTCTACGCGTACTATAAGTATTTAAGAGCTTTATATATATAAAATACTAGCTTAATATAGTTAAACTATAGTAGAATAACAACACTATAACGCTTTTATAGAAGAGAAAATTATAATATAAGCTCTAGGCGAAAGAGTAAGGTATAGAAATTAAGCTAACTCTAGTATATACGTATAAGCCTAATAGTAGAGTAGAGAGAGCTAGTAAAGAGATACTTATAAAGTTAATCTTAATAAGAAGTAGCGTAAAGCTCTCTAAGAAGCTCTAGCTAGAAGTTGTACACGCTATAACGTAGTTATATAATATAAGTCTCTTATATATATATAACTTACGCTTCTCTAATAAGATTCTAGATATATAGTTCTAGTAATACTTTTAATACTATAAGCTAGCGCACGTAAGAAATACTATAGTAGATCTACGCCTAGACTAGAGTAGTATATACGCGTATAGCTATTACGCTTACCTACTAAACTAGAAACGCGTAGCTAGGCGTAACAAGAGAAGCTTTAAGATTACTCTAAGAGACTATATTAGATATTTAGTAGGCTATAGAGCTTTAAATATCTATAGAATATAGGTCTCTTAGCTTAATTAGGTAATTACTATAAGAAATGTAACCTTTAATAAGACGCTCTTCTATAAGAATAGAGAGATTAAAGTAATTCTCTAAGAAGAGGTAATTAAGATTGTTTATATTCTTTATAAGTATAGTAAGATTTAAGACGTAGAAGTAGTCTTAGAGCTACTCTCTATAGAATTAGATAAGTAATAGAGTACTATTACTACTTAATAGCTAACTAAGTAAAAGCTTAGAGGTGCTAGATTATAGAACCTAGATTAGGTAGATAGCTAACTACTAGATTAGAAAATAATAATTCTAGTAGCTGCGCGAGTAATAAGTATAGCTAGTAGATTACTAAGAACTTATATAGAGTATAAGAAGCGTATAGAACTCTCTTTCTCTAAGCCTACTCTAGAGCTAGAGTTACTAACTAAGCATCTAGAAAGAAGCTAGAGAATAAATAATTTATATAGTTTCTATACTACACGTAACGCTAAAGAAGTAGACTTATAGAAATTTAGCTCTATAGCCTAACTACTATAATAAGTAGATATAGGTACCTCTTAACCTAAGCGCGTAGCTTCTAACACTTTAGATAAAGTACTAGAGCTACTCTCTAAGCGCGCGTATAATAAAAAGAAATAGAGAAATTCTACGCGCGTAAGTTATAGACTATAAGAGTAAGATTCTAATAACCTAGGTAAGCTTAGAGGTAGTAGAAGTAGAGAAATATATACGCTACTTAGTAACGTATACGTAAATCTAGCTAATTAAGAATAGCTAGTCTTTCTCTAAATAAGCTCTCTAAGAGTATAAGCTTAATCTATAGAGTATAGAACTCTACACGTAGTTATAGCTATAGCGCTTCTTCTAGAAAAGAAGCTTTATATATACTAAGATAAATTACTACTACTTTTATAGAAATAGAAGAATCTATATAACTACCTATTTAGAGAGCTTTTTAGAGACGTAGCTTATAAGAAAATTTAGACGCTAATTAAAAAGAATACGTAGAAGGTAATTAAGTACTACTTATAGCTATAAAGGCTACTTCTACTTAAGTAGATATTCTTATATAAGTTTAATAAAGATAGCTTCTTTACTAAGTGTAAAGCTTGTATATATATTAGAGAAAATCTTTAAGTAAAGAACTTACTTAAGGTAACCTACGCTACTACGCTTGCCGCCTAATTCTTCTACATAAAAATAGTAATTATAGCGTAGTTTAATTTAGAGATACGCTAGTTTAATGTTATTAGAGCCTTTCTTAACGCTTACTAGAATAGCTAGCTAGCTATACTTTGCAAGCTTCTAGATAGGTTTATAATTACTAGAAAATATATCTAGCTTAAAAGAGCGCTATATAGGCTACGTAACTCGCTACTATTATAGTATAAGAAGTTCTCTTAAATACTAAAAGCTTA